TGCGAGATCTGCTCCTTATCCCTAGAGTCGTACCCATGAGCCGCCATAGCAATCATCTGCGTCTGAGTTCCTTTATCGGCAAACAGCGTAAGCAGCTCCACAAGATACCCGTCGGCACAGTCCAATCTCTTGTCCAGCCCTTTGGCGAGTGTAGTCTGAGCAGCGAGTACAGCGTTCCTCGAACGTCGTGGATCTTCGGGATGAAAGGAACGAGATATCTGGGAGAAGGCGCGGTAGACTTCAATGAGGTCGGCTTTGGAGCTAGAGAGAGCCAGGGGTACCAAACTGATGACGATGGTAGCTTCTGTCGCGGGGTCGACTCCTCGGATCCGCTGGAGGAGCATGGATATCGTGAGGTGTGTGACTTCGTCTTGACCGAGCTCCAGAGCAAGCCGACTGATGACTTGTACTGCCGTCACAGAGACGAGCCTCTTGTGTTCCTCGGACCACTTGCCGCTGGTCAACGTAGTCTTGAGGGTCATATTATCCGCGTCTCCGCGGGACAGATGCTGATCCAAGGGGAGGGAGCGGATCGAAGTTTCGCCTGGCGGCAAGGTCGTCCCTTGGCCATGACTGAGAGGGTTCAAAAGCGAATAAAGAATAGACGATGTCAAGTCATCATTCGCAGACATCTCGATGCACGTCGCCAGACATTTTCCGGCTGCAATGACGGCGGGAGGTACCTTCCCAAAGCCTGCCATTTCGCCCTCAAATGCCGGAAGAGGCGTCATGAGCAAGCGGCGGATGTGGTGGGTCATGGCCATCCCGAGAGATGGGTCGTTTCTGACAAGGATAGAGGTACAGGTGAAAGCATTCTCGAGGACCTTGGCGTCAGTGACGGTGGAGCTTTCGGACAAGAGAAGCTTGAGTCTGGTGAGTTGGGATTGGTTTTGCTCGATTTGATGGAGAGTGATCGTGTTGATGAGAGACTAGCCATCCAATGTTAGCGTGGTCGCACGAAAGTTTGTAAGATACTCACGAGAACAGCTACGAGCAGCTCCGCATCCTCCTCCTGGTCATTTCTCCCAAAGGCAAACAGGCTACCCCTCCTAGCCGACAACATCCTCTCTTCATCCACATGCGAGCTTCCCATCAAATCACTCCACCACCTCAACGCCATCTTGTCTGCGTCTTCCAGTGCCGCCTTGCCTTGCACTGTCGCAGAAAGTCGAACACATTCCGAGTTGATGGGATGTGCCGCAAGATGGTCGCTCTGGTTGACGAGGACTGGCTTGAAGGAGTCGGGTCCTTCAGACTGGAAAGCGGCCTGGATCTGTTCAGGCGCTGGGGCAGGGACGATCAAGGCGGCGAGTAAGGCAGTAAGGATCTCAGAGACAAAAAAAACGACACCCGACGGAGTTTTCGGGTGACCAGCAATGAAATTACTTTTCTTTGCGTGACGAAATTGAGGGCTCGAGGCAGCGTCAGTGTCTTTCTGGACCAATTTGACAAGATTGACAGGGGTGGTGAGGGGGAGTATGGCGGAGATGATGCTAGAAGCGACAGAAGGTTCGAAAGGGGGAAGGGGGCACTGAGTAACAACAGAGTGAATAGAGTTGAGTAGGACGAGAGCGAACGCTGTAAGATTATCAGTGTATGTGCTCAAATGCAGACCGTCAGACTCACTTTGACCCCCGTCTGCGGCAAAAGACTCTGACACTTGTTCGAGCAGATTGATCAAGATCCCGCCGACCTCGCTTCGGATCTCTGGTCTAGCCCACGCGACCCATATCAAAGCTTTCACCAGGCTTTTGCAAAGCTGCGCCTGGCTATGAGAGCCGGCCAAAGCCGCGCCCACAGTGTCGTAAGAAGACGAGGGCGCATCTGTGAACGATCCTTGGATCAAGAGGCCTTCCAGAATAGACTTGAGTTTGGAAAGAGATGTCGTTAGGTATGGAGAAGAGATGGGGAGTGACGAAACGTAGTGTGTGTATGAGATGGCGTGGTTGATCTCAAATTCGGTCTGCGAATGCTCGGTCAGCATGCTCAAAGTAACATTGTCATCTCACTTACCCATTCATCTTGATCGTCGAGACTGTTTGTTCCAGTCACGCTACCAGGGAGCCCGCCGACGATGGTCTGGATTGAGGACTCGTCTCCGGGTTGTGGACTCTGGGCATAGCTGGACGCGAGAGAGGTCAAGATCTGCAGATGGAGGGGCTCGTCGAGGCTGCAATTGTCAGCTATTTCTCCAGGATTGATCTTGCTACTCACGAGTCCATGGCTACACTTGTTTGCTATCGACTGTCAAGAATACAACGAGAGCACGACCTTTAGCCACCCTGCGAGGTCAGTCACAGAGGCGGCGACCACCGCCCAGCGAGTTACTCACGCTGATGACGTAAAGCCCCGGCCTTCCGTGACAACATCATTATGATCATCGATGGACGAACACTCAGTCGCAGTTCACAAGCATGCCATTCTCGTCTGTTCCCCGTCTTTCTAGAGCACTCCCAAGCATGTCCACGACATCATCAAAGACCAAAGTAGCCCTTAGAGGAGGCGCCATCATCAACAACCCCAGGTTCAACAAGGGCACTGCGTTCTCGCGGCAAGAGAGGGCCGAGTTTGGCTTGCGCGGCAGGCTTCCCTATGCGTATGTGACACCTGGATAGCTTTCCAGTGACTGAACCCTGCTCATATGTTGTTCAGGACCGATACTCTTGATGAGCAGGTCACCAGAGCGTATGAACAGTACCAGTCCAGGGAAAGTGATCTGCTCAAGAACTCTTTCCTCCAGTCACTGAAAAGTGAGCAACGGGGCCGATCTAATGTGCGATGAACATCAGGCTGACTATATTCAAGCTCAGAACTGGACACTGTTCTACGCCTTGCTCAACAGACATCTGGAAGAGATGTTCCCCATCGTCTACACCCCAACAGAGGCAGACGCCATTGCCGATTACTCGCATCTCTTCAGAAGGAGCGACGGTCTCTACCTGAGCCCTCCTGAAGAAGGCAACATGGAGGAAGACTTCCTAGATGCTTGCGAGAAGAGAGAGCTTCAGCTTGTAAGTCGTTTTGCAGTGCGATCTGACATGCCTGACAATCGATAGATTGTAGTTTCAGACGCCGAGGCCATTCTCGGCATTGGGGACCAAGGGTCTGGAGGTATTGGTATCTCTACTGCCAAAGCCGTCATCTACAGTCTTGTGGCTGGAGTCGAGTAAGTATCTTCCTTCAGATTGCTGCAAGTACTAATGTGCCCGGTGCAGTCCGGCCAAATGTCTCGCCGTGACGCTAGATGTGGGAACCAACAACAAAGATCTGCTCGATGACGACTTGTACATTGTAGGTCATTTCGTGTATGGGCGAATGTGTCTCACTATTCGCAGGGCTATAGAGAGAAACGATTGCGAGGCGAACCATACGACAAGTTTGTCGAAAAGTTTGTGGGTTTGGTAAAGAAGCATCAACCCACGTGTCTCTTGCATTTCGAAGACTTTGTAAGCAAAACTTCGGCCTTCTGGTTATGTGCTTACGGATTCTAGGGTGTTATCAACGCCGAAAGACTGCTGGCAAAATACAGGTACGCAACCAGACGTATCCCTGTAAGGACGATTGCTGATCAGACGATCTTCAAGAGAACAACACTCTATCGTGGGTTTCATGTGCCTCATTCGATGTACCCTACTTATGTGTTATAGTTCAACGACGATATCCAAGGTACAGGAGCCGTGACTGTAAGCTCCACCTTTAGAGTTGTCTGGACGAAGAGATGTACTGACAACCTGGAAGCTTGCTGCAGTCCAAGCCGGAGTCGCCGTCACGAAGAGCAAGGTACGCCGACTCTACAAGAGTAAGAGTTTCCATGAACTGACCTTTTCCAGCTCCAAGACCAACGTATTATCATCTACGGCGCCGGCTCAGCCGGCCTCGGTATCGCCCGTCAACTCCGCGACGCCATCCTCCTCGACTCCTCCTCCTCCTCCTCCGACGCCAAATACAAAGCTGCCAAGCAGTTCTACCTCGTCGACAAAGCCGGACTCGTCAAAAAGTCTTTGGGCAGAGACAAGATCAGGCAAGAGATTGAGGATGATTTTATCAGGGATGAAGAGGATTGGGGAGGGGAGGAGACGGGGTTGTTGGAGGTGGTGAAGAAGGTGAAGCCTACTATCTTGATTGGAACTAGTACCCATGCTGGAGCGTTCAATGAAGAAGTGGTGAGTCTCCTTTACTCGCAAAGCTGTTTAGTCACTGACTATCTGTAGGTGAAAGAGATGGCCAAACATGTGGACCGTCCTATCATCTTCCCCTTGAGCAACCCTACCAAGCTTTGCGAAGCTCAGTGAGTGTACCCATGGATGTCAAATAATGTTCGCTGACCTTTATAGACCCAAGGATATCAACAACTGGACAGACGGCAAAGCTCTCATGGCTACCGGCTCGCCCTTCCCACCCGTCGACATCCCAGGCTCGGACAAAAAGTATATTGTCGCCGAGTGCAATAACGTGAGCCTATCACCTCGCCCGAGAAAGCGGTACTAACTCGCTCTATCAGGCCCTGATCTACCCCGGCCTCGGCTTCGGCACAATCCTCTCCAAATCCTCCACCATGACGGACAAGATCATCGTCGCCGGTGCCCAGCGTCTCGCCCATCTCGCCCCAGCTCTAAAAGAAAAGAACCCCGACTTGGCTCTCTTACCAGCGTTCGGTGATGCCCAGGCTGTCAATTTTGAAGTGGCCCTGGCGGTGATTGAGCAGGCCGTTGAAGAAGGCGTCAGCAGGGAAGAGGGCCTGCCGAAGGGGAAGGAAGAGATCAGGAAGTGGGCGCTTGAGAAGAGGTGGGAGCCAGAGTATGTAGAGTTTGAGTATGATCCTGAGGGGTTGAAGTAGTCTGAGGCTTAGTCAGTCAGTATAGCAGCCTTGTTACATATTGTATACATAATATGTGCCCTACTGCTCATGCACTCTCGACGGCTGATGAAACAGGCAATCTGGGGTATTCTCAATCATGACAGGGACATCCAGAAATTTCAACGGCAGCCTTCAACAATCCCCTGGGCAGAGAGTCATCAATACATGCGCTATGCTACAGTAATCTCGTCTATTATATATGATTTTTGTGTGTCCTATTGTACAGTGTGGTCCGCATCTAATTTCCTCCCAATCTAGTAACTAAAGATATACCTTCGCCTCTTCCCGAACGGATAGACAGCAACTGTGGCCGCAAACAATCCTATCGCCAGCCCGATCCCGACCTGAACCATCCTGATACTGACAATTACCGCTGTATTAATCTCTTCCGTTGTATCTGAATCACCGCTGCTGGAGGCACCCAGGCCGCCAGCTGCGGCGATGGCGTTCGGGACGATGAGGAGGATGCCGACGACCATTGAAGGGAAGGCGGAGCCACGACCGATACGTGAATAAAGGTTTCCGAGAACGCTGCAATATATGAGTTCGATCACTGAGAGGAAAGTTCAAAAGACATACCCAATAGCGAAAGCGGAGACGGCAGAGACGACGTTGGTCTCTGCAATTTTCTGGCTGAGGAAAAAGTTGACGACATAACCAGCACACGCCACACAGACCATCACAAGGGTATCCTTGGATTTCCAGTCTGCCCTGAACCAAATGGCTAGAGAGTAGGCAAAAACCGGTACCAGGAGGAACAGCCACCAGTCGTTGGCTAGAACCTGATGTCAGCTTGTCATCGACGATTGAATTGACCAGACGTACGTTCGGTGTACCACCATTGCAGCCATTCAGGATTACGATTGCAGGTGACTGTGGTCGTGTCATCGGAAGAGCTATCGTCTCCGTAGGTGGGCTGTGCGGGCCCAAAGGCATCCCATATCTGGTTTCCCAACCCGAGACCGAGTGAAAGGAAAAGAGTGTAAACAACAGCCCACACAAGGCGACTGTAGATTGGTAAGCATGTTCCCAAGCATCGGTTTGGAGGACACGTACATGGCACCGGCAACAATGTTTCTGGACCCTAGCTCTAAAGCGCCAAGGCAAATGTGCCACCCAGGCAGGATGAGAACGATGGCAGACTGAGAACGAGTTAATGACCTGACCTGTGATTTTGACCGAAGAGCTTACTGAAGCCAGAGATTGGTAGCAGAAGTACTTGGACGCTCCCAAACCTCTCTGCGAATCCGGTCAGCGAGATTCCACGTGATTCAAGATTCACTCACAGCTATGAAACTGAGTATGCCTGCCATGCCAATTTCGAAGATGTTTGAAAACACCCTGTTTTCCCTCGAAACCATAAATTGGACGGTAGTGAAGATTGTTCCCAATACACCTGACATGAGCATGTCAATAAAGGATCCGGAGAAGGCGACACGTGCTGCAACCCCAGACGCGACAGCTGCGGTAGCGAGTAGACTGAGGCGAGAGTAGGGAAGTGTCTGCATCCTGTCAGCGTGCGTATCTCCGACGCGCAGAAGACCCACTTTATTTTCAATCCTTTTCAACACCCTTGACCCCTGACCCGCCGAAATTGCGTCGTGAGTCACTCTTCTATACACCTCGTGCACAAGCGACAGCCTATACAACTCCAACCCTCCGGACGGTCGGATGAATAGGAGGTCGGTAGTGCGTACGTCGGTATCACGGAAAGCGACCATGAGGATGGTTGGAAAGTAGACGAAAGAAGCTTCAACTCCAAGAATGTCAGCAGTCGATGACAGCCATGCCTCGACGGAGTGAGCGGGTGCGCCATAGCTGTAACAAGGGTCAGTATGGTTCTGTCGTGATCCGTATTACTCACTTGACTACAGCCTTCGCCAGTAGCTCGATGAATCTAGAGCTTCGTTAGCTTATGTACTTGAGTCCGTTAACAAGAACCTACTTTTTCCGCTGCAAGATGTTGGAAACATTCTTCGTGACCGCCATCTCCTTCTGTATCCTCTTTCCTCTCGTACGCCTGCCTGCCCATTTTTCTCCTATGCGGCCTTCTTCCATGGCCTTATGGATGTTGTCTCCCCGGGCATGCTGCAATCCCAAAGCCGCATCCTCTTGTCTGTCTCTGGCTTCCATTGCAGCATCCTTTTCTTTGATATTCTCATACCAACTAACCCTGCGATGCCCCGCTGCCGATTCTGCCTCCTCACCAGACGACGGTGCAATATGAGCTAGCGTCGGACTTCCTATCCCCATGAACGCATTGGTGGTGGTCATCAGAGCGGCGAGAGACCGGTAATGGTTTTCTTCCGTCGATGTCTCGCCATTAGCGACAGCCTCTCCGGACACTGGCGCACCGAGAAGCGTAGAAGGCACACTTCGCCCAGTCATGAATGCCCGGAAACGTTGCGACATGGAGGTGTTTACATTCGGCTCGATGGGGTTTGAATAACGGGAAGAAGGGATGTAGGGTTGGTTGAGGTCTTCGCTCCTATGTGGAATGCGTGACTGCCTTTTGTGCCGTGTGACCCTTGCGTCGGCTTCTCTGATGCGGGCAGAAAGCTCTTGAGCGCTGAAGGTGCTGTCACCACCTTCACTCCCTTGACGACTGTGACCCCGGCTTGCGTTTGAAGCGCGGGAGGGTATAGCGAAGAGTGAGTCTGTGCTCCATCGTTTTCGCGCGGTCACACGGTCATTCTCGTCTTCGTCATCCGAAAGGCCTATCATAGACCTGACCGATCTCCTCCTCCTCTTTGGGTGCCTGTCTTTATTGCGGGTAAATCCCAACATGGCACTAAACACACCAGCAGAGGTGACTTCTTGGTCGTCGTCTTCCCAATCACTGTCGTTGGAGAAGAGAGAGCTTGTGGCAGACATGCGACTCAAAGAAGATCGACCAGACGTCTGCCGTCTTCGCGGAGGAGCAGCTCCTTCGTACGAATCGAGAGATACAGCCGAGGACGGAACGTCATGGCTTCCCAGCCTACTCATATCTGGACCGTGTTGGGAGTCAGCATCGACGGAAGGACGATGGAAGATACTGGTGAGAGACCGGCGGACGTTTACGAGGTCTTCCTCAGAGGGGAGAGCTGAGGCATAAGGCGAGGGGAACGCCGAGCGGCCATTCGGGTCTTCAGAAGTAAGTTCTGCGCCAAGCCTGCTTCCCCAGTGAACTTTGCGCGAGGGTGGTCGTACATGCTTCTTCTCCATGACCTATAAGACGGGTAAACAGGTGCAAACTCCGCGCCGAGACTTGGACTCACATCTTGGGTCACTTCTCTGGAGTACTGTGCAGCTCCAGTTTCAGCAACGCTTTCGGGCCGCGAATCTCCTGACTGTGACAGCGATGATGGACGGAAAGAGGTAATCTTATCGAATGGTCAGTGCTCACAGTACATCTTCAGCCCAAGGTACTCACATCTTGTTCAGAAGGTGCTCGAGAATTCACAGACGTTCCCAAACTGTCAGGACGAGACTCTGAAAGCGGCGCCGATGGGTCGGTGGCGCTGCCGCCATGATCAGTAGCCTGTTGAGGAGCAAGTTTGTCTGATGGATCTGTTCGTGGTGGCGGAGTCTGTGGTGGAGTCTCTTCCGGCTGCTGGGGCATTGGAGCTGAACGAAGAGGGAACAGTGTAGAAGAATGAAAAAGTTCAGCGAGGCTCTGGCATATCCACTCGGTTGAACAATTCAGGAACCCTGCGCGCGGTCCCGAAAGACAAATGAGCGACTCACTCGGCAGCGGCATCCATTGGGCGATCACGACTTTAAACTTTTGATCGTCAAGGGAGCGTTTGCTGGAATCGCGGTGACTGCCGCTGATATCATCTCACGTGCTGCCCACGTGCGTGCCCAGGGACGGGGGGGACTTGCGGGGAGTCTTGATCGATGCACGGCGCCTTATTGGGCAACTTGTTGACTCCTTTCTCAGCTTGCATCAGCCATCCATCATGGCCTCTGACAAGCACTCGGAAAGGGCCTCCTCCCTTGTGGACGACCATGGCGTCGCCCATCTCGCCCTCCCCAACGACGAGGCCACCCTGTTCGCCAGCCCTCTTCCGATCGTCGGCGAGCGCAAGACGACTACCAGGAAGGAAGTCTGGGTCAGTCATCCAGCTAACGGGGCCCCTCAAGCCATCAATAGGATAGATTACTATGTATCAGAAGCTGATGTATCCTCAGTCTTGGTACCTCTACTATGTCGGAAATTCTGGCCTTGGTCAGTTTTGCTTGGAGCTGACCTTCTTTTGCATTTCGCTAATCCTATATAGGTCCCTTCAACTTTGCCATCTCGGCGTGGCAGAATTTGCTGTACCAAGCTGGCTGGGACCCGGCGTTTCCGAAGGGTACCGTGGCGTGTGGAGACGGGAGCTGCAACCTGGTTGCCTACGGCCAAGAACGTTCAGGTGGGCTGTTGTCCGTGTAGACCGGCGGAACTCATGACAACCTCCAGTAAACTCCATCGTGCTCATCACTAACGGCCTGTCTTTCGCTTTCCAAGCCGTTATCTTCCTCCTCGTGGGGTCATTTGCAGACTATGGAATATGGCGGCCGCATATTACGACTGGCTTTACTGTCCTGGCATGGGCTGTCAGTTTCGCCTGGCTGGGCGTGGAAAAGCCTTCAAAGTGGGTACCATCATTGTTTTGGGGTATCAGCTGAGCGAGTATAGATGGGAGGCAGGGACAGCATTGTACATCATGGGTCTGATAGGCTACCAAGGAGCACTCACATTCTGGACGGCCGCTTTCCCAGGCTTGGCCCGTGATCTCCCCGAGATCAAAGAGAGTGAAGAAAAACTGGCTTCTGGCGATACCGAGTGAGTATACTCTTCCCCGTCCCTTCAAAACTATACTCATCTCCGCGCCAGCCAAAAGGCGCATGACACATTAGACATGCTTGCCCGAAACCGTCTCGCCAACGTCTCTTTCCTCGTCTGTTCTTTAGGTGAACTAGTGGTCCTTGCGATCCTCGCGGGTATCTTGGAGGGTGTCATCAATGATGATGCGGATAGCAATACGAAGGCGTTGAGTATCGTGTGTGCTTATAGTGCCGGTGTATGGAGTAAGTACCCTTTCAGTCGGGGGAGGTGTAGAGCTGATAGGGTGTAGTCGTCTGTGCTATCCCGTGGCTGATATTCGAGCAATATCGGCCGGGTAATCAACTCCCTCCGAGGACATCATACCTCACTGTTGGGTAGGACATCGTTCCGCGTGGTGAAGAGAAAGGTCCTGACGATCGCACTTAGCGTCAAGCAGATCTACCATGCGTTCAGACTCTGCTTGAGGCTCAAACAGACTTTCATCTACTTGGCGGCATACTTTTTCCTCGGAGACTGTCTCAACACTCTTGGTATGTGCTTCTTAGAGACAGGCGATGGAGGTTGTTGACCTTCCATCAGTCACTGTGATTGCGACTCTGCAAAACGAGGTGGTCTCGTACGATACCAAGATGTTGAACTAGTATGTAACCTGAGTGAGACCCCGTACACTTGCTGATCCCATGTGTAGTCTTCTGATAGACGGTATCGCGGCACAAGCTATCGGGTGAGTAAACAAATATCAGGAGTTGAGATCCGCTGACACCCAGTAGTATTGGCCTCTTCTGGCTCGTCCAGAAAAAGTGGACTATCCCCACAAAGTCTATGCTCCTCTTCGTAAGCCCGCAATCAGAGCACTGAACAAAAGCTTACGTGACCGTAGAATGCCTTCTGGATCCTTGTACTCGCTGCTTGGGGATGTATCGGCATCACGCAGACACAGTTTGGTTTCCACAATGCATGGGAGTTTTGGGCGTATCAGGCCTTCTATGGGATTGCTGTTTGTCCTTGGTATGCTATATCTGTAAGCTCCTTGGTCGCAGCTATCTATGAAACTGAGCTGATGATTTTGTAGCAAGCGATGATTTCAGAAGTCGTGCCGAGGGGCAAAGAAGTGCGTCAGGCAAATGCATGAAAGTGTGCCCCACTAACCCAATTTCAGTTCCTTTTCTTCGCCCTCTTCTCCATCATCGGCAAAACCTCCTCCTTCATCGGTCCCTTTGTCTCTTCCGCCATTATCGACGACAGTGGTAACACCAACATGCCCTTCACCTTCCTCCTCGGCCTCGGGGTCGTCTCCGTCGGCATCCTCGCCTGCGTCGACGTGGAAAAGTCGAGGAGGGAATGTAGAAAGTATCTGGAGGACGAAGCGATCAGGGTGTATGGGATGGATGCGGATGATATTGGAGTTGTGCGGGAGGCAGTGGAGATGGATGGATTGAGGAAGGAGGACGACAAGTCGAAAAATGCGTAGATGCTTGCAGAGGGTGCAACGTTGCCTCACCGGCACCATTTCATGTAGAGTACTGTATTCAATAGCGGTTCTTCAATCTGGGTGGTATTCTCTTATGAGATGTATACATAGATAGCTTGCAGCGATTGCTCATTATTTGAACAGTAAGCATGCAGGCTTCAGGCACAATCTTATCAAGCACGCTATCACCGGATCCGGCCGCCCGCTGCTTCGCTACCAATTATGAAGACGTGCTTGGTCATTTCTCTTTTTCTCTTTCCTACAATTACTCCATGCCCCGTGCTTTCCTCCTCGTATCTATCACAGCTGCTGTCTTTGCCCTTTTCGCCATACTAGCATCCTACACTACCCTCTTCGCCAGCATCACACTGACAGCCAGCCCCGCACTGCGAACCCACTTCCTGCGCACCATGGTCAACTCTTCCACCCTCGGCGACGTCTACTTCTTGTCCCACGGCGTATGTCATTCCATTCCCATTATGAGGGCTGTATCTGACACAGACTGGTTTTCAAGGGCCCACCCTCGGTGGAGCAGACCGAATCACCGCCCTACAAGGCATGGCGCAAGTTTGGCAAGATCATCGAAGCCAACCCGCCCAAGGGCATCGTCGCGGTCTCTGCCCATTGGGAGAATGAGCAAGATCTCAGAACAGGTGTCGTTGGTGAGCTATAAACGCTACCGGGCTCTTGAGCGGCGCTGAAAAAGGATCACGTAGTCAACAGCAACAGCTCGAATCCCCTCATCTACGACTTTTATAATTTCCCTAAACACTTCTACCAGCTCAAATTTGCTTCCAAGGCCGAGCCGGAGCTACAAGAGAAGGTCGTAGGTGCTCTCAAGGAAGGTGGGATCCCTGTGAGCAGAGCGGATAGGGGCTTGGACCATGGTGTTTGGAGTGCGTCCTTCCCTACTTGATCTTTGAGGAAAGTAGATTCAGTAGATACTGACGGAAAGAGCAGTCCCATTCAGAGGAGCCTTCGGCGAAGGGACTCACTTCCCTCTCGTGCAAGTATCTCTCCCTGCCTCCGCCGACCCTGTGGAATCCATCAAACTTGGTCAGGCTTTGAGCAAGCTGCGAGCTCAGGGGTACGCCATCGTGGGAACCGGGCAGGTTGTCCACAACCTGCGTGATCTTAGTGGGTCTATCTTGTCTTGAATTGTCTTGAAGGATGATGAGCCTTGTTGACATACTCTTAGTCAGCGGGCAAAGCCTTCCCTACACTACACTCTTCTTGAATGACGCCGCCAAGGCACTCTCCAGCTCCGACCGTCTCTCCGCGACTCTCGACCTCACCAAGCACCCACTTTACAAGAAGGCGCATCCCACAGACGAGCACTTCTTCCCTTTGCTGGTTGCTGTCGGTGCTACAAGCGCCAGTGACCAGATTGAAGAGATCTACAAGGGTGTGGTGGACATTAATGGGCGCACTGTAGAGAATGATGGTCTGGGCTGGGGCATGTGGCGCTGGACATCGGCGGCTTAGATTTGCTCTTCCTTCACATCCCCGCACTGAGAGAAACAGCACCGTCTGAACAGCACATAGCTTAATCATGCATACAGCGTTCTGGCCTCCGATTGCCAGAAGAAAGCGCCAATACACAAAACATTTTAATAGAGCGTCATGACCTTCATTCACTCTGAGACATATGATTATACTTGCGATGTTTCCCTGTTTCCATCTTCACATCTTCGGTTATCTACTGACCCTGCTCCTTGAAGTTGATCACATTCTGGTCACCGGGCCTCTGGTACGCAGTCTGTTCTTGCTTCTCCTCGGGACCGCCGGTACCCTCAAAGTCGCTGGCCTTGGTTTGGCTGCGCAACAAGTTAGGTTTTGTCTGGGTGAGGAGTTACAGGCAGTATGACTCACTGTCCAGTGGCGGGGTTCAAACCACCTCCTTCCTCATCGGGGATAGTGGGGTTGTTGCCTCGTCCGGTACCGCCGACCTGCACGGTAGCGCCGGGGAATTCAGAGGTGACGTTCTCGTTGACACCAGACTCGAGGGCTGGGTAGGGTCAGCGCCACTTAAAGAATGCACGAGAGAATCCACTCACTCGAGTCGGACTGACGGACGTTACCAGTCTTGGCGCCGTAAGAGTTGATAGAAGCCTCGTTCTGTCGGATCTGGTCTTGGGCGGACATGTTTTGATGTGTTCTTTGGTTTTGTTGATGTATGGAAAGTTTTCGAGTGTGCACAGGTGTGTGGCAGAAACGGATGAAATCGAAACCCTAGCCTGTATATATACCCATAGAGAAATGTTGCTCATAAGTCGCAAGATGACTTGACGTCAGACATGACGTTCAAGAAAGTGGAGGCCGCTCAAGTATACGTCGCTCTGTGTTGTGGCGACCATCGAGCTACCAGAATGGTATGATCATCATCATGTGGTTTGTCCATCGAAGCGCGGATTTCTCACCCGTCAATTTGTCAGAGTGGTGCAGTGGAGTTGATGACGCTGACAAGAGCAACAGACGCTTCTCTAGCCGCCGCCGCCGAAGTGCCTTACGCCGGTTATTTGGTCCTTTGCGTTGTTTGGTTCTGGTTCGTCCAACGCTGGCTCATTCTCATGCCATCTTGCATCAGGGCGCGGCTTCCGATACGCAATTTGCTCACTGACACGAAAACTCCTGCACAAAGAAGTTATAATTGTTCAAGTAACATCCTTCCCGTCCACTTCCGGGAGACTCCCCGAGTCTCTCACTCGGGATCGAGTGTGATCAGAGAGTATATTGCCTGCAGAGCACAGTATATTCCGAGTGTCTTCAAATAACGTACCTGTACAGACATTGGGTCTTTCAGAGATGAGATAATACTTACATCGCTGGCTGTCAACCGCAGACAAGAGTCGCTGAGAGTTTGGACACGATATATGGGACAAAACCAAGCCAAGCTTTGCCTTGGGTAGACCAAAGTAGTACCCATACTCATTCTGAAGCAAAGACTGGGCGTAGACCGGCTCTACTCTTCAAGACTTCTTCTTCTTCTTCTGCTGATCTTTCTATTTGGTCCCTCGGGGTGTTACGTAACGCAATTCTCCCTCCTTCTCGTCGTCATAGTACATGACCTTGATGTATTTGTTCGCCCGACGAATTGCTGCTCTTCCGCTCCAAATCCGGCATGGTGCTCTGGAAATCCAAGCAGAAACAGCAAAAGCAGAAACATACCTCGGCCCTCGACATTCCTCTCACAGAATACGACCCCCGCACCGCATTGCCCAAGAGCATCTTCATAGGGGACCAACAGACTCCGCCCCTCGTATGGGTACATGAAGGTAAGCTTGCCGCAAGAAACTAAATCTTCCGCTGATGGCCATCTCCAGCTAGAGATCATCTGGTCCTCCTGTCTGCATTTCACCAATATCGCGCCTCTTCACCGGATACATACCCTGCCCGATGTCTATCAGCTGCTCGAGCATACGCATACTGGGCACAGCATACTTTCTCGCCAAAAGAGCCCTTGACACCAGAGCAGTTGCCGTCACTAGACATTCTCATGGCTTGGCACGCACACATGCTCAATCCCAAAACTTTTGATGTGGACGTGAACGGGGTCTATGCAAGCTTGCAGGGACTGGCGTTCCCTCTCAGCTTAGCTGTGAGCTATATGGGTCGTGCTATTCCATGGTGCCACACTAACCATATGACAGGCTCGAGCAATAGAAAGCGAAACCCTTCCATCCCATACCGACCTCACAGCGGACCAGATTTCTCAGCTCAAAGTCACCAGATGGTCACCAGAAGACATCTCCGAAGCCATTCAACGGCAGAGCAAGTTTGTGGGAAACATGCACAGAATAGCATGGCTTGATCCGGGCCGCTGGCTGGACCATGGAACGATGGAGCTGTCTCTAGGTATCGTGCTCTATCGTGAGTAGCCCACAATCATGGGACGATAGGGAGAGCTGATGGGATCTGCAGATGCTTGGCTTGACCTTGCTCATTCAACATCGCTCAAATACTTTCTTGTGCCACGCTTAGATATCGACCTTGCGTGGCACTCGCATCAGCTTCACGGGACCGGGTACAAGACCGATACCGAACGGCTGTTGGGCCAATTCTTGGACCATGATGATGCGGCGGCAGAAGATAAGCTAGGGAATGGACTGAAGAAGACTGGAGAGTTGTGGAAAGAGCGATTTGGCTATGATTATCAGCCTCCGGGAAGTGATTGAGGGAATGGCTGCCTGTTGACCAAGTTCTCAAGTCACAGATCGCAATGTGCAATCAGCAAGTGCTGCAATTGTGGAGATCCGACCTGTATCATTGTGTGTATGAATATGTTTGTACTGAGTCACGAGGTATGATGTGAGAGCTTGACGCTCCGTAGTGCAAACGAGTTTTCTCAGCGTCGTTGTAACAAGTCTCTCGCGACAGGTTGTTACGTCTGCACGGCCTTCTGCACGCTGGTACATGAATACATATGTTGTCATGAGTTGTGCGCTTCACGTTAGGTATCGACTTCGAAGATGGTATAATGAACGAAGATGCTAAGGATTGAGGTGTCTCAAGGGTATGAAGTCAACAAACAGACTAACGAAAGATAATGCTCAGAACTCGAATCACAAACCTTCTCTACAAACAATCGTATCGAGAACATATATATCACCCCGACTCTTCAGACACAGCAGCTACCGCATCCCTAGGTACCGGCGGAAGGGAATTCTCGTCATCCACGTCTTTCACCTTGACTGACTTCTTCAAGAGCCTTCCAGCGCCTGAGGTCCCCTTGGGGACGATGGAGGCAGCGGGTGCAAGGCGATGACGGAGCACCCCCTGAGGAGATTTGGATCGTTGGTCTTGAGACGACTTAGGAGTAATCACATTGGTGATGTTGGTGAGGACATGGTGAGCGGCTGTGGATGCCGGAGCTGGTGCCACAGAAGTATGCGAGGGCTTGCGATTCTCGGCAGATGTCTCGATCGATACCTGGACAGTCATCAGCTAAAGAGGATCTTTTACCCCGGCGTCCACAACGACTCACCTGAGGGGAATACTTCTCAAAGAGCTTGTCAATCGTCATCACCTCGGATGATGAAGTTCCTGCTTCGTTGCGGAAACCGCCAGTAGAAGGAGTCTGAGGCTGAGAGTTGACAGGGGTATAGAGCTTCTTTGGTCTGACGGTGGAAGTGGGCTTAGATTTGTGGCGCCAGTTATCGCTGGTGTCGGCCTTGCTGATCTGGGCAAAGGGAGCTTGAGGCTGAGGGATCTTGAGTCCAGTCTGGATAGGACGAGAGGGCTGATCGTCGGAGCTAGGCCTGGTTGTAGCTTCGGGCGATATGCCTACCCCGTAGGTTCCGGTAGCGGGGTCAAAGTAGATGGGGACGAAGGCCGGAATCCGGATGGGAGTGGCGAAAGATGAAGTGTAGTCATCAGGGCGGGCGGCAGTAGACAATTGAGAGGGCTGGACACGAGACATGGAGGCAGAGCGGATCCTGGCTCTGTAGGCTTGCCTGATAGAAGCGGCATCAAGGGTGCGAGTGAAGTCTGCCGGTGATCCTGGGATGGGAGAGAGTCTTGAGGCGTCACGAAGGTTGGCGAATGACTTGGAAGGGCCGAGGACCGAAGTACCAAGCTTGGGCTCGAGAAGAGCGCTATCAGAAACCACACGTTTGCCGTCTTGATCGGGGAGGACAATGTTCTTGGCTCTATTGGCAGAGTCGCTGACCGAGTCGGTGTCTTGTTGACTAGCTGGGCTACCGAGCGGAAGTGTGTCAAAGTTGAAGGAAACGACCTATCAGTGATGTCAGCTGAAGGTTCTCTGAGGGGTGTGCGCCACTCACCCCTTCTCTGGTTTCACCAATCATTCCCGATCCACTCTTGGTCTTCTGGTGAGAGCTCCGTGTCATCGAAGGCTTTACCAAGTATCTCTCGTCTGTCTCTATTCCGCTGATCATCCTCGCATCTTGAGACTTCTCCCTCGCAGCGATGACGTTGTTGTAGACACTCGAAGTCGAGGTGGATCGAAAGGACTGCGTACCAGAAGAGTCCGAACCGGAGGATGCAACCCGGGCTGATTGTTGTGTGTTGATTTCAGAAGCCCCGCTTGTGGCGGGGCGAAGGCCAAAAACATGGGTGAGATAAGCAGTTTCGTCGGCCGCAGTAGCGTCCACTCCGCTATACCAAACGTAAGAGGGCGTATTTGAGATAAGAGGAATATGCTTACCTGGGGTTTCTAGCGTAGGGTAAAGAGTGGGGGCCATACAAAGTAGGGATGGCCTGCGGCTTGGTGTTCGGGGCCAGCTCTGGCTTCTTGGCCGTAAGGATCTGGGTGCGACGCCAGGAAGAGAGAGACTTCTTGTCTGGATGCGTCTTGACAGCCTGTTCGGTAGATGTGGATGAGCCTGAAGTGGCAGCGCGAATATTGACCGGGTAGGACTCGTCTTGGAGCATATGGAAGCAGGAGGAAGATGCAGTGGCTGGTCGAGAAGGAGTATCCTCGTTGATCAACTCGCGGCGTTTGAGCGTGAAGGGAACGCTCTGAGGACCGAAGCTGAGTTCGGCGGGAGTAGAAGATACGCTTCCGATGCCAGCAGACGAGAGGGTCATGTCTACTGCAGAAGAGATACCCGAGAAGGAGTCACCGGAGCTTTGGTCGAGCGGCGCGTCGCCAAGGCCCAAACTCTTGAGAAGCTCGTCGGGCAAGTCGTTGGCAGACAGGCGGTGGGAATGAGAAGGGCGGTTACCGTGAGTATCATGAGAGGTGTCTCGGTGGCTAGTGGGGACGGTTGTTTGGGTAGAGATAGAAGAGTAGATGGATTCGGTCGACCTGTGTGCACGGACGCCCAGAATTTCGCCACCCGCAGGGGTTGACTCAACCGACGCGTCCGAGGCGCGATGGTAGTCGAGAACAGCGGCAAGAGGCGTAGTGCTCTGTTGAGAGCCTGCCGGGAGGATATTGGAAGATCGGTGGTCCATGATGGAGGTGCAGGGACCTATAGATGCTGAAGATAAGGAGGAGGTTGAGTGATGTTGACGCGCGCAGCAGCGCTATCGGAGTGGATGTGAGATAAATCAGATGACCCCAGAGAGGAGGGCGAGAGGGCGCAGAGGATGGTCTCTGGGCGGACGGGGAAGGCGGAAGAGACACAGGGATACGGGTGAGTTTGGAGGAAGATGAGTGAAGAAGAAAGGCAAAAGAGAAATAGAGATGCAATTTGGAGATGCCATGGGGGTGCGAGGAGGTCAGTGCGCGTCATACAACATTACGTATCCTTTTGCATCCTCTCGTTCTATAATAATGCTTTCTCGAAACAAGGCGTGCGGCTGGGGGTATGCATGGACTGGGGAGTATGCATGAGCCCACCAGAGACCCCCGGCCTGCCCACCTGCATGCTACACCACCAGTACAGCCGCAGCCTCGAATGAGTCGTACGTATTCGGTGTTCCGATGGGCTTTTTATTTACGCACCCCTCTATCACTATGCTGAATTCGGTCACTTTGCGAACCAAAGTCATGCTCTTAGTGTCTCTCACATTCCAGCAAAAATGGATCCCACGGGAGCCCTCCATGACCTCAGGGATTTCCTGAGGCTCCCAGTCCAATCCATCGACGACCTCTCTTTCCGAATCTCTTCGACGCTCTCCGCTCTGAACATACATCGCACTTCGCTGGCCCCGTCATCAGTCACCGCCAAAGACCTCAAAGCTATAGAAAGATATCTTCCTGCTGTGCAGGGGACTCTCATTCAGGATGTTCTGCCCCATTTTATCGGAATACTTGACGGCGACGCCCGGAGTTCGATCAAGGCTTTGTTTTCTCCGCCGAGGCAAGCGGAAGGTCTTGCGATTCGAAGGACAATCGCGCTCTCCTCTTATCTCACCCTCCCCAGCTATCTCAACACTCCAAAATCCGGCGAGCCATGTCTCCCGAAACCTATGCGATCATTCTTGATATCGCTACTGAGCGATCTAGCTACCGACTATAGCATCGACGATGTATATTACGGGATCTTCAGCAGTGATCAAACAAAGGAAGGGACAGAAGGCATGAGCCGACTGAGGTGGGAAGAGGCCCTCAAGGCAGCTGTTGGAGTTCCGGCAAAAGCAGGGAATGCTACTGGTCGCTGGAAAATAGAAGAATCGGACGATATCGAGGTGCCCCCTCGCCTACTGCCAAAGTAAGCTGCACAAGACTCGATCATACAGAGCTGACTTTCTGTCAGACCATACTTTGACGGCTTTGTGAGGAGGTTTGAGAGCCTTCTTTATGAAGTGTCTCAGGAAAGCTCCAAGGGTATGTCCTTCCACCTTGCTACGAAACATTGCTGACATTGACAAGATGTTGCACCCCTGCGGCAAGTCCTTGAGAAACTGGCCAGCGTGGGCCTACTCTTAGCAGAGCCAGGAAGCGACCTTTCGGGTGTACCCTCTTTTCTCACCCCCCTTCTGCCTTCTCTTTTGAACCACCTCCACCCGGAGCCGTCGGTACCCCTGCCACCTTATCCCGACACGTTCCTGCCGTCTTTGATCCTCCCACTGCCGTCATCAACCCTCGCCTCTTTCACCGAATCTCTCCTCGCCCACCTCACCCATCACCTGATTAATCCTGCTTCACCACTTGCCCCAGACCAGCCGGACGAACGCGTCAAACGCGCGGTATCTGTCCTGAAGAGCATTTTGGGTCAGCCGCAAGTCGACGGAGAAGCTTGGGGGGCTGTGACCCGAAGCGTCCTGAGCGCGAAGGGCAAAGGGGTGATGTCTATGGATGCATGGAAAGAACAAGCCAGGAATAGACTGGTGGTGGGGTGGGTGGCCGAGGGGGGCGAAACGACCGCCAAGGCGTTCATTGAGGTTGTTGTGGACGCTTGGACGGACCCAAAATACGTCAAATTCTCCATGTACTCCCAACAGTTTCGTAAGTTGGCTCACACATCTCGCCAGCCAGAAAGCTGACATTGTATAGGTTTGACACACATGCTCTTGCAAGCGTTCTCCTTGTTGCCACGGTATTCGCCCTGGCTGGTTCAGCTTTCATACCGAGGACGCTTCATCACTTCTTTCCAATCCTACCTTTCCCATCCAGATCCATCAATACGTCGCCTGGGCATGGTGGCTGCCGAAATCCTCAGCGAACTCACAATCGTCGAAGACGACATGCAAGTAGACAAAAGCGAGGCGGATGAGATTGAAGAGCTACGGAAAGGGCTCGAGGTGGATGAAGATGGTGATGGGGAGATGTTACCAAAGAAGCCGAATGGTCCGAAAAACAAGGCAGAAAGCAAGAGGCTCAGGTTTCATGGGATGTGGGAAGGGACTGGGGATGGTAAGGACGAATGTCGATGGCTTAGATGGGGACTTGGCGTACGCGATGTTGACGCTACCATCGGCTCAGAATGGGAAGGGTGGCTATTGGGGTGGAACGATGTCCCGCAAATTCCAATGCAGCCCGAAGAATCACCCCGACCACGAGGAAGGGTCCACTCTAAACCATCTCGACCTCCCTCCCCCAAGACGAAGAAGCCGAGAAAACCAAAGATTGTCATGCTCGACGACCCTCAAGTCGATGACCCTCTTTCTGGCTATGCCTCTTCGTCACCATCCTCTTCCCGTGCTCCATCGCCAACACCAGAATATCTGGAAGAAGTCGCCAACGACCCGACTTTGGGGCTCGATGAGGCAAACAGAAAGAAGGTGCAGAGACCCGTGTATATCGGACAGTTGGTGGCACTTTTAAAAGAACGAGAAAAGCCAGAGTGTGTAGAGATGGCTCTGCAGTGGGGCGAGGGACTGATACGGGCCAAGAGAGAATTCGGGACAGAGCTGTGTAAGTTTGTTCGATATCAAGTATCTGTCACTGATGACAGGGACATAGCGGAAAATGCGGTTGCCGTCACGTTGATGACTCTCGGTCTCAATGACCAGTTCCAGATTGAAGATTTCGATGACAAGAGGCAAGGAATCATGAATGCTCTTGCTGCTTGCGCACCGAAACAGGCTGCTCCGTATGTCTATTCCTGCATCGACGAACCCTGCTGACCATTCATAGCTTCCTGATCGAACAATATTTCAACCCCCAATACTCCCTACAAAACAAATCTTGCATTCTCACAGCCCTTGCTATGGGGGCTAGAGAGTTGGCGGGGCTGTCTGTGCCGCAGGCATCTAGGACCACTCGAGCCATCGACTTCCCTTCCAAGACGCTACCCCCAAATCTGCACAAAAAATACGTCAGTGCCGCCGACGTACCTCCCAGCAGGCATCTGGAAGATAACAGCCAAAGTCAGGTTGACCAGGCAATCGACGGCGTCCGAGACCTCATACTGTCGAAAGGAGTGAAGAAGGGCGAGGAGACCGTGCCAGAGTTTGCCAGGGAAAGGCGCCTGAGAGTGGGGGAGCCCAAACGCGCCAAGGTTGCCGACGTCAACTCTCTAGCCGCATCGCAAATGGCCCGGGCCACTCGCCCGCCCCCTGTCGTGCCCTTCAAGGCTATAGCGGCCGAATACTTCATCCTGCCGCTCGTCAACCGCTTCTGGCATCATTTCCAGGATGCTTCAATCCGTGAAGAGCGAGCAGTACAGATGGGCTCTAGGTTCAGAGCTGCCGGGGCAGGATTGGTATTATCGCCTATGGCAATTGAAAAGTTCTTGATGGCTCTAGCTTTGATGCTTGATGCTGCTCGGCACTCTACAGTGTTTCTAAGTGTCATCTGCCCGGAGGCTATGGAGCTTGCAGTGACCATTGGAGTACGACACCCTGCTCGTCCAAAACTGTCTTCTGACTCCGAGCTTGATGATCTGTCAAGGGTAGAAGCTCAAGTTCTGTCTGCCGCATTAGAACTGGCTCTCGTCTGCCTCGACATCGCCGTAGACTTGGACGGAGGGCGGACATTGGCAAGGGAAAAGTCTGCTCTCATCTTGGCGGCAGGAGAATGGGCGAGCGAAGTATTCAAAACCGAGACGGAGGGTGGGGAGGTCAGTGCTGGGCAGGGAGGAAGAAATGAAGGGAAGATTCGAGCCGAGGCTGCGGGTATCATCATCAAAGTAGGGGAGATTGGCGACAAGTGGGGCAACTTGGGGATGGGATTAGGCATGTGAAGATCGGACAATTTTTGATAATCACTATCCCGTGCATATCAACATCCAGCTATGAGATCTATGTCATGCCCCAGTCTACTGACCATCTTAATACCGTCCTCTACTCCTTGCGGGCTTGACGACTTGCTGTCTGTCGGTGCCAACCTTTGTCCGAGAAGCCACGACCTCATCCTCGTCGGGATCTCTGTAAGCCATGTCCCAGCTTCCAGCCACCTTTTTCTGGCTCCTAGAGGCCGAGGACATGAGTTTGTCCGAGTAGTACGCCCACCGTGAGCGATAGGACATTCCAAGGAAGAACCATATGAGTGGAGTCATCATCAGGAAGATGGCGCTTTGGAGTGGGTCAGTAAAGCATGTGTAGAGGTCAAGTTCGTCTTACAGCTTGTATCCTATTTTGCCTTGGGCATTGTTCTGACTGGCCCAGGCAGCAAGTATTATGGCCATGACAGAGTTCCCTAACGTACAGACAGTCATTGTTCGCTCAAACCACACCGATGATTTCGCGCGTCGGTTTCGAGAGGATTTTCGACTTTTAGTTTGGGCTTCCAGATCTGTACAGCATGATTGAAGGTTGTGGCGCAGGAAAAGGATGTTGAAGATGAGCAAAAGGAGCTGAATAATCGCCACTTCAAGCGCAATCAGTATCTAGGCCACAAAGTGAAATGAAGACTTACAGCCTCCAAAGCACATCAGAAGAGCTGGTACAGTGATAGCAGGCCATGATCCAACGGTCACACTGGTATAAAATACGCCAGTCTGGCACCTGCATAGAGTCAGATATGTCGTGATCAAACGATACAAATTACTTACCTGGACCCTTGGCACCACCCGAGACCGCCAAACTTGTAATCATTTACTTCTACGGCCCACCAGTCCAGCTGAGGGCCCGTCAAAGCACAAAGAGCGCCGCAGAATACCATAAACAGTCCCAATCCATGAGGGGCTTTCCTCACCATCCACCTCCAGCCTGCCCATCCCCATGTGGATCTCCAGCAACCAGTGCAGTCTCCACAGCAGCTCGCCAGAAATGGTTCCCGGTCGATATTGTCTCGCTCATACTGTTCCAGCCTTTTTGTAAAGTCTTCCCGACTGAACCCTTTCTTGATCTTCAGCTTTTCGTTCAGAGGTGGAGAGGGCGGGTATCTCGTTTTCTTGGATTTTGACCGATTTGATCTGGACCTCGAGCTTTGTGGGCCGTTGTCGTCACTATCGTCCACCAAGGTGGAATCATCTCCCGAGCTTTCATCAGTATCGGGCCTGGTAGAGGTTCTTCGTCTCGGACTTTGACGACTCGGGCCACTCGAGGATTGGCGCTGTCTAGCCCGTGTCTTCTTTGCGTTCTCTCGGCCTCTGTCACTTTTCTCCTCAGAATCGCTGCTCTCTGACGGTGTATCGATGTCTGTACCACTACTGCTGGTGTCGCTCTCCGAGAGCTCCTCTCGGAACCTCGACGGCCTTGTCTTCTTCGGTGGACCGGGGCCCGTTGAGGATTGTGATGTCGGAGCCATCAGAGGTCTTTACGAGACGAGTGTGGGCGGAAGATGGCCATATAAGTGCCGTGTTGATTAGGTATGTTGCTGATTGAAAACAGGCAACGTGAGATGGATGAGGATCCGTTCCGAGACAAAGACAGCCTTCCTTTCGGAGCGCCTATAAAGGACTGTGTAAGTCTTTTCAAGAGGTGAAAGGATGAAAGCCACCACGCAAAACATCGGTGATGGGATATAATTTCAACGTCACAAACGTCCCGTTCGAGCCAATACACGGCGATCTGGGACACAAGAGAATGATTGACTGCATCAACGTTGATAGCAAATGATGTTTAAAAAACATGGTAAAGGTAAATGATAGTACACACACAAGATATGCAAACTCTATGATATTGCTACCCACATGCCACGTCTCCGGCAGCCACTTAGCACTACTCGTAAGAATGATCATCACTGCACTCTGAAGCAGAGTCATCCTGGTCAAATGTCAGCTTGTGCAAAAGTAAGAAGCGATAATGCACGTACCTGGCCAAAAAAGGCGAAAGCCTTTGCCTTGCATTCTGCAACCCTCTCCGCCAAAGAGTTGGCATCAGAATGCTCCCCAGGTCTATGGTGGTGATGATGATGATGGTGGTGGTGATGGTGATCATGCCCATTATGGGGTCTGGGAGTCTTCTCTTCCCTGATCTTCTCGTCCATCTGAGTAGCATCACTTGCGTCGGTCGGCTCGGTCGGACTGTTCAAGCGTGATCTCCCAGGAGGAATGAGATGATGGTGCCCATCAACCCTCATGTCACTAGGGTCTCCCCTGATATTGTCCCTCTGTCCGACCTCGTTATCTTTTGCTTTTATCTCGGCCTTGTGCAGAGCCTCGACCAGATGGCGCTGAGAGATGGCAGGGGGAGCAGAGTAAGGGGTGACGAAGCGGTTGGGTGTTTCGAGACCGTTCTGGTGAGAGTTGAGAAGGTTGTGCAGTTTCTGCGGGGGCACTTGAGGCTCTTGGGCATGCTGTTGAGGAGGCGATGATGGGCCAGACACACTGCTGTTTGACTATCAGTAGCCGGTACGCCTTCACGAAAGGCCAACACTCACTCATCAATGTCAAAGCTCTCATCATCGTCCTCATCCTCATCTTCATCGTCCTCTTCATTCCCAGCATCTACAATCTCACTCCCCTCCCCCTTTGCATCCCCTTCAAACTTGGCCTTTGCCTTCTTCTCATCAAAAACCTTCTTCTTGCTATCCTCCTTGCCATCCGCGGTCTTGTACTTTGGAGGCTCGCTGTCTTCTTCGACGACCACAAACGACTTTTGCTTCTCGCGCTCGTTCCAGCGAAGCGTACGAGAGATGGAAGAGAACCAGTCGGTGGAGGCTTTGTCGGCGCAGACAGTTGGGAAGGGGTACTTTGAAGCTGTGACTTTGATGTGATCACCCTCTGCGTAATTGGTCAGCAGTCATACGTGCACGAAAATTGTGATGTATACTCACGCTTCAACTCGACCCTTCCACGGCCGTCGAAACTTGCCCAAGCAGTACTCCTCGAGTTGTAAGGTACACATACCCTCAACTCCATGCTGTCCGGCAAGAGCATGGGCCTGAAGGAGAGCGTATGGGGACAGATGGGAGTGATGAGGATGGCAGGGATTTGGGGGTGCACCAGAGAACCACCAGCCGACAATGAGTATGCAGTGGATCCTGTGGGAGTCGATACAGTGAGGCCATCGGCTTGTACAGTGGTCAAGTGATGCTCGTCGCCTAGAACCTGTCAGCCGATGTGCAGTACGAGATACGTGAAAGAACTCACCAAACAACTCCAAGAGACTAACGTAAGGACTAGGTCCTCTGTCGACCACCAGATCGTTCAAGACCTCAAACTGCTCCACAGGCCTCGTCGAATAGCACATGATCTCCTTGTCCTCTCCTTCCTCTTCCATATCCGAGGGAGGACCACTCGGAGTCGGCCCCTCAAGGCTCTCCCATCCACCCTTATCCACCCGACTCATCAGGATCTCTCCACCAGGCTTTTTAATCGCCTTCCTCTTCTTGCCCTTTGCAGTAGCATTCTCCTCGGGTGCGATAGCGCGGTAGACTGTGCAGGTGAATCGCATTCGGAGATTGACGCGAATACCTTCATCGACGACTCTGTCCATGATGTGCTTGTAGTTGTAGAAGTCGAAATTGGTGAGGAACCCGAGGGAGCCGAGGGCGAATGGAAGAACGGGTGGGACGATTTTTTGGCTGACGGAAATCAGCTCGGTACCGGGCTCGTACGATACACTCACAATAACCAAGAAGTGAACAAGACTGTTCCATCACCGCCGAGGGTGATGACAAAGTCGAATAGATGAGGTGACTCTGAACACAGGTCGCTTGTCCAGTACCTCAGCTGCCCCTCCTCATTCGAAGCCTGTCTCGCCGCATCCCTCATACTCGTCGTTGACGGATGAGCCGACGAGAGAGCCGAAAATGTACTGAGGGAAGCAGAAGAAGATGACCTCCGTCGGGCCATAGGCGCAAATAGCTCCGGGTAATCCCTCTGGAGACCATCGGCGTCGAAGCGTTTCGAGTTGCGCAACTGGGCATCAACGTAGACGACCATACCCCGATCACGTCTCTCACCCCTGCTACTGCCGCTTGTACTAGCCCCGTTACGATCGGGCGAAGTGGCGGGGCGCTTGTGCATGAGGTAGAGGGCGAGCTCTCGAGTGAGCTTGATGAGGCGATTGTCTCTGGCCTTGGTGACAATGAGAACGTGTTGTATTCTTGAGCGGACCTTTGTACGACCTGTAATACAGTCAGCTTGTCGCCTCGTCAAGCAGAGCAAACTCACCGAGCTCCTTGCTCATCTCTCGCACCCCTCGAGCTGTCTCTGCCAACTGCTTGGTCAAGCTCGCATTTCCCTCTTCATCCATTTCTCGGTCCTCATCGTAGCCTGGCAGTCCGTTCGCGAGGCCAATGGCAGTCTTTCGGTGATCTCGAGTGGTGTCTGATTGATCATCAGACTCGTACTCGCTCGACGTCACCTCCTTGCGACTAGCCGGAAGGGCTGCTGCTTTCCCCTTGGTGTCGTACGACTGACTTCCCGAGGGCGAGGGAGAAGGGGGTGCGTGAGAATGAGGGACAGGAGGCGCCTGGGAAGACTGCGGGACAGGGTGCGTAGCGTTGCTGGCACGTCGATGGGCGGATGAAGTACCAGCACCGGCTTGCCCACTGTCCTTGCCCGTCTTGTTTTTCAGCCAGTCCTGTAGCGAGCCATGTCTGTCCAGATGAGAATGGATGAAACACGGCGACGCCTCGGGAATATTGAGCCCTGCTAGTGAAGGAGCGCCCAGCTGGTCGCGCTTGGGTGTTGGGGCTGCTGCGCCAGAAGACCCCTTCTCTGTAGGCAGCACTTGCGAGAGGGGAGAAGGGGGAGCCGGGTGGCGCATACGTGCTGTGGTGGGCACATTGACGTGAGGAGTGGATGGGGAGGGCTGGCGGTGTGGGCCTTGCGGGGGAGAGTTGGGCAGAGATGTACTGGGCATGGCTGGTGATGGGTCGTTCTTTGCTTCGTCGTCGAGTCTGGCTTGGGCAGAGCGGGGAGACAGCTGGATGTAGATTTCCTCTTCGTAGGAGGGCGACGTGGAGATATGGATGTCGTTAAGGCCGAATCGCTGTCACAGCAACAAGATCATCGTCAGCTCTATCCCGGCGTCCCACTCCAATCCATCCCACTCACCTCTTTCTCTCTAGCAGCGCCGAGCTCGAGCTTTCTGAGGTATGCGGAAGAGTTGCGCTTTGCAGATGGGCGTCGGGGCACCTCCGCCTCGGCCCACTCTGGCGATGTGAGGCCTGCGGTCTGCGGGAAGCTGTCTGAGCGGGCGTGGCTCGGCGGGTGCGGACTGGCGGCGGGGACGTGCGGCGGCGGGGGGCGGGGTGTGATTCGGCGGGCGTTGTCGTCTCGAGAACTCGCAGGAAGAGCCACCATCATCTCGTCGTGGTCATCGACACCTCGGGGCCAGTTACGTAACGCTGTATGTGGCAGTGGCACGGCCGACGGCGGAGGGTTGACCGAGGGATGGATGGGTGTATGGATATGCATCGCAGGCTGTGCTGATCGGCTTATGTAGCCAGCCAGCCACATCGGTCCTGCCTCGCCAATGTCGCCGAAGACAAAGCTGATTTCAAGACACGGTCCTTGGATCACTCGGAAACATGACACACTCTCAGCGGCACTTTGCGACGACAGGCATGAAGCCGTCACCAGGGCGACAGGTTCAAATGCGGCATCGATCTCTAGGTAGACGCCCAGGACCGATTGTAGTGACTACGTGACAAGGAGTCCCCTCTACCTAATGTAGGTTTCAATGCTGCTTCGTCAACGCGAGAACGTGACATGTTGCAGGAAACGTGTCTTCCTGTGGTTGCGCTGTACTCTGAGCAACTGGATGCGGCCAATATGAATGTTGTGCATTGTGTACTCAAGACAACACGTTTGCTTTGATAACGCCATTACAAAGCGTTTCAGTAGAGTAAGATCCTAATTGTCGAGACATGTGGCACAAGAACCAAGCCGCAAGGCTCAAAAGGTCAAGCGACTTTTCCGTCGTGTTCTCGAGTCTATTGCCTCGACTTTTTGCCCTTCGCGGCTGAACCACCTAATCCCTTTGTTAGATATCATGCCATTGAACACTTCAAAAGAAGCTCACCAGTCGAAGGCGCCGAATCCGCGCCCCTCTTTTTCCCGCCCTTCGCAGCAGGCGTCCCCACCTCCACCACCTTGGCACCCCCCTTCCCTGCCCCCTTCTTTGCCCCCTTCTTGGTACCCAATGCAGGAACGAACGGCTCTTCGGGTCCCGCGTCCGCCTCGGCCTCACAGTCCGGGCAGAACCACTCGCCCTCGGGGATAGCAGGAAGCGCGGGAGTCAGGCAGTCGATATGGTACGGTTGGTCGCACTAATTGCCATGTCAGAGATCGCACAAAAAGAGGTAAGCTTGCCACTCACTCGTTCGCACTCTAGAGGAGGGTCGCCCTTTCGGTCAGTCTCGCACACGAGACAGACGGTCGCAGAAGGGATATGCTCGGGGGAACGGTCAAGTTCGGAAACCTCCTGACTGGGCACAGCCAGAAATAAGGAGAAGAAGGCGCCTCCGGCAACACTGCAGTGACTGTCAGTGTCCTGGGAGTTGAATGACCACAAAACTTGGTTGAAACTTACTCGATGACGTTGATACCACTCAAAGGTTCAATCTTGACCGGCTTGGAAGCGCTCTTCCCAGACTCGGAACCCAACCCAAGCTCGCCATAGAGCTACACGATCAGAGTCAGCGTCTTGAATACCTGCAATGACATGTAGACTCACGACACCTTGTCCAAATCCAACAGTCATCACTCCGCCTTCAGGGTCGGCCGTGGTCATGAAGTGTGTAACTCCTCCGGACGACACTCTGATGACCTTACATGACATGACTGAAGCAATAATCAGTAATGGTCGACTTTCAGAGTTGTTTTTGCTTGCCATCTTGGATATGCCTATGGGACAGCAGTCAGTACATATTACAGGATGTCACCGAAGAAGAGACGTACTTGAATCTGGTATACGGTTGCCCAGTAGAGCCTGTCAGAAGGTAAGAACTCGCCCCCAGGTAATGCGCAGCATGAACATACCATCACCAGTAAGCCTCCACTTGCCCGCCATGAGAAGCATCTCCTGTCTGTCGACAACAGTCGAGCTCGTAGGTCCACAAGCAACAGACTTCGCTCGAGTAGCAATGTTGTTGCCAGCAAATTGAGGTACAAGCGTCGGGGAGAGGCTGATAATGTCAGCTTAAGGCTATCATCGGGCTTGAGCCGACTCACCGGTCCTTTTGATCTGACAAACCCAGTCTAGAGTACCCTGCATAGCCCCAGGCGTAGACATAGCCTTCTTCATCCAAAGCAAGAGAATGCTGGTTACCGGAAGCGATCTCTACGACCTTGTGCTTGTCGAGGCCGGACACCAGGCCTACAATCAAGCATCAGTCTTCGATGGCTAGCAGTAGCGAGAAACACATACGAGGAGGAACCTCGACATCATAAGCAATCTTGCCAGCTTTGACCAAGCGTTCTCCCGTCTTGCCGTTACCGAGCTGCCCATTTTCACTGGAACCAGAGGCGTAGACTTGACCGCTGGAAGTAAGGAACAAGGAGAAGGTGTGGCCAGCAGTGACTTGCACGACCTTGTTGTCCTTGTCCTTGGTCCACGCGCCACCGATCTTGGTAAGTTTCTCCACCACATTACATTGAGCCTGACGCCAACACATCAGCCTTCTCAACCATCTTGCGAACCCATCATACTCACCACCCCGACTTGGCCGAGCACATTGTTCCCGCAGCCCCATGCACCACCCTCACTATCCACCAGCAGGAGGTGACTCCTACCAGCCGCGCCTCCTACCCATTTGGCGTCTGAGGGCAGGCCAACGGAGGAGGGCGAGATCTTGATGGGCTCGTTCTCGGAGACAACCCCGCTGGGGTCTTTGGCAAGGGCGGGAAGTCGGCCGAAGAGGTAGGCAGCGCCGTAGACTACCATGTTTGATTAGCATCGCGGGCACTTGATAGAGAGGTAGACGAACTGTCTAGGACGATAGCATAGTTGGCAGAAGGTCCGGTGATGACTTTGCTAACCTTGACATTACACAAAGACCTCAAGATATGAGGCGTCGTCAAGTCAGACTGGCTGATCAGGATGTCAGCAGCGGTTGAAGGAGAGCATCAACACAACGGACATCTTGTTTGATACACGATCTTTCCGGCCGTTCGTTGCCCTGCGTCGAATTTAGCAACCGCACTTCATGTTTTTGTTTTGGTCTTGCTATATACTCACCAGTCTGTACCACCACAGATCAAAACTAGATGAAGCATATCATGTCAGCATCTGGCATTTTGACAGGGACATCAAGGGAGTATATGGAACCAAACAATCCGCGTTCCGGTAGATTTCGCACCACGCAGTCGGAGATAAAGGAAGGCGAAGATCACTCACCTCGTCCCCACTGCTGCTCTCCGGGAGTTGGGGCTTCGGTGCTCATTCGATCAGGTAGGGTTTATTCAGATAATTTAGATACCGTGACGCGAAGTATGAGTCTTTTTCCGTTAAAGAATAAGTAAATGAGCTTTGACGACCGAGCGCGTCGTCGTTACCGTAGATGACGCGCCAAGTCTTACGTAAATGGGTCTTGTCAACGACGCGAGTACGCGACGACGGACGCGAGTGGACGGACGACGACGACAATAGTCCTGGGCCATGTGTACAACTGCTCTTTAGGCAGCTGGTATTCGGTATCTTTGGAGGTTGTGACAAGGATATGACCAATATGATTTTACATGCAACATCTACCAATCTTCACTCGTCATCTACGATCTAAGGTTACTCTAGTGTTCTAAACTCTAAGCCGAGGGGGCAGCCTCGTCCTGGGCAAGAGCCTGCTGCTCAGGGGCGTAGTCCTCATAGCTAAAGAATGAGTCAGTATCTTTAATCGTGCCAGGTATAGTCGACCTACTCGATGTAACCCTCAGCAGTCTGGGCGTAAAAAGTGGGGCGCTCGTACTTGCGGATGGGGTAGCCCTTGAGGACTCGGTTGGGGAGATCAGGGTTGGCTGATGTATCGTCAGTCGATAGCATACTCGAAAAGGTATAGACGTACAGATGAAAGATCGGCCAAAGCAAACAAGATCTCCGGGGAACTCCTCGGCGTGCTTGAGAGCCTTCTGGGGAGTGTAGCCACCGGCGCTGATGAACTTGATGCTCTTGCCGTGCTTGACCACAGCCTCCCTGATGGGAGCAAGGGTGTCGTTCTGGTACCACTGGTCCTCGGCGACGGTGAAACCTCGGCCCTCGATAGCGTGGACGTAGGCAAGCTCAGGCTGGGCCTTGGCGATGGTCTCAGCCCAGGGAACGAAAGTGTCGAGGGGCTCCTTCATGCGCATAGCCTGGAACTCGGAGAAGGGAGACATGCGGATACCGACACGCTTGGGACCGATGGCGGCACAGACAGCATTGAGAACACGGAGGGGGAATCGGGTACGGTTCTCGATGGAGCCACCGTATTGGTCGGTTCGGTCGTTGGAGTTGGTCTGAAGCTGTGACCGACGTCAGCGATTTTCACAGCTTGGTTCCGACCATCGATACGTACGAACTGGTCAAGGATGTAACCGTTAGCGCTAGATGCCGTGTTAGTGATGCCCCGAAATATTTTGATACTGTACTCACCCATGGATCTCGACACCGTCGAAGCCAGCCTCGATGGAGTTCTTGGCAGCCTGCTCGTAGTAGCCAACAAGCCTGTCCATGTCCTCCTCCTGAAGAGGGACGAGGGGCTTCTTGACCTCGTCAGACTTAAAGGGAGAGGGCTCGGGGTCCTCAACGGAACCAGCAGAGTAGACGACGGGGATGACAGCGGGGTCAGCGGCACGACTGTCAAATTATCAGCGAGCGCACTTGCGAGGGATAAGTTGAACTTACCCAAGAACCCAAAGTTGACAGAAAATTCGACCGCCCTTGGAGTGAACACCATCGGTGATTTTCTTCCAGGCAGCAATGTGCTCAGGGGTGTAGATCCCAGGGACGTAGTCGTAACCCTTGTGCTCGGCAGCGATGAAAGTACCCTCGGAAACGATCAAACCACCCTCTGCAGTAGCTTATCAGCCATAGTTTTCCAATTCGAAATTGCACATACCAGAAGCTCGCTGAGTGTAGTACTTGATGGCCCAGTCGGAGGGGATAGCGTCCTTGGCGCCAGCCCTCAACCTAGTGAGAGGAGCCATGACGATCTTGTGCTTGAGCTCATAGTCGCCGACCTGGATGGGGGTGAAGAGCTGAGGGGACTGAGTGGCGGACATGGTGTATGAAGGGTGAGTGAAACGTTAGGAAATTGAGAAATAGGCATGTCCAGTTCGCTACAGCTTCTTATATATGGATGTCAATCGCCGTCGGCTTTAGCATGAATATTCTGGAGGTGGAGGTGGGCCCTTGGCTTAGCTGAGCCGAACTGGCTCGGCACGAATGTTCTGGAAGAATTTGTCCGATGACGGTGTCAATAAGCATAAGTCATACCTCGTTTGGCGTTTGGTTGCGAAAAAGATTAAAAAAAAGTCCATGATAATTGACGCGATGAGTGGGCGAAAAGTGGAGGTTGTCGGTGGAGGTGGACACTTAAACGAGCGGGACCAAATCGCTGAATCAGCTCGGCTGGCTTATAAAGTGCATATGCTGGCGCCGGTGCACGCCGCTGTTTTGCCCCCAGCTCGAGATCAGAAGTGAACCAAACAAATCGATGATGGACCCCGAATAGCTTTTGGTCTGAGACCAGTCCGGATCACACTCACTGGGGTTGTCAGATTTCCAGTACCATTTCAACAGACTCGCGTGGACCCCTTTCCCCTTGCCTTCATACGGCAGTCGCGCGTTCATTCTCCAGCACAACTTGCAACGACCAAGAATGTCTTCCCTGCTTTCAACCGACACAGTCCTCAGCGAAGTGCACGAAACCTCCCACCAGTTTGTGTCGTCCCTTTGCCAGTCCAAGCTCGGGCTGACTGCAAGCAGCAACCCTGCGCCGTCGTCTCTGGAAAAGCCGACAACGCAACGAGGCTGAAAGACGCCAACAGAGGGTAAGCAGCTTCTTCCATTTCAGGGCAGTCGACATATTCTCTGACGCGTTGCCGTAGAATCTCAAACACCAAACAGTCCGTGGACGGGCGCTTAAAGGCCAAGCAAATGCATGTGAACCGCGATACTCCAAGATCTAGGGCAGGCAAACTAGTTCTTAGATGTTCACCGCGCAAACAGCATGACTGTCACCCAGGTCATTGTCGACGTTTTTGCTCCCATGCCGAGGGGGAAGAGCCAATTTGGGGAACCAACCGACTGCCAGAGCATGTAGTCTGCTCTTTTGATGTATCAAGGGTTCTGAAAGCAGTACTTCAGCTCACAAACAGAGTATGGCATTCCCTGCTCTAGTCGTCATACTTGACTGATGTTTTTATGAATCACAGATCCAGAACTCGTGCATGGTCACTCGTCGTTTCTTCCAACAATGCTGCAGGGCGAAGAGCGTCGACTACAAGAGGCTGAGCACGTCCTGCTCGACCAATTTCAGCTCCATGTACGAGTTTCTTCGTGGAGTCTTACACCTTCGCGATGTGAGTGATCAAATATGATATTCTTGCAGGGGCTGATCTTTGTATATAGGGGCATCATCTCTTTATTCTCAAAGCAGATGAAGAGAGTCCCCCTTGCCGCAATATACACGTCGCCAATGGAGAAGCTACATGATGAACAGAGAGACTGGTCAATCATACAAGCCATCTGCAGCATCTTCAAGGTACGTTCGCTGTCAGAAATCTGATGGAATCCTCTAACCCCATCCAATAACAGCCGGCTGTGGACATCCAAACTGCTATCAGCGCTGGAGATCATCCAACGGTGTCTGTGGTGATCCCACTGATCAATGAACGTGACAGCATCTGGATGGAAATGCTCGACGATGGCTCCGTACCCTTGGCATTGCATGAACATTTCCCCGAAAGAGGCACCGACTGCCTTGAACAGCACTTGCTCAAAGCGGTCAAGGGAAAGGCGGCAGCTCTAGCAGTGTCCAAAAAGGCGGCGCGCTGACGAACATACAAAAGCACTATCACAGATACCCTGTCCTTGCTCGCATGGCCCGGGACTTTTTAGCTAATTCAGTATCCAGTATCCCTATAGAGCAGCTCTACTCCATGGCCGAGAAGTTTTATGCCGACATCGGCGCTGGGATTTCGGAGGAGACTCTGGAGGATTTCGTCATGGTAGGCGACCTGAACAGACAGCTTGATCGATGCGTGGACCCTGCGATCAGGATTATTGGCAAGCGTCAGGCTGATGGGAGCTGGGAGAATGCCGGTTCGGAACAAAGGGCAAGGTAAGTACATTCGTTCTCTCCCATGCGCTTGTCCAAAGGCTCAAACTTGCTTGTCGCGCTTCCAGTCTCTAGGAGACAATACATCGAAATGGTACCATGCAGATCAGTGTTGATATAACGCGAACGACAACAACTACGACAGACTCTTGAACAAGGACAGCGACACATGTTTGCATTGCGCAACCTCAAAAGACAAGATAAGAAATCAGACAAAGGATTCTATAACACAGCAAGAAAAGACAACCTTGGACGCGTGTAGCAAAAGTCTACGCCTCTACAAACGCTCGGAACACCTCAACCTTCTCCTTACTCTCCCAGACAACCTCCTTCCCAGCCCCAATAAAGATCACATTGCCCCTCTCAAACTCGATCTTTTCCCCAGCATCGCTGACCACACCCTTCCCCTCCGTGACCACCGCCAAACTCGGCCCTTCTACCGCCCTCTGCTTTGCCTCTCCACCCTCCTCGCCAAGGTCTACTCGGAGGACCGAAAACTCGGCAATGGGAGGATCGTAGAGGAGGGTAGATTTGTCGCCTTCTTGGAAAGGGGTGGGTTGGAGGAGCTGTTTGTCGCCTGGGGCGGCTTCGTAAGTGAGCATGGAGATGAGGGTATCGACGTCCCGGAGTTTCGGGGTGAGGCCCGCACGGACGACGTTATCCGAAGTCGCCATACATTCAATGATATCTACCACACGTCAGTCTTTCTGGGCAATCAAGAGCCTAAAGATTACTCACCACCTTGGATATAGGCATGCGGCTCGTTGGCGCCGAGGAAAGCGGCATCGCCCCGCTTGAGCTCGACCACATTCAGCATGAAGACGCAAAGCACACCGACATCCTCCGGGTACTGCTCATTCAACATCAACGTCAAGTCTAGGAGATCCTTCTCGTTCTCTGCAATATCCTCCTTCTTCTCATACCGAGCGACAAGACGCGAGATGGCTTCCTTGACGGTACCCTTATCGGCAGACATCAAAGCGCCAAAGATGTCTTTCAAGATGTTCTTCTGTTCTGGTGTGGGGGAAGAATCGAGGGGTTTGAACAATGCAGCATTGGGAGGCAGGGTAGTGGGAAGGTTTAATGAGCCGGCGAGAGCGTCGGTAAGAGATCCAGGAATGAGAGGATGCAGCTCCCTAACCGTGAGGAGGTGCAAGAGCAACGCAGGGAGGGGCAAAAAGTTGAGGAAGGAGAGGAAGGGCGTGAGGGCAATGGCCATTTCTGGTTTGTGGTTGGGATCTGCAAGCAAAGCAAATCGTATTAGCTTGCCGTAATGACGTGCAAGCAGGCAAGTCGGAGCGCACCTTTGTAGACATCTGGTCTTTCGTCAAACAGCTTTCTGGCGAGAGGCTTATCTGGATGGGCCTGGATGCTGAGCGCAGTACCGATGGAGAGCACTTTGAACAGGAAGGGCAGGGAGCCGTCCTTGCAGTCTTCAAACTTGGACGAGACTTGTGTCCCGATGAGCTCTGGGTGCGCTTTGATGTGATCGGCGAGTAATGTCTTGTCGGACAATTTGGAGGGGAGGGTGGGATGGGTGCCCATCCAAAGCTATACTGGTATTAGCATTGTGCTGCTCCGCATCTCCAAAAAAATTCGCCTACCTCGGCATAAGTCTTGCTCTCGTCGATCTTGAAGTCGGGAATGGAGGTGGTGCCGAGCTGGGCGGCGAGTGAGGAGGAGCCCTTCTTGCCCCAGTCATAGGACTGCACTCCAGGGGCGATCTTGAAGAGGGACATGGCGGATAGAGAAGTTGTAGATGGAAGAGGAGATAGATGCGAGGGTGGACATGAAAAGCGCGTCGACGCGGGGGAGCCGAATAGAGGGCGGTGTCTTCCGCAGGCGTACCTGGCCTGGGCCTGTCTTTAGGGTTCTGTCTAACGCGATCCGGCAGTGCATGTATCTGCTACAAGTATGTATTGTGGTACCTGTGAATGGCCCAAGGGTTCCCCCTTGCAGAAAGTTGGCCGGCTGCATGTACTGTACAGAAGACGCGACGGACGCACTCCACCATCTCCCCCGACGTCACGACGTCACGACCTCCACCTCTGCGTTCTGAGCGAATCCCTGCCATTCTTTTCATCACCGGGCCATGCTCTCTGCATTCTCATCCCGTCTCTTTTCCAGGACAAGACCAGCATTCACCCAGCTCGCCACCATGTCCACTGCTTCCAATCCCGCTACTTACAAGTTTAACCACACCATGTTCCGTATCAAGGCGAGTCTTGCCTTATCAACCCTGTCGGGGTGAGCTGACTTTCGATCTTTAGGACCCCAAGGTGTCCTTGGCCTTTTACGAGAATGTGCTCGGTATGAAGGTGAGTGCATACTGATAGCTTTGATGGCCATAGTGCTGACCGCGGCGACAGAAATTCTACGAGTCTCCTGGCGGTGACTTTACCAACTACTTCCTCGCCTTCCCTAACGGCTTTGGCGATATCGAGCTCACCGACGAGAACGTCAAGGCCCAGATCTTCAACAGGGAAGGTGTCCTCGAGCTCTGTCACAACTGGGGCACTGGTGCGTTCATCTGACTCTCGGATCTATGCTCAAGCGCTGACACTTTGATAAAGAGTCCGACCCCGAATTTAAGGGTTACGCGAACGGTAACAGCGAGCCCGGACGAGGCTTTGGTCATATCTGTGTGACTGTCGACGACTTGGAGGCTGCTTGTAAGAGGTTTGATGACCTTGGTGTCAAGTTCAAGAAGAGGCCCGAGGAGGGCAAGATGAGGGTGAGTCATTTTCCTTTCGGGGCGGTAGAACCAGATGATGCTGTGGTGTGTGAGGATTTGCTGCATGATGGCGTGGATCTGTGGGGGTAAGCGCGGGGCTGAAGAGTCTGAAAGAGAACCAAGCTGACTCGATGGTTTACCAGCACATCGCCTTCATCTTGGGTGAGTCATCGGTGTATGTCGAGACAAAGCTAACCCATTTTATAGACCCCGATGGTTACTGGGTCGAGATTGTCGCCCACTCCCTCAACGCCGGGACTCTCTGAGCGTCTCGATGAGTTGGGTGTCGGGTGCGCAAGAAGAAAGGCCATAGCCGAATCAAAGTATCTAATCAGGTCTCGTATGTCCATAGCAATGCACCTCTATGCAACTAGGACCATAGCTACCCATCCTATCCATCCCCTATACATTCCAAAATTTCAGAGACGATACGTGTGGTCGGGAACAGTTCGTACCTGAAAGCGGGCGGTGACCATTGGTGGATCTGTGTTGACAAATGGACTCCGATCCATTTTGCCATGTATTCTTGTGCATCTATACCCCCCTGCAGCTCCAAATGCCCCCCAAGCCAGACCCCAGCCCACCCCTCCCCTCCCTCTCCAGCCCAGACTCCAGGCCCTCCTCCACCCCCCGCTCCCCGCCCCGCCATCGCCCCCGCTTCGCCTCCCCCTCCTCCGCCCTCCTCAAACGCGACCCCAGCTCCTCAGCCATCAGCCGCCTCTCTTCCCCCGCCCTCGACTCTCTCCAAGGGCCTTCTACCTCCGCCTTGACATTTTCAGAGGTGAATCCGCTGTTTATACATGCGCATCTGGATAGACATGGATCATTGGCGGATTGGTTGAAGCAGAGGTTGTACAAGGCGAGGGAGAGGCCTTCCTGTGGTCCAAATTCAAAACTACGTGATGCCTTCTCGGCAGAGGAGGATGGGATTGGGACGCTGTCGAGGCAGCTGGCAGAGACGGCTCAAGGGGTACGGGATATGAGCAAAGAGCTTGGTATGACATTCGATCTTTCTCTAATATCTACTGATGGCAGCTATAGGTGAGACGAAGGTGCGATCAAGAATACAAAACGTCTTGATCGTCACAAAGAACAATGACGAAGGGCTCATCAAGCTCACCCGAGATCTCGCCCTGTACCTCATGCAGCGCCTCCCGCCCCCTTCTCCCGAAGGCGCGAGCGACCGTTATGGAGGGCCTTCACAGGATAGGGGCATGGTCGTCTACGTCGACATTGCGCTCAAAGAGTCGGAACGATTCGATGCCGCAGGTATCGAGAGACATCATCCAGAGCTGTTTCAGCCGATGGAACCGCGGCGGACACCTTCGTCGACGAGTGTCGGGAATCTGGCTAGGCTTTCGTCGGCTTTTACGTCGGCAAGTAGTTTGAATGATGGATCGAAGGGAGGAAAGGGAGAAGACGGGCAGTTGCGGTATTGGACGAGTGATCTTTGTGCCAACAAGGCAGATCAATTCGACTTGGTTATTACCGTGAGTCGCTGTTGCTTCTGAGAGGATCTTGACTGACAGTATGCAGCTCGGAGGTGATGGCACAGTCCTCTTGACATCATGGCTCTTGTATGCACACCCAAACCCACCTCGTATCACTACTGACACTTTTCCTATAGCCAAAGCGTCGTACCTCCCGTCCTGCCATTCGCCCTCGGCTCCTTGGGCTTCCTCACCAACTTTGATTTCAGCAAATACAAAGCCATAATCGACAAAACTATCGACGAGGGGATCCGTGTCAACCTCCGTATGCGGTTCCGGTGCACGATCTACCGGCGAAAGGGTGAGAGCACAAAGGCGGAGGAGACGTTCGAAGTCTTGAATGATGTAGAGATCGATAGAGGCTTTGCGCCGTATATCAGCTCTTTGGAGCTATATGGTGCGTCCATCATACAAAAGTTACAAGGTGGAGCTGATATATGGAAAGGGGATGACCACCACCTCACTACCGTTCAAGCCGACGGCCTAATCGTATCCACCCCCACCGGATCCACCGCCTACTCTCTCTCAGCTGGCGGCTCCCTCGTCCATCCCCAAATTCCAGCTACCCTCATCACACCCATCTGCCCCCACACGCTGTCGTTCCGACCAATGTTGTTGCCGGATAGTATGGAGTTGAGGGTGTGTGTGCCGAGGGATGCGAGGAGTACGGCTTGGGCGAGCTTTGATGGAAAGGGTCGGACAGAGCTGCATCGTGAGCCTTCTCAGCTGCTTTATTGCAACTCTGCTGATATGGAGCAGAGGGCGACCATATCAAGATTACAGCGTCCAGATACCCGTTCCCAACTATCTGCGCGGACAAGGCCAATACGGACTGGTTCTCTGCCATCGCACGGACACTATTGTGGAATGAGAGGGCGAAACAAAAGACGTTTACCATCAGAGAAGAGAATGGGGAAGATGGGCAAGCGTCATAGTGCATCAAGGAGCATGCGTCACGGGATGCACTGACGGACTCTTGTTGTCACCCCAGGAGGTTCTAACAATGGTCTCGTCCGGCGGCGAGGAACCAAACAGGCACTCAATTTCCACTCATCCGCAGCATATCAAAAGAGAACGAAGAAAGAACGATTGCAGCACATCCACCATCCTCCACTTTCACCATGTGCGTTCCGTGATGGTCTCATGACCCTGCATGCTTCTTTCATACAGAATACTTGCAAGTACAGGGCAGAGCTAGCTGGTCAGGCGAGAGCATCGACACGGGCGTTTCAAATTGACGCCGTGGCCTGACCTCTTCGGGCCGCTTCCCCTCCTCCCCTGTCCCACTGCCCATCGCCCAATGAGATCCCCTATGTACCAGCATCTCGCTGAGTTATCTCTGGCGGGGGACGTAACTCTAACTTGACTCTAACCCCACCGATACCAAATCAATCGGGGCTATGTACGACAGGCGCGCGGTTAATCACGGCGAGAGGAACCAAACAGGCACGTGCCCCATCCGCAGCCCGTATAAAGGAAAGAGGAAATCCAAATCTATCTCACCCCCATATCCCTGCATCTCACCGAAATGTGCACAGTCAGCTCACCCGTGCCCTCCAACGTCACCACCGACGGCATATGCTGCTTCCCCTCAGAGGCATGTGCCAGCCTCATCTGCGGTGCCCAGAACGCAACCATCCTCTACGGCGACTCGGCATATGGCAGCGACTTCAGTTGTGCCCTCAACCGGTACGACAATAGCATCCTCGGCACAAATGGCACGGACTGTAACGGCGTTGGGTGTACGTGGAAGAATGCGTCTGCTTCTGCTTCGGCCTCCGCCTCTTCGTCGACCAGTGCTGCGAGTGGTGCTATGAGGATGGGTGGGGATATCAGCGGGGTACTGGGCGTTTGGGCCCTTACTCTGTGCTTGTTGGCCCTGGTGCCCAAAAGGTTCCATTGATTCCGACCCTGATTAACAAGGCTTGTTGCTGTTCCTCCTGTAAGTCGACCCTTTTGCACATAGCGTAATGGTGTCTCACTGTATTCATTTCCAGATGTATCCATAACGAAAAACGATACAGGACAATGTGTCCAAAGGAGCGAAGGAGATATAGCTGAGGGTTGAGGTCATCAAAAGTATGACCATCATAAGTTTGCGCATATGTAGCATACATGTATGATAATCGGTGACTGGGGCCCGGGTATAGCTGGGAGCTTGTGGCAATCTCACCGCCTATGGGCCTGCCTATGATGCACTTTATATTTGGCAGGCCACTGTGGATGAAGCTGAGTGGTAAGCAACCATCATACAGTGATCTCACAGCTCTTCCTACAGCACCCACACCGAGAACACAAGGATTGTGTTGATCGAAGCGGTGGGACTTGATCGAAAGCCTGCCTCGTGTCCCGGGGGACGACAGTTCCCGGATCTTGTATAACTGCTGACATACACAGTACCAATCATAGTTGCGTCACAAGCTCTCAGATACACATCCTTCACCACTTTCAATCGTCGTCCATCGTCCGTCCCCCGTGTCAAAGTGGTGGATATCTGACGGAGGTGAGTGAGTGAGGGGTTGTCTCTGATATTGATCAGGCTGGTAGCTCACAGTGAACATCAGACGGTCTGCGTCAGTAGAGCGTCTTGGGCCCCAGCGCCAGAAAGCACAATGTCAAAGCCCAGATGCCCAGTACCCCGTCCATTGTCTCCTTCCTTCCACCCCCGGCAGACGAGCCGCTCACCACCCCATCCTTCCACAAACAGCCCGTCCCGCTGCAATTGGTATTGTTGTTCCCGGTCAACGTCTGATCAGGCCCAGTATAGTTCAAAAGGCAGACGATATCGCCGCCGTACTCTGATTGGCCGTAGATGATGGTCGAGTTTTGGGCGCCACAAACATACTTGGCACATGCGTCATCGTTGAAGCAGCAGCTGCCATCCCAGGTGGAGTTGATGGGGTAGTTGGAGGTGTAGCACATGGTGAGAATGGAGAAGAGGTGGATTCTAATCTCTTGTTATGCTTCTTATATAAGTGCAGCAGGTAGCAGTTGAATGACTGCGGATTTGAGTTTCGTACCTGCCCTGTACCACCTGCCTGCCGTCTGTTAGTCAGCAAGTGCCGAGGTGCCAGGATACTGTACATGGCGCGTCATAGACTCGTACCGTTACAACACAATCAATCCTTCCTTGCTTTCTTCTTTCCATCGCCCTCCTTGGCACCTCCCCCGTCTATCTCGGCCTTCAAGAATGCCGAAATAGAGTCGATGAGATTCGCCTTCAGTTTACCTTCCAGTGGTACATCTATACCGATATCAGCAAAAGACGCTTCTCAAAGATAAGGACTGACTGTAGTACTGGGCAAAGTCATTCAACTCGGCGACCTTCAGCTTACCCATCTGACCCTGCAGATACATCCCCCGCACATTCGGCAGATCCTCCTCATTGATCACCTTATCCTCCTTCTTCTTCCCACCCCTCTTCTTTCCTCCCGCCAAAGCCTCCGCCCGGTCGGCCCTCTCATCCAGCTCCACAGCCTTGTTGAACTCTTCCATGAACGCCCCCGCCGTCTTGTGCTGCCCCTTCACTTTCGGCCGTGTCCGATCGAGCTCCTCCACGAAATCTGGATCTTCCGGGTCAAGGTCTTCGTCAAACGCGAATGCTTGCAGCTGGGCGTAGTGGTATGCGAGCGAGGGGTTGGGGTAGGCGTCGGGGTTGTAGATGCCGGATTTGAAGCGGAGACGGCGGACGATATTGACCATGCTCTCTTTTTGGGTTTCATTGGCTGTATATCTCGTCAGGCGGTGCTCTCGACAGAGTAAAGTGACTTACCAGGAATGTTATCAGTAGCCTTGGGCCACTTTCCTCTGATATCGTCTTTGAAAGGCATGGGTATCACATGGAACCCTGGCGGATACTCTTGCGCCCCATCACTTCCCAGTACCTCTTCTTGAGGAATGAGAAGGCCAAAGAAGGGGGTCCAGTTGGTTCGGAGGCGACAGAGAGCGATGGCGTGTCGGTTGAGTTTGAGACAAGATTTCAAGAGGGCCGCAAAGGCGCGAGTGGAGCCGGTGTACTTCTGAGCATAGTGTCAGCGCACGCTACTAGTATGTCGTCAACTTGCATCTTCGTCGGGATAGACGAATGTGGCGTGCTTGATCGAATGTTCCAGTCGGACATTGTCAGGAGACTGGAATCCCAAAATCTTGATTTCTACTCTAGCTTAGCGCGACAATCCGGGCGACTAGGTGATACGTACGAGGGTCAACGCCCACTGCTTTCAGCTGCGCAACTTCTTCCGGACTGAATTGCAGCTACATCTCATCAGCCTTCGATTCCATAGTCAGATGCTTCCACCCACTCTTGTCCTCGCAACCGTTCTGCTCTTGCCCTTTTGCGACATGTATTGCCCTGCCTGATCCTTGTACCGCTCCTTATCCTCATCACTGCTATCCCCTCCTTCATCATCTTCCCTCATCCTCCGTTCCTTCTCTTCCTGCAGGACGTCGTCCAACATCTCTTGCCTCTCATCCTCCTGATCGGACCCTTCAAACCAATTGCGCTCGAGGACGTTGCGTATCTTGCCTTCGTCGCCCACCTCGAAAGCACTGGCGACTTCATTGGCAGATAGCAACGTGCCCGTTTTCTGCACAACGTCAGTGGGACCCCCTTCCTCGCGTGTCAACCAACTCACGGAACTGGTGTACCCCGTCTTCTGTTCAACCTCCTGCACCACCGGCCCACTCATGATGACCTTTTTCGGCTGCCCCTTCGTCTGCTCCGAAATCAAACTAAACCCCGTAATGCCTATCACTATATCCCCGTCTCTGCCGCCGAATTTGAGCGGGACGTGGAATTGGGCGCGTTTGGGGGCGTATTTGATGACGAGATTGTTCATGACTTCTTCGAGTTTGGCGAGACCGTCGGCGTCGGGGTCTTCGTCTTCGTCGATCTGGTCATAGTCGCGTTGGAGGATGTCCTGGATAGAGCGTCAGTTGACATCAGAAAAGAGGGTGAGAAAGAGGCGTACGTTCCAGAAGACGTTGGGGTTGAATTTGTGGCCGGGATGGTCGATGAAGAATGTATCGATAGAGACGTCGTACCCACCAAGGTCCTACCAAACCATCAGAAAGACTCGTTTGTAGAGGGCAGAGAGCATACAATGATGGCTGTTCGTGCCGGAGCCCGGTTGCCGTCTGCACCAACTGGTGTATCCTGGTCTGTGATCAGAAAGATTCGCTTCTTCCCTGCTAACGCGACTCCTCTAAACATGACCGTCAGCGCATAGTCATCACATAGTGGCCTGGTGTGACTTGCCCGTCGCGGAACAGAAACATGCAAGCCCTCAACACATTCGCAATGTTCATCTCTTCCGACTTTGCGATGGGGCGGAAGGTCTCGCCCAATATCTCTGGCTCTTGGGAATCTTCTTTGGGGTTTTGATTCTCGTATTCTTCCTTGGCGGCTGCCATGAGCTGGACAAGCTTCTTCATCTCTTCGGCGTTGATCGTCCGGAGAGACTGGTAGGCGAATGTTCCCGTCTCATGGTTCCCCGGGCTTTCAGTCACCACAGAAGGCTATGGTAGCGTCAGCCATGCCTAAAGAATATTGCGGAATCTCACATCAACGTTGTAGAGAAGCAGCGCTACACTGTCGTTCGGTCCAGAAATCACTTTACTCCGCTGGATCCTCATGACCACTTCCAATGCCTGATGCAGTGCGCTCTTTCCCTTGACAGTAATCCCCTGTTCGTCCTTATAGTCTGGGAACGGCTTGTGCATGGTGGCGGAAGCGTCGATGCAGAAGAGGACATGATCGCGGGAAGCATAGGTGTACTGTTGACCGTCAGCGGGTGCCCAGGTCAGCGTGCACCTACGTCGCCATAGTCTGCCTCTTCGTCGGGAGTCTCCTTGGTGAGAGCGTCCCAGGAGGGGACTGTGCCCTTGCCGACGTAGGAAGACATTATGTAATGCAGTTGAGTAGGGAGCACTGAACCAGAACTGGACATGAGTGAGTTATCTTCTTGGTTGACGCGACTGTGGGGCTCCGCCGGGAACAATCTCCCGGCGGCATCCCCCGCCCACCGACTCCGCCCGGTCTATGACGGCCATAAGTGCAGTCGACTTGCCTTTCTCTTCTGCAATTATCACTCAACATGTCAAATCCACAAGAAGCAAAGCAGAAATCCCCCTCGGCCCTTACCCCGAAAGCCCATTCCCCAAGACCCAACCTCAAGCCTCTCACGCCTACTGGCGGACCCGCCGGCAACCGTCGCTCCAGTAACGAGAGGGATGAGTTCCACCATCCCGTGGACCCCACAGTCCTCGCCGAAGCTGTATCAAAGCTCGACATGATCCGTTCGGCGCCTCCGCCCATGTCGGCTGTACCTTCTCCCTCAGCGAGTGCTGCTACAAGTCGGCCGGGGTCGCCTAGATTGTACCCCAACTCGGGCCAGGCGACGCCTGCATTCGGGCCCATCGGGTCCGGGGCGATCACCCCCGGTACCATTGAGCGTGCTCTCAGTACTGACGGCAAGCAGAGCGTCCCCGGTACGCCCCACTTCGGCGCCCAAACTGAGTTGTGAGTTTAAGTCACTTTCGATCGGGATGAGATTGGATAAAAGGATCGCGCTGATTCTTCATGACAAAGGCTGAGAACACTGGACGAGACTACAAGGGTCATCAGGCAGAGCTCCAAAGCTCCGTCTCGTGCACCCAGTGTGTCGGGGATTGGTACTGTTGGTGAGTCGTCTCTTCTCAATGGATCTGTCAAGATCGCATGGTATGAGATTTGGTAATTATGGAGAGATCGTTCGAGGGCAAAGGTCGAAGTTCCTCCTTTCGACTCTGATTTCGATTCTCGGCCTGGATGAGGCAGATTGGGCACTGCCCAGGGCTATGTCCCATGGGCTGCATCCCAAGGTCTCTAGACGACAGGAACCAGATGCAGATGCGCGATGAGCGATCAGATTATCCAGATTCATCCTACATTTGCCATGTCCACACATATTATTCGAAGGACCAACTGACTCTCTGCGCAGTGGAAAAGCCAGATTACTCGGAAGCCAAAATCGTCGTCGCCATGGTCGGCCTCCCCGCCCGAGGCAAATCCTACCTCTCCAACCGTCTCATGCGTTACCTCCGCTGGCTGGAATACAACGTCGAAGTCTTCAACGTCGGCCAACTACGTCGCTCCAAAGCCCGAACCCAACAAGAACAGGGCAAAGGCAAAGTCGACCATTCTGCAACCTACTTTTCGCACGACGATGCGGCTGCGCGAAAGACGAGGGAGAATCTGGCTGAAGAGTCCCTGGAGTCTCTCATCAAGTGGCTGAAGGCTGAAGGCAACGTCGGCATTATGGATGCGACGAATAGTACGGTAGAAAGGAGGCAGTGGATCAAGAAGAGGGTCAGCAAAGAGCCGGGACTGCAAGTGCTCTACCTCGAATCGTTCTGCGACGACCCCGTCGTCATCGCTGCGAATGTTGCCCTCAAGGTGCAGTCGGGTGATCCCGACTACAAGCACATGTCGAGAGAAGATGCCGAGAAGGATTTCAGGAAGCGAATCGCTCAATACGAGGCGGTATATCAAACCATCACCGAGCCGGATATCTCTTTCTGCCGTATCTTGAATGTCGGGCAGCGTTGCTCCATCAACAGGATGGAAGGGTATCTGCAAAGTCGAATTGCGTTCTATCTGATGAACTTGCATCTCAAGCCGAGAAGCATCTATCTCTCTCGGGTACGTCTTACTATTCTCTTCGAGGGCGCTACTGATTCCTCGTAGCATGGTGAAAGCATGTACAATGTCGACGGCCAGATCGGTGGTGACTCTGACCTCTCGCCGCGAGGCTGGGACTATGCTCGAGCCCTACCCGCTCTCATCAAAGATAACATTGGAGAGAATGCGCAGCTTGAAGTGTGGACGTCTACGCTCCAGCGAACGCAACAGACGGCGTCGTTCCTTCCGTTCGAGAAGAAGACATGGAAATCGCTGGACGAGCTCGATGCTGGTGTTTGTGATGGCATGACTTACGAGGAGATTGAGGTACGTTTTGTATAGTATACACGGGTCCTCTAGCTGATGCCATCAACAGGAAAAATACCCTGAAGACTATGAAAGCCGAGATGAGGACAAGTTCAACTATCGATACCGAGGTGGTGAATCTTACCGAGACGTCGTGGTCCGTCTCGAGCCCGTCATCATGGAGCTCGAGCGCCAGGACAGCATCTTGATTATCGCCCATCAGGCTATCCTCCGTTGTCTGTATGCCTACTTCCAATCCAAATCTCAGCAAGAACTCCCATACATCAACGTAAGCTCTTTTTCCCATCATATCTTGAGTCTAGTCTGACCTGATATAGATCCCCCTCCATACCCTCATCAAAATCACTCCCATGGCCTATGGCTGTCACGAAGAACGATACCCACTTCCCATCCAAGCTGTCGACACCCACCGCCCTCGGCCGACCAAGGGAGGCAAGACCCCGGGTGGCCATGTCGCCCCCGACTTTGTCCCCGACGCGGGCGTGGCTAGGGACTATTATGGAGACAAGAAGCAGGGCGTGGGCATGGGTCTGAAGGCCGAGGCGTTGAGTCAGGCTTTGGAGAATGAGGTGGAAGCGGGAAGTTTGACGCCTACTGCTGCGGGTGGGGCGGACATACAGCACGAGTAAGGTCAGGAGGAGGTGGGGAAAGTGGGATGATCTTGACGGAGAGCATGTCTGAAGAGGCAACAAAGTCACGATAGAACTGTATCTGAAACGTTAGAAATATGCCCAAGTGATGCCAGATGTGCAGAAGTGATCTACTCGGGTCTCTGCACCTTGTCTGCTCTTTTCCCAATGCATGCGAGAGTGCACGGCCGCCGGGCCTGGCCTGGATATCTAATCTCGGTTATCCGCGCGCACACCACCCCGGTGGATTCTAAATTTCCGTTTTCCTCTGATCATCAACATCCACCTCCCATCTCACCAACACGTGGTGGGCAGCATATTTGTGCATTGTCAGCGCATACTTCCATCGCATCCACCTCTTCTTCCCAGCACCATGGTCACCCTCTTCTCTCGCCTCGCCGTGGAACCCCATCCCACAGAACCAGCCACCTTCATCCCCCGCAACCCCACCCTTTGGCTGCCCCCGGGCGTCCGCTCAGTGTATGGAGGCCTCATCATCGGCCTCGCCCTCCAGTCCGCGCGCCGCACCGTCCCCGCGCATCTTGGCCTGCAGAGTACCCACTGCTACTTTCTCCGCCCCGGTGTGGCTGGGCACGAGATGAAGTATGTGGTGAGCACATTGCAGGATGGGAAGGCGTTCATGAGGCGGGAGGTGAAGGGGTGGCAGAAGGGCAAGCTGTTCTTTGTGTTGATGGCGAGCTTTACTGTGGCGCCTGAGGTGCTACCAGAGCGTATTTTCAAGCGAGGAGATGTAAGGAAGGAGGAAGAGACGCCGTCAAAGGTGTCAAATAGTTTGACGGGCATATCCCAGCCTTGGGATGAAGATCCCTCAGGCAGAAATGGGGAAGGAAGGCGGGTGAAAGAAGGGTTCCAAGTGCCGTTCCCAGGAGACATGCTCTTGCCCTATGACCAATGTGAATCCAACGAGTCATTCATAGCGCGACGACTAGAAGCGAATTGGGATATCCAACAGTGGAAGAGAGACTTTCTCACTACATGGATTGAGGTGAGTGGTCGTAAACATGCAGCAGACATATCTTTGGTGCTGATGACGCGGATGTAGCAACGCGCGACCAGCCCTTTCCTGTCTGCTGTGGCCAGACTGAAGCCTGGTGCGACTTGCCCACGAGAGTTCTTTGTCGATGGCAATGCTGCTACACGCATGACCTGGAATTGGCCCACGACCACGGCAGACGAGGTCATAGATGAGGAAACGTTCAAGGTGAGTTTGTGAGCCACAGACAAACCCGAGTACTCAGTCAATTGGCCAGACCATGATCGCGTTCACCAGCGACTATCAACTGGTGGGAGCCACCACACGCGCCATGGGCATCAACATGTCCACGACCCCGCATATAACCATGATTGCTTCTCTGGATCACTCAGTCCATTACTATCCCTTCCCTCCAGACCTCGACTATAAGAAACCTACCCTGCATGTGATGGAAGCGCAGGTGGGAGATTTTTCGACGGCAAGGGCAACGGCGAGGGGCAGGGTTTATAGTCACGATGGTGTGTTGTTGGCGGTGACTTGCCAGGAGGGGGCCATCGCTTGGAAGGGAGACGGTGAACCGAGGAGAGGTTTGGCGGCGAGTGGAGTGGATGAGGAGGATCTGATGGCAAAGCTGTGATTGCAAGAGTGCTAGCAATACATGTCCTCTATAGTGTTGCTGCTGTGACTGGAATGTATCGATGACAAGAAGGAGGAAAGAGGGAAGGGAGAGGCCGTTGAGTGATGGGTGCCACACTGCCACTGTGCCGTGGTGCATAACGCCGTGGACGCGTCTGGTGACATCCACATGAGATGAAGGACGTGTTCGTGCATCCATCTCTATCTTTCATTTCTCCTGCTGCCCCCCATGGACGTCCAATTGTACGCCATCAGAGCCCTCCGTGGCCCATAAGCTGACTCTGCCCAGACAAAAGCTCAAGGTCACCGACCTCAAAGAGATTCTCTCCAAAGCCAGCCTTCCTCAGACAGGAAAGAAGGACGATCTCATCAAGCGGATCATCGAAAACAACCTTTCTGCCGAGGTACAGCAAGAAGAACTTGTATGTGGATGCCTCTCACATCCCCGAGGATGATGATCAGGGAGCTGACGGCGAGAATAGACGGATCCTGATGCCATCGATGGCACCAATGTGCCCGCCAGCGCGCCCGAAGCTACCACTGCCCCCGCCGCGCCCAACACCACCCTGATCGACGTGAGTAGGGCCGGCCGTGAGATTGCCAACACGACTGACGTTCTTCAGCCTACCGACACCACCACCATCCCCCCACCCGTCGAACCTCTCGTACCGACCGACGCCCCTTCAGCCGACGCCGACCCTCTCGCCGCCGCCTCCGACGCATCTGCTCCCGAACCCGAGCTCACTGCTGATCAAAAAGCCATGAAGGCCCGTGCTGAGCGATTTGGTGTTCCATTCCAACTTCCTAAACCGAAACCCGCTGCCGCTGCTCCTGCCGCCCCGAAAGAAGCTGCCCCCAAGCCCGCCGAAAAGCAAAAGGCTGGTGCTATCGACAAGAACCCCCTGGGGTACAGTGACGAGGTGCTGGCGAGGAGGACGGCCAAGTTTGGTGCGGTGGAGAAGAAGACTGCTGCCCCTGCCCCTGCCGCCGCTGCAAAGCCCGAGGAGAAGGCGCCGGAGCCTGTGGATCCGTAAGTCGCGTGTCTTGTGCTGCTAGTCTGCTGGATCTGACGCGATCATTTCATAGGGAAGCTGCCGCCAGACTCGCCGCGGAGGAGGAGAAGAAAAGGAAGAGGCTTGAGAAGTTTGCTGCCCCCAAGTCTGCCGAAACAGCAGAAGAGACCGATGGGTCTACTGAGCCGGTACGCATTCCTTTGTTCAGCGCCTTCTGAAACACGCCTAATGAAGCCGACATAGGACGCGAAAAAGGTCAAAGTGTAGGTGAGTTTTGATTTTCACTGATTGTTGTGTCGTTAGGGAAGTGTACGTAGTGGCCTAGCGGGAGAAATTGGGTGTCAAGTCAAAAGGGACATTTGTAGAGCAGAACAGCATATAACAAAAGATCGTGTACAACACCATGCACGATGGTCAACTGCGATGGATACTCTGCGTGTATGTTGATAGCAAAGCTCGTTACGATATGTGCCCCCTCGCTTCACCACCCTTCTCTGGCGATCCGAAAAAAGCGGCTCGACAAGCATGCACTAGGGACTGCGGATAACGAGATACCTCATGCATAGCGCGCATCGTTTCCCTCGCCTCGGCAGGTCGAGCAGCGCCGAGCCCCCAGCCGGCCCAATTTGGGGCGCCGTCCCGTAGAGATCTACTCAAACCTTCTTCGCGGTCAAATCGTCATTCTGCGCTTTCATCTCCGTATTTCCATCTCCACCAGCTGTCCTCGACGATCAACAACCCCGACTATCCACAATGGCCCCCCAGACAGTTCCGTGCCAGTACAAGACCGGCAAGACATTAGGAAGGTGCGTCGCGATGCATACACCTGCCCACCGTTATCGAGCTTTGCTGACGGGCTTGTGAATCCTACAGCGGTACTTAGTAAGCACAACACTGGTCACTGGCCATAGGCAGGGAGAGAGCGGGGCTGCTAACTCTGGATGCCCACAGCGCTGTCGTCAAAGAATGCGTGCATATCGGTGTAAGTCACAAGCCCGGCGCACCGCCCCCTCGGGGAGGACTCCTGCTAACCGCATCGACCGCAGACTGGTGATTACTTTGCCTGTAAGGTTCTCAACAAGAAGTTCTTGATGGTGGGTGGCTTCGGCTCGTTATGGTATACTGGATAGGGCGTTGAAGGGGAACAATTGTAGGGCCGAGAACACATGGTCAGGAATGAGATTGCTGTCCTCAAGCGTGTCTCGGCGGGTCACAAGAACATTGTGCAACTGCACGACTTTTTTGAGACTACTCACAACCTCTACGTGCGTGTCTTTTCTCTGAAAGCTATGAATTCTAGACTGACGTGGACGGGTCTATAGCTTGTCTTTGACTTGTGTACAGGCGGGGAGCTCTTTGACAGGATCTGTGCTAGGGGAAGTTACTTTGAAGGGTGAGTCATGTGGGCCCGGGAAGACTGTAGTTGACATCTACTAGCGACGCGGCCAACATTGTCCGTACCGTCACGAAAGCCGTCAAATACCTCCACGACCAAGGAATCGTCCACCGGGACTTGAAACCCGAAAATATCCTTTTCAAGTCAAAGAAGGAAGATGCGGATCTCATGTTGGCAGACTTTGGCTTGTCCAAGGTGTTGGACGATGACAAGTTGACTATTTTGACTACTACTTGTGGTGTGAGTGCAATTCAACTTGAACAAGAGTAGTGCTGACTTGGCGTCAGACCCCTGGATACATGGCTGTGAGTCAAGTGTTAATGGACTGGGTCATCACTGACAGCGATATGTAGCCTGAAATATTCCGAAAGGCCGGACACGGCAAGCCTGTCGACATCTGGGCCATCGGTGTTATCACCTATTTCCTCCTCTGCGGCTACACCCCCTTCGACCGTGACACCCAATACGAAGAAATGAACGCAATCATCAATGGCGACTACCGATTTGAGCCCCAAGAGTACTGGGCGGGCGTGTCTGAAACCGCCAAGCAGTTTGTGCGGGACTGTCTGACGATCGACCCCACCAACAGGCCTACGGCGGACGGATTGCTGCAGCACGAATGGTTGAAGGAGGATGTCGCGGTGAACGAGGTCAGCGCGTCAGGAAAGGGGGTGGATTTGCTGCCGAACGTCAAGGCTGCTTTCGACGCCAAGAAGACTTGTAAGTCCCATGTGTGATAGAGACCTGTCTGTTGACCTTGTTTGCTAGTCCGGAAGGCTGTCCTTGGTATGATGGCCGTTCACAGGTTCCAAGACCACAGCGCGTCCTTCAGCGGGCAGCATCAAACCGATGCGGAGAAGGAGCAGTTCAAGAGGGAGGTCGAGGAGTACAAGCGGGAGGCTGCCAAGGTGCGTGCACTCACTCTTTTGCTTGGCTCGAGCTGATTTTTCCATCGCAGGAGGATGTCCAGACCGTCATCCAACCTGGATCTGGCCCTGCCACCCCTCAAATCTAGGCAATTGGTTTCAGACTCTCGTCTGCGTGTCAATAGGACTACCAGCCTAGGACCCTTTCTCGTCCTGTGAAAGCGTTTTGTGACTATACACAATCTTCGAGTCATACACGCTCTGTCTATAGTACACCCCTTATGTCCTAATATCCTTTCTGTGATTTTTCTTCTTGGGTTCCAGAGTCATTCTGTGCAGTTGTCCTTGTACGTGAGACTATACATGCATCTCGTGTGATTAGACAAGTACATCCCAGGGGAAGACATGCAACACTATGAACGTACGAATGCTGAATATGGTATCGTGATTGCAAAGGTGTTTTGGGATTACGGAATGTTCTTGGATTTACGTAGAATAGACTGGGAGAAGGGAATTGATTATAAAATGTCCACGGTGTATATGATGGAGTAGAGTGCGAATACTATCTATAGAATCGATAGCCAATGCCGGCTCACTACAATTACTTTTCTGTCTTTTGGTAATGGGGTCTACCAACAATGCGCTTCTATGCACAATTTTCTTTCTTTCACGAATCGTCCCTCCTTCTTTCGTCTTACAATTCCCAAGCCCTTCTCGACCCGTCCGAGATGGACGACCCACTGGGACCTGATCCATCTCTCCCATCAGTAGCGTACGCTCCCCTCCATTCATCGTGACTCCCCCGTCTATAATCTGCACCAGGCGGCGGCAAGCCCGGAGGTGGCGGGCCTTGCATACCCTGCACAGGCGCAGGAGGATACCCGTACGCCGGCATCCCATACTCTTGCCCCATTCCCACCGGTGGGGGCGGCGGATACCCAGCCGTCTGCGGCGTACGATAAGCCGAAGGTGGTCCTGGAGGGGATGGTGTCCGCCGGGACGAAGTGTAACCTGCCGGCGGCATGGGCACACCCGGGCGGCCGTAGGGAGAGTAGGATTGAGAGGAACCGGGTCGGGGCATGGAAGCAGGAGGGGGAGGGGGGTAGTATGCTTGTTGGGGAGGGGGCTGGTCGTACCGTGATTGTGGGGGAGGTTCAACACCAGCGGCGATGGAAGAGAAGCTCGGTAAAGGGCCGGGTGCGGTAGCTGAAGGCACATTAGGGATGGGTGTGAGAGGAGTGAGAGGACCGGCTTGAGATGCCCGGCGATTGGGGGGTGGGATATCTTGGGCAGGGGCATAGCTGGGTGGACGGGGGATGGCCAGGAAGGAAACGACGAGGTAGACTCGGGCGAGGGTGGCAGGTTTCCAGAGATTGGCGCCGAAACCGCCGCCGAGATGGAGACGAACGTTGAAGGGGCTGAAGCCGCCGTCGGCATGGGCTACTCGGAGGTTCTTGTTGGGATATGGCTCTCGCATACCCTCTGCAGGAGAGAGGAGCTCCAATTCGCTCATCTGGGCAATGGCAGCCTGAGTCACATCCAGAGAAGTCAACGGCGTCTCCCCGTAGGGCACCACCGACAACAACCTGTTCCGCTCCATGTCGATCAAGTGTTTGTCATGAGGATGAATCCAATCGAGCAAATTGAGATTCACAAAGTCATTGGGGTGGAAGCCGGTGAGGGAAAAGCTCGACGGGCTGGCACGAAGAATCTTGAAGTCGGTGGTGGTGAAGAGAGTGAACGGTTGCTCGTAGGGGCTGGGCACAGGATGGGAAGACTCCATCTCATAGCTGGGACCCGTCCGAGGTATAGAAGGCCCGTAAGATCCGGGACCAGACATGTAGGGCTGTTCGTACACGGGGGGGCCTCGCCATTTGCCGACACCACCGATGTCGCCGCTCGAGTTTGCCCTCGGCGGTCGGTGATATGGCTCTCCGAGAGCGGGCCGGGGAACCTTTGGTCGCCCTCTCTTCTTGTGCTGTGCCAAGTCAGCGCTAGATCTCGTAGAGAGTAATTTGTCACAACGTACCGGCACATCCTCGCACTGATCCTGCTTGCCCATATTGATACATCTCTTGCACGGCCGTCCTACATCGCACGCCAAGTGCGCGCGTTTGCATGGCCCACAGGCTGAAGAAACATTCGCCTTGCCCCCAACACGCTTGATCTGCGCTGGCGGAGGAGGCGATGCGGTGGCCGTATCCCGCGACGAATCGTCCTGCGGAAGTGTAGATCGCGACGAGGAGGCGTACTGTGGCTGGGACATGTTGGGTGGACCAGAGTCGCCTCCGAGAATTGAGCGTGCACCGGGACCGTCGAATGGCTGGCGTGAAGAGGTGGAAGAGCCCGAGGAATTGTCCATGGTCGAGATGCAAAATGAAGATGGATGAGTTCGTGCGGTACTCCGTCGGGATATCGAGGGGTGCGGGGGGATGTTGGATCACGCTGACTGATCGGAAGGGCGCACTAATGACAACGGATCGAAGGACGTTCGGATCTCTGCTAGGGATGACCTAAGCCTGGATGGCGGGGATAAAGGATGCGGAGGAATTGGAAGAGTGTTGCGCTGTCGTCACGACAGCGATTACGACGTCGGGCTACCTCTTCGGTGTCGCAAAAAAGGGACGACGGCCAAGGGTTGCTGGGCCGAGCGGATGTATGCAGCAACAGAGTCGCCAGGTGCCAAGTGCACGCTGAAGCGGGAGCGAGGGGTATTAGGGGATGAGAAGAACAGAAGCCGGCGAGAAGGTTATAGAAGGGTATTCTTCCGAGACCTGCAATCACGCATCAGACATGAGCCAAACACACTGTAGATGGAAGCAGGCGGTACACACTGATGCGGGAGCGGATGCCCACCCTAGATGCTGAGGCACGTCAAGCACCCTTCGTTGACTGTCGGCGGGGACGATACAATCGTGCTCTTGCGTGTCGTGTACACCCGCGACGTGGATGAGGGGAGACGGAGAGGCAGGCGAAGCGAGGCGCGAGTGCTCCTAGTATATATATATATCGTTTCTGCAACACCACCGCCGGGATATATCACAGAGTCAGATGGGTTGAACGGAAACAAGTGGCGTAACCGCTGCCTCTGTGTTGATGTTGATGGGTGTGTGGTCGGGATACCGAACGATCACGCTGCCTCGACCGAAAACCTGTGACACGGTGAGCTCATGCTCAATTGCGCTGAAGATCTACGCAGTGCGCGCTCCAGGGGGCATACCTTTGGCAAAATATAGCTTGAAACGCCGCACTATTTACGGGGGGCTGGTGGCTGAGCCTGCGTGGGGCCGGGATATAGCGAGCTCGGAGCAGAGGTCGCAGGTGCTCGTGATGAGGACTGGCAATGCTCGTGAGAGATGACGTCGCGGGGAGATGCTCGATGGAGGCGCAAGGTCGATGTGAGTCGTCCGTCGGTCGTGGTGGATGTCGATAGGACACTCGACGGAGAAAAAAGAGTATGCGGAAGGAAGAAAACAAGAGACGAGATAATGAAAAAGATGGATCGCCTGTTCCTCGTCAGAGTTTGCAAGCTGATGAATCTTGGCTCCTGGAGATCCTGGATTCTGGTCTTCTTTCGCGGAACACGGAAGAATACTTGCGCCCGAAGAGCAGGATGATGACCCAAATTTAACTACTTGGTTTAGCAAGTTACGAACACGGCACCAGAGCGACCCTGAATGTCGACCCTGAGGCCCAGCTCCAATGCATTCCAGCCGGCACTCGGAAGCACGCGGTGCACGGTTTCGGCGTTTGAACTCTGCGCCAACCAAATGCAGCAAGACCAGTTTAACCATGAAGTGGCAGGGCATGGCCTCTTGGGCCTCTTGAAACAAAAACGATGACGAGCCTCCGGCCTCTGGCCTCATCGCGCCTCTCCCGTCGCATTCTTCTGCAACTCTCGCGACTTGATCTGGCAGGTTACCAGATGCAGATCTCATATATAGTACGAATGTATACCCCCCACCCATCATGCGCCATGCGTTACTCGTCGGGTCCCGCTCAAACGTCAGATCCCCATTTCCTTACGCGTCTATCGGGTTTTCGCGTCTCGGGTCAGAAAAACAATTCGCACTTTCGCAGACCGCAGGCTTTTTCCACCGGCCATACGGTATACGCTACGTTTCAAGGGCGACATTCGAGACTATTCGCATATGCAGTACGTGCATGTGTGATCGTGGAGATATATCCAGCCTTAAGCTATCAGGGTTGGCCATGGGCCTTGGGAGGAGGGTGGGGGAAGAGGATCCGGTAGGGCCGGTAGGTCGGGTCGATCGGGTCTTAGGATTTTTGAAACAATTATCCCCTTTCTAAAAGCTCCAATTCTCCACCCCATCCCTCTCCCCCTGCGCTCCCCTCCTCGACCTCCCAGTTGCGCTCTCCCGAGGCGGCCGGGCCTGGTTGTTATAACTTCCGTTATACGAGTACAACCCCAAAGTGCCTTGACCTGTTGACCTGACTTGGCTTTGTTGATCCGTACATCTTTGCATGTACGAGCCTTGAAGTCATTATAAAAGACAAAAGAGGGGTCTAGAGTAATACCCGCAGCTAAATTCGTGTCAGCTAAGAGCCCGCCGCCAAATGTACGAGTACTGCCCGCCTCTCTCTAGCCTTGTTGTCTTGAGGAAGCGAACAAATAACCCGCCGTCGCGCACCAATCGTAAATGTTGGCGCATTTCTTATGCAAGCCATCTCCCGCCGACCTCTCCGACTTCCGCCTGCCGAGAGGCTACACGATCACGAACACAAAGCAAGGAAGGCCAAAAATGGAGAGAGAAGATCCCGGAGACCAAAAAAGTAGATCAAGATAAGCTAAATCGATAGCGTAGCGTTGAACGGTGCCTCTTTTTGTCTCGAGAGATTGGGATTTGCTGGGATCGGCGGTGTCGGGGAATGAACGACATTTTACGCTAAGCACAAGGTCCCAATGCCTCCCGTAACCTCCACGTCAAAGATTCATGAAGAAGCGTACACACCAAGTTGCGGTGATGGACGAATGTTGGTAGTGACATGATGATGAATCAAGACGGTGTATCACTTGTATGATCGAGTATAGCTCAGGATCGACCTAGCGGGGCAGAGGCCGAAGAGGTTGGGTAGTCATCAAAAGTGACTATATTTTTGTGGGGGCTGCTGTGGCACTTGGGATTGCTACGTTCGGAGGGATCTCGCGTGTTGACACGTGAAGACGAGATGATCGGGGCAGCGTTTTCGCTTCGTCTGCGCTGTTAAAGAGGTTGTGAAAACAGAACAATAGGAGCTGAGAACGGCCCTTTGATTTAGGGTTACTCTACATATGCTAATGTAGTATGGTCAGCGATTCTGCATGCCGCATGCGCATCTCTCGGCATCATTGAAAGACGTGTTTGGAAAAGAAGACGGATGCCTACGGCCTCCGTAGTCTTATAACTCTTACCCCACCTTGTCTAGCCTGGACATCTTCACAGCAGCGGCAATGTACTTTTACAAGCTCAAAAGAATTTCGGGGGCCAAAGCTCTTCCCTCAATGCTGTCCGTCTCTCTCTTCTTCGAGAGGGTTGCGCGTATAATAAAGTCGAGAAGATCATGTGCCGTGGACTGTTTAGATCTACCAGCAGCGGGGCCGGCTCATGGCGGTACACGGCTGTCGGCGCAATACCCTTTGTACCGCCAGCCTAAGCTCTCAACCATCCTCGCAAGGCTGGCAGATTGTTTCCAGTTCCACAGGAATGAAGGCATTTTGCTCTTTTATTAGACGCCGCTGTCGAATGTCGACTTTCAACCAACGTCCATCACAACTGGTTGGCTGGCTTCTGCTGCTCCCGCAACGGCCCGATGTACGAGCTGAACGGCGCCTAGTTCCTGATATTGTTGGGCGCTGGCAGTCGCCTTTTGCTTAAACATACAGCCGCCTCCCCCAGCCTGCTCGCTGCCTCAGCATATCACTCAACGTGTCCCCTTTTTGCCGAGATTCGCGAGACGCACAAGCTGAGTGTGATTCGGGCAGTCGGAAGTCCGCCAGTTCGGCTTTTCCGGGGATGCTTAGTTCGGGGACTCACGTAATTTTCCCATGCTGTTCGGCCCTTAATTTTCGCTGAGAATTCCCCGCGTGCCTTTTCTGCTCCCCTGTTGGGCCTGATGCTGCCATAGTGCTCTGGGGTTGTAACGGATGCACGGTACTCGTATAGTATCGATGTGTAGCAGCTAGAGTCATCCAAGAGCCGGGGCTGATATCTCCTCCAGCTTTGAGAATATAACCGTTATTGCTCAAGCGAGTTTGCGGTCTGCGGCCTCTGCATCATCAATGTCGACTCTCGGAGAAGTATTATGTGCGCCACAAAAGTCATCGCAAGTCCCTGCACGGTTGTCTTCCCTTGTTCTTTTCAGCCTATTGCATCTTGCCTCTCCTGTCAGCTCTCGTGCCTCTCGCCTTCTTCCTTGCCTGTCTCCTTGAGAGCCTTGGGCCCCTTGGGATTGCTTCAGCGCGAGAGGGTCAAGTTGTTGTCATTGAAACACAATTGTCAGAGCGTTGTACAGGGCAAGCTGCTGAAGACTTTCTCCGTACACTCAGCCCGTGCCGTACACCAGGAGTCAACTGCCAGAGCCACAGCCACCGGTGTCCGGTACCTACAAAGATGGACATAGGTACTATATATAGGCACATTGTACGATCAGCCACACTTATCAGCAGCAGCCCACGTACTTCTTCGGTTGTTGATTCAACCACTAATCAGCCCTCAACCCGAGAATACCCCACCCCACATCTTCTGATCCTCATATAAGCCTTTGGCCGTGAAGCATATGAATGCCTGATTACCCACACCAGAACGCTTGTATTTCCGATGAATGCATGACATCTACAACCTTGAAGATAGGAGTACAACAAACGCTAAAGAACACCACGAGACGGGGCTCTGTATCGGCATCAGCTCCCTCCGTACCATGGCATCCATAGGCCGTGGGCGTCTTTGGCTTGGTCTGAGAGCTTTCTTTAGGCTTCTGCCATGGCATCGTGGCTATGCATGGTTTAGATGACCGCCTCGAATTGGAAGTCCAGAGAAGTGCTCGACCCATTTTTTGTCCACTCGCACCTCGCTCAGTCACACAATTGCACATAATGATGAAGAGCGTCTTCTTGGCTAGATGTAGCGTTCAGCGGCAAGCGTGACAACAACCTACAGATGTAGCATGTAGCCACAATCCCGTCGTCTTGCAAGCGCGCCGGCATCATCGCATCCCGACAGCCCGTCGTTGGCGTGACGCGCATGTACTATAGAACCATACATCGCTTGTCCATTCCAGGCCTCAAAATCTCCATGCCTCGAGCTCTATTCTTGTCTCGTACAATGACGCCTGGTGTACAAGCTGTACGTGCAGCATTGAGCTCCTTGTGGCGCGAACTGTGAAGCGATCACCGCTCGTTACCGCGCGGCTTTCGCCTTGCGCTGTTGATTGACGTACTTCCTGATGATCAGCAGGGCAGTCATGTAGTCGCTTTCAGAGTCGCGATCGTAATCATTCGTGGACCAAATCGCTGAAGCTCCAAAGATCCGGTCGATCCAGCGGGAAAATTATATATGCCTTTGAGTTTGAGTACATACGTCCACTCAAGGCTGAAGGACTGGGTGACGATCAGTAGCATTTTGACGATTCTGTCCAGCAAGAAGCAATCCTTCAACCACGCTCTGTGGCCGAAGGTGTAGAAAAAGCTTCCCAAAGAGCTCGAACATGCAGTATTTGAAATACGGGTCTACTGTCAGCTGCTTCCATTGCCGACTACAGCACAGATAGGGGAGCTCACGAAGGAGTTGGGTACAACACTATTACGAGCACTACATATCAGACGGATCAATGACAACAACAAGGCTGACAACAGTTCTCGAGATTGCCCTCTATTTGTCGATCCCGGCGGTCCCCCAATCCCCCTGTGTGCCGATGGTTTGACGTCTGTGATCTGAGGTCTGTACGTAGTTGTGGCCTCTGCAATCTGTAATGTCCCTGCTGATCTTGATTCCGTTATCGTGACTAGCTTCCACACGTCACATGCAGTTGTTTCGTTATGAAGCCGTTGTCGTCATGCGCTCTTATGTCTGTCTGCTCATTTAATGAAATGGTACGTATATACGTACAGATCTCGGAGATTCTCATCAGTCACTGCTGCCTTTCCGGATTTGTGCTTGTGCAGTTGACCAGGCTATCGCACAACAACAAAATTGTGTAATGTGGTCTGGGATCGTCGACTATATGCCCAGGCTATTGAGCTTTGTTGAGCGAATTAACAGGAGGGGGGAGTGTACGCATGTGGTCCGGCTTGCCCTTTTCACCCCTGTTCGACGCACTGTACTATAGGACATAGTCTAGCAACCAACGGCCGACGAGGGATGATGGCGATAGAGCTGTCATATCCATAGGCCGCGGGGACGACGGGCAGTCGATCACATGGGGACTTTAGTCGATGTCCGTCATTCATTTGCGACAGAGTTATTGAAGAGGCCCGGAACTCCGGCAAGAAGATGCGGTAGATGGCTGAGGAATTTCTTACTCTCCATGAAAGAAGTCCGCACCGGCACGGCATTCACGCTGGCAGCCACATCAACAATCAATCATTGACGCAGACTCGACCCGATGATCGACATCTCAAATATGAATGGCTTCTACATATCCCCATCTTCACCAGTCGCCGGTCTCACATCGCCGTTTATTGGCTGTTGAGACAGACGCTCTTGCTATACTCAAATTCTCAAAGACGACTTCTTGGGACGATAGACTGTTCTCTCCATGATATCCAGTTACCACCCGACACCCGATACCCGACGAGGCCGCCCACCTCACGCGGAGTGCGCGGAGATCTTGGGCTCCTGATAGGGATTTAAGGATATCTTTGTTAATGTACCTTGAAAGCTTAAAATGTGAAGAAGAGATGTCGGTTGTTATCCAGTTTGTGATCATTACCATGCTGCATGGTGCACGTACAGGGCTATGCGCTATGGCCTACATATGGGTACCTGGCACGCACGGCAGCGTCGGCAGAGCTCGGCACGGCAGCAGATGGCACGGCAGAGAGCAATCGAGAAAGAGACGCTCTGTTTGTTGGCGGATGTACAGTGATGGATGTATATACACTGCACATCTGGCCTTTTTTTTGGTTGCATACAGAGCCTGGAAATATCATGGACACGGTATGGCCCTGCTTTACAGGACAGTAGCGACAGTTGATCTACAAGATCTACATACTCGTACTCGAGTACAGTACATCTATCCTTGCGGACCCTCCTACATTCGCTTTCATTTCGCGTTCGAGTTGACTTCTACCGACTGAGATACAAGGATGCAGTCGCTACTGCACATATGCATGGCCTGTCCGAAGTGAGACAAGGTGACAGATCTAAGACCACGTTCTGCCGCGACCCGACCCAAGATCGTCAAGACCTACAGATTCACTCTTCCTTCCGTTCCGTATGCCGGGGTCGTAGCCCCCGCAGGGGTTCTGTTTCAGGATTGGGGAATGGTAAGATTTCAGAGATCAGACGTCGAGATGAGAGATACGGCGGGATGCAGGAGGCCGGCGGCCCCGGCGGTCGGGGAGGAGAGATGAGAAGCAACGAGCGGGTATTCTGCCTGGGCCATGACACACATATTGGGATCACCTTCGGGTCGAATTCTCTGGATACACCCAGGCATACGGGGACGGTGGAACGGGCCTAGCATAGGCAGAGGAAGGAATTCTCCATGGGTTCTCCCGACAAGTGCAGCGCTTCCACCACGCCAGGCCTCGCAGAAGCTAGCTGTCGGCAGTCAGAGGTGGGAAGAGCCGACAAGCCATCCACGGAAGTGTACTATATGTTATTACATGTATAAAATGAGATTAGGAATAACTTCCTGCAATGATAGCAAGCAGATGGTAAAAGAAAGCCCCCTGCAACCGGCGGCTCTTTCTACGCCTCCGTCTCTCTCGGCCCCCGGCGAGTCGCCACCATCCCAAACATCACGACTTTTTCCTTTTCCTTATCTATTCTACTCGTCTTCACAATGCCAGACCCTCTTCCGCCCTTCCTCGCCACTGTCCCCCCTCCCACTCCGCCCCCCTCCCGCGCCAGGCTCCAAGCCCTCTACGCCGCCTCGTCCACCCAGCGCAGCTCCAACCCCACCGGCTACGCTGCCAACGTGCAATGGTGGGCTGCTGTCCTCGAAGAAACGCTCAGATCCGGGTGGATCAATGGGGAGGGAGGAGATCGGCTGGCTCTGAAGGTTGATGAGGCGCTATCGGGGAGACTGGAGGATGAGAAGGGCTCGAGACCGGCGGGCCTTGGTGGGGTCGTTGTATGTCCTTTCTTCTTCTTTCTTCTTACGGATAGGGAAGGGACTGATGTAATACAGGAATCTCTAGCTACGACTACGCCACCCACGCTTCACCCACTCCCACACTTCCTCTCATCCCAGGTGCCATTGCACCTACCACCTTCTATGACTTCTCGGTTCATCGGACGTCCTCTATGGTGGGCTTTTGGGCAGTTGAACCCTTTCGGTGGAGGGAGCGATAAAGTCGAGAAAGAAGAAACGTTATGGAATCGCTACGGTAAGGGTAAAGAATATGTCCATATGCCTTTGCTCGAGGTATGTCCTTCTGATCAAGTGCTGAACGTAAAGCTGACATGATCTATCAGCAATCAGCAGCAGCTTTCACAGCCCACATGCTCAAGAATCCCATTCTCTCCTACACTTCCTCCCTATTCGATGCGGACTCTTTCCTAGAAGAGTTTGGACGAGCGTGCTTCCCTATGGGTCCGACGGCGAAGAAGCTTTCGAAAGGTAATCATCGTCTGAGTCGGCGCGATGTGGAGGTCCTGGTCAAATGGCTTTCGAGGGACTGTCTTTTGACCGTCACTGATGGATCTGTGAGCACACTTGCATGTTTGAAACCCAAGCTTATGGCGAGATAGGTCATCAAGGTCCTGGATACTGATCAGGTCGCGGCGGATCATCCGATCTCTGAGGCCGACCGAGGAGCCGTCTCGGTGATGAACGCTCTGCGCAAAGTGGAATTACAGATCACCAGCATAGAACAACAGATCACAGAGTACGTTATGGTGCTAAGAGAATCTGATTACAGTGCTGATATGAAGGCAGGTCGCAGCAAAAAGCTAAAAAGCACCTGGCATCCGGGCAGAAGAATATTGCATTGTCCTATTTGAGATCCAAAAAGCAGCTGGAAGACCTCTTGAGCAAACGGGTTGCTTCGTCCGAACAGCTCAAATCGGTCATTCGAAGTATTGATCAAGCCAAGGGTGATGTTGAAGTGAGCCCCTTTCTTGACCGCTCATGGTGGAGCAGGGAGGCTGATACTATCCAGATCATGTCCGCGTACGAAACTTCTACATCCACCCTTACTGAGATTCTCGCCCACCCCTCCCTCTCTCCCGACTATATCGCCCAGACAACCGATGCGCTCGCGGACGCCATGGCCGACCAAAGCGAGATTGACGATGCTGTCAGGGTTGGCGGGGAAGTTGCGATGGGAAGCAGGCGGGTGGAAGTGGACGAGGATGATCTTGCTGATGAGCTGGCGGCGCTTGTGGAGGAGGAAAAGCAGGCAGAAGAGAAGAAGGTGTCGGAGAAGAGAGACAAGGAAGAGGCGACCAGAGCTGCATTGGAGAAACATGATCTTCCGACCGTCCCTGCAACTGCCCCTTCACTCCCGACGGAACCAACAGTCGTGCCAACAGTCACCAAGCCTGTGGTGGACGAAGCTCTGTCGGAGGAAGAAAAATTATGGAGGCAGAGGTACGAAGAATCCCAGAGGCAAAAAGATGCTGAGAGGAAGAGGTTTGAGGAGGAGCGGCTGAGGAGGGAGGCAAAGATGCAAGCGGCAGAGTAGCTTGCCGGGATCTGGTGGCGTTGTTGTACGTTAGAATGAGGGGTAGAGTATATGAAGATGTTTCATATGATAGCATGCTCATGCTCCACAGCGGAATAGTCCGGGTTGAAACATCACTTGCAGGCCATAGCGGGCGACCGTGAATGACGGAATCGATGTTGCAAGAGAACAATGGCAGGACACAGGGTACATACGCAGCCACCCACGACACAGCACACAAACGATTCCCTGGCATTGGCGCGTCTGGGTGGAAAGGAAATGGGGAAAGGGACGGAAGCTAACCAGGATCGTGTGTGTCGGCAGTCCGAGTGTCTGTCTACAATCTGCGCGCAGTACAGAGGAGGCCAAATCGGGTCGTAGGGATTGATAACCTCGCCAGTCCGTCATTTAGGCGCCCTCACGCTGTCCCCATTGCTCCAATGTCATGTTCATTTGATTTCTCAACCCACAGTCTCTTGTATCAAACGCTATGGGCGCACAACCAGTCAGCCCCTTCAGATTTACATTTCTCACATATGGCTGACCATCACATTCAGGTCAATGCCGAAGCGCTTGCAGCTCAAAGAGTAGCCAGCATACTCAGTCTCCGTGACAGCGTCTTGAATGATATCCAGAAAACCTCTTCTAGCAACGTAGGAGCTGAACTCTTGGCTGATAAAGTTGGAGTGATCACTGGTGTAGACTCGGATATTGGCATAGGAGTGAGTGATGCCCGGATATGATGACTGGTGGATGGCTTGGCTGATAAGGGTTCCAGGCGGCTTCGCTAGCTACATTTGCTCGAGAAGGTGAGCATGGAGAGGAGTGATCTTAAGTAAAGGGCTGACGCTGGTGATAGGCGCCCGACATATTTACTTGGTTGATTGGCAGAAGAGACATATCCTGGCTATCATTGAGACTATCAAGACTCGATTTCCCAACACCACCGTCAGTACCGAGAAATGACTGGTCAGCGGGTGCGGATACTGACAAGGGACATGCACAGTTGACGTTGATAGAAGGCGACGCAGCGGATGCCCCATTCGTCAAATCCGTCATTGACCGGGTCATCAACGATGAAGGTCATCTAGACTTTTTCTTTGCCAACTCGGGAGTTATGGAGCTTCCCGGGAAAGAGAAAGAAGAGAGGATAGATGATGACCCCGGCAAGTTTCTGCCGGAACTGTGGGCTGACGTGTTTGAGACTTCGGAAGAAGACTTTCTGGCGTATATGCGGATCAATGCTGCCAGGCAAGCATCATCTTCCCCCCTACAGGCGTATCTCGTACTGACTCACCTTCCATGCAGCAAATTCATAGCCCTGAAATACGCCTCCAAAGCAATGTCCCTCACCTGCCCCGAACGGGGCAAGACCCTACCCGGCGGCTCTATCCTCCTCACCTCCTCTACCGCCGGCGTTAAAGCCCGTGCCGGGCCTCTCGCCTACTCGGCGTCCAACGCGTCTATTGTGTCATTCGCACAGACAGGGAGCTATGAGTTTGCGGGGAGAAATGTGAGGGTCAATGCGATCTGTCCCGGGCTCATTCAGGTGAGTTGAGCGATGGGTGGACTTTTTGAGTCACGTATGTAATGGGGCTGATGGGATGGTAGACAGAAATGACTGCACCTTTCTTGGTACCCAACCTGCATGGAGACAGTGGCACCCCAGCGGAGGGGATGATGAACCCTTCCCTCCGACATGGTCTTGCGCATGGTGAGCTTGCCACTAAAGCCATGTTTCAACTGGCGCTAACCTTGTGTGTTCTTCGCAGAGGTGGCAGAAGTAGCCGTCTTCTTGTCTTCTTGTAGGCCCCATCTACCTTGCTTGATAAGCAAGCAACCTAGGCTGACACTTTGTAGCTAAAGCCTCGTATATCAATGGACAGGCGATCAACATCGATGGAGGCTGGACTGCCGGCAATCCATTCATGCCTCGGCCCATGTAAAGATTAAGTAGGTGCTGTACTACTGATTATGAGATATGGGCCTCTTCGCACGTTGACAAGTTGTGCTTTGTATGCTGCTGTCACTGAATTGTATATAGCATTGTGACGACTTTGACGGGCTTTCCTTGAATAGATGGATGCGATCAGGAATTTCTCGAGAAGGTCAGAGTACGCCCGTATCTGGATACATACAGACCAGCTACAATGATTGTCTGGGGCAACCGGGTTCAAAACAGCGTCTTGAATGGCATCTCGGCGGTTGGCTGCAACCAGTTCTTCTCATCATACTCGACGCCCTTGCCCCCTTCGATCATGTGGAAAGTGTAAATTATTCTAGTCTTGTCTGAAGGATTTGGTGGGGACTTGTGCATCACGCTCCCTGATTTTGAATCAGTATGCGCGTCAAAGTAGAGAATAAGGACGTACCATGGATCAGGACCAAAGTGCCCGGCGGGCATGCCCCCTCTTTCCAGCCTTCCATCTCATCCCAGTTCTCTGTATTCGGCTCTACCCCAGGTACATCTTCAAAGGTGGTACCTCCTCCTTCGGCTCGTACAAATCGGTTTGCGGTACGCGACTTCCGGTGGGAACCGGGCAAGAATGACTCCAGATCGTCGTCAGTGCATACTCCAAAGATCAATGGTAATGATAGTAGACTCACCAGACACCCATTCTCCGGCGTGCACTCTTCCAGAGCGATCCAAGCTCCAATAGCGCTCGGGGGGTCGGTATACAAGAAAGTCGAGTCATTATGACATGGTACCACTCCTCCAATCCTCGGCTGTTTGCAGATAATCATGCTTTGCAACACTCTCGGACTTTCCTGCTCTCCGAGCTCCTTGGCAAGGGAAGAGACTTTGGAGGTCTCGAATGTGTATTTGCGAAAGACGGGATTGAGGACGGCGAGGGCGTGGCCGATCTTGTTAACACTTTGGGCAGGAGGGACGAGGAGTTTGGCAGGTGTGGTAGCTGTTGCTTGAGAGACGGAGCTCGGTTCGAGAAAGTAGCGAATCTAAGGCCAGTATCAGATCCAGTAGAGCTCTGCATTCGAGCTACGTACCTTGTCGCCAGAGTTCAAAAAGTACTCGTCTCCTACGTGAGCATCATCTGCCGCTGTTTTGAAGGTGGTCTGGGTACCTGTCAGCTATGTTTGTTGGCCAGTCTGTAGATCTCACCATAGGATGCCCTTCGATATCAAACTCGTCACATAGCTTCTTTGCTTCATCGAGCATCTCTTTCGTCTCTTCGGCATCGAAGAAATGTGGTAAGAGGAGGTAGCCGTCCTCTTTCCAGCGCTGTCTCTGTTCTTCAGTGAGGTACGGCATGGGCATGGGCAGACGCTCAGTGGCAGACGAATGATGAGCGATGTGGAGGTCAGAGTAGAAAGAGCTCCAGGAACGCTTATCAGCCGATAGCAGTGGGCGTCGGATATCGCCGACTCGGATACAATATGCACGAGGTGGAGGGTTATGTACGTATATATGCACCAATACCAATGAAGCTGTCAAGCAATTATTACCCCCGACCTGCATGGTGATGACATTCACTATCAATCAACTTTGGAGTGAAGGGGGGACTCACGCCAGGAATGTCAAGAGTGTGTGGCGACATAGCTCAGTTGGGAGAGCGCACGACTGAAGTTCATCTACTGGATTTCCATTCGTGCGGTCCCTGGTTCGATCCCGGGTGGCGCCAATCCTTTTGCTCCCGGCAAAGGTTTACTTTTTGGCGTGCGAGGGGATGCTCTGAAAAACAATAGTTCTGATACTAAGGGCACGATAGATAGACTTCATTGGCCGATTCCATAATCATAAGGGCGCACGGTAGCACGGCGGGAAAGTGTAGGGGCGTTGGTGGTGCTCACTTCTGTCGCGCCTCTGCAGGACATGTCTCTTTTCTGGCCCTACTTGCCATTCTGTTATGTCAATGCTGGTATCCCTATTCGATCCCATGCAAGGGCTACTGCATAGCCTTCCACAATCTGATGTTGAACGACGGCCCCAAGTCACGTGCATGTCACGTCGACGCGTTTCGTGTTTAACCTCCTCCCTCTGACATTTCGTCTTCCACCAAAAACAGCAAGTTCGCTGTTACAGGAGCCATGTCCTTCCCATCATCCGGCTCATTCACCCCCCTCTCCAAGTTCGCCCTACCGGTTCCGCTCTTCCTCCACCCGCAAGCATGTAATCCTACCATGGACCTCCTCGTTCTTCTCTCTCCCTACCCCGCCCCGCCTCTTCCAGGTCAGACACCCCACCGCATGGCCCACTGGACTATGCGGGGTGGAGCGGCTGGGGGTAAAGGAAAGGACAAAGACGAGGGAAAGACTAGAGTCGGTCTTTGGAGGACTGGAGGCGACAAGGTCTGGGAGGTTGATGTGAGCGGGCGAGTAGGGGGTATGGCATGGATGGAGGATGGTGAGCTATGCTTCTTTCATCTGATTTCCATGCTTATAAGATAACAGGAAGGTTCTTGTCGCTGCTGCTTGTATCCTCAGGAGGCAAGACAATCGACACTCTGTCGGTCCATACCGGTCAAGTAGCCCGCTCGGTTCCTATAGAGCTCGAATTGCCAGTACTCGAAGATGGACAGTGGATTGAACTGGAGTATACTGATAGTGGCCTAGAGTGGGAGAAGCCATACGTGCGTATGGACTGATCTTGATACGAACGTGACTGACTTTCCGGCAGAATGGGTCTGCAGTGATGATAATTGATTCATTACCTCGAGTCACGCCGGTAGAGCCTCCAAAACCCGTCAAGTATGTCTGTCACCCCCCACAGCGATGCTTTGCTGACTTTTCATGAACAGTGTTCTACCATTCATGCGCCAAAAAGAGACTGCTCCAACGAAACAAGCCCTCCACCCTCATCTGTCCTCCTTTCCAGCCCTACTACCTTCCATCCCACCAGCAACCTCCTCTATCCTCAACATCCACTCACCCTCAGTCTCACTCTCCTTCCTCACCGGTACTTTCCCTCTCCCCCCGTCTCCGCCCTCGCGCGAAGTCCTAGAGATTGCACAAGTATCAGATAGAATCGTTGGTCTACTGGATACTGTCCTACGAGGCGTTGAGGGGATGGAACTGGCGTTTAGAGAGGGAGAAAAGCTGACCATGATCTATCGGGAAGAGCTGGAGACTTGTGCCAAACAGCAAGGGAGTGAGTGATCTTTATCTGGTGCTGTAGTAAGAGCCAAATTGACCTGGGACAGCTTCAATATCGGATGTACATGCGGATCTCTTTAGGTTTCTATTGACTGGTCGGGCAGGGGTCGCCGTGAGCGAGTGGTTGGGAAGCCGTATGACGCCTAGAGTGAGAGATCCGCTACGCATAATGGCAATAGAGCTGACACCCCGAAAGACAATAACGAAATGGGACACGACCATGGACACTTCTTTCCAGACAATTCAGAGACTCGTATCTGAAAGCGTGTTCCCGTCTCTAGAGCGTATATTATTGCTCTTGGAGGAGATCCAAGGCTGGTCACTCACGTGAGTCCATCGTCATGGCCAGTGAGGAGAAGCTGACAAGTAAGCAGCCCGCGCTACCAAGAGCACCTCGACCTCGGGGATACTGCAGCTATTGAGAAGAGCATGCACCTCGTCTCGGGACTGGCCAAGCTCGTGGACGGGATTCGGTTTAATGCAAAGCATGAGCAGCTTGCGGCGGCGGACTTTATGAAGTGGCTTCGATATGGTACGTCCACGTCCTCCTGCGTCTATTCAAAAGAAACGACTGACCTGGATCAGAGAGCACGCGGTCAAACCAAGACCGATCAACTGAAGAGCCTCCATACGCGACACACGACCTCAAACTCGTCTGGTCGTTCCTCCAAAACGGTTTCACTCAATCGCCTCTTCGAGCCCATTTCCCCGATCTGCTCGAACGGCCCCCGAAAGACCTTTTGGACGAAGCTTTTGTCCAGGGATTGGCGAGGAAGAAGGGCAGGAGAAGGTTGAATGAGGTGATGGATGAGACGATGAGAGTCCTCACTCGACCTAGAGGTCAGCCTGCCTCGCGGCAAGACTCGCACGCAGATTCGTCTATTGCCCAGTCAATGTCCATCTCCATGGCTATCGACGACCCCCCGTCCCTCGATATGTCCCAAGACCAAGATATCTCTTTCGCATCGTCCTCTTCCCACTCTACCATCGCCGACCATACCAAACAACAAGAAGATCCGTATGCGATACAGGGCGTGGTAAGGACGATGGAGAAGGAAGTGTGGGTATGGTCGAATAGCGTGGTGCAAGAGTGTCGGGCGTTGGTGACAGCTGCTGTGGGAGCGGCGAGTGGGGAGGTGAAGGATAGAGGGATGGGTAAGTGGGAAGGGTTGAAGGACCAGAGGGCAGTTGCACAGGGAAAATGGATGGCCTTGGTACCGCCATCGATGGATCAACGTAAGCTCACCTCTTGGAGATCGCCAGAAATGCTAACTGGACATAGTATGGATCATATACGACTCGGCGGACCCGCTCGAAGCTCGAATAGGAGCATTCAACCTCGCACCTTCCTCTTCGCCCGTCTCATGCCTCGCCTTGCAATTCTTCGACGATGAAGAGCTCGTCCTGCTGCTTGACGATCAGTCGGAAGATCAGAAACATCTGGTGACTGTGCGGTATAGCGATCTCGATGGGATGAACTCTATACCCGCCGGGTTGGAAGATTGGGATGTGAGCAGACTGGTCCAGATAGGTCAGCGAGAGATGGGCGTAAGTACTTGTTGGCTCCTTTTTTGTCTGTATACTGATAGTCTATAGACGCTACCTCCTTTGCCAATAGCGCGTTCCCGCCCTATAGAATCCCGTGTCGCCCTAATTACCCTTGACCCCACCGCAACCTACCCACCCATCTCCATCGCCCTCAATGGCCGTGCCGGCAGAAGGCTCGGGTGCTTGTTGGTGGATGCAGAAGAAGGCAAGGCCGTTGAAGTTCTGGATCTAGATGCTGACGAGGATGAGGAGGACGAAGGAGATGAAGAAGGTGATAGGACAATTGATGAGGGCGAGGGCATGGAGGGAGAAGAGTTGTAGTCTATAATGCAGGATGATACATATATTCAGGCTTCTTCAGGCACTGCTTCCACATCGCCATCATCCGGATCTGGGAGCGTATACACGGGTGTCCCAAATGTCCCATCTTCACCCTTGAACCTACTTTGTCATTAGCCCCACTTGAATGTCTATGCCGTCAGCGCACTCACCCCAGCACCAACGATTTCCACCCGCCCCATCCTAACGCTGAGAGACTTCTACTTCCGAACCCTTCATCGCCTCCTGTTTCCAGATTGCCAATCTCCTTCTGTCCTCCTTCCTCTTGAGGCTCGAGAAGTTCCCAGAGCTGGATATCTTTTGGGGAAGAGGGCGCTGCGACAGGAAGGGTGGAGGAGAATGGTTCAAGTGCCGATACCAAAGACTCTTTGAGAGTTGATATTTTGCTGAGTCTCATGTCAGCTACTCTATACACTTCAAAGAGAAAGAGGGACGTACGTGTCTGAGGGGACCGACAGAAAGACGGCGGACCTGTAGAAGTGGAATGTCACATGCGTGAGATTGGATTTCTTGGGCGGCTATGTATGTCCAGTCAGCTTGCCCTCGCTACTCGTGGCTACGGACATACCATGTTGGATGATGCTTGCAGGTGGAGATGAACACTCTAAATGACTTGGTTGCCGCGGCGCCGACGCGACTTTGTTCACGGAGTCGCCCGCGACGATGGTGCGCTCATCATCTCTTGCATCTCCAACGACTTCGCTTTCCCCCATCCTCAGCTCGATGCTCCCCTCATGCCCGTCACACCCTCTCTCCTGCCCACCCGCCCATCGAGCAGCGCATCCTCAGGTTCAACGGCGGCGGCGTACTTCCCCGAGCATGGGCAGTCCTCGGATACCGCTGCCTGGGAGGCGGTATTGGGCAGCGGTTCCTCATCTGTAGGGGGCAGTGAGCAGACAAATGGCGTGGTGAGACGTCGAACACCTGGTATGGCCTCGAGCTCGACACTCCCCAGCTCGTCGACGGCTGCGTCCTCGCGGTCAGCGTCCAAGGCATCTCTCCTTTCCACCCCACCACTCCTTTCCTCCCCCCCCTCGCCTTCCCAAGCTGCCTCCTCCTCGCCTTTATCACACCCCTTATCTCATACCACGCCGAACCTACCGTCGACCTTGATTGATACAAGACCGGCGCTGCAGCGCGCCACGTCCAAGACCGAACGGCAAGTCGCCGAAAGCAGTAATGGAGGAAGTGAATGGAGTGATTGGGGTAGTGGGAGGGGGAGTCTGGATGTGCTCCGGATGACGATGGAAGAGCCTGAAGGCGGGGGAGGGGAGGTTGAAGTTCTGATACACGGTGTCAAGCCTCACGAGTCACTAGCAGGCATAGCGCTTCTATATGGCATCGACGTGGGTCCCCTCCTTACATTGTTGTGTATAGCACTCACAACCTCCACAGCTCACTACATTACGCAAAGCCAACAAACTGTGGGCTACCGATCCTATCCACGTCCGGAGTCACCTCTACGTCCCCCTCGATGCCTGTCGATGGAACAAGGCGAGCGAGACCCTGGCAAGAGGCCCCGGGGAAGGGCAAGTGACGCTTCATCCAAAGAGAAACAAGGGAAAAGGCAAAGAGGAGCCCAACAATTCACATGTTTACCCCAATGGAGAAGTCGAAGAAGCAGACGAGTCCGGGCACGACCCGCAAAAGACTCCCAGAGTGCTCGACATCGTTCGCATGCCCTCCTCCCAGCTCCGACCCTTCCCCCGTCGGCGTCCCCCTGATCCTCCTTCACGCTCTTCTCAAGACCTCGATCGGGTCATTCAAAGCGAAAGAGATGATTCTACAGAGGGTATCATAAGACGGGCGAGTCTGACGCTAGGAAGAGAGCAGGGGCCATCGATCATCCCTGATCTTTCGACGCTGCCGCCTCCACTGAGGGCATCGTCAGCAGATCCGGGGAAGCACAAGAGCAAGACAATGGTCCGTCTTCGTCCACCTCAAGCTACCACCCCCCTGCAGACCTCTTCGACGCTGGCGAATCGCCTGAGCTCGTTATTCACCATTGCGCCCCCGCCACCACATATGGCGCCTTTGTCAAGCCCGGGAGGTGGGGTGTCGCCTATCACGCCTCTGCCTGAATCGGGCGTATCGGCACGAGGTGGTGGAGGGAGGAGTTCAGTAGACTCTTCAGCCTCGGGGCGAACAGCGAGACCGCTGAATGATTCGCGTCGAGGTTCGTCGGCAGAGCAGGCACAGGGGCAGAGGGAGGAGATGGAGCTTGTGACCCGAGTCAGAGAAGGGGTGGGATTGGGCTTGGGGATGGGGGTGTTGGGTGGGGGCCAGAGTTTCCCTGGAAGGAAATCTAGATCGGGGAATAGAAATGGGAAAGCAAGAGAGAAGAATGATTAGCGTAGTTGTATCTCTTAGTTTTCATCCCCTTGTTGATGGTTTGTCTTTATAGAGATTGAATTCCTGTGAAACCATTTTTGCACAACAATACATTGTGATCCGTGTAGATCTCTTGGGGTATGCTGGTGATACAAGATGCGGGGTGATATTATACAACTCTTCTAGAGGGACGATGTGTTCGGCGCCTGGACCTCTGCAACGTCCCGTACTTTGCTGCCTACAGCGTTCGTCGTCTATTCCTCATCAGTATTGACCTGATGGAGGGAGTAAGAGACGGGACTTACCCGGGCAAATTGTGCAAGATGAACATCCACTGCGTCTGACTTGACTTTGATCTCCTTTTTGGCTTTAATGTACGCATCTCGTTCTTTTGTGATCTGAGCAACTTGCGCCTCTCGCCTGAGACACTCGTTAGTCTGTGTCTACTTTGATAAGATACGAGTGACCTACTTGAGGATCTCTCCAAGTTCGTGTTCTAGGCGTAGAATCTCCAGGGTCTGTTCATACGACTTGCTTTCTTTCGGCGCTGAATCCGAATGAGCTGGGACATTAGCAAAGGGTGATCAGACTCACGCAGACTATCCAGTACGCTTTGGTCCACACTACTCAGGAAGGTTTCGACGTCCGGCAGCTCTACATCTCCGTGTGTTTGTCTGTTTCTACGTCAGCCGGCTAATATCATATATCCATCAAGCTCAGGCTTACGCGTATTCCTCACATCTTTCCGTTTCCTCCCTCACTCTCTCCCTCTCATACTCTACCTCCCTCAATCTCACATCCACCTCGTCCAACTCTTCTCTCGCTTCCGTCGCGCCCGCCCGGGCAGCATTCAGTAACGTCTGTGAATGCCGAGTGAATTGGCGAATAGTAGAGGTCAACACCGGAATGGGGACTTTCTCCAGGTCTTCGACTTCAGTAGGGGTGAGGTGAGGAGCGAGGGCTGCGAGGAGGGATGGTAAGGACGGAGTTGGTGTAGGCGGTAGAGGGTTGGGAACGGGGAGAAGGAGGAGCGGGTCGGAGGGGTGTTGGGGGAGGATCTCTTTCGGGAGCGCCATTATGTAGGCGATATAGGAGAGTTGTAATGAAATCAACGAAGAATTGGAAAGTTGCGAAGAATGGGCGAAGGACCGGCAAAAGATAGAGGAGAGTAGCGCATTTCACTTCCACCCCCCATTTACGCATTCTCTTCGACATTTCGACATTTGACTCTCGCTCTATACATTTCCACGCCGAAGTCCACAACGATGCTCCGCTGCACCCCTGTCCTCAACACCATCCCCAGAACAGCCCCAGTCCAGGGCTACAAACATTTCCTCACCCCGCTCAGAAAATTGGTGGTGGACTATGACGCCGAGGCGCCCTCTCAAGACGGTGTCAGGTAAGGTTTCTTGCTGTGAAGAGAAGGGATAAAGCTGATTTGACGAGCAGGTCATGGATCACAAAGCCATTAATAGAACTGGCAAGGCAGAATCCGGATGTTGAAGTCGTTGTGAGGAGAGTGAAGAGGGGAAAGAGTGCGGTCTTACGGGGTCATTATGGTGCGTTGCAGTACCTTGCTCAACAGCTCTTTGCATTTGCAACGGGGCAGATACGTACAGCGGACCGATACTGACATTAATGGGCTAGTAAACGGACGAGACAAAGTCATCTGCGTGAACAGACTAGACGTCAACCAAGTGAACAAGAAGGTAGGCAGATTCCTGTCGATACCGAGAGCATGCGTACTCACGATTCATCTCACAGGTCGATATCCTTTTGAATTCATCTGGTGCCAAGGTCAAGCACCTCAAAAACTCAACCTTGGAAGCGGCGCCGGCGTCAGAGTCTGCTAGGGGTATCTGGAGTGCTTTGCATGACCAGGCTCGGGACGGAAAGGGCTACCAAATATAGATGGACTCATTCGGAGATACTGAAATTTGTATGTATGCATTTTGGTCACCCAGAGAGATTATGAGAAGGACGGGACGAAAGCGCGAGAAGGAGAGGAAGAGGAGTGCAAGACGTGTGAACATGTGGACATGTTGCATGTGCTCGTGATGATCAGTCTATGCTACTCTATCCCAAAACCCCTTGAAAACGAGTACGAAAGGATTCCCCGCGAATGTTTTAGAGCTCGGAGAAGTATCTGTCTCAACGTCAGTATAGCAGCAGCAAAACGGTACTTCAACTCACTCATCGAGTTGCCAAGCCTGTTCCCAGTACTTGACCTCTGCCACCAACCCACACTTGGCACCCTCTTCCTTGATCCTACCGTGCAACTCCATACCCTTCCTGACACAAGCCCAGTCACCCTTCCTCATCCTCAACAACGGACAGAAGTCGTTGCCTCCGTCTCCGACATAGACGATCTTCTTGAAGCTGTCGATACCACCGTGGGCCGCGAGGTAGGTTGAGAGCTCGTCACCCTTGCACATGTTGGCGAGGCATCCGACAGTACAGCCGTGAGGAGGCTCGGTGGCAGGAAGGCGACGGCCGATGATGAGGTGGTCAGGGGCAGACTCGGACCAGTGGGCAGGGTTGGTGATCACGTCGGTAAAGAGGTCGGTGAGGCCGTGTTTCTAATCACTGTAAGCTTAAAGTGCCTTCTTGGAGCATGAATGCTCACCTCGAGGATGGTAGAGATGTACACCTCGTTGGAGTTGGACAAACACAAAAGAGAGTTGTTGGCGTCACGTCCCTTGTAGGCGAGAACCGCACGCTTCATGGCAGGATGCTATGTTTGTGATCAGCATTGATCTTCCACGACATGGTAATGAAGAATCGTACGAAGGGGAGGATTCGGAGAGCCTCAAGGACTTGCTCCTTCTTGAAGCCACGTTCGTAAAGGTCCTTCATGGTTTCATTGCTATACTCGAATAATTAGCCATGGTTTTCAAGCCGGTATACATATCTCCTTGCAATATAATATGGGCTCAACAATCTCACGAGACCCTGGCAGCCAGACTCTACATGGTACACGTGCGGAAGAGAAGACTCACACAACATCAGGCGTACATTGCGAACCCCCAGACTTTCGAGTCTGCAACAACCGCCTGAGCTCGGTAGAGAGCACCTCAAAGACCCATCGGTCGGTGTCCTGGTCCACGAAAGACCAGTCGAAGTCAAAGACGATCAATTGCTTGGACATTGTTGCTGACGCGAGGTTTGCTGAATGTGAACGAGAAGGAAAACAGAAGGAAAAGAAAAACGCGGGATGAACTGATTGCACTTATCTCCTAGGCACGGGTCCAAAATCAGTCAAACAGCCCGCATTGCTTGAACGTGGCAGTCTTGCTTCCAGTGTTCAAGCTATGCATTGTGTATGTGTATGTGTATGGTGTATGGTATTCATTAAGTGTATTATAACAATGTCCTCCAGACCATCAAGGTCTCTCAAATATCCCTACTATGATATAAACAAAATCAACAGATCAAGACTCGTTCTTTCTCTTCTCAATCCTAATGGTAGGATCGTCTCTACAACCCCATACCACTTCGAACACTATCGGTCAAAGGCCAGGAGGAGCCTGTGTAGTCACCATCGATAGAGAAAACGTTGCAACCCCTGAGACCTGCTTGGGCAGCGAACTGAGCCTTGAGGTTCATGGACTCGGGATCGTCGTATGTGATGATCTGCCCGGAGGAGCTCGACTTGAGCCAGGGCTAAGAGGTCTATCAGTGTCCACATCCGTCAAAGGTCAAGAAGAGAACATACAGTGCTAGAGCAGCTATCCCAGTGCCTAGTGAACCCTCCGTCACCAACATACGATCCATCCTCCAACGTGAGCGCCCCTTGCGAGAGAAGACTGTACCACATGACCTGCCCGTCACTGGTACCGCCATCCTCGTTCGTGACGGTGACATCGCTGGCTCGCTTTCGGTGTTTGTTCTTGAGGCTCATGGCGTGACGCCTGTGAGGAAGAGATTGGGTGGTGTCGACGGATCGACGTTGAATAAGAGAAGTGGCGGTTGAGTCTTGAAGGTAACCGTAGCTGGAAATAGATGTCAGCCCGAACCATGTTGTGACGGAAGAGTAGACATACGCGGGGACACCAAGAGTGATCTGGTCGGCGGGCATACCGGCGGAGGTCCAAGAAGACACGGCAGCGTAGGCATTCGCCAGCGGCTGAGTAGAGTTGTTGCACCCGTCGGAGAGAGGAGCGTTGGGACCGGGAGTGGTGGCTACATCAGATTAGCTTCAATCCTTACTTAGTTGTTACACGACCAAGCTCACAAGAACCCCAAACGTCGTAGTTCATCTGAAAGACGTCAGCGATGTTCGAATTCCATAAACAAAAGAGGGCTTACGATCAAAATCCAATCAATCACCTTGGCAAACGCGCTCACATCCGTCATGGGGTTTCCGTCGGTATCGGCGAAAGGCCACACCTGCGTAGCAGTAGTGATGATCGCCCCGCTCGGCAAAGCTGACCTCAAGTCCGTGAGGAACGTAAGGAAGTTGGCAGAGTCGTCGGAGGACACGGCGTTACCGTCTGCACCATCCGTACCGGGGTACTCCCAGTCGATATCGATACCATCAAGGTCGTACTCGTCGTACAAGTCCACGATGTTGGAGACAAAGGTGGCTCGCAAAGAGTCACTCGCGGTGAGGGTGGAAAAGTAGGCTGATCCGGTCCATCCACCAACAGACAGCTTGACCCTCTTGCCGGCCTTGTGCGCATAGGTGACAAGGCTGGTGAGAGTCTCGGTAGCACTGTCATCGTCCCAAGTCAAGCCACCAGCCGAGTCGGGCACGGCGAAAGCAAAGTCGAGAATGTCGAATCTGTCCCAATCGACGTCTTCGGGGGTGATGTTGGTCGCCCAGTCGGGGTAGTAGCCGAGCATGAGGTTGGTACCGAGGGTAGAGGTGGAGGAGGAAGCGGAAGAAGAGGAGGACGCTGTGGAGGAGGCGTTGGTAGCAGAGGAGTTGGACTGAGTAGCGGAGGCGGTAGGAGTGGAAGAAATAGACTCGGACCACGAGTCGGTAGCCGACTCTGTAGCCGTAGACGACACATTGCTAGACAAAGTCTCGGAAGGAGACTGGGTCTGGGAAACAGTCGCAGAGGTAGAGTTGATCTCAGATGTACTCAAAGACTCGGACGCAGACTCAGTCTGAGAAGCGCTCGCCGAAGTAGAGTTGGTCTCGGAGGCGGAAGCAGAGGATGAAGCCGTAGGCCACCACCACCAGCCAGAAGAAGAAGACGTGGCGCTCTCAGTCGCAGAAGCGGTAGCCTCAAGACTCGAGTTGGAGGCAGAGGCAGTCTCGCTAGCGGACGCAGAGCTGTTCAAGACCTCAGAGAGGGTAGCCGAGGGCTCGAAAGCGGTAGAAGAGTTGGAAGCGCCAGCCAAGACAACCCCGCTGGACGAGTTGGCGGATTGAGAAGCAGACTCGGTAGGCAGCGCGGAGGAAGAAGAGGAGTCGGTGAGGGTAGCCGACTGCTCCTCGGAAATCGTACTGCTAGAGCTGGTCTCGTTCGCAGAGGGTGCACCCGTGCTCTCGCTTTCACTCGCCGTCACAAACGCACTGGAACTAGCAGTCTCGGTCGTAGAACTCTCATCCTCAGACAGGACGGTGCTGTTGGGCGCGCTAGCCGACGAAGAGCTCGATTCTTGATAAGAAGAGCTCGAATTTGTCGACGCCTGTGTAGAGGAGGGTTCAATGGAGGATGAGGTGATAGTCTCCGTGGCGGATGCCGAAGGAGAGAGAGAAGAAGAGCTGGATGCGGTGGGCTCGGCGATGGAGGAAGAATTTGTCGCTGCGCCAACAAAGGCGGAAGCAGAAGAAGATTGGGAAAGAGAGGATGAGGCGGAAAGGGTTTCAGAGGCGGAGGAAAGGGATTCGGATGATGACAGGGAGGCAGAGGATGCCGACGCAGTCGGCTCCGTGCTTGACTCGGTGTAGGAAGAGGAAACAGAGCTCTCGCTCGCCGACGAAACAACACTGCTCGAGCTCGAATCCTCATCATCACCGCCATCGCCAAAAACAGCCTGGCCGCCGGTCGGGTTTACCCAAACAGTATGAGTAGCCGTCATGGGAACCACGATAGTCGTCGTCGCCGTGATAGGCAACAGCCTCTCATCAAGCTCTCGCTCTTCAAGGGCCTGCCGGAAGCCTCGAGGGTGTCGATGACGCCCCGGAGGGGCGGTGGCTTTGGCGGCGAAGGCGGATTGGGAGGCGAGGAGAAGGGAGAGGACAAAGACGGCGGGAGAGGAGACCATTGTGGGAAGAGTATGGGTGGATGGAAGGTGTGTAGTGGTGTGCGTTGGGCACGAACTGAAAAGCTGCCAGAGCTTGTTTGGGGAAGATGTCAAGAGCCGGCTCTTGGGACAAGTGTGAGGATGCGAAGCAGATCAACTGCTGGAGATCAGAAGGGAGAGTGGTGGCCCGCTGGGCGAAAAGCAGGGAGAGGTGGACGGGTGGTGGAACGAAAGAGGTGTGAGAGAATAAGGATGAAGAAGAAATCGATACCATACATCATAACAGGCCAAGCCAAGCCATGAACCATCGACCAAGTGAGTAATTTGCGTGCCAAAGTCGCACCGCAGCCAATAGCCCCGGTCTAGGTCCATAGTTAGTCCACCTGAAGGAAAAGTGACGCCGGTTTGCGGGATCAGCGCAGGGGGCACGCGCTGTTTGCAGGGCATTCTCAGGGGGCGAATAATTGGATTCGCATGAAATGTTGCGATGGATGGATTTGTTTATTTCGGCTGTGCGGAGGCGGGCAGCACCGCCCTATTTGGTTCTCCCCTGTTACGTCAGCCCCATGTGGCTCTGGATTTGCAATTTCGGTGCGCCGGAGACCCGAGACATGCAGCCGCCGGCCGTGGTCCTCGAGTACATCTTTTTGCTGCTTCTACTTGCAACTATCACAGCTCATTAATATGCCCAAAGCCACCCTCGACTACTCGCTCTACCTCGTCACCGGCAGGGAACTGCTTCCCCCTGGCAAGGTACGTCTTCTCGAGAGGCTGCCATTGAGCTACATGCTGATACTTTGCTCCACAGGATTACTACGAAAGCCTCGAAGAAGTGCGTATATAGCTACATCTTGAAAAGCTCCACTTACCAAGAGGCATAGTCTCTCCAAGGCGGTGTCACTCTCGTCCAAGTTCGAGAGAAGAACTCCGATACCGGGGAGGTGCGTATGTATTCCCCTGATATGTGGCAAGGTCCCTAATGTCCAGTAGTTCATCGATGTCGCCAGAAAGACCAAGGCTATATGCGACAAGGTGCGAGGTCTTCAACTAACGAAGAAATCCTAATGACCGTCCACCAGTACAATGTCCCTGTCCTCATCAATGACCGCATTGACGTTCATATTGCTGTCGGTACGTTCACAAACGGTCTTGGTCCTTCTTGCGTCCAAAAGTTCTGATCGCCTTGCAGGCACTGCTGGTATCCACGTCGGCCAGAGCGATTGCCCCATCGGCCTTGCGCGCAGCCTGGTCGGCCCCGATGCCATCATCGGTCTCTCTGTCGGTAATGTCGCCGAAGCTCAGCGAGCCATCCAGCAAGGCGTCGACTATGTGGGTATCGGAGCCGTCTGGCCCACTGGTAGCAAGGATGTCTCGAAGAAGAAGAAGCTGGGACCCGATGGCGTGGGTGAAATCTTGGATCTACTTGCTCCTACTGGGATCCAGAGTGTCGCTATCGGTGAGTGTTCTCTCGGCCCGCTTGAGAATTATCGTCTGACACGTAAAGGCGGTATTCACCTCCCCAACCTTGCGCAGCTCTTGCACGCATCCATCGCTCCCGACTCCCGCAACGCGCTTGATGGTGTCGCCATCATCTCTGACATCGTAGCGTCCAAGACTCCTCGCGAGGCCGCTCAAAGCTTGAAAGCGGTGACAGACTCGTTCAAGCGAGCTCGTAAGCAGTATGCCAGTCTCGAGTCTGCTTTCGGCTCGACTCTCTACAAGCCCGGGAGGAGCGTGGAAATTTTTGTAGAGCGAGCGGTGGAGCTCATGGGCGTGGTCAAGGACACAAACCCTTTGGTGAACCAGGTATGTCCTGCCAAATCGCCATGGATCCAATGCTTACACAATGAATAGATGACCAACAATGTTGTCATAAACGACTCCGCCAATGTGACCCTCGCTGTCGGTGCTTCCCCAATTATGGCCACCCAGCCTCGAGACGTCCACGATCTGAGCCCTGCTATCGACGCCCTTTTGATCAACTTTGGGTAGGCTTGCAAGCTCGTATCTCAGCCATGAGAGTGCTCATCCACCATAGGACCATTACGGACAAAGAGGGTATGCTGGTAGCCGGCAGACAAGCGAATGTCAACCGCAAACCCATAGTCTTCGACCCTGTCGCTATAGGAGCAACAGCCTATCGCCAGGAGACATCACTCGGTAGGCCGCCTTGTCCCCTGCATGTCCATGAGCACCTCAGCTGACTCAAAGCAGAGCTCTTATCCCATTGGCAACCGACAATCATCAAGGGTAACGCCGGTGAAATCGGCTACATGGCAAAGTCTTCTGAAGTCACGAGTAAAGGTGTGGATGCCGCTGGGCCCGGCTTCTCTGACCCTGCAGCTATCGTCAAAGCTCTCGCTCGAACCAGGGGTATGTCTGATTTACGATGACCGTGTCAGTCCATGTGTGCTTACGATGTACAAGCTGCCATTGTCGTTCTCACTGGGGTGCACGACTACATCTCTGACGGCGTGACGACCCTCAAGTTGAGCAATGGTCATCACTATCTCGAGTGCATCACCGGGTCCGGCTGTCAGCTCGGATCCATCATTGCCTGCTTTGCGGGTGCTGCTAGGACGACGCACATCACCAAGCACGGGGAAGAGTGGGAGAAGGAGAGTCAGTTGGTGCAGGGTGATATGCTGGGCGCTGCTGTGGCCGGGTAAGTCGTGTTCAAACCAGTATCTAGACTTGGGCTGATGGAGGGGTGGCAGCGTGTTGGTGTATACTATAGCGGCTGAGGTTGCTGGAGTCAGGTCTGACGTGAAGGGTCCTGGGACTTTCCGTGCGGCTCTCATCGACGAGCTGTACAACCTTACGCCGGACGTGTTGCAGGCGCGGGCGAAGATTGAGGTGGTGTAAGTCTTTCGGGCAGCGAAACGAATCCTCGGTAGTACATGCAACACTATGCATGGTGCACAGTGTCCAGTCGATATGAGTGACTTGATAGCCTCTCATACGAGGGACTATGGTCTGACATACAAGCGTGCATCGACTATGTCAAGTTGGGAAATGCAAACTAAAAGCTCATTGTGCTACATAAAAGAACTCGGCACAAGGATGTAGCACGTCTAGCAAGAGAGAGAAAGTCGTCTAGCGTGATCAATGATGTTGTCGTTGAAATCGTACAATGTGATGCGCCGTCCTGGACGGGTGATTCGATCTCCCTTTTTCCCCTAACGAATGCCTCTATCGCTTTTCGCTCTCCTTATACACCCACCAGATTAACGGATCAATAAAGACAGCGCGCATTGGATGGCACAGCCAATGGTGACAAAGTAAAAGCCGAAGGCGTAACCGTTGGGGTTGCCGTTGATACTGGCACTCCAGACCTGACAACATAGTCAGTACAGATACCATTAGGAGAGCTAAGAACTCACGGCGCCACCGATGACGGGACCGAAGAATCGGGAGAACGAAACGGTGCTCTGAGCAAGGCCGTTAGATAGGCCGACAACTTGGGGCGGAGACATGGCATTCTATAAATGCTATATCAGCAATGGCGCGAGACGGGGCAACAAAACTCACGATGAGGACCATGACGGAAGTGTAGGCGAAAGTACCAGCACAGTACCTCAAAGCGGTCACCATCACCACACCGACCATCAGCAAGAATCCACCCTCAGACTCTGCCGAGGCCACCTTGTGCATGAGCGGCAACAGCAAGTAAGAAGGCACGTAGAGCGCACAGCCGATCCTGAACATCTGCAGGTGGGTGAATCGACCAAGGGGAGGACCGAGACGGGGATACAGGTAGAATTGGTAGACGAGCTGACACAAGCACATGAGAGAGATAATGAGCGAGAAGTGCGCAGGGTTGAGACCAAGACCGCCAGACTTGTAGGGACTGCACGACATCAGCTTTTATCAAAGAACGCCAAAAGGTCACTCACGTCACAAGGAAAGACAAGAAGACTTGGTCGTGGATGGTGTTGTGCAAGGCGAGAAGACCGTACTGGACAATCATCTGGACGGGCAAGAGAGCAAAGGACGAAGGCATCTTCTCAGACACTTGCGTTACAGCAGTGTCCACGGCATTGCTTCCAGCCTCAGCGATGGCAGCGAGGCCGCCCTGCGCACGATGCTCTGGAGCAGGTGAGTCTTGGAAGAAGGGGTCCACCTCGGTCCTTGGCGATTCGGCGTTGTAAGCAGCGGCAACGGCAGGTGGGGTTCGTACGCCAGTGTTGGAGAAAATGGCAGGCACGTGACCCGAAGTTGTACTGAAACGCCTGCCAGACATAGACAGGCGGTGGCCAGGGAGGTTTCGGTGGAGCGACATGTTTCCCATGCTAGTAACTCGACCAGTGCGGTGCGTAAGGCCGAAGCCGAAGCTACGACGATGGTCTTCCGAGACCGACGGCGAAGCACCGCCAACGGATGGTGAAGCAGCAGCTGGAGTATCATTGAGCGGCTCGTCATCCTCCTCGTGCTCCTCTTCAGTCTCCTCTTCCTCGTCGTCAAAGACAGCGGTGTCTTGAGCAACAGCCGCAGAAACCCAAAGGTCGTTGATATTGAAAGTGTTTTCTTCGTTGGCGAGGAGGAGCTTTTGAGCGACTCGCAAGGCCTTGTTGCCCTTGACGTCCTCTTCATCATCGCTGTCGTCCCGGTGGACAGCAGCAGACACCCGCCTTGCCGCTTCGAGGGCAGCCCTAGCTGCAAGAGTAGGATGTTTGGATCGGATACCACCATAGCCATAAGCCGTTCCTACACTCGCACGGCTGTCCCTTCGCGTACCCGCACTTCTTCCAAGCTCAGGGTAGCCACCGCCATGAGACACCGCCATCTCTTCTTCTCCGGGCGAGGTGACGCCTCGTCTGAAATGGGTAGATGGAATGCGGACGGCGGTACGGCTGGAGGGGGCAGGGGAGGAGTGTTGTACGACATCAGGCGATGAAGGGGCTACGAGAGGTTCGTCTTTCTCGACTTGGAGTTCGATTCGTCGACCGCCTCGAACACCACCATCCCAAGAGAGGAAGCAAGAGAGTACGGCACCACTGAAGAGGATGGTGGCCCCTACAAGGGTCGGGAGCAGATAGGGGAACTCTTGGAAGAGTACTAGGTACGGGTAAGTCAAATTCGTGGTTCAATAGAATAACTCACCAACGCGAGCCAAGAATGTGCCCGGGTAGTTCTCCTCAGGACTCTCCAATACACCTCCGAACAGGGGACCAAGGACACCACCCAAACTCCAAGCGAAGCCCAACATGGCGTATGCCCTGGACGCATTGGTCTCGTCTGTCAAGTCTCGAATAGAGCCTCGGAACTGGTCAAAGTCAGCCGGTTCGATCCCACCTCACTATACGTGTACTCACCACTCCAACGGCTCCTCCGAATATTCCCTGTACGAGTCGGACACAGATAGCTTCTGGAAGCTACGAGGGTGTCAGCAGAATATCGACTGGGCGCTATTGGACTGACAGATTCAGACGTGCCAAATACGACCAATGCGATGCAGCTTCCCAGCAAGCTCGCGACAAGCACAGCACGCCGACCGTGTCGGTCTGCGATACTGCTCCACAGTAAGGAAGTGAGGAATTGGGTGATGAAGAACACGGAAACCAAGTTGCCGGTCCAGAGACCAACGGCCGCCTCGGTGTCGCTGCTCTTTTCGTGACCGGCACTGTAGAAGAAGCCTACGTTCTAGTCAGTGAAGGCCTGTATACAGTCTCATGTCAAATATACCTTCTACTTGCTTGAGGATGAAGGGGGTGCACAGATTCGCCGCTAGCATTTCTGACGACATGGCCTGCGCACAAACGCGTCAACAACTCGGTCAAAGTAGAGGCTTATCGCACCTACGATACATAGCACCGCAATAGGGAGCACCGGGAGAGGCGTAGAATAGGCAGGCCTGATACCGGGGACGAGACTGGGCAGCTTAGGAGCTGCCTCCACCTCATCGAGCAGCTCGTCCACGATTCCGCCCGGGGTGCCGCGGCTGCTAGCCAGTCTATGCCCTCTTCCGTAACTTCCAAAACTTGGCCTTGATGCTCTGGAGCGGCCCTTGGGGCGGGGAACGGTTCCTCTCGCGAACCCCGAGTCGTTGGGGGAGGCGGTATCGAGGTTGGACCCGTGGGCGTGGGCGGGGGATGGGGTTTCGACTGCCAGGGCCGACCCCCCGAGAATGTCGTTTGGGGTGGGCCTGGACGGAAGCTTGATGTTTCCGGGGGGCGTAGCTGACATGGTGATGCCTGGGATGCCCCTTGTCCGAGAGATGTACAACGAAAAGAGTGAGTTGCGAAAGAGAGAGGAGATGCGCGGGAAATCAAACTTCACTTTGACTTCGCGAAGGAACGCGCACGACGGGCTGAGCGTCATCGGACCGAACTCGGACGTCTATCAGCTATACAAACATACGCATATCTTGTATTCGCATATATTTGGCGTGAACAAGATGCAAGGGGTATAGGCCAAGAGCATGTTGAAACAAGTCAGCAGGTAGGATAGGACAACATTCATCAGTACGAGTACAACCAAACAGAAGGGAACCCAGGCCACTCCCGCCCGCAAAGTGGTCTGTGTCGCGGGACAGGCTATATAACTATGTTTACCTTACATTTCCAGCCACAAAGCAACACGAAGAAGAATATCAATCAACGGCAGATAATCAGAAAGCTGGAAGATATGGACACGGTCTTTGGCAAGAGAAGAGGCGAAAAAGGAGGTCAAATCAGGCTCAAAGTGTATGTAATAGATCTGGCGCATCGCACGCAGCAAGTCAAAAGACGCCCTTGGCTGTGCGACTAGATCGCTAGGCGTTGGCGGCTTTGACAGATTGAAGGGGACACTATGTGTGTTGGAGGCCTGGCACATGCCGAGAGTCGACAGATGTCTTGGATCGAGCGAGCAATTGCGAGGGGTAGGCGTGATAGGGAAGCTTGAAAATTCTACTGTTCAGATGAGCATCGTTACCTGATCAGACAGCACGTCTCACTTACTAATTCTTGTACTGACATGACTTTCCCTCCTCTATATACCTCCACACCCCGGACAAGGCTCCACCGAAGACGAGTCATGAAGATGCAGAATCTTCTTCCATCGCTCCACCTCCTCAGGCGTCTCCTCTAGAATGGCTAGTATCGCATCTATGTCCGTAGCGCCAGTATGGTAAATGTCAATTCGAAAGCCGCGGCTCCCTAACCAGGGACTAACGTGAGAAACCTGGTCAGCTTCTTGTCAGTGGCTGGTTGACCTTGACTCACATATCATCATCCACACCGTCGCGAAGTGCTTCGATCCATTTCTTGATTATTACACTTTCATCCCCTTCCGGCTTCTCCTGAGGTAGGTAGAAACGAAGACGCTCAATTTGCTCCAGGTTGCTGGGGACAAGGGTGGGGTACATGTTGTGGAGCGATACGTTTCTGACGTCCAAAAGGTCGCTGAGATTCTTCACAACGTCATCCTCCCATCCCGGCTTGTGAGGGGCCTTTACATGTAAGCACACTGAGATGCCAGCATGAAGTACTGGAGGGAGGTCGTCACTTCCACCGAGGTCGGAGACGGGGCCCACCCATACAGAGGGGTAGGTATTCAGTTTCTGGGTAATTTGATCACCAAAGGCGAGCCACTGGGCGGCCGGGAACAGCCTTGCGTGAAACCCGTGAAAGTAACTTGCGATCTCAGCAGCCTCCTTGCACCGCATAACGGCGTCGATATGGGCGAGCACCACCCTCTGGACGCAGCTGAGGCAGGCAAGTTTTCAAACAGCGGCGTTGGAGATGAAAGTCACGCCGTGATTCACTCTCGACCACTCCTCTGTCAGACTATATCTGTGGCGATCTTGGGCAAGGGAGGGCCTCCATAGCTTTTGACCCTCGGGTTTCTGGGCTTCTCGAGGATCATGAGTATCATTGATCAAGGGGTAGAAGAACGTCTCGCAGTTTTGCCGATCGAGTGAGATGGTGTTGTAAAGCTCAGGAATAAAGTGGGCGTAGTGGTACTTGTTTATGCGGACCATACGAGTGAGGTCGGACTGGGTGAAGGGAGTATTGGTGAACCAGTGGGTGACAACGGCGCGAATCTCGGGGGGAAGGAGGAAGAAGGCATCGTGTAGGGATAGGCCGGGTGGAATGTGGGACATGATCACAATGAAAAGCGAAAGATAAAAGAGATTCCGAGTTCTAAAGTACATGCGGGAGCGAGGTCGGCTGATCGTTCGGCGATCACCGGACGTCAGTTGCGGGCGACCGAATTGGGTCATGGAGACCTTCGACAACGACAACAACGACAACAACAATTTATACCCCCATGGCCCCCCCCAGCGTCGCCAGTTCCTCCTCCTCCGTGATACGGCAGCGGAATCACATGGCGGAGTCAGAAGCTGGGCCCTCCACCAAGACACCGTCGCTCCGATCACGGTCCTCTGCGCGCTCAGCAGCCTCTTCTCCTATATCTCCGAAGGGCAAGGAAAGGGAAGAACCCTCAGATCAAGCGGACAGTGAGGAAGAAAGCTCGAGCGAGGATGAAGAAAACGTCACAGAGTCTGAGAGTGGAGAAGAGTCAGTAGAGGCAGATGGGGCTGGTCACGGTGACGACGCGATCAATGGACTCGAGGAGCACGGAGAGGACGAAGACGATGAATCAGAAGACGAGTCAGGAGATGGGTCAGATGAAGTGTCGGACGAGGAAGACATTGACGAGGAAAGCGACGAGGAAGAGGAAGAGCCGTGAGTTTGTCACCTCCACGGGCAAGCAGTGCTGACACCCGAGTAGGGCACTGAAGTACAGCAAGCTGCAAGGTCGTATACCAGAGATACTAGCCAAAGACACAGCTTCCACTATATCTGTATCGCCAAGATTCATCGTAAGGCCATTCCGAAGTCAATACCATGTTGCTGATGATCACGCAGGCTCTGGGCACGCACAACGGCATGGTCCATGTCCTGAGCTACGAAGGTGTCAAGGTCAACTCATTTCGGCCCCACGCTGCCGGTGTGACATGCTTGCGAATGGATGAGAGTAACGACTTTGTGGCGACCTCAAGTGTCGAAGGTGAGTCCCGCCTCCAGCCCCAAGTCGCTTGTTCAAACGATCTTAGGTCGGGTCGTCATACATTCCTTGACCACGCCTGAATCCTACGCTTTCGACTATAAACGGCCCATGCGAGCTATAGCGCTAGATCCCAATTATGCCAAGAAGAAGTCGAGAGCATTCGTCTGCGGAGGCATGGCAGGCAACCTCATACTGCAAGAGAAAGGCTGGATGGGCTACAAAGAGCAAGTCCTGCATTCCGGCGAGGGACCCATCTGGGCCATCGAATGGCGAGGGAATCTCATAGCATGGGCCAATGATCTCGTACGTCAGTCCCACTCGTCTTATGCGTGTGCTAATGAACAAGTAGGGCGTCAAAATATACGACACCAGCACCGGCCAACGCATAGGATTCATCGACCGCGGCCCCTCCGCCCCTCGAGCCGAATTATTTAAATGTACCCTCCAATGGAAGGACGACCGCACACTTATCATCGGCTGGGCAGATTTTATCAAGATTGTCCGTGTCCGCTCCCGGCCCTCTGCGCCTGGATCGGGCAACCTCCACCCTCTGACGGTGGAATTGACGGCTGTCTACCAGGTGGACTGTATGCTATCGGGCATTGCTCCGTTCGGTGGATCGTATGTCGTTCTGGCGTACATTGCGCCGGACCGATACGAGAACGAAGCTACGGACGACCGGATGGAGCAGCGGAGAAAAGCCGCCAACAGGCCGGAACTGCGGATCATCGAAAAGGGAGAGGAGATCAACGCCGATGCTCTCAGCTTGGGAAACTATCACATGTACGGGTGTAACGACTATACCCTGGTGAAATCCCAAAAGCTCGGAGACGAGGCTTTCCTGGTGGTCAGTCCGCAGGACGTGATTGAAGTACGGCCGAGAGACGAGGCCGACCATGTTGAATGGCTGGTGGAGAAGGAACGGTATGAAGAGGCGTTGGAAGCTGCTGAGGAGCTGCGGAAGAAGCATGGAGGGGTACTGGATGTGACGGGCATTGGGCTCAAGTATATGCAGCATTTGGTCGATGAAGGTGAGCTTCATCAAAATCGTTTGGGCCAGTCGCTGACTCTGCTAAAGAACATTATGATCAGGCTGCGGCTTTGGCGCACAAGGTCCTTGGGCAAGATGTTTCTGCTTGGGAAAAGTGGATAGACATCTTTGTACAACATCAGCAACTCCCGGTCATCATACCTCATATACCCACAAAGAACCCCAGGCTCAGTAAGCCTGTCTATGAGACAGTCTTCAGCCATTTGCTACTCAACGATAAGCCTGTAAGCGCCTTCTCCCATACACGCACCTGATCGAGCTGACGAGGATGTAGACTCTCGTCAAGACGATAACCTCCTGGCCTACCGACATTTACAACCTCCCCACCCTCATCGAATCTATCCAAAACGAGCTCGACGCCACCAACGACGACCCCACTCTTCTCTCCGCCCTTGGAGAGCTGTATCTCATCAACAGACTCCCGGCCAAAGCGCTGCCATACTTTTTGAGACTGAGGAAGCCTTATGTCTTTGAGCTGATCAGGGAGCATAATTTGTTTGGGGCAGTGCAGGATCAAGCTATACAGCTGGTGACGTTTGAGGAGGAGAGGAAGGAGGCAAAGAAGAGGGAAGAACAGGAGAAGGCTGACAAGGGTGAAGCGGAGACAGCCGAAGAACAAAAGGACGATGGAGAAGCTGTCCCGGGCGAGAAAAGTAAACACGGGGCAGCGATCAAGTTGCTGGTGGATCATGTCCATTCAATACCTGTAAGTCTCTGAGCATTCAATCAAGTGGCAATCATTGACATGGTGAACAAGATTGACAGAGTCGTCCATCAATTGGAAGTGGAGCCAAAATTTTTGTACATGTATCTCGACGCTTTACTAGACAAAGACCCGCAGTTCTGCCTACCGTATAGCGACACAATGGTATGTTCCTTTCTTGAGACTTTTGTGAAAAAGCTTGCTAAGCTTGATCGATAGGTCGAGCTCTACGCGGCATATGATGTCGAAAGGCTCATGCCCTTCTTGCGCGGTAGCAACTTTTATGACCTGGAGAAGGCTTACAAAGTTTGCAAAGAGCGAGACTATGTGTCTGAAATGGTGTTCTTACTCGGCCGGATGGGCAACAATAAGCAAGCTTTGATGCTGTTGATCGAGCGCCTGGGAGATGTTCAAGGGGTCAGTGATGACTTGAAAACACACACGACTCGGGCTGACGTCTCTTAGGCTATCGAGTTTGCAAAAGAGCAAGCCGACGAGGATCTCTGGGAAGACCTCCTCAAATACTCTGAGACCCGACCTCTCTTCATCCGCGCTCTGTTGGAACACGTCGGAGCTGAGATCAATCCCATCCGCCTCATCTCGCGTATCCGCGACGGTCTGGAGATCCCTGGGCTGAAACCCGCTCTGGTAAAGATCCTACAAGCATCGAATTTACAAGTGTCGTTGCTGGAGGGGTGTCAGAGAGTACTGAACGGGGATTGTGCGGGACTGATGGGGAGGCTGCAGAAGGCGCAAGTGGGAAGTATGAAAGCTGCTTGTGAGTTTGGCAGGTGTAACGGAGACTGAGTGCTTACAAGTGCAGCAACGAGCACCTGCGTCGTATGTTCTAAGGCAGCTTTCGATCCTCTACAGCCCGAGCTCGCCCTCATCTACCTCTGCCGCCACCTCGTCCACGCCACGTGTGTCTTGCCTGAGGACGTTGAACTGCCTCGACGGCAGGAAAACCCATCTGTCACATATCTTCTGCAGGACAACGACAAGAGTGGAGGAGTCAGCAGTCAGGCGTGGAAGACTAGGGCTCTTGGGGCGACGTTGGGCCATGCGGCAGCTGTGAGAGTAAGAGTAAAGCAGTGTCCTATCTGTGAGAAGCAAGGGTGAGAGGTAGCTACTGTATATACGCCTGTAATTGTACCTTTTAGCATTGTGCATTTCGGCCAGTGGCCAGCTGTCATTCCAACAAAAAACCAGGCTAGGCCGCTAGGGAAAGAGGGGCGAGGGCAGCTGACTGTTGACACCTGAGACCAGTGGCCAGGCCATTCCAGTGCGATCCAGTGAAGCTTGGTTTGGCGCGTCGCGTACGTACGGGCCTTCTGCGTTTAAAGTGGGTTTTCAGGGACATACATGTCGGTGGCTGAACGCGACATGCTCCACAAAGTTGTCGGAAGAGCTGTTGGGCCCTCGAAGAGAAAAGGTATGTTGAATGCATACTCATCCCAGCAGCATGGCTCGCGGAGCTGAATCTGCATCTCGACGTGGCAGAGACGTATGAGATTAGCTGAGATTGTCGATGCAATTGTGGTGCGATCGGAACGCTACACAAACAGGGTTACCGACAATTTAAGGTTGGAGGGTGACGTCTGATCCGTAGCGGCCGTGATTCCGCCTCCCGCGCGTGTTCTGGAACCAAAGCGAGAAGGATTTACAGTCACCCCCCCTTTCGTTTTTCGTGTTTACCACTCATCCGTCCATCTTTATCTCCTTTGTCCTCTCGTCTCGTTCATCAACAGGCCTTCCTCTACAGAGTATATAATACAGCGCTGGTCGCATCAACACCTACATCGTCGCCGGCGACGTCTATCACTGCCCCACTCTATCGCCTACGACCATCTGCGCCTCTGTATCACCCTGTACCATCTACCTTCACCCACCACCTACTTGTACAACACGCGTCGAGACCATGTCTCTACCAGCCCAACCCCTCTATGACCTCCCGAAGGTCATCATCACCCCCTCTTCCCCTACTGCCAATGGCAGTGCCCTCCTCCCCTCCCATCCCAACCATCCCAAGCGTACCCAGCGCAACCGTCCCAAGACCCATCGGTCTTACACAGCCCCAGAGTACTCCACAAAGCACCTCTACCCCCCCTCTCCCTTTTCCCTACCACCGGCAAAGAGCGGTCGCCGCCCTCTACGCTCGCCACTGTACTCTCTAGCAATGCTGCTAGTGGGGCTGGTGTTGATAGCGTCCTCGGTGATGTGCGCCGGCGATTCGGCGGAGGCCCTACTGGAGATGGAACAGAAGGGGCTGAGGAAGCTGGGGGATGTAGGGAGGGGCGTGGGGGCGAAACTAGGATGGGATGTGGGACAGGAGAAGGAGGAGCAAGTGGAAATACCGATTGTCTCGGCGGCGGAATCGGCGGTGACGGACGACGAAGAGGCTGGAAGAGTGTCCCTGGAAAAAGGGCGGGGAGTAGAAGAGAACATAAGACCCTCGGATGACGGGTCGGATACGGAGCGTCTGCTGGAAGAACAAACGGGTTCGATGGAGATGGCAGTTGAAGAGCTTGAACTGAGCGGAGAGCCCTCAGAGTTGTAGTAAACTTTGGTAATGTATGAATACAATTTTCCATCTATACAGTACACCCAACGTGTCTCAACATCCTCGTGATGGCTGTCATGGCTTGAGATAGCTGCAGAAGGTGAGGCTCGCTATCTTGGTTCTGGTATTCAGAGCCCATGGAGGGCGAGCGGGAAGCAGCAAGGTCAAAGGAAAACTTGCACAGAGAGTCGTGAAGACCGTATTGCCTGTCAGATGCATACGATGTCCAGGTCTGGTTGCCTCTCGAAGATCAGAAGGCGTTGCTACGATAGACCCTCAACCTGGTCCTTGCGATACAGTCAGTTCAAGCCGATCGCAATTACACAAGCACTCACTTGTCACGAACAATCTCGAGCGCCGTCTCTTCCTCATCATCTTCTTCGCTTTTGCTCTTCTTTCCCGCGTACAACTTTTCATTACCAGCCGCACTCCAGGAGGCGATATCCCATCTTGACCATCCCCACGTCTCTTTGATCTGCAACACGATTAGTATAAGCTTTGGACCTCCAGTTGGCAGCACACCTCAGGCTTCTTATGCGGCGCTACAATGACCAGCCACCTCGCCTTCCCACTGAGTTCGTACAGAAGTGCAAATAGCTCCGAAGGGTCAGTGACAAGGTGCAAGGCGAAAGAACAGATGACGATGTCCCATATCGGTTCATTCCCGTGTGGCTCGACTGTTTCAGAGGCAGAGGGAGGTAGTTGGCCTTGTGCAAGGTCGGTGAATGATAGGGGGTGGCAAGGGCGAGATGTGCGATCTGAGTAAGCTGGTGAGGTGTACTGTGTCCATATCAGCCAGGGGTCCGACAAAGCAGAGGAAGAAACATACAGGATCCGTGGCCATAATGTCAATCTCAAAACCCTCAGGTAGTGTTGGAGGTATCGCGTTCCCAAACACCTTTCTTCCAGCACCTGACGAGCTCGCAGAAGCTCTCTGAGGGGGCGCGACAGGCTTGCGCGAGGGCGGGACGAATGCTGGTCTACTAGAGGAGGAGGCTGCAGGGTTGGAGCGGAGGAAGGCGAGAGGATCTGCGGGTGTTTGAGGTGTTACTGGCGATGCCGGAGAAGGCGATGGGGATTTGGCCCAGTCGAGCAGGCAAATAGTGGCTTCTCCGCTACGGGGACATAATCAGCTTGTGTGACCCTGGGGTATTGCGAGAACGTACCTTCCAGCAGCCATATCCAGTATTTTCAAGCCTTTCTTCGCTTCCACTGACTGCTCCTCGAAGAGTTCTCTTCCTTCCGCTTCCCACCACTTGTTCATGAATGTCCATACCACCTATGACTTGAAGTCAGCTCCGTTGTCAATTGAAGCGTGTTGCGCTTGCCTTCTTGATGCCAGGGAAGAACGGATTTCGGTACGAAGCTGCTACTTTTCGATAGTACTAAAGAGGGGTGGTCAGTACGTTAGCCTGCCTCTGAGCACTTGGACGCTCACCTCGTCCACTCCATGTTCGTTGTAATTATCGCGCATGGCGTGTGAGAGGTTTCCGTGGACTGCCATTCTTGATATATTCTGCGTTTCGTATGGTTTGATAACGTGACTCGTGCTGTGTCTGGTTCAGAAGAGCGATATGTCTGTAGTACTCGCAAGATGACCCAGAACGACTTGGACCATGTAGTTTATGATGGTCGTCGAAATTTGGCAAAGCGCGGGGCTCCGAGACCGGCGGAACCAAATTCCTAGGTGAATAGGGCAATGTTGAAAGATGTACTTGTAGGTTTATTGGGAGGACTGTGAGTTCGCATCAGCAGCAGCAACATAGAAAGTATATCGTGCATGCAGCCATATGGGTCCCTATCATTTAGATATCACTCTCAGTCTATCTACCAGCTTCTGCAGCTCCCTTGCTTGCTCTTGAAACTGCCCATGCAACTCCTCGGCAGCTCGAAGTTGCGCTTCGGACTCGAGTATCCATCTGGCTTGAAGGCGCAATGTTTTCTGTTGGCCAGGGGAAGCATCCTCGAGTGTTTTACCAGAAAGCATCAGTACGTCCCGTACAATCTATAGAATGAAGGAGTAAGAAAAAGTAAGCTAAGTGTTTCTTCAACATCATCATGAACCAAGACTCAAGCGGCGTACCTTGCTGATTATCCTTTCTTCGTGCGCCAGAATCTAACTGGACGTAGCACACCTCAGGTTTTCATTTCCCTTCCTCTGCTTCCCATCAACGGCCCCGGGTTCTCGAGAGACCACATGCCTCTTGGCTCTCAACGCCTGAGGATCACGATGGTCGGTCTCCACGAGCTCGTTGATAGGCAGGAAAGGTATGGGAATAAAGTATCTGGGGTCTCTTCTCCGGAGAAGTACAGGGCTCATCATAACTGAATCCGGTATCGGATCTAGGGGTGTGAAAAGAGGTGTCAGGATGGGGATGACGAGATGATATTATTAAAAACCAGAGAGCCTGGGATGGAGGCAACAGAGGAGAGGGCTACCTTTTCTGGTCAGCTCGGACTCGAATCAAACAAGTGAGAATAGTACCTCAAGGCAAGATACCCGAGAGAGGCAGGGTGGCTGAGTAATAGATGTCAAGTCGTTCGTCCGAAGAGCGAGGATGGCAGCAAAGGTTCTATCACAACTTCACTTCACTTGCAGTCTGTTATTATAAGTGTTGTCAATTGGTGCAACCTCCGCGTAAGTTTTCGCGATGAAGATCGTCACTGACTCATCCAACGACGGACACGTCAACCGCCTGCCTTTCTTCTCGGAGTTTTCTCGTCCGGTAGACGGCCGGGTCTTAAGTGAATGAGTTCCGGAAGTTCTAGTCTTCTCAACGAGTGCATAGAGCCAACATCAGAAGCTCCGTCCCTTGTTTGGGTCTGGCAACGTTACTAATGGCAGAATCATTCACCCATCACGAAGAATGTGTTTATTGTTCTGGTTTGGCGTTTGTGGCTAAAAATCCATAGCACGTTTGACCGAGTGGTTAAGGTGTGTGACTCAAGCTTGTTTCCGCTTCCCTGATTTCAGGGTTTTCACATGGTCTCCGTACCGCGCAGGTTCGAATCCTGCAGCGTGCATTCCTTTTTTGTCTTTTTTTTTGTCTTTTTCTTTTTTTTTTCTTTGTTTGCTTTCGATATACATGCATTGATCGCGCCAAAACACTTATCCATGAGGATAAACCAGACAGGATGCATACGTCGCAGGGCTTGACAGACGATATCTGTGATTGAACTCGAATACCGCCGTGGAGATGCGATTTGACTTTTGGTCTTAACTGACTTCTGCGGCGCTGCCGTCATCATCACGTCGAATACGCGTAGGATTGCGGAAACAGGGAAGTGTCCCGAGCGCTGTGCGTTCACAGAGACAGATATCCGTTCCCAAATCTACTATACTGAAGCAGAAAATACTCAGACCAGATACCTTCTGTCTCTCGCATGCTCTACTACTGTACGCTCTATCCACCTCTGCCGAAAAGCCTGGTCCAAATCGGCCATATCGAGCACCAAACCAGCCAACTTCGAGCTCAATATTGCCATTTCCATGAGATTGATGCATATACAGAGAAAGCGCAGCCTGGACCGAAACTTCTATCACTTCATGATCCTACTCTCGTTACATTATACACTTCAACCCAAGATTCTAAGGGCCGGGGCCTTCCTGCTTGAGCGATGATCTACCCGCCCTCAACACCTCGTCGACGTTCAACAGGTTGACGGCAATAGTCGCGCTATACAGATATTAGTATAACTCTAGACTAGAGAAAGCAAAGACTCACGCTCCGTGCAACATCTGCCTCTTCACCCTGTAGTTATCCCAGACACCCTCCGCAACAGGGTCCATCGGCTCTCCACTCTTCAAGTCCAACCCCACACTACCGCCCTCACCGGCCTCTGCGAGCTCCTCTTGCAGCCCCACAATAGCATCCTGCACATCGAACCCTCCATTCGCCGCCAAAGTCTTGGGAATGACCAACATTGCCTCCGCAAACGCCTGCACACCCAACTTGGCCCTACCTTTCGCAAGAGTCTTGGCATTGTCGGCCAAATGGGCCGCACAGGCGAGCTCGAACGCGCCCGCACCGGGGATGAGAGCCTTGTCCTCGATACCGTTCTTGATGGATCTGAATCCATCTCGGAGGGCGTCCTGGATTTGGGTCATGGTGTGGGCGTTGGGGCCCTTGATGAGCATGGTAACGGATTTGGGCTCCTTGACATCTTCGACGAAGGTGTACTTTTCCTCGCCGAGGGTGTGCTCGTAGACGAGACCAGCCCAACCGAGGACGTCGGGGGTGAGGTCTTCGACAGAGTTTTGGGCAACACCACCGCAAGCGAATTGCAGACTGTCCAACTATTAGCCTTGTGCTGAAAGAAGCTGTGATGACCTACCGCTCCATATTTCTCCTCTTGGCTCGCCTCAGGGCCAAAATACCATTCTTCGCGAGGACATCCAAGCTCATAGGGTCGATACCCTTCTGGTTGATCACCACAAAGCTCTTAGGCTTCTCGTTGGACCCTATGGCCACATCACACACCGCATTCTTCAACTCGACAATCTTCTTGAGCTTGGAGTCGACGAATCGTCGCTCCGACTCGACAAGCTTCTCACGCTGCTCGGCAGAGTTGTAGAAGAAACCAGAGTTGACCTCGGTCTTTTCATACTCGAGCGAGACGTTGAGCGTCAGGATGTACGCATTCTCGACGCGCTTGGGCATGTCGGGGTGTCGCGCACCGTGGTCCATCACCAGACCCCTGACCAAAGTGGTATCCGTATCCGTCTTGTGCTGCATCTTCATGATTTCAATCATATGCAGGTCGATCGGTTCGCGGTACTCGTTCTCGGAGGAAGGGGCAGGGGGCTGGATGGCGAGGACAGCGTCGACGACGTCGGCAGAGAGTTTTGTAGCGAGTCGGGTGTGGAGCTTGGTGGAGAGGGAGGTGTTGGCGACGGAGATGAGGTTGGCACGGTCGAGTTTGGGGGTTTGTCTGAAAGAGTCGAGGAACTAGACAAGTATTAGACAGTCCGCATGAAAAGTTGAATCCGACTCACAGACAAGGCCTCCTTCTTGGCAATGTCGAAACCATCACCAATCACTCGGGGATGCACACCTTCCTGGATATACCTATCCGCCTGCTTCAGAAGTTCGCCAACGAGAAGGACCACAGAGGTGGTACCGTCACCGCATTGCTCGTCCTGAGCTACGGCAGTTCGGGCAATCATGGCAGCTGTGGGGTTCTGGATCTGCATCTCAGACAAGAGCACCTTTCCGTCCTTGGTCATCTTAATCTGGCCGGAGCCGTCCACCAGCATCTTAATAGTTCCTCGGGGACCCAAGTTGGACTTGACGACATTCGCAAGGCCCACCGCACCCGCCTGCAAATGGCTGTCAGCGGGCCATGTCTCGACCATTTTTCTTGGTTGGAACGCACAGTGTTGACCTGGAGGGCCTGTGTCCTTCGAATAGACTCTGCCTTGGGGTTTATGAGTTCTATGCTGGACATTTTTGTGATTTATTTTTATGGTGCAAGTGCTGGAAACGCAGAGAAGCATTGATCATACGCGTCGCGCATTTCCCGGGGGCAGTTTGTGGCTTTTCTCCCGGCGGCACCCTCCGCCCCGGCTTGCCGACCTATTCTCGTCATATTTCTGCCATCTCTTAGCATCTATATGCAGGATGTCCCTCAACTCGGTCGTGGCAAAGCTCGTCAGGGCAGCATCAGGCATCTCCCAGGATATCTCGGACGCAGACCTCGACGCACACGTCGCTCAGCTCCTCGCGCAAGAGGCAAAGGCAAAAGAGTCCAAATGGAGTGAGCTCGGATTGTCGGGGCTGCTGGGCAACTCGATGCTGGCGGGGAGAGACGAGTGAGTTCAGTTGATAGCTGTGGATTATATGCTGACATGAGGAATAGGCCTGATCCATCGCTACCCAAACCCAACAAACGGTTCCTAGCTTCCATCATCCGCACAGTCGACGGACACAACTCTGCCCTGCTCCGCTCCCAAGCCGAAGGCGCTCGGCAAGCTCGACAAGAACGTATGCCAGACCCTCCTCCCGCAAGAGGACAAGGCTCGAGCAGGAGGGGTGATGCGGGACCGGCTGGGCGGTTGTTTGGAGGGGCGATGAGGGATATGTCGCGGAATGAGCCAAAAAGGGAAGACAAAGGAAGCCGGAGAGCTAGAGAAGAGAGAGTCGAGAGGACTGACAGAGGCGCGAGGAGTGATAGGAGCAAAGGGAAGGAGCGAGAGAGGGACGAACGGTCCCCGCGGTCTGACGACTACCATCGTGAAGACCGCCGGCGCAGCCAGCGGCAGGACGAGGACGAAGACCGATATCACTCTCGTCGAGACAGGGGTGATAGGGAGGAGCATCGCCACCGTCGTCATCACGAAGAGGAGCGGGATCGAGAAAGAGACAGGGATCGTAGGCGATCACGAAATGAGGAACCTCGGCACCGACACGACTCGTCTGACGAGGACAGACCTCGCAAGTCTCGTCGGTCCCACTCCCCAGAAGAAAGATCGCATAGAAGATCCCGGCATCATGACTCTGGCTTGACTTCGCTCCCATCCAAATCATCCAAGCCAGCCCATCACCAATCTTCTAAACCACTTCCTCCTAAGGATGCACCTCCCCCTAGACCACGTTCCCCCTCTCGCTCTACTTCCCCATCTCCCCCGCCTCCTCCAAAGTCAAAGATGGACAAGTACTTTGAAGAGTCTTATGATCCTCGTCTGGACTTTCCTACGACCGTGGCAAGTGAGGGGATCGTACAAGATGTCGGATGGGACAACATGTTGGCCGTGCTCAAAGAACGAGGAAAGAAGGCAAGTCGGTTGTTTATCACTTGGCCTGAGGCTGACCCGTTAACAGAAGCGCCGCCAATCCCCCTCCCTCTCAGACGACGAATCCGCCCCTCCTCCCGGTATCCTCCCACGCAAACGCGCTCGCTCTCCCGACACTACCCTAGCCAAGCTTGAGCGCCGAGAACGAAGGGCAGAGAGAAAGAAACGCAAAGACAGGAGAAGGGACGATTCGGAGAGTGAGGATGAGATGGAAAGGGCATGGAGGAAGGAGAAGATGGCGCGGGAGAAGGAGGCGAAGGGGGATGAGGAAGGAGATTTGGGAGGTTATGAGTATGTAAAGAAGGGCGGTACGAGGGCCTGGGATGTTGGCAAGTAGAAGTCGGGCCTTGTTGATATAGCTCTCGTTACCATATGCTTGAAGCCCATGCTTTGTACATTGTTCAAGTATGAAGAGAAAACCCATATACATGTTGGAAATCGTTCAATGCGTTCTGTCGTAATAGACATGCTGGACTGCGGTGCTGCTTTACCAGCCAATAGCACTCTTGACCGCCTATAGTCATATTAGCAAGGGGAATCAAAGACAGCAATGCGCTTACAGTTCGCGCGTAGGGAATATACGACAGTGTATACCTAACCCCACAAGATCAGCACCACAGCCTTCCTGTCCAAAGAGCCGACTGACCAGAGGTACGCCAAATACTGCACAATGACAAAGATGATACACAAAACCGTCGGCAGCACGAACGCACTGACAAACGTCATGATGATGGCTGCGAACAGCAGGATAGTCGCCACGACACGGACGGGCTTGAACATCTTTTCGAGCTGGGTTTTGAAGCCGACGAGGAAGCCTGTGCCGACTAGGGAGATGACACCGCCAAGAGCGAAGAGGACTGTGCGGGAATATCTCAGTAGGCGGCTCGGGCGATACAACTGGGAGCGGAGAGAAGAGATAGACGCACCAGCAAAAGCACCGGTGGCCCCCAAGAACAACAAGATAGCGCCCAACAGACTGATACCCAAACCTCCTACGAAACCTATTCCCAACCACATCAGTTCTTTGTCCCCAAATACCTCCTTCAGATTCATACGCACACGCAGCGAAACCACCGATTCTTTGGCTTCTTGTCAATCCGAGAGCCGAGAATGCTGATTCTTGCTGCGAGGTGAAGAGTTGCACCACGTCGCCTTTGGTCAGCTATGATCTCGGCTTGTGTCAAAGCGACTTACACCGCCGAAGATAGCATCGTCGGTAGCCGATTCGAGGTCTGCATTACAGTCCAGTAAAGAGGACCAGATGAAGATGCGATATTAGTTGATGTCAAAGTTCCAGCGAAATACACAATGAGGTGAGAAAAGGAGCCCGCGCAGTCAGCCTAGTCCCTCGAGCTCAAGGCCAGCACCACTCACTATACCATTTTCGTCCAGACATATTGCTTGATAAAGTAGGTAGGGAAAGAATTGATGACAAGAAGGGTGCTCAACAACGGAGAGATCTCTGCGACGCGTCGACAAGTTCCTTCTCACATCTTGGCGACCTGGATCGGGACACCGCAGAGTGGCATCTGGATGATGTGCCAGCTGCCAGCAGACTCAACACTCATCTATCAATGCATGTTGTTCTTCACACCTACTGCTACAAAGGAGTTCTCGCCACTGACTATTGAAGGCGAGAAGAAAGAAGCCCGAGAGTGAGGAAAATCGTAAAGTATTTGGTACATACAAAGATCCATTGCGGAAACGATGGTGACCCAGCTCATCAATTGCAGAAAAGGTCATGAATGGTGGTGCGTTAAGGTATGGAAACTGATTCACTTCTTGCCTTCTTTCTTTTACTTCTTTCTTCTTCTCTATACACACGGGCCAATGCGGATCCCGTCTCGCGTCTCCCTCGCCTGTTCTGACGGATGCTGATTTCTCGTCGACAGACATGAGATGACCTGGCAGGGAGGCAATGGTCATACCCCGCGTCGGTGTCTGGCTTACTGCCAATAGAGGGTTTGAATGTCTTCCTTGGCAAAGGCAAGACCACAAGCGGGGCACTTGCGTTGTCGAGAGGCGATGCGTGACTCCAGACATTGCTTGCAGAAAGCTATGACAGACGTTAGCGCCGCTCTCAGCCTGCTACCATGGACACTTACTGTGCATGCACTTGACGATGACCTGTTGCTTGAAATTCTGCTCGCAGCAAGAACACTTGAGCAATTTCTATTCCAATCATCAGCACACGCAACAAAATCTTGATAGATATGACGCACCAGTAGCTTGTCTCGCTCTTGCGTGATGGCCCATTCGTTGTTGGACATCCCCGTCTGGGTAGCCGCAGCGACAGACTCCTGCCTCTCCTTCAACTTTTTGATCTGTCGACCTTGGCCGTCAACTTCGTCCTGCAATCGCGCCTTTGCTTCTTTCTCCTGCGCCGCCTCTTGCACACGGGCTTGCATGATCTGTTGCGCTTCGGTGTAGGCACTCTGAGATTGCTGAAGGCGGAGCTCGAGCTGGGTGCGTTCGGCAACGGCGGTCGCTAGTTGAGTTTGGAGGTCAAGGGCGCTGTTCTTCAGGGACGTCATGCCCTTTTCGTTTGTAGACTTTTGATGGATTAGCACCTTGCTGCGCTGTGATCTGACGAAAGCTTACAATCTGCAATCTCAAGCTCGTCTCGACTTCCTGGGCCCGCTCCAACAACCGCAGTTGCTTTTCAACACTCCTCTGTGCCGTCTTGGCTTCGACGTCAACAGCTTCCTTGGCACGCATAGCAGCAAAGTATTTGTTGTCCGCTTTAGCTTTCTAAATTCATAGTCAGCTCCGTCCAAAGCCATTTGAAGAATGAACCAACCTCCGTGGCTAACCGAGTGATCTTCTGCTCCCCATCCCTCAGCTCCAACACCTTACTCTTCACTGTCTGATCCAAACTCTCCCAAAGCTTCGAGAGCCCCTCTACTTCCTCATACAGGGCATTCGTAGCCGCCTCCGCTTGGGCAAGTTTCATCTCCAACCCTGCCCGCTCCTTCTCCTTCTTCTCGAGCTCTGTAGCCAGATATTGCACATCATCGACAGCATCCACATTCGGCCCAAGAATACGCTCGTACCGCGCCAAGGCGCGCCTGGCGCCTTCGAGCTCTGCACGTACTTGAACCTCGCTGATGGCAGCAGCGTGATCTGATGAAACACGTTCGAGCTGGGAGGTGAGGGCGTTGACCTGGTCTTGCGAAGTGCTGACTTTGGATTCGAGATCTTGGATATAATCGCCATCGACACCGCTATCGCGCAGGAAAGATAGATACCCCTCCGACCCATGCTCAGCGGCAAGCTTGCCCTTGAGTCGCCGGACTTCGGAAGTGAGGAAACCAATCCGTTCTTCGCGCGTGGATGCCAGAAACTCCATCTGTTCAGTAAACCGGCACTTTTCAGCCTCTTTGGCCCGTCGCTCCATAATCTCGGCATTCATCTCGTCTCGCTGGCCTCTCAGCCGGGCAAGATCAGCGTCCTTTTTGGCCATCTGTGACCGTAAGGCTTCCGTTTCAGCTCGAGCTTCGGCGAGCACGGCCTCTCGAAAGTCGCCATTCGCGTCACGCAGCTGGTCGAGTTTGGCTTCAGTTGCTGAAAATCGCTCTTGAAGAGCGTTGGCTCTGCTGAGTTGGGTGGAGAGTTGATTGAGGTAAACTTGAAAGAATGGTGATTCGCGGACGGCTGATTCTGACGGATGGGTAGCCTGAATGGGAATCAGCACATATCGAAGGGTTTTTCAAAAAACGCACAAGGATTTTTAACCGGTCAACTTCTTGCTGCAACGCAGCCTGCTCGGCTCGCAGCTGGTCCAACTGTTTCAACCGTGAATCTGCCAGATGCTCCAGCTCTGACGTATCTTGCAACGCCCCAGAAGCCGAAGGTCCAGCACCGTTGAAAACCTTTTCGTCCATGTCGATATGACCATTCGGTGTCGCGTGACCACTGCCATTCGTCCGTAAACCAGGTGTGTTTCGACCGACTTGTGACCGCTCTTCCTTCCATTCTTCATGAGCCTTCTCGTGTTCCATACGTTCTCGATCAAGGGCTTTCCGGGTGCGTGCGAGGTCTTTTTGAACACCATCGCGCGACTCGGTCAGGTTTGAAATTTGAGAATGCAAGAGCGTAGAGTTGCCTCGAAGGGTGCTAGCCTCTGCTTCCAGCTTGAGACAACGAGCTTGGAGGTCGGCTTCTGAAGCAGGACGGGTGGCGTTGCGAGCAACCAGATCGATGAATCGCGCTATCAGTTGACGAGTGGTGGGTAATCGACTTTGAAGCGCTTTTTCCAGTTCTGGTTGAGGCAATGAAGGATCTAGTAATGCTGGAAAGGCTGTGAGCGGGTGAGAATGCGAGCACGCAATATACTTACGCTCCAACATTTGTTCCTCCTGCAACTCGACTTCTTGCGCGCCGGCCAGATCTCGTACGGCAGTAACGATCTGCGTAGATAAATCAGCGTCTGTCTGATTATTACCTCTGGATGTCCTACCTGTGTCCAGCACACCTCGACTGCTTGAAAACTGGCTTCCAGCACACGTCTTTGGGCTTCGAGGTCGTTTGCCCGTTGAGCCTCGCGTTCTGACGAACGTCGATATTCAAGCATTTGGCGATAGATGGCCTCTTTGCGCTTGATCTAGCAGAGAGAAAAGGGGTGAGTCAGCGACAAGTTTACAAATTTGAGAGTGTGATTATTCAAGGATCTTGCGTCGCGTCGTCAAAGCTGCGCCGAGCACCCGGCCTGAGAATTACCCAACCGTGTGACCAGATCTTTGGCAGACCTGAACACGCTCCGATTCTGGTGCGACCTACCTCGACGATTTTCATCCAGTCTGCCATACCGTCGTCGTCGCTTGCCGACGTGGGCACGGGCGAGGGGGCATGGCTGTTGAGCCTCCTTTTTGCTGACGGGGCGGGGCTGTCGTCGAGGGTGTTCTCGCGGACCCTCTTGAGGTCTGCGTTCATGGTCCGTGTGTGCTGACGTGGATGTGAGGGAGAGTTGAGAAATGACCATCCATTCTGACTGACTCTGCTTCGTGTCGGCGTTATGAGCGGGCGCTGTGTGGCATCTTTGTTTGTGCGCGGCGGCGACCACCGCTGCGCTGTTCTCCTCTGACATCGACAGTGTGCCTTGAGTGTGCCCCTGCCATATAACGTTATATTCTGCACAACCGCGGGGAACGAGAGGAAAGACACGTCTGGGGACATCACGAGACGTTCGCAACATCGACGCGCACGCGAAACACACGACAACTGGCTCGCCTTTCACGCGTTCTTCTGCTCTCGCGTCGCTTTGCCACGACGACCTACAATTTCTATGCTAGAGGAAACACGCGACACGAGCCAGCAACCAAAACCATCGAACTAATTCAAAGGCTTGAAGCTTTGCGGTCAATACACTTTCTCAATAATCGCGTAAACACAGCAACAACAACATGTCAGCCGGTCATCCAGTCCTGGATCTGCCTTCAGCGCATATCCACAAGATGCCCAGCACATCCTCATTTGGTATAGATGACGAAGAAGATACACAGTGCGTTGAACGCCCTTTTCCTTAGCATGGACTGACTATCATAACCAGATTCGACTCTCCGGAAGATGAGATAGCCCATTACAGAGACAAGTACAGGCAGGCTATTGAGATGCTTTCCGATACGAGGGCGGAGCTTGGTGAGCTGTCCGCACATATGGGCTATGGGGCTGCTGACCATGTCGTGTAGAGGAATTCCAGCAATCCTCAAAGGAGCTCGAAGATGAAATGGAGCAAGAGCTCGCGGCCAACGACAAGCAACAAGCAGACTTGAGAGAGAAGATCAAGCGACTGGAGCAAGAAAAGGACGAATGGAAGGTAAGTCTGGCCACATACCTCCTGTGGTCGGCAAGGCTGACGCAAGTGTCAAGAACAAACACATTGCCTTGCAAAAGATGCACAGTTCTACAACGTCGGCAATGCAGAGGGAGATGGACAACCTGAGGTCTGAGAGGGACAAGACGCTCGTTGCCTTGCGAGATTTGGAGATGGGAAACGATGAGCTGGAAAGGAATGAGAGGCACGTGGACTATTTGCATGTGCCAACTGGAGCTGACCGTTCTTAAGAGTCGCTGCGTCATCGCTCCTCGACATGGAGAGCAGGTATAACAGAGCGATAGAAGAAAAGACATTGCTCGAGCAAGACGTCGCTACCAAAGATGAGCTAGAGGCTGAGGCACAACGGCTGAAAGACGAGGTTCGAGGTACGTTCACCTTCAATACTTTGCGAAAGTCCACCAACATCTTTCAGATGCAAACGAGGAGATCAGCATCCTCAAAGATCAGCTCGCTAGAGCGATCTCCACTCCACCATCCTCCGTCTCCACAGCCTCTCCCACACACGAACCGATCCGCAAAGTCTCCCGCTCAAGTCTGTCTGAAGACTTGTCTTCCTCTCCTCTACCACCACCTGTCCCCAGCAAGACGGATTCTACCCCCGGATCCCCCCGACGACGCATGACCCGCAGCGGCACTCTATCTTCCATCCCCGTCCCCAGCCCCTCCACCAAGCGCTTCAGCCACATCCCCCAATCCCCCTCCACCACCTCTCTCAGCCGCTCCACGACATCCCGCAACCTCGCAGCCGCTGCTGGTACGCCCCTGTCCAACTCGCCCGCTGGGCTTACAAGGAGTAGAAGTGGGATCCCGCAAGCATCTCCGGCGAGGGTCTCGGTCATTGCTTCGCATCAGCAGACAAAGTCGCGAGGGTTCAAGCTTTTGCATGATTTGCAGGCGAAGTTGAAGGCGACGGATGATAAGCTCGGCGGAGCAAAGGTCCCCAGGAGGAATGTTTCTGGAACAGGGGCTTCAGTGTTCGGGGCGGTAGGAGCAGTAGGAAAACGAGTGACGTCGACTTCGTCGACTGCTACCGCCCGTTCCAAGCAGACCGACATTGCCCCTGCTACCACTGTCAACAGATCACAAACCACCCCCCTCGCTCAGGCGTCTGCTCTTCCTCGAACGGGGAGCGTCATGTCGCCAAGCTGGGTCCTTGTCGGCGAAGGGGATGATACCCCCACAGGACCTTGGAGCATGACTCTTCCCACCGACGAGCCCCAGTCTCCTCTGGACCCTAACTTTAGGAGCACGAGCACAACCAGCTCAAACAGGTCTTTGCCAATGCGTCCAGGGATCCCTTCGCCTTTGGCCAGTGGGCTAGCGAGATCGAGCACTACGAGCGGCAGACTCCCCTCGGGTAGACCGCCCTCGAGATTGGCACAGAGCACAACCAAGAGGGATTTGGCTGAGCGTCCTATGTCGCCAACCCACATTCCGATCGCCTCTACCCGACAGAACCCTCGCCCCATGTCACCTTCTTTAATCCCGACTGCTTCCTCCAGACCACTCTCACCAGAGATGTGGACCCGCTCGGAGTCCCCAGCCTTGGGCTTCTCAGCCCTCGGCCAATCCACCTCGGCCTCGTCTTCTCGTCCAGGCTCTGACTCTAGCTCCGCGCCCAACATCGCAAGGCCTCCCTCCCGCTCGGGTTTGAACAAACGCAATCCCATTGGGCGTGGGCCCCCACCCACTACAACCTCGCGTCTACACCATCACCACTCCCGTGGGTCTCTGTCTGCGATACCGGCAGCGTCCACGGGTGTTGAAAAGGTTGAGCGAGCAAAGAGGCTCGGGAGGCCGAGTTCGATGGGAGGAGAGAAGCGGTCGGCTGCGGGGGAAAAGGGGTCTGGGGCAATGGCGGGGAGGCCAAATGGAGCCAGGCCGTCGAGTGTGCATACTTTCAATGGAACACCACCACCGGTACCGAGGATACCAAGCTCTATTCTGCGAGGTCAGGGGAAGAAGATCTAGTAGACTGGTAGAGCGTTTGAGGCTTAACGGACAATGCTGGAGTATGTGTAACGGATGTAACGATATGAAACGACACGCTGTTCATGGCTCGTCATGGGACCGGGATCCAGCCACCATGCTCTGGCTCATATACATACAGTCCTTGATTCGAGTTTGCATGGCGTATATATGCTCTCCCTTGGCACGCATAGATGCTCAGGCTGAGTCAGACAGCATGTCCAATGATGAGCATAGGATCTGGACACCATGAGATACAGATGCACGCACCAAAGAGAGGTGGGACGCAATAATAGAGCAAAGAGCAAAAAAGGAATGCACGCTGCAGGATTCGAACCTGCGCGGTACGGAGACCATGTGAAAACCCTGGAATCAGGGAAGCGGAAGCAAGCTTGAGTCACACACCTTAACCACTCGGTCAAACGTGCTAATAGATTTTTAGTTTTCAAACAAGTTTGTATGACCCTGGCAGCTTACTCTTACCCATAAGCGCTGAGACATTCATCACTTCAACCTGGTGTACAAGCATGATGAAGATGTCCATTGAGAGCATCGGTGACAGTTCAACGGAATGCTGCATGCTGAACTAGGTAGGTTTACGGCCCATGACTTTGTTAGAATCAAAATATCTCTTCAATTACGGCCAAGCCAAGATCTGTTCGAATGTCGGTCTGCCGAGCATGTTGTCTTTGTCAAACCATTGTCACTTCCTCCGGCTTTTAGCCAAAGCCAACATACAGTCGCCGCAAACGAATACCTTACACCATCAAGCAAAGTACCCCTTTGCCATCTTCATCTGTTCCACATCATCCCTCAACACCGCTGGCCCCGCGAGATCTGCCAACATCACCATCATCAACCCATCTTCTTTGCTGTGTTCCCCCGTGAAAGCCTCCTTGTAGATGCCATCCTTGTTCTTTACTTTCCCCGAAGCATCACGCATCCTAGTCCAACTGTGGGTGAGTGCTAGGATATCTTGCGGGGCGGTTTGATGCGCTGCAAGGTCTTTCGGGAGGGTGAAGAGAATGCGGTTGTCTTGAACGCGAATCATTTTTATCAGATCGCGCTTTACACAAGAAGGGAGGACAAACGTACAGATGTTGATCATAGTTTTGATACTATTGTTGGACTTGCGATCGGCCGCGACCCAACTAGCGAGGTATGCCATCTTCTGGAAGGGCACTCGCGATTCAGCAGGCGTGGCCACCGCTTTCAACAAAGAGATATATACGGCCGAAATGTTGGCGAAAATCACAGAATCGCTACGAATATTATCAGCATTCCATGTCATTGAAATGAGGTACGGAGGCGAGGATCTCACATTCTGGCAAGTTGATCCCTCAAGGCGTCCAACTCATTAGAGAATCCGTAATAATGATAGGGGACAGTCGTCCACCATGCTTCAAAATACGACTTCAGAGCCTCCTTGTGGTTTCCCGCTTTGTATTTACTGTCATAGTGTCAGTGTTACAACCTGGCTCTTGAACTCGAAAAGACATACGCGTTTCCCTCATCCTTGAGCTTCTCCGCTCTATGGAGGCACATCCGAGGTGGCACCTCCCATAACGGTTCGCTCTTCTTCTCTTGAACCATCTTCTCCCATGCTTCTCCAAGATAGTCGTCGTGGTATTGCCGAAAGAATATCTCGTAGAGGGATAATTTGGTGAGAGCGTGGAGGTGGAAGATGAAGCTGAGGCCGGTCGGGTAGGGCAGATAGGTTAGGCGGGGGGTGGGATGTACGCTCGGCGGATACCAAAAGCTAGGAAGATGTATGATTAGCTGTCTTTAGCTAGAGCTTAGTAGCCGGGAGGTGGATTTGAGGTCTTACCTGCCCTTCCCGGCTTCTTCGTGAGGTTCCATAGGCTCAAAAGTGTACCACCATTCGCATTCGACCAAGTTGCGATTCCCGGCCATAGCCTGTTGGGCTTCGGCACCGTAATCGAGCGGCTGCTCGTCCAAGAACCTCGCTTGCTTGATCACTGTTAAAGTCTCAGCTATTGATTGACCCAATGTATCCATGCACTCACCAGAAGATGTAATCCCTCCTTCCCCCGGTCTGTCCCACATCAACGGCCCCACCGCACGAGTGGTCTCTCTATCCACCTGTACCTCCAAGCTCTTGTCGAGATCTCGGAATAGTAACTCTCTATCGGCGTTCTGGATAGCATCGCCTTGGGCCTTGGCGCATGCTTCATATTTTGCTGCGCTGGCACGCATTTCAGAAACGCCGACTGCGTCCGAGCCGAAGTCTCTGCCAAAGACCTTGCCGTCTTCGAACAATTCCTTGAGACACTCTTCAGCTCGACGACCTATCGAGATTGGCGTCAGGAATTGGCAACCAGTATTTATCACAGGATCTTACAAGCGCTGTACACTGTCCTCACTCGAGCATATTCTCGCAAGTCGATAACGATCCAAGCACATTGAAAGGCAGCGATCTCGAACGAGCTGGTGCCTTCATCACCCAGTCCTGCTTCTTTTGCCACGTTCCACATCTTGAGCAGACATGCTGAGATATTCCCAATAATGGTGGATTCTCTATGAGAACGTATCATATCAGTTATTGTCTATTGTTGCGAACAAAAGGGCATACCGAAAGCCGAGTTTGTTACGAAGAGCACCATGGGGGAGGGCATCAACGTGGTAAGGGAGTAAAGTGGACCAAGCTTGGAGCCAAGAGGATATTGCCTGACCATATGTCTGGTCTCTGAACTTCCTGTCACCAGTTAGCAGCCAGGAATCGATCGCGGTAAAGGCAGATGAGCTCACTTATTCCCCGTCCGAAGGAAGGTCATGGTGTGGGAGTCAAGGCACTTGTCATATTGTTCTTCGTTAGGCTGTGCATTATATCTCTTATCTCTGGAGATTCCACGTCTGCTCGATTAGGGCGCAATCTTCGTCCTCCAAGAAGATTGTCGCGAAATGGTGTCTTAGAGCCAATTTGAAGAGTCGACAGGCGTGCTTTTCAACGGCAAGTGTTGGTGGAAGAGGGTAGTAGGTGAATCTTTCTGGGGGGTGAAACGCAGGGCTCACATCGTAGCTATGCAATGTGAGATGGATGGCTTTTGAGCATGCAGGAGAGGGGGATCCACTGACAGGCGCTGGTCTGCAGAGCGGGCCATCCAGCGTGGTATGGGATTTCGCTCGTAGCTATCCCACAGCTGTACCAGAGTCAGAGGTGTGTTTTGCTGATGTGGAGACATCTTGATGATATGGATGTGGATGCAAAGTCAAACAGAGATAAAGAGGAGTAGCAACGAATTGTGGGAACGAGGCAACGAACACGACCTCGGCCGCCGAATAATTTGTGTTGTCATTTGGCCTCGAGCCTTGAAACCGACTGTGACTCTTCTTCGTAATCATTCGTACGTCTCGTACATCTCATGACCTGGCATGCATATCATTACAACTACCAAACAGGCTTTACACAACAAATCAACAATATATAAATAGCACTTCCTCATGCCCTCTTCCTCCATTTGCTCTCCTTCTGTCTGCACGTCGATATGTCAGCTTTTAGAACAGCCCTTCAACAGGTTCAAGACGTACAATGCTTCCCTCCTGATCCTCTCCTCCTTTTCCCTGGTCATCTGGTCCGCCTTCTGGTTATGTTCCTGCACTCGCTGGGTGTCCGGGAAGCCAATATCCCAATAACCCGGAGGGGTTGGAGCCCGAACCCACTGAGCCACCTGTCAGCTTCCCCTGACAAAGAACATGTACACATGTAAACTCACAGTATCCCTATGCCGCGAAGACTTGTTGAGATGCTCCCTCATAGCATGCTGTTCATCTTCAGGTTCATTGGAATCTTGCCAGACCGGGCCTTGGTTGAATTTCGGCATTGCCCCAACAGATGTGTAGTACTGCAAGACCATCAGCACTGATTCCATAACCGATATGCAATGTACTTACCCCTTTACAGCACTCGCAATCGCCACCGTGCATGTGCTTTCTGTCCTCCTTCTTTCTCTTGACATCATGAAACGCAAACTTGGCACCTTCATTCGCGTTCGGATTGATTTCGTATTCGTCTGACGCTTGTGCCAGCCTAAATCCTTGTAAGTCGTTGTTCAACTCCATGACAAACGAACTTACAGCTGATCAGGTTCAAGGTACCGCCCGCCCTTTTTATACTCCTTGTAAATATCTCTCCTCTCGCTCGCTGGCAGCTTTGCTAGTCTCTTTCGAACGTCAGCCTTTTCAGCAGGCGTCAAGCCTTCCATGTCGGCGAGCTTCCGCTTCGAGCCCATGACTTCGCTCTGAACGGAGCTGGGGCCAGCAGCTTGAGGAGTGACAGGTGCCGGAGTCTGCTTCAGATTCCTGGAAACAAGTGATTTGTGGAGGGTTGTGGGTTTCTCTGTCATTGGTGGGCGAGAGGGTGTCTCGTCTACCGAGCGGTTCGCGTCGAGACCAGAGAAGAATGGGTTACGGCCTTCGTCGGTTACAGCAGCCGAGTCGAAGGCCTCTTCAGGCGGTGTTCTGGGTCGGGCTGTCGATTTCGAGTGGGTGCTGAAGGGTTGGGCGGTTATGCGTTCTTGGGTAGAGAGGCGAACCGTCGTTGGAGAGATCTGCTTTGCCGTATAGGAGGTAGGGCTTATAGAGATCTGTTGCTTTGCCTCAGACTGCGGCTCGAGTGCTCCCTCCTCCGCCAAATGCGACTCTGCCTTCTCTGCCACCTGCGGTACCTCCACCCTATCCAGCACTGGCTTCACCTCTCCTTGACTCCTCCTGATCTTCCTCTCCTCCTTCCTTGCCCTCCTCTTTTCCTCTCTCTCTTTCTGGGTTTTCACGTATGCCCTAAAGTGCCGCGTGCTCTCATCCAGCTTGCCTCTGACCTCGTCGTAAGCCGCTTTCAGCGCCTTGTGCTGGGACTCCAAATGCTGATGGGCTTTACGGAGGTTTGAGAGTGTTGGGGGTGCAGAAGCAGGCGGCTGAGATTGGGACTGGGATTTACGAGGGGTGGAAGGGGCAAGGGAGTTGTAAGAGGATGGAATGTTGGGCTGTAATGGCTGTAAAGCGCGTGGGCTATGTTCTTGGTCAGCGTGGCCCATATTGGCGTCCTGAAACATACCTCGTTGCCCCATTCCATTTAAGCCTTAAGTTCTCATCCCTGAGTAGCTCAATCTCGTCCTTCAGCTTGGCCACCCTGCCTCTTTCCAACTCCAACCACTCTCTCAAATCACTCTTATCCCTGGCCCACGCCTTCCTCTCATCATCATAGTCTGCTTCAACGGCCTTCGTACTCCTTTCCTTGTCCTTCAATTTCTCTTGGTATTTCACAATCTCTTCATCTCTTCGCTTGACCTTCCCTTCCAGCTTGCCAACCCTCTCTCTCAGACATCTACTCGTCTCCCGCTCCTTTTCCAGATCCTCTCCATGCGACCTTTTGATGTTTTCGATCTCCTTTTGCAGCCTCTTCACTTCCTCCTCTGAATTGTGAGGGTGAAAACCTTTGCGAGCGCCATTGGTGGGAGGAGACCGGAGAGAAGCAAGATCGGCAGAGGCAGAGTGGGAGGCTTTGAGAGAGGTGGTGCTCTGTTGCCAGAACTCCTGGGCACTGGTGTTTCTTGATAGAGCCCTGCTGGGGGGTACCCTATAGTGGCTCATGGGCGGGCTAATCGTAGTTGTAAATGTAATAGGAGATGGAAGAAAGAAGGAAGTCATGCGCGCTCCCTCCGTCATGGCGAGATATTGCTTACGTAATGACCTTTCGCGTCAAAACAAACAACAACAAATCTCCCTCGCAGCGAGAACATCACCGTCTTCTCTTTTCCCCCAGGTCCATCAAGCAAAATGTCGGAGCCTCTCTCAAGAATCGCTGTGGACCACGAGAGAGACTGGATTCGCGTTCAGAAGAATGTCGCGAAGGCTATAACGGATTCCATGGAGGCGCGTTTGGCGACCATGCCTGGCGGGAAGGATGGAGAGGCTGCTAGGGTGATGCGGATTGAGCTGGAAGAGAGACTGGGAAAGGTGAGTTTATCACTTCTTTTCTCAACAATTGGCGCCGAGCTTACAGAGATAGATACAAGAGAGGATGTGGCATATGGCAAAGTACAACATCCAAGTGAATGGCCAGAACTACGAAGACTACGTGCAAGGTGTGTACTTGATCTATACCTCACCCGTGAGCCTATGCTGACAGTTCTCTGTAGCGACCGAAGGCTTTGATGAAGTACTCGACAGAAAAATTTGGGGTCTCAATACCGAACGGGTCGAACATGAGACGCGAATCGCCGAGAGGCGCAAGCGAATGCCGGATGCGATCTATCAGATGGAAGAAGATCTGGAAGGGAGGAGAGAAGAAGCTGAGTGGTTGCCTGATGAGCAGGAGGAAGAGACAGGCACGTATTTCGGTTAGAGGATCCCAAATGAAGCTGACAGTCCATGCAGACGCGTCCAACGCCCAGGAGCTTCCAAAGCCAGAGAGGTATGAGGAAGTCAGAGAGACGTTTGAGATTGCTGCTGCCAATTTGGCTGAGGTTGCGAGAGTACGTCTCAGTGGTTGATTGCAGTGAACAAAGCTGACTTGTTGCTCTCAGTCTGCACCGATCCAACTTCAACGGGCGCAACGGGCTCAGACGGTGCAGGAAGAGATTACGAACATGCCTCCTTGATCACTTGGATCCTATTCATATCACTCGCATGTTCGCCAACCGCTTTACACATAGCGTGAATTGGTCTTCCGTACTTTGTCCAACAGAGCTTGACCACCCGCGACACCCATACCTCTCTTCAGGCAGTCAACGCCTGAACCATCTATAATCTAGTGTGATTCCGGCATGGTGATATCCACTCACATGATGGCATGGAATATGTAGAGTACCTGTATGTATATCCCGAGATGATACATGATCACAGACCACAAAGGGCCCAAGTCTAGGAGGGCTAGAATTCGGACCGTTTGGGCCTTTGCTTCACCTCCGGCATCACTTTTACACCCTTGACCCCCTGGAGCTTCTTCACCTCCTCCACAACACTCTTCTCCCCGTTCGTCCAATCCTCCTCTCCCCTCTTCACAGCCTGCCCATCAGGTCTGATCACTTGCCACACACCTTCTCCCTCCAGCTCGCCGACCTGGCCCACGTATCTGAGCTGATGGCCCGTCTTCGTGATTGGATTGGGCGGCGGCTGGGAGACGGAATATGATATTTGGAGATAGATCTGGGAGGGATCGAGCTGGAGAGGTTTGTTGGGGGCTGACATTGCGGATGCTGGTATGAGGAGCGCGCAGGTCAGGTAGTGATAGAGCCGTATCGTGAAGAGGTTTGTATTCAAGTTGTGTGGTATAGCAAAGGATTACAGAATGGCTTGTCCATGCATTCACTCCATTCACCCCTCTACACGTCATGCCATGGACCGGCGGCCACCACCGACGTTGTTTTGACGGAAGCAAAATTACCGGGGTGGAGGCAGCACATTTTCAGAGATGTTGCAGCAAGTGCACTGTCCATACAACCACAAATCAAACAAGAATGGGCAAGCCAGGAAAGGGACTCGGCAAGCGCAAGGCGCCCCCCGGCAACTCGAAACCCGCCCCCAAAAAGGCCAAGCCCTCCGCCCCAGCCAAAGATGGAGAAGAAACGACCCAGCCCAACGGCCGTCCTAAACGCCCGGCCGACCAGCCCAAGAAGGTCAAGCTCCGCGACAAGAAGGTCATTCCTGTTCCCGAGAGTGCGTATGCGAGGGATGGAGATGATAGTGATGAGCTGGAGAACCTGGGGGAGGAGGAGGGGATGGGAGTGGAAAGTGCAGGATTTTTGGCGAGTTTGGATGCTGGTGCGCTCAGTCGGTGCGTGATCTTCCCCTGAGGATTAGACAGGAACTGACCGAACGATAGAACTGTCAAAGAGACTAAACGACTTCACGAACTTTCCAAAGCGCAAGAGTCATTACCTCAAGCTCCCAAGAAAAAGTCCAAAACTCCCGTTCGCGAGGCTTATTCCGACGAGAGCGACGTCTTTGACTCGGACCCCGAATTCGATTCCGACTTGCAATCGTTGGGTGGGTCTGATGTCGACTTTGGCTCCGACCTAGACCAAGATGACTGGGATTCCGGAGAAGAGATCTCTGAGGATGACGATGTGAATGCTGCGTACGACGACGCCAGCTCGGACGAGGAAGAAGAGGAGAAGAAGGAGCGTCATCGAAAGAAGAAGGAGACAGAGGCAGACTATGAAACGCAGGGACGTGCGAGATGGGCTACTCAAGCTGCGGAAGACGAGGCAGATGATGTCGAAGTCGGCAGACTCCCAATCAAGCTGCCCACTGGTGAAGTCCAGATGGTCCAGGGTTCCACCCGCATCGCCAAACCTCCTTCCAAGAAGCCCAAGCCCAAGCCTGAGAGCGAGACAGAAGAGGAGGAGGAAGAGGAAGAAGATGAGGGCAGCGACGATGAGGCGCAGGCGCACAGAATGGCAGGTCTCAAAGGCAAGTTTGGGAGGATGGGTATCGCAGAGATTGTCGGAAAGAAGGGGTGGAAGAATGTAGAGAGGTTGGAGGCTGCAAAGGAGCAGGTGGCGCAGTTAGGTTCCGAGATCTTGGCAGGCGGAGAACTTGTGGATATCGTGAGTGCCGTTGCAGAATGACCTGACCCGACTAACATGTTTTTAGGCTCCTCTCCTGACAAGACTGTCATCCTTCGGTCTTCCCACCGTTCCTTCCCTAGAGGAAGGTCAACCACCTCTCCCCGTCCCCGCATCCATCCGAGGTCTCGTCTTCCTCTCTCAACTCGCCGTCTATAAGGATCTTGTTCCTGGCTACAGGATCCGTGAACTCACAGCCGCCGAAGAGGCTGAAAAGGTGCGAGACGAGGTCAAGAGGCTGAGAGAGGGTGAAAAGATGCTGGTGAGGAGCTATAAGGGGTACTTGAAGCAGCTCGAGGCAGAAGTCAAGGGTGAGCTCTTTGCATATCTGTCTTACACTCCATGCTGACGTCTATAGGTAAAACCAACCTCGCCACAATCTGTCTGCGATGTCTCTCCGACCTCGCCGTCTCCATCACCCACTTCAACTTTTCCGAAAACATCATGGGTGTCCTCGTCGGTCGCCTCGCCCGTAAATCCTGGGATTCCGACTCGGACATCGTCCTCCAATCTTTCATCTCCATCTTCAAAGCCGATGTCTCTGGTATCCACGCCCAGACGTTGGTCAGGTTGATTGCGCGAATGACGAAAGAACGGCACTATCAAGTTCATCCCAATGTGCTCTTTTGTCTTTTGCACCTCAGATTGCGAGACGAGCTCGACCAGATGCGCAGAGGCAAGAATGCGAGGGGCGGGAACAAGGAGAAGAAGGTGGATGAGATCAAGGGAAAGGTGTTCAAGTCGGAGAAGCGAAAGAAGTGGGCGACCAAGGCACAGAAGAAGAAGGAGAAGGAGATGAAGGAGGTGCAGAAGGAATTGCAAGAAGCAGAGGCTGAAGTGGACCAGGAAGAGCGAGCCCAGGTTCAGACGGAAACGTTGAAGAATTTGTTTGTGCTCTACTTTTCCGTCTTGAAGAACCCCAAGCGGACGCCGCTGTTACCGGCCGCCCTCGAAGGTATCTCCACCTACGCCCACTTTATCAATGTCGACTTCTTCCGCGATTTGCTCGCAGTACTGCGAAAGATCATGGCTGATCAGGCCGTGACCGAGGTGGTCAAAGACAATGACGACAGTGACGACGAGGCTGCGCATATCGACCCCGTCGGCGCGAGTCAGAGAATCAGGATCAGGCTGCTGGCCATTGCCACCGCTTTCGACCTTCTCTCAGGTCAAGGCGAGGCTTTGAACATCGATCTCTCTGATTTCATCAACCAACTTTTCTCCATCCTTCGTCCTCTCTGCCTAGACACCGGCATCGAAGACCCTCCCATCCTTCCTCCCACAACCAAATCTTCTTCCAACGCCGTCCACACCCTTTCCACTGCCTCGCTCCTCATCCGCTGCCTGAACGCATCCTTCTTCTCCCGTCACTCTCGCTCCCCGCCTTATCGATCTGCGGCTTTCGCCAAGCGCCTTACCGAGTGTGCTCTGCATTTCCCGCCAAAGACCGCCAAGCAAGTGATTGCTTTCGCGCGAGGGCTGATAAGTAAGGAGCCCAAAATTGAGGGTTTGCTGGATACGGAGGAGAGGATGGCGGACGGTACTTATAGGCCGGAGATTGATGACCCGCAATTGACAAACCCGTTCACGACGAGTTGGTGGGAGTCGGGATTGCTGGGAAGTAAGCATTGGGATCGGGAGGTGAGGATCGAGATGGGCAAGTTGAGGGACGGAAAGGTGGTGTAGATGTGGGTGTAGGCTATTCATGCATATATTGTACAACAAACAATGGATTCGGGTATCTAGAGCTCTCCCACGCCGGAAATGCCAACGTCCCTCCAGATTTTTGGACGGCCATTGTCCGCATCTGCACCGAACCAAGAAGAAGCTGATGGCTGGGTTGTGTCGTCGACCCTAAGCGATGTAAGCGATGCCACCGATCAATATTTGAAGACTTGCCACTTGCACTCGACGCCTTGCTTCTCTAACAGCACCTTGACAGTCGCCCAAGAGAACCGGATCATACCCTTGTATCCAAAGACAGGATCCAAGTTGTTTCTCAAAAATGCCTGAGTCTTGGGATCAGACGGGTAACCACTTCCGCGTATGACCACTTCCTCCCCATCCTTTTTCGCAACCAAGACACTAGGGATTTGTCGTCAGAGATGTCACATTATAGCGCGAATCAAACACACCCGTCTTTAAAGTCCTCGGGATCTTCCCAATTGTGAACATATGTATCTCTCGTGACTTTGGCGATGATGGAAGCTGCGCCGACAATCTTGAACAAGCTGTCGGCCTTAGGACAAACGGTAAAGGTGATAGTGGGAAAGATGGAAGAGAGCTTGGCCTGCCATTTAGGGGCAGGACCAAGAGCATCTACAAAGCACTGCCATACATTCAGCGGGGAAATCGCACGCTCGGGATGGACGACCAACCTCTTTCACGTTAACTCCCCGGTCGAGAGCTTCGCGGATCAGACCAATGGTTGCGTCCTCTGCTTGGGTGTTGAGATTGACAGGTACGCGTCTAAGCATGTTGGCAGAGATATCTTGCGGTGAGAGGTTCGCCGCCGAGTAGCAGAGAGGGGCATGCTCCTTGAAAGAGTCCCAAAGTTTCTGGCGCACTTCAGCGCTCAGGGCTTTCGAGTCGTCAAAGCCGATCTCTTCAAGGGTGGGTTTGAAGGACATTGGGCAGTATGCAGCCGCATATACCATTGGGCCAAGCACAGCTGTATAATATCATCAGCAGCTTCCAGACATCCGAATAATTCTCGGGACTCACGTCCACGACCAGCTTCATCGATACCCATCAGCCATCCATCTTGTTCTCCATTTGGCGTGAAATCGTCTGGCAATGGCGAATGAAAGACATAGGAATCTCTGAGCGGGGGAATAGGATGGATGTCCACTGGGTCGATGCTGCTGGACATGATTGCTGTAGGGAGAAACGCGTCGACTACTTGCAAGAATACAAAAATCAATATCTCTGGACGCGTTCATGGACGCGTCTTAAATGGGAGGATGAACGCAAACTTCTCTCGCAGGTTCTCGCTGTCCCGATCATGACTGTTTACATTTCGTCGGTGTCCCAAACTCGTCGCTGATAACGCTGTTTCCGATAAAAGTTCAGGAAACCGCCCACTATCCATCGCCAGCACCCCCACAATCGTGCTCAAGCGCAAGAATAACGCGAGTTAGCCCCCCAGAGTTGCCAATCGTGAGTGGAGCCGTCTGCTTCCCTGCACTCCCGCTCATCCTGCATAGACGCCCCTCGTCACTCAACATGTCCTCATCCGAGGGATTCGCCTCCTCTAGCGATCAACTCGTGATCGATCCCGCTCACACAAATCCGAGCGAGGATTCTGCGGTCTTTGCGGCCCTCGCCAACGGTGTTGCGGAAGACGATGGCCACTCCACGCTGCAGGCTGCCATAGTAGCCTCTCTCACGGCTCATCAGCACAATGATCCTCAAGGGCAAGTGACATTCGGTGACGAACACTCCGATCACCCTACGTTCGACCCTTACGCGTCTGCCAATGCCCAAGCGGGTCCCTCTTCTCTTCCCGCGTCCGCCTCTACACCCACAGACGCGCCCGCTTCATCATCGAACGCGCCTCCTCCCCCTCCCGCAACGTCAGCCGGTATCTCTACCAATGCCGAAGGTCATCTGGTCCACGACCCTCCCCCCGCAGGGCCTTGGCCCACTCGCGACGAAGCTCACGGCGCCGTCCGCGAATACGCCCTTACCCACAATTTCGATGTCAACGTCACGCACTCTGACGTATATCGCCGCGTCCTCACCCTGGGGTGTGTCAAAGGCGGAACCTACAGATGCACCCGAGGTCCGGCACACGAGCAAGTTAGGCAGAGAGGAAAGAGAACGGGCAAGACGGGGTGTATGTGGAGGGTGACGCTGAGAGATGAGGTCTTCAAGGCGAACGGGTCGCCGCAGGAAGGGCAGGAGGTTGAGGGAAGGTGGAACTTTTCTAGCTTGACGGACCTTGTCAACGAACACAACCACCCTCCGATAACCCCTAGCGAGAACCCCAAGGCGCGACACCGTACGATCACGCTCGAGATCAAAGAGTTTGTGTACATGGAGGTCGACCAGGGGACGCCAACGAGGCAGATCTGGGGCAAGGTCCAGAAGGCATTTCCGGATTGTCTCGCGAATTTGGTAGACATCAAAAATATAGTGGGAAGGAGGAAGAAGGATCTGCCGACGGTTTGAGCGGTTTACATTCGCCTATGGACTTGATAGGAGTAGGAGGATCAGGTTGGATGTCTGTACTTATGTAATTGTGTTCAAAGCCATTACGCATACTGATGTGGGTCAATCAGGTAGCCAGATATGCATGGCTGTCAAGTCACTAGTCAGTATTGACCTCATTCCTCGTATGAAGCCAGTGAATCATCATACCGTGCTACTCGCTCAATGAAACCCAATGCGTACTTCTCTTCTTGCCCGAGGTCGACAGGGCCACAGTAAGCTTCCACAGGCCCTGACAGCCCATAGATAAAACGCATACGTCGACCTGAGACGATAACTCAAGGTTGTGGGGGGCTGGGAACACCATTACTGACAACGACCAGTATCCAGCAAGACCTGCACCGTTTCTGTGTGTTCGTTTCCTCGCGACTATCGAAGTGATCATGAGGCACACGATGGGATCATCGGTCTAGAGGAGAAGGGAGAAAACCATTTATAGCATTCAAAGATGAAGTTATTGAACCACTGGCGAGAAAACCAACGCGAAATAGGAGATAGGACTGTCGGAAGAAAAGAAGATGTACGCAGAGGGAGAGGAAATGTGACTATCGAACGAATCGCCCAAAGTACCAACCCATAACTCCAATCAAAGCCACCTGACCAACTCCTAATTCCATCCTCGCTGAAAGCGCCGCACCGCTGGACGAAGCCGTCCCCTGAGCACCAGCAATCACCCTATCTCGCTTGTCAGCACATCTGAAGCTTTCGATGGAGGGAGAAGACGTACGCGGTGGAAGCAGCAGCATTGGTAGAGACGTTCGGTTGATTCGTAATCACAGTCGTCCTAGCTCGTGCAGACGATGAAGTAGAGGAGGAAGAGATGGATAAGGTGGTGGGAGCAGCGATTGAGCTTGAGACTGTAGAAGAGACTTGGGAGCTGGAAGACGAAGGGATCTCGGAGGAGGAGGACAGGGGGGAAGAGCTCACAACGTCGCTGGAAGAGGCGAAGTCGTACGAGGAAGATGTTTCGGTGGCATTGGCAGAGGAAGAGGTAATGGCGGAAGAGATGGCAGAGGTGATGGCAGACTCAGTCATCCCGGCAGGAGGCGCGATGGTACCAGAAGGAATGACGGTGTTGTTTTTCACTTCCGTACAATCAATCCTATCGCCACATCAGCATCGCTCCAAACCCGCAGGAAGCAAAGAGACTCACGCATCCCCGATGAAGTTGATATAATCGACATCAAGCCAAATGAGACCCTTAGTCGCGTTGACATTGTTTTCGTTGAAGATTGTGATCTGATGATTTCCTTGCTCGAGACCGGCCGTGGCGAAGAGGGGTGCTTGGAGCTGATCGGGGCCGGAGAAACCGTTGAACCATACCACAGGCCCATTGTCAACTGTGACAGCGTACAACGCGTGGCTATCTCCATCAGTCTCGCTCAGCAGAATCTGACAAAGGAACTCACTTGTTCCTCTTGGCTCCGAAAAGTGTAAGGTCTGTTCCATTCCAGCAGAACCTCGCCCAAGCGCCAGCGACCGTAGTAGAGTGGAAAGAGGTGTCAGAATACTTGGGAAGTAGGGCGTCGTTGGTATGGTTTGTGGCCCAGGTGTCCCCGCCATAGGTGATAAAAGGAGAGGTGTCGTCGAGGGTGGTGTTGGACATGGCGTAATTTTTGTGGTGGTGAAAGAGAGACTAGGGTTAGAAGAAGTGAGGGGTAAGTGAAGATTGATGGGGATGAAATGGAAGGATGAGTGCAGGTATATATACGCGCTGGGCATCTCATCGCGGCCATGCTGTCCCTTCCATCGCCAAGGCCCTTCAATCGATGCGATATTGTACCACACAATCAACTGCGCATTCCTTTGAGCCTGAAGTGATCTATCAGAAGCTAAAGAGGAAGAGAGCTGTGCCTTTGGTACTGCTATGGGCCCGTTGGAGTCAAACGCGAGAGCGAAGAAGAGTCTCGGCAAGCTCAGGGGTATCAGAGACCGGAGGCAAAAGAGGCCAACGAAAGGCGCTTATTCGTTGATCGTGTCTGTCTTCGATCTTCAGCCTGTTTGAGGGTGACTTCGAGCGGCTTGGGCATCTGTATATATAGACAAATATTGACTTTGATGCATTGTGATAAAACAGATGTACAATTGGTGTATGGGGACAGGGTAACGTCAGCCTTCGCTGCTTTCAAGACGTCGCAAACGCGGACCACCACAAGCCCGCAACCCGTCGCATACCGGCACAAAAGCCGAAACGAGGGATGAATAAGTTTCAGTACAAGAGCTCGTTGGCTGTCAGCTTGTCGTCGAAACACTGTACAGTCACTGTCAAAACTTGTCATGGTGTCCCTCATGTCAGAAAATATAGCCGGCCTGGTGACGCCGAGGAGGAAGTTGAAGCCTCTCTTGCAAGAGTGGATGAAGTAGATGGAGATGATCGATTTGATGATTGAAAACGCATGCCAATACGTATCAGGGGACACTTCCAAGTCAAGACTGCAGGCAAGACACGCCTTCCAACGAAAAGACGCACCCTTGACCTCGCGGCCCCGAACTTTCCCACGGCCCGATTTTAAACTTGTTCCCGCCACCCAAAAGTCTTGAATACCATATCTCTTCTTTCCTCACCACCAAACCCACAAAAATGTCCCTCTCCACCCCCTCCCCAACTCAAACCCACCTCCTCTCCCTCCCGCCCTCCCTCCAGCCCCTCTCCCCACCACACGCAGCCCTCCACCTCGCCCGCTTGCGTCTCTTGCTCTCCATCCCCGCCGGTTCTTCCTTTGATCCGGGGGAATTACAGTTGCCGGTGGAAGTCAAGAATATGGGTGTGGGGCGGGGTGTTGTGGGGGGATGGTGTCATATGTGCGGGGGATTGAGGAAGGGGCAGGGCGGGGCGGCTAAGAAGGAGAAGCCGCAAGGAAAAGAGAAGGGTGAGGGGAAGAGTAAAGCGCAAGAGATAAGAGAGAGAGTTCGAAAGCGGGCAAGGTCTGCTTCGCCTCCCTTGACGGAGGAAGAACAAGAAGCCCAGCGATACGCCCGGTCCCTACAAATAGCCTCTGCCTCGACATCTATCAAAGCCCGGCGGCAGCCTGCGGAATGTACCACCTGCGGCGCGCCTTATGTCCGGCCAAAGCCGTGTCAGAAGACGGTGGAAGAGTTTGGGAGTGCGAGGAGGACTAGGAGAAAAGTAAAGGAGAGGGAGAGGGAGAAGGAGGAGGAGGGGAAGAGGGAGGAGAAAGGGGAGGAGATGGATGTAGATGTGGTGGAAGGGCCGCCACCACCGCTTCTCACTCAGAGACCTTTTTTTCACATCCCTACTTCCTCGCCAAACCTTCCCACGTATCCACCTCCACTACCATTCAAACCTCCTGCCCCGCCACCCTCCCACTCATCGTCTGCCTCTCCACCGCCCATGACAGGGGCAGCGGATAAGAAGAAGAAGAAACCAAAGAAGAGCGGGTTGTCAAAGTTGCTGGCGGAGAACAAGGAGAGGAATGAGGCGCAAAAGGGGGCGAGCATGTGGGGGTTCTAGTGCTGTAACATGCAAGTGTAGTCGAAGAGGAATGGAGGTTGTAGCATAGTTGTATCAATCAATTCATGTACTTGTACATATACATTTCTAATCGCTACATGATTACTTCTTCTCTTGGTCATACTACCCCCAATCAGCATTACTACCCTTGTAAGAAAACCAAGACTAACCTTGTAAAACCCCTCCCCACTCTTCCTCCCCAACTTGCCTTCCTTCACCAACTTTTCAATGACCGGAATAGGCGCCACCAACCCCTCCGGGATATCCGCCTCCTTGGCCTTCTCCCTCCAGCCCTCTGCGATATACGATGTCGTGTCCAGGCCTACAAAGTCGAGGAGCTTGAATGGGCCCATGGGATAACCGGCGCCGAGGGTCATGGCGGTGTCGATATCTTCTGCTGTGGCGTCTCCGCGTTCGACCATACGCGCTGCTTCCACTATCATTCTCCCATCAGCTCTAAATCCTCACCAAGTTGCAAGAAAGGGGGCGTACATAAGTATGGCACGAGCAAGCGGTTGACGATGAACCCGGGTGTATCCGTACAAGTCACAGGGCTCTTACCCATGCGGATGGTAGCCTCGCGGAGAGCGTCGAATGTGGCGGGGGAGGTGGAAGAGGTTTTGATGACTTCGACGAGCTTCATAGCTGGGACGGGGTTGAAGAAGTGGAGGCCTGCAAAGCTATAAGGGGTTAGTGTTTGCAAGAGGAAGCGGAGAGGGGAGAGGGGGCGTACTTGGCCTGACGTTCGGGGCTGCAGGCTTCTGCGATCTCAGTGACCGATAGAGACGACGTGTTGGTTGCGAAAATACAGTCTGCCCTGTGATAACGTCAGCGTCCAGCCCAAGTACTTGAAAATTGCAAAGCACGCACTTGGCCTTGCCATCAAGGAACCCAAACAGATCGCGCTTCACCTTGATACTCTCAATAATCGCTTCCACCACCAAATCAGCATCTTCCACCGCTTCAGCCGCATCAGTCGTCGTGGAGATGTTTTTGAGGATTTCAGAAGTGAAGCCTTCGATATCGTCGGGCGACTTCTTCTTGGCGACTCGGGAGAGCGATTTAGAGATGATTGTCAGGCCGTTGCTACCCCACAGTCAGCCCCGTCCCACCCAGAAGGAAGAAGAGGCATACTCGAGTGCTTTCTGGGTGACGTCCGCCAAAACGACCTTCATCCCACTCTGCGCACCTACTTGGGCTATACCAGCGCCCATGAGGCCTGCGCCGAATACGGTGAGCTTTTGGATCTCGCGGTGGACGGGGGCGGAGGTGGAGAGGTGGCGGGCGACGGTGCTGAGCCTGGTGGCGGCGGCGGCGGAGACGGGGCGGGCGGTCATGGTGGTGGCACGGAGGAGGGGGAGCATGGCGAATAGACAATCGTAGTGGGAGACAGCTGAGGGATTAGCACAGCAGGTGGGAAGAAGCCCCCGCTTATATGGGACCGGTGTTACATAAGCACACGTGGGTCATAGTGTTGAGCGACGACGAAGAGCGCCTTGTTGGATGCCAACCTGCATATGACCAGTCGGAGCACTGAGATTCATCGTAGTCATTATACACTTGTCGATTCTTTGGCTCTACACCCTATCCTCTCCGCCCCCCCCGCTGAGTTCCGCCGTCTCCGGGCCTCGGTAAGCCCCACCAACAGAGGTTCTCGAGCTCGGTAGCCCGCTTCTTTACGTAAGGTAGATAAGGGGCGACTCTTCTCCGAGAGCTGCGGTCCCGATAAGATCGGCCTCTGTCCATCGCTATAAAACACCCGGGCTGTCTTTTCCCATCCCATCAATTCATGAATCCATCTCCAACCATGTCCCAGCCTGGATTCCTCTCTGCTGCCCGCTACGGTGAGTCTACTAGTCCCACTGCACCATCCCGAGACGGCATAGCTGACCTCCGGTGTAGGTAAAGACCTTGTCAAAGTTGCACGTGTCGTCCGAGACGGCGATCAACACCACGTCGTCGAGTATGTCATCCGAGGTAAACACATTTGCCCCCCCAAGCGGAAGGGCAGAGCTGATTCTGCGTAGTGTTGCTCGAGGGTGAAATTGAGACCTCGTACACCGAGGCCGACAACAAGTGCGTCGTTGCTACCGATACCAGTACGTTTCCCATACTCTCCCCTCTATCACGCTCAAGGCTGACCTCATTGGATAGTGAAAAACACCTGCCACAGTACGTTATCTCTTATCGTTTCGATCCTCATGCCGTATCACCTCCCCCAAACTCTATTCCTTCCCGCAATGGCAAGGGGCTGACTCTTATCTCCAGTCTTTGCCAAAACCTCCCCCTACGTGCTCGACGCCCCCATCTTCGCGCTCCACCTCGCCCTGCACTTTGTGACCAAGTACGCGCACATCCACAAGGCATTTGTCGACATTGTCGACCTCAAGTGGTCGCGTATCGCTGTCGACGGCAAGCCGCACAAGTGGTCGTTCGTGAGGGACGGCGATGAAAAGGCGATTGTGGAGTGTGCGGTGGATGCTAGTAAGGGTGTGGAGAATGCTACGGCTGAGCTGAAGGTTGGCGTCAAGGATCTGCTTGGTATGTCCCTTATCTCTACTCCTGGGGTGCAAAGACTGACACTGGGCAGTTTTGAAGACGAGCGGTTCCGCCTTTGAAGACTTCTACAGGGACGAAAACACCACCCTGCCCGAAGTCAGCGACCGTCTCTTCTCCACATCCGTCGCCCTCCAATCCCTCATCACCCTCCCCCCCAACATTCCCCTCACCATCGACAACCTCGCCGAGATCCAGAAAGAGCTCAACTTTAAAGACTTGAAGGCCAAGGTTACGAAGGATGTGCTGGAGACGTTTGCGACGGATGAGAGTGCGTCGGTGCAGGCGACGCTTTACAAGACTTTGCAGAGGATTTTGACGAGTTGCCCGGCGGTCAAGGAGGTGTCGATGCAGTTGCCCAACAAGCACTACATGTAAGTTCTCTTCCTTCTTGAGCCGTTGATGGAAGGCTGACGAGGAGTAGTCCTATCAACCTGTCTCCCTTTGGCCTCGAGAATGGTTTGACGAGGGAAGGCGGTGCCGATGTATTCTACCCCGCTCCCGACCCCAGCGGTCTCATCACTGCTACCGTCACCAGGTCTTAAGTCTGGCTTGTCTTGTTCTAGTTCTTTCTGCTTTGGGCACTTGGGCATCAGTTGTGTTGGGATTAGGTAAAGGATTAGATGAATGCATCAAGAATATCGTTTCATACTTTCGCTGCCAGTCTTTCAAGATGGTTCGGTTCATTAACCACGCTTTTCCACTCTTTCAACCTCGGCCCCACTTTATCCTTTCTCAGCCCCTGGCCGAGGAAGAAGAGCCCGACATTGTGTTTGTGGAGCTCGATCCGGCGGTAGAGGTGCCGAGTGAGCTTGTCGTAAAGGAATCGGGAAGTGCGTGAGACGGCAGAGAGGGTAGCTTTGTCGGAGGTCGATCTGAGGTGGTAGAAAATGATTTGGACGATCTCTTCTTTGCGTACTGGGCGAGTAACTTATGCTCTGGGCATTGTGGTGATCGATGAAAATAGAGAAGATAGAGATGGGAGTTCTCGGCGTCCCGCGAAAGTGGAGGCGCCCATCACCTCTTGCATTTGCAACGACTCGTTTCTTTCTTTTCCTCTATAACATCTATACCCCCAGGATGCCCAACAAGCTGCCCCTCGTAAGGATACCCCCGCAAGCACTCGTCCACCGCTTTGGCGCACCTGCCTCCGCACCCCGTTCCTCGGCCCTCCTGCGCTTCTCCGACGACGGATGGACCATCAACCGCCAAGTCGTCAAGCCTGAAGGATGGGCCATCGTCGGCGACGCCGAAGGACGTAAACTCGCCGTCGAGGTAAGCCGCCTTGGTAATGTGCAGAGCCCGGAGCTGATGCTGAAAGCAGACGTTACTGAGTCGACACCGAATCCAGCCTCTGCCTCCTCCTCCCGGCCCATTCCCCTACATCAACTCCCTCATCACCCCTTCTTCCACCCTACCAGACCCTGCCAGCCCTCCCCCACCTGCTAAAGCCATCCGGCACTTGGCCTTCGCCCGCCCACCTTCCACCGGCGAATTTACCGACTTTACTGCGCGCTATGGTACGCTCCTCGAAGAAGACCGGCTCTCTTTCCGACAGACGCTCAAGAACCTCCAGCCTCCCCCAAGTGACGAGGCTATTGAGAGGGTCGCGAGGCTGATGCGGATTGAAGATCTGTTGGACCTGCCGAGCGTGTCTTTCTCGTCAGGCCAGACGAGGCGAGGGAGGATTGCGAGTGCATTGTTGACGAGGCCGCATCTGCTCTTGATTGAAGACCCGATGGCGGGCTTGGACATTCCAAGCCGTGCGGAAGTGTCGAGGTTGCTCGGAGAGCTGAATGCGGATGTGGAGCAGGGGATCAAGATTGCGCTCGTGCTCCGAGGTAAGGGTGGAGAGGAGATGCCGGATTGGATCACGAATGTCGCCGAGGTCAGGGGTGGTGATGTTTGGGTAGGCTCCAGGGAAGAGTATGACGTGCGAAGGGAAGGGAGAGAGGCACATGAGAAGAAGAAGGTGACAGAGGTGGTCGAGATCAATGACGAGATTGCTGGCGAGCCTGTGGTCAAGCTCGACAAGGTTTCTGTGTCTTACGGTGAAGGCACTAGACCTGTAAGCCTATCCTTCTCACAAACAATTGAGCTTACGAGGTGTAGGTCCTCAAAGAAGTCTCCTGGACGATCCAGCCCGGCTCCAAATGGCACCTCATCGGCGCCAACGGTTCCGGCAAAACCACCCTCCTCTCCCTCATCCTCGGGCACCACCCTACCTCCTACTCTCTCCCTCCCCTCTCTCTCCAACTCTTCTCCAGACCCCGTCGCGCCATCCCAACACCCATCCTGCGGACGTTGATGGGCCATACGAGTCCGGAGATCTATGCGAGTTTCCCGAGAGGGATGGGGTTGGGTGCGGGGGAGGTTGTGGGGAGTGGCTTTGAGGGCGTCTTTTCGAGGAGGATGTTGAATGCCAAGCAAAAGGAGAGGGTAGAGTACTTGTTGGGATACTTTGTAGACCTCCTCAAACCCCTCCCTCGAGCCGGTATCGCAGCCCCCACCTCTGTCCACGACCTCTTCGAACGCCCCTTCATCACCTTCACCCCACCCCAACAAGCCCTCCTCCTCTTCCTCCGCGCCATCGTCACCCGCCCAAAGTTGCTTATTTTGGATGAGCCGAGTCAGGGGATGGATGAAGATCTGTGGGAGAGGTGTAAGGCGTTGTTGGAGGAAGAGTGGAAAGCGGAGGGGGGGAGGGAGATGGCTGTTGTTGTGGTTTCTCATTATGAGGATGAGGTGAGCTGCTTCTTTGTTACTATTGAGGTATCATGCTGATGAAAACAGGTTCCATGGGAGAGAGGACGAGGGAGGGTGCTCAAGCTGGATCAGGGCGTTGCTACTGTACAATAGTGCTCGTCCTGATCCATCATAACATCTCAATATGTGCTTGTGGAAGCAGGATGTATACAGTGTGTGGATATGAAAGGGAAAATCGGGGCGCTCCCAAATGAGTGGACGAGAGATGTTGAAGGAGCACAGGTAGTGACGACCAGCCGCTCGACAGTCACCTGGAATGAATGAATCGTCGATGTATACGACCGTCTACCTTCCATAGAAGCTGGTACACATCAGGCCAGAGACGACATACAAAGCTATGAGGAGATGCAAGAAAGCCACAAAAGTATAGATCGTAAGCCCCAAGTAGAGCGGGACCAAATGCGGCACCTCCCGCGTCATCATCGCATCCTCCTCTTTCATCGCCATCCTCAACAACATCCCCCCCCAAGCACCATGTCCTCCCCCGCCTCCATCTCCCAGCGCCTCGCAACCACCTCCTCTCTTCTCCTCGAACGCTCCCGCATCCTCGACCTCGGCATGAAGCCCTCCCCCTCCTCCACACAACAAGTCGTGCGCAACCTCACCTCTATCAGAGCCGACTTGGAACGGCTTGACGCTCTGTCTCCTGGCCTGGGAGGGGGTGGGAAGGGGAAAGGGAGAGGGGAGGGGGGGGAAGAAGGGGTGGAAGAGTTGAGGGGGAGGTATGATCGGTTGGTGGAGATGCTCGAAAGAGACGATGTGGGACGGGAAAAGGCCAAAGCACTCAAACGCGCACCTTCAGCGTATGTCTCCTCTACATCTAATGAGTCAGGCTAACATACCTTGCAGGCCTTCCCCGTCGCCAAGCCCGGTCCAATCCCCATTCCACGATCCCGTATCGCCCGCATCAGAAGACATCCCGAGTTTCAGCATCGAACCCCCAACCCCCGCCATTGGCCAGAAACCGTTCAGAGATTATCCGTCGGATGATGAAGGAGAGCCAGAACCGGATAGGACGTTGAGCCCGCATGAGATGTTGTCGAATCAGCAGATGATGATGGACGGTCAGTTGCCCCCCTCCCTCCCTTCTTATTTGTCCCGTTCACAAGCTGACAATACGAGTAGACCAAGATGAACGACTGAACCTGCTTTCCTCTTCCATAGGCCGCCAATCGACTCTGTCTACTCAGATTGGCTCCGAGCTGGACCTGCATCATGAGCTGATAGAGGACACGGACCATGCGATGGATCGGACGGCGGCGAGTTTGGGGAGGGCGAGGAGAAGGATGGATAGGGTGGCGGACGAAGCTAAGCAGCATGGTGCGCCGGATTGCTAGTGTGACATGGGGCGGGGTGCTGATAATCTTGCTAGGGAGTACGATCACGATTGTGGTGCTCATCTTCATCTTGCTGATCCTCATCATCGTCTTCAAGACATGATCCTTGCCTGTCTGGAGTCTGCAAGTTGAATCTATGCGAAGGCGTGTACCTTGTTGTATAATAATATACATTCGCATCTGGTCGTTTCTATCGAAATGTGACATGTACAATATTCCTAACACTTGCAAGATGCTCGCCCCTCTCTCTCTTTCCTATCCCCGCATTCTCAAGAGCTCTACTCGGAAGAACCAGCAAGCTCGAGGGCAAAAGCGATAGCAAGCTTGGAGAACTCTCGCATATGCGTCCAAGAGAATTCCGGGTGGTCGAATGTATCTTGGGTGGAGTGGATGTTGCGGGTGTTGGAGTCTTCAAAGGTGGCCTCGATGCTTCGACTAGGTCAGCATAGTGCAAGGAGGGGGGTGGGGAAGACTTACGCAAAGGCAGATTGGTAGCCAGCTTTACCGAAAGAAGCGTGGTCGGAACAAGCGTAAGAGCACTTAGTCTTGACGGAAGGAATAGACACTTGGCTACGCATCAGCCTTTCGTCCACATGAACGCGAACAGTACTTACAGTACTCTGAGATGAGCCCTTCAACAAACTCGGTAAGTCCCGGGTCCACAAAGTCCTGCACAACGCCCACTCTTTCCTCCGTCCCCTCTTTCACCCAAGCAGTCATATCCATCTGCAACATCGCCCGCACCAACTTGCCTTCCTCCTCATAGCTCTTTGCCACAGCCTGCGAACCGAGGAGTCCACCTTCTTCAGCAGAGAAGTAGTGGAACTCGAGAGGGGAGGAGGGGGTGTAGTTGGCGGCGACGAGGTTGCGGAAAGCTTCCAATGAGGAGGTTGTACCGGACCCATCGTCGTCGGCGCCGGGGGCGGGGAGGAAGGGCCAAGTGTTGGCAGAGTCTTGGTGGGCACCAATGATGGTGACTGGCTCTTCTTTGGCGGCGGAGGAGGAGGGGGAGAAGTGGACGATGATGGAGTTTTGGCCCCAGGTGTGAGGGAACTCTTTGATAGTGATGCCCGAGTGGGGTTTGGCGATCTGGTCCCTAGTCAGTCATGTCGTCTTGCGCATGCGCCTTTGACGACTCACATCTTTGAGTGTCTTCAAGAGGAACTGCTGACTCTCTTTACCAGTGTCGGACCTGTAATACCTCGTGCGGAAGCTGCCAGGCCTTATCAGCACCGCATCGGCCTCGCGCGACAAAGGACTCACGAAGTAAACTTGGTCAAAAACTTCTTCATGCAGCCGATATCAAGCCCCTTGATGATCTTCTTGATCTCCTTGGTGTGATTGCCAGGGGTGGGGTATGCTACAAGACAATTCAAAGTCAGCCCGGGCCGCGCAAGTGAGCGGGGTGGCGGGACGTACAGTACTTGACATTGGCGGCCGAGGGCAGGAGGTAGCCCGAGAACCCTAGACTTGGTGTATCGGTACTGTCCTATCATCAGCTATGCACCGAAAGAGCAGGGCAGAGGCTTACATGTCCATGAATCGGACACCCTTCGCCTTGGTCTCGATCTTCTGCAGCTCGGTCATCCAGCTTCACCCGTTGTCAGCTCTTTCTTTCTTGGAACAAAGCAGCGAGCTTACACGGGAGGCTCATCCTCGCTGAACTGGACCAGCCTGAGTTCATCGAGGTCCAACGAGAAACCCTTATAGTCGGCGTGCTTGATGTCGCCGCTCGCGTCGTCGCTGAGGGCAGGGGCCTGGTTGAATGCGAGCTGGCCGCGGTTCGTGGGGATGGCGGCGGCGAGGAGGGGGAGGGTGAGGATGGCGGGGGTGAGGAGCATGTTGGGTGATGAGAAGGAAGAAAAGAGAAAGAGAAATGAGATGCAATATCGCGGAGGCAGGATGGCGAGGAAGGCCGGATTGGGTGATGCGGGTGTGCGTGCCTGGGGGCCCCAGTCGTTCAACATGCCGCCGGGTGGTGTGGCAGTGGCTTTGGGCTATCGCAGAGAGACGTCAAGGGGCATTCGCAAGGGTATACATGCTCCCTCGGGATGGCGCCCGTCACATATACAGCGACCCCATTTTTTCTCGCATATCACCAAGACGGTCCTTCTTCTCTACGGCACTGGTATTTCCTGCACTGCTCTCAAGTTTCTCGTCGATCTTCGCTTCCGTGAAATCTTCGTACTCTTCAAGCCTTTCTATGAAATGCTCAATCTGTACCTCTCTGTCCGTTCGCTCTCCATCTTTGTCCAAGCACCCCGCCAATGCAAATGTGAATCGTGGCCCTATATGATTCCAGGCAGTGGCGTTCAGCAGACTAGAGCTGAAGTGTTTCTGATTCGGGTTTGGAAAGTTGACCAAGCCCCAGTGGTCCGTAACAGGACAGCTAGCGCCTTTGGTGCCTTTCTGGTACCCGTAGTGGGATGGCGGTTTGTAGTTCCGTATCACCTGGCAGAATGTCTCGAACGAGAAAGTTGTCAGATCAGATTACTTGCTTGCCAGGATAATCACATCAAGAGCTTTGATCCCGGGCTCATCGTAGTTGTAACGAGAGTAGTAGAGCAACACCAGAGAAAGATCCCTCAAGATCGTTGTAGAGTCCCACTTTTGCGCCAAAAGGATGGCTCCATGGAGTGTCTCGACCATTTTGCCTTCGAATTCTTTAAACTTTGAAATGGCATCGGGTTCTTCATCCTCTTTGGTCAAGCTCAGAAAGAACGAGAGAGCGACCGAGGACTCGCATAACTTGTCCGTCAATTCGATTTTGGGTGGCGCTGGACCATCGCTGCCCGAGTCGGCGGAAGGAGCTTGCGGAACGGTAAACATGTCTCGCAGCACTCGGCTACTCATAGCCATTAGCTGAGCACATCAGAGCCCTGTTCCTTGCTTTACGTACCTGTGAGCTCGAAGGAGAAAGTCGGGCACGTAAAAGCGTACATCGTCGCTGCTAACGAGGCATACCTCTTTCTCGGTCGGGTGACAAGATCCTTCTTTCCAAGCGGCATGCACTTTCTCGGGCGTCTTTTCTGATTCCATGTCGTGTCCTGTCTTTTCGGCGGGTAAGGTGGCTCCGGTTGTTTGATGATTTCCAAGGGGACGAAGAATAGATGAGCTTTTGCATTTCTTGAGCCTTCCGCGGAGCGTTAAATGATACTTCCCGCGTCGCGGGTGTCGGATATTCCGCCGTCGCTGACCGTCGCTGACCGTCGCTGACGGGCCCAGTCATAAGCCATGTGTGACACGGTTCAGTAAGTTGAACACTATTACACGAGTACATTGATCTGCAATATTATATCACCTCTTCCGTCCCAGCAAGCTATCTTGACGGAGGTACTTCTTTCTGCGAGTTTTCGGAATCCCAAAGAAAACTATGACGCATGGGTCAGCTCAAACCATTCAATCCAAGGCGCCAGTAGAGATGGGGACGTACAAATCACACCTAAACTTGGGATTGACATCCACCCTTGCCCTTTTCGACCGACCCATATCATATCCCGCCCCCACCGGTCTGTACATTGGCGTCAGTCCACATATAATCGGGAACAAGACTGGAGATGACATACAAAGAGCAAAGCCAAAACCTCTTTCCTTTATTCGGACCCGGCTTGCCCACAACTACACCCCTCTCGTCAGTCTGTATCATACGTATGAGAAAGGAGAATGACTGACTAAAGTCTTTGCACGGTTTCTGATGCACCGAACACAAGGGAGCGACCTTCTTTGCAAACAATTGGTCCCATTGCGGTGCGGCAGTGGCGATTTTGGCTTCGCGCTCCGCTTCTGAAGTAGCGAGTGCTTGGGAGATGAGGTTTTGTTCTTCCTCTGATAGACCCGATTCTTTCAATTCGGTGGTGCTGCTCTGAGAGACAGAAGGGGCCCGGGTTTTGGAAGGAGTTTGCGAGAGGGATTGACGTCGGGCTTTAGACTTTGTTGAGGAGGAGGAAGTTAGAGGCGACTTCCGCTTCGCATTGTTACTAGGCTGGGAGAAGAACGACGAGAGCTTTGCCTGCGAAGACCCGCTTTCGCCTCTTGCATTTGAGCCGCCTTTGGCAGGTTTTGTGGCAGATTTGGGCTTGGAAGCAGATTTGGAGACGGGCTCTTCATCCGAATCGGAAAAGGTCATGTCGATAGGGCCGCTTGTTGCTTTTGCTTTGCCTTTCGCTTTGGACGAAGCGGGAGCAGTCGTTGCTGTCGTAGATGCCGTACCCGCTTGAGAAGTAGATCTATCCCCCGGTTCGACTGATGGCGGAACTGGGGTAGGACTGTCGAGGGAGCTGAAAGCTGATTTTGCCAGGCTGAGAGGAGCAGACATAGGCTCTTCACCAGCTGGTGTCAACACCGGCACTGATCTTGGCACTGGCGGGGCGGGTGTATCGCCTCCCACGGGCGCTGACGCCAAGGGCGACCACGCAGGGGGCGGCGCAGGACTCGCACTCGTCTTTGGCGAAGCACTACTCTTCTCCTTGCCCTTACCTCTCTCCGCCACCTTCTTCGCCCCTCCTCCTCCAAAAAAGCTCTTCAAAGTAGTCTGCTTGCCCGAAAACTCTTCCAAGAACTTGGTCGCAAACCGAGGAGGCTCTGGTGCTTCTCTCGGCACCGCATTGGGGTAGACTGGTGCGGTACTGGGCGGACGGTCTGGGGGGTTGAGCTGGTCGCGGAGGTGGAGCGTCTCGCCGGAGGGGAGAGTGATGGATTCGTGTAGGTCGATGTATACCGGGCAGTGGTCGGAGCCGTAGATCTTGGGGAGGATATCACCCCCTTTGATCCAAGGGCGCAGGCCGGGGGTGCAGAGGATATAGTCAATACGACTTCCATAATTTGACGATCTTGATGCAAGTCAGCTTGACTGAATACAAGACAAGAAGGAAAAGTGAACGCACCGAGCATCAAGTTTCGTATTCCAGCACGTAAACATGTCATCTCTCCTCGGCCAGCTCTCTCGAACCACATCAATCATCTCCCCTTTCGGCGCACACCAGTCGTCCAGCATCCTCCGCGCTGGGTGCTCATAGTGCTGAGCAGCGCTGGAGCGGACAGGCCCTTCACCAGAATCGGCGGGGGCGCGGACGATGTTGATATCACCGACGATGATGACTTGGCGACCGGCTGCTTGGAGGAGGCGGACTCGTTCATGGAGAGCGTAGTGAAAGTTCATCTTGTAGGGACGGCGAGTGTCGTTCGTCTCGTTGGGGCAGTAGAGGTTGAAAAGAACGAAGAGCCTTCTTGATGTCAGTTCCATGCGGATAGAGTGCCTTCAGACTCACCCAAAGTCACAGACTACCGCTCTGCCTTCCATATCCAGCTTCTTCACATCAAATTCTCCCCCATCTGCTTCCGGATCCCACCTCATACTATCCACATTGGGATAAGATCCTATCCTTTCTTCTTCGGTCCATGGCGGCTTCATGGTGCTCAACCGATCGCCCAGCAAGATGCCCGTGATACCCTCCTCAGCTTTGAAGGGAACGCAGTATCGGGAGTCGACGTATGTACAGACACCAGAATATCCAGTCTTGGATCGAGGAAATGTCCAAAAACCGTCGTATGGTCCGGGACAAGCCATGGATTTTTCGAGTTTAGCTCGAGGGGTCTTGTGTTCTGGATGAGGGTCAGCAAGGAGCCTTTCAGACCCGCCAGGATATTTACCCTGAAAACACATGATCTCAGCATCCAGATGGTCCAACAGCCCCTCCACATTCTTTTTCGGCAGTCCGCTGAATCTACGGACGATCAGTGGCGATCTTCGGGTGTCGTAGCCACTCACGGATGATAGTCTAGACATGTCCTCAGAACGTTCTGAAATCCATTTGGTTCAGCAATATGATCATCGTATTCATTAGAGTGACTCACTACGTTCCAGGTAAGTATCCTCATGACGATGAGCGCATGTCATAGACTAGAACGAAGTCCTCAGTACTGGGATATACGAATTTTGAGGCTGATCAGTGCCGCTACAGCCTCACAGTCAGATATTTCCGTGTCGATTGTTCTATCGTGGCCCAGGAGAGAGATATCGAGCAAGATAGAGAACATTCAAGTTGGAAGATCGGATCGCCGGATCGCGTCTGACCGACGCGTTCGTTTGATCCCGTTTGGACGACCCTTGTTACCTCTGTGTTATCTTGTACCCGTCCTTTGCTCGTCGTTGAAGCTGGTTGGATATCCCTGTCCAGTCCTGACTCAATCCGCAATGGAGCCCATCAGATCCCTCGACCCTCTTCCGGACGATATACTCAACGTCATATTCGACCATCTCCTCGTCTTGGCCATCGACGACAAACCCCTCGGCTTGGCCCTGATTCGCTCTTCCAAGCAAACGTTCAGACGAGCTTCTCCCTACCTATATCGTCATGTCTCTTTGCACTCCCGCAATGTCTCCAAATTTTTCCTCGGGATAGAGATTTCCTTCGGGATAGATACAAGGGCACGACCAGGCGAGGCTCGGCGATGGAACGATGGGCTCTTCGAAGGGAGGAGCACGGCGGCGAGGCGGCTTGCCTATCTGGGCCTGGTGCGAAGGGTGGAGATACAGGACAAGGAGGCGCATTCGGCCTGTATGACTGCAGTGGCACGAATGCGTTCCAAAAAACTAGCCAGCGGACATGGCAAAAGAAGCGATGGTATAGCCTTCTTGCCTAACCTGTTCTGGGGTTTGGACCCCGCCTTCGGTCCGCACGGTACCATGCTGTGGTCTCAAGGCGCTATCGTGGGTATTTTGGAATACTTGAAGCTCTACTTGAAGCTCGGCAGGGACATGTCTCTTTGTGATCTCGGCCACCCGACATACCTTCAGGCCGTCCTCCCGGCATTTGGGGACCTTCGTCGCTATCGTGAGGCGTTATGGTCCTATTTCGGCTCTCTCCCGGTCCGACAGCTCAAGCTATGTAATTACGACATTCAAGAAGATAGTAGAGAAGAGTCTCTCATAGAAAGTCTCTGCTTGGAGGGGCTTCTTGCGAAAGAGGTCACGCTGGTGTTGAAAGACACGAGCGCACCGACGACACTGGCGCCGGTGGGTAAACTAATGCGGTCAGTCATCACATCATCCTTCCTCTCTCTCTACTACAGTCGCTGATTCCTGAGCAACAGAGACACAATCCAGAATAACCCCTATTCCTCATGCCCTCGCTTTACCGTCCGCATCGAAGGCTTCATACCTTCCCCGGGCGAGTCGCTCGAAACTGTCCAGGAGGAGATCGATAATCTGGCGAGAACGTTGCATGGACCAAGTATTAGCGTGGAGCCTGATGTCAAATTTGTGCTCTGTTGACTGGTCTATAGTGAGTGTCGGCACGACGGCGGAGGCCTCTTATATACGGTGATGCTGATTGAAGGTTCATAGCGCTCTTGAAACATGGATGGACAGCTAGCTACTTGATTATAATGGGGAATGGGTGCGCGTGTGTGCATGGTCTGCAGCTGTTCAGGATGGCAGGGACCCCCCAGCTTAGCAGGCGTTAGAGTACGCAGTACAAGATGTAGGGAGGATATCCCACGACTGCGTGGCACACCATGGCCGGGACTTGAGTGATCAAGTGAATCATTAGAGAAGTTCATATCATTCAACGCAGGCAATACGATATCAGCGGACCTCAGGCTACCAGGCATCGGTCACATTCACTATCACACCATTACGACCGTAACCATCAATGACATACTCTTCACATTCAAATCTAGATCTCAGCCCCTAGCAGACATCGTCAGCTTTTCGCACTTTCTACAGGCACAAGACGAATAGACTCACACTGCATCCTCTGCTTCTCCTGCACCGGCGTATCAGCCTCATCCGCAAAAGGATCCCCGAACGGATTCGCCTCCTCGTCCTTATCATCCAACAACCCGCTCCTTCCAAATTCATCATCAAGCTCTGCATAATCCGTCGCTCGCTCCTTCCCCTTTCCAGCGGCAGCAGCTTGGGAGATGGAGGCGCGTTTGTGCGCGAGGGCGGAGGGGCCGTGGGCGGCTTGCCATTCGGCGTCTGACGAGTCGTAGTCGGAGAAGTCAGAGAGAGAACTGTAAGACATCAGCATGGCTTCAAAGGGGGAGGATATGTCACGTGAAGGAGAAGTCCGACGTACCCGCCATACGACTGATCATCCCCCGAATCCGGCGTCAACGGCCTCGGCAGCCTACCCGCCCCTTCCGTCTTTGCGATACTCCCAAAGTCCAAATCTTGCAGATCCCCATACGCAGCGCCAGGTGCAGAAGCCTTTGGCGGCGTATTGGCATAACTCGCCTGTCTCTGCAGCGTCTTTGCCTGTCTCTTGGCAGACTCGCGTTTCTGGGTATCTTGTAGTTTGTCGAGCTCGCCGGTACGGTCTGCTTCGAGGCGCTGGGCGGCGAGACGGGCGTTGAGGGAGGCGACGTTGTCAGCTTCGTCTTCAGAGTCGGAATCGAGGACGGCGGGTTTGGAAAGCTATAGATATTAGTAGGATCCAGGAGTGTAAGAGGACACTTACGCGGTCGTAGAGTTGGATCGCTTCGACGATCTTTTCGTTAGCGTCGAGCAAAGCGCCGACGTATTCCTCGTCGTTGACGACTTGGATGTATCGGATGATGGCGCGTCTGGCAACCTTGGCTTTGTCGAGGCAATCTTGCACCCTGGGGCTTTCAGTGACAGTTTCGTGTTCACGATTGACGAGCTATCACCTAGTCAGCTCCATGAAGAGAGGACGACGGGGTGACTCACTCTACACGCGTTGAGCAAGTTGCTGGCACTCCTGATAGCCTCCGCCACAGCCACCATAATAGCCGGCTTCTCCTTCTCAAAGTTGAAGGGCGGCTTCTTTGGGGCAGCCTTCTTATTCTTCGCCGCCTCCTTTGCCGCTCTTCTCCTCTCCTCCTCTTCCTCCCTCTCTTTCCTTCTCCTGTTCTCCACCACCTCCATATCCTTCTTCCTCTTCATCTCCCTCTCTCGCCTTTCGATCTCGGCTTCACGCTGTTCGAGCGCGAGTTGAGCTTCACGCTCACGTTTACGTTGGGCGGCATCGGCCTTGGCAGCGGCGAGGTCGGTGTAGGTGTCAGCCCCACGAGACCCAGGGGCAGGATTCCAGTCGTGCGAGAAGATATCTTGGTCCGTAGTCGACCGGGCGCCAGAGACGGCTGCTCCCGAAGTAGGCTTTGAGCGAGTCAGCTGGGTCCACCATTTCCGGATCTTCATTGTGTTTTCGCGATCGTGTGTGGACATACTTTCTTGACAGAGGGATGATTGCCTTGCGAGCTGTACTTGCGCCACAGGCCGGCTACTTCAGTCATTCGAGGTTCGTCCTAGTACAATGTTTAGTGTGAAACACGAGGCCTCGGCGTGTTTGCCTATATTCCGTTTCTAGATCCGACTCACCTTGTAGTGCAAGGCCCATGAGTGGAAGACGAGTATGAGCGTCTTCTTGACTTTCGGGTCTGTCAGTTGCTGTCATACAGATTAGCGCTTTCTCATAAACACGAGATAAGGAAGGAGAGTGCTTACATCGGTCGCCATGAGTTTGAGTCTCTCCATCAGCTGCTCATTCGCCCAGTTGAGCTGAAACCCCTTGCTGGCGTTCTCAGTGAGAGCACGCAAGATGATGAGGGCCCTGATCTGACGGTGGACGTTCCCATACTTGAGCTTCTTTCTGATAGCACGGGCTGCCTCCTATTCCGCTCCCATTAGCTCCATTTTCTATCGTACCATCACGAGCCAGCTTACAGTAGTACCCTGCAGCTTCTGGATGTTGACAGCATCTACAAGCTCCGGGATACCATCCAGACTGAGATCCGAGTACCTATCGGAAGAGAGGACTTCGATCCAGTCTGTGATGGAGGAGTGCGGCTTGCCCTCTTCGAGGGCGCTGACTGTCTCCTTTGCGAAGCGGAACAACTTGCCTGCGCTGGACATGGCTGGATACTGAATCAAGAGGGAATGCAAGAGGAGATAGGGGGCTGCATCCAGTTCCGGATCGGCAATTCACTCAGGGCAACTCACCCTTATGTCATCTGTAATTACTGAGCCCGCTTTGTTACAGCCCTTATCTATTTTGATCCCGCTCAGTTCCAGGTGCGACGGAATCAAGACGGAATTGTTGACAACTGAGGACACCTTGCACGTCAAATATCCCTCACTGGCCACAACTCTCGCCAGCATGTCCAACGAGAGAATAAGGGGCATACACGTCCACCGCCCCGTCATATACGGCTCTCACGCCAGGCTCCTCACCGAGGCAGAGCGTCAACTCGCACCGCCAGGCCGTACGTGCACCTCCTCTCTCTTCTACTTTGCTTTGCTGACGAGAAACAGATACGCACCGCTGGACTGTTTTTATCAACTCTGCCGCCTCCCCGCCTCCTTCTGATGCCGAGGACATCGACTATCTGCCAGGCGGGGCGGATGACATGAGTTACTTTATCAAGAAAGTGACTTTCAAACTGCACGAGACCTATGCGACTCCCAATCGAGGCAAGTCTAAACAACAACATCGAGATCATGTGCTGACGATACACCATAGTGATTGACAAGCCCCCATTCAAAGTCTCAGAAACAGGATGGGGTGAATTCACCGTCGCTATCCGGATCCAATTCATCAACGAATCCCTCGAAAAACCCTTAAACTTTACGCACAACATCAAGCTGCACCATATGAACCAGCCTGCCGACCTGCCGGTGGTCACTGCGGCGCCCTCGGAAGCTGGGGCAGAAGGCAGTGTGGCTGGTGAAGTGAAGGAAGAAGTGGAAGAAGGTGTCAAGATGGAAGTCGATACGCCGGCAGAGACGCCTATCGACACACCTGCTCCTACTGCAGCCCTCGCTCCAGCCCCTGCTGCTGCACCCGGCCAAGAAAGCACCCCTGCCCCATCAGACCCTTCTCAACAGGCCCCGCCATCCACATCCACCCCCGCTCCCGAGATCGCTCCCTCCACACCCGCTTCCACCCTTCCCGCTCCATACGCCGCCCCAGTACACTCCTGGCAATACGACGAAATCGTCTTCCACGACCCTCCCAGGGTCTTCCTCGACATTCTCAATGCACACCCGCCGACGGCCCTGCCGCCCAAGAATAGAAGGGCGTTTTTGACGCAGAGGCAGGAGGCGGATGGGAAGAAGAAGAAAAAGTTGAATAGCGGGCTTGCTGGGAGCAGTGCGCCTCCGAGTGCTGCTGGGAGTGTTGCGGGGAGGAGCCGGGCAGGGACGGCAGAAACGGGGGCTGGGATTCTTGGTACACCGGTACCAGACATGGGCCAGCCTATACCCAATATTCTCGGAGTGGTGGGCAATCAAATGAGCACTCTGGATGTACCGTTAGAGTTTTCGCAAGAGATGGCAAAGGGAGAGAACAACTTGATGGTGGAGGCGAGGATCAAGATTGTGGACCAGATGGACCAATGGAGGTGAGTTCATCCCGTAAAGAATCGAAATGGAAAGATACTGATGCCTGGATAGAGAACGTCTGATTGCGTTGGAAAAGGAGCTAGTAGCGGCCAAGGAAGAGGTCAAGTCCACGGCTTTGTGATACTCGAGCATATAGGACTGAGTAGTGTTGTACATGTTATGGAATGATCTATTAAACCATATATACAGCCTTGCTCTAGATTGTTATACACAGACTCGCAACGACGAGAAAAGGGGCTAGCAGATTATTCCTTGTAAGGGTACTCGAACTTCGGCGCATTCTTCTTCCTCCAAAGCTTCTTCTTGGATCCCTTCTTGGTGGCGTGCTCGGCAAACACTTCGATGCAATGGTCTTTCTTGAACTTCCGGATAAATGAAGGGTCCCTACACCGTTTGTCAGTCAATGTGGTTTAGACAAGTGGGAGATATGGCGAAACATACCAGAGCTCCGAAGCAATACCCAGGTCCTTACAACACCTCATCAAAGCATTGCTTTTACAAGCCTCCGTAGCTGTCGCAATACCGGAAGGGTCAAAGTACTCTTGCTCGCCTCTCGCCACGGACACCAAACTTGATTTACAATCAGCCCTGTCCCTGTTCATCCTATTAAGAAGTGACTCACCGGCCAAGACAGACAAGTCCCCATTCGCGTGAGACAATCCGGGGACCAACGTGAGTTTCGCCTCTGGGCGCCAGACCCCATCCACCAGGACCGAAAGCGAGGTTGAGCGTCCGGCGGTACTTGATCTCGGGAAGGTACAGCAGTCCATCTACATCGCCTAGTCAGCGCCTGATCCATCACCCTTACTCGAGCTGTCGACACGTACCAGGCTTGATCTCCACATCATCAGGCTTCAGCTCTCTCAATAAAGCCTCCGCCGTCTCCCTCGAGAACGGCTCGTCCGACAACCCCGCAAAAGACGTACTCCAATCCTGACCTACAGCAGCTTCCCCTGGTATCCTGTTCCCCTGACCCAAGCCCAGATTCTCAGGGGTGGCCACAGATGGAAGAGGCTGATACGACTGGTCGGGCAAGTTGGTGAGAGGTGGAGAGGGGGCAGCGGTAGGAGGCGCGAGGTTAGCGTAATCTCCGATCAGGGTTTCTTCAACGGGCATATCGGGGAAAGATTCTGGTGCTGCCTCCGCCACGGGTGGAGCAGCTGCTTTGGCGGCAGCAGCAGTGGGCCTGGTGTACTTGGGATAAACCGGGACTGCCTTGGCAGCAGTAGAGGCGGAGGCGGTCTTGTAGCCGCCTTTGGCGGGGGCGGCAGTTTTTCGGACGTAGCGCGGTATAGCGGCCGGGGCAGCTTCGGCGAGCCGGGGAGCAGAGGTGGACAGAGAGCGGAGTGACCGAAGAGGGGTGCCCCGGGGAAGGGTGGTGAGGAGGGACATCTTGGTGATATGGGGTGGAGAAAGAGGGAGAGAATCAGGATCGGCAAATCGCCACCAGAAAGCAGATGCGTTTCTGATGACGTGGAAGAGCGCGTATGTCCTCTTTCTTGCATTGTATGTTTCACACGAATGTTCTGAGAGTGTGTACACCAGGTCTGAAATCCTATGATCAGATAGCTACGTGTATTCTAACTCGGCTATCTCTCCTTCCGGACTACGCGAGAATAGAGTTCACAGGCCCACGGTAGAGCTCATTTGGCACGGCCGTGGATGCCGTCAATCGCTTTTGATGAACACGATGAACCATCCTCGCAGAACCTGGCAAGTGAGTATGCAATCAATCAGCATAGAGTGGCCAATCATGAGATGACAGACGCTCCACTCGCCTTTGACATAGATGAATGTTCCATCCTGGAAAGATGAACGATATTCCTGCCAAGCCGCATTGAGCCTGTCCTCAGCCTCCGTTTTTGATATGTCGCTCCATGTAGTTATGTCTATGATGGTGACGACAAAGCTGACAGGTAGGTAATATTGCATGCTCGTCCTGTCACTTGAGAACATCCTGGATTCAATCTATGGGAGAAAAGACGACGGGTGTCGTCCGCAAGCTGTTCGCAAGTGAATCGCAGAGGTCGCGCGCGCTTTGGTTCCGAGATGTCGGAAGTTTGGTACATACTAATTACTATCATGCACGCATCATAGCATCCAGCAGAGTCCAGCCATATGTGCGCATCCCAATGTATAGCTTTGGTTCAGGGAGTGGTCGTTGCATCGACGAGGGCGTCATGCTTGCCACGCTACGTATCAGCTACGTAGCTGGAGTCAAAAACGGAACGCTGATCTATGCTGTTTTCTTTTCCTTGGTACAGCTCGGCTCATTAGGTACAGTATACATCAATAGTAAAGGTGTAGGTGTTTAAAATGTGTAACAAGAGATCAGATGCACCTCAAATACATCGCAGCACCTGGAACCAAACAAACCGCGTGAGCTGATTCTTGCGTTCTCTTGCGTGCGTGTAGCCTGCGTGCTTGTAGGGAGGCCACTCTGCTGTGTTCGTCTCTGTCTCTTGGTATTCATTCTTGACATCTGTTCAAAAAAGTATACCCAGCCTGCCGCCTTTGCTGAGCTACCCTCGAGAGCTCTATGTCCCCAACGACGTCGTGTTCCCTGTCCGACGGCGGTCCACTTGTCGAGCTGCCTCTATTGATCTATTATTGGATCAACCGCTTACAGCTCGAAAAAGCGACCGAAGAAAAGCCCATAGGTCGTCTGCTGAACTCCTATCAGCAAGCGGCATACCTACGCATCTCGTCGGGCGTTGGCTATGTACCAATATGCGACCGAACTTGTTACACCCGACCCCTCCATCCGCCACATGATCAGCAACATCTCTCACTTTCGAGGCCTGTACGACATCTACACCAAGCTCATAATTGTGCAGGATGTCTCTCAGGTAGTGTCCGATCTATGATTGAGTGACGACGGGAGGCCTCAAGAACAGGCTTCGTTACGTTGCCTAAAACAAGATGAGGATAGGATACCGACCTGTCGACATGATCATACAGCTCATCTCGACTTCCTCCGAACGTCCCATTCGGGTGTGCCCTCGGACTATGTATCTGAGTCTATGAACGTTCTTGTGAGTTCAACATCAATGATGCCGAGAACCGCGTGTAACGTTGGTGGAAATGTAGGGGCGTAAGAACCATGGTCTTACGTACCGGCGCACATTGCCGTACGAAAAAACAACACAACGACGGAGATATGAGACGCATGAGGTCATCGGTTGAGAGTGCTTGCATGTGCCGAACAGGTCAAGGTATGTACCGATCGTCGATGCATAAAAGCTCGAGATCCTCCTGGAGGCGGGCTTGCCAGTATATAGTCCCCGCGCGGTATCAACTCAAGGGTCAAGATCCAAAACCTCGATTTGATGAGGCGGGGCAGTGCTCAGGACTCAGGAGTATGCTAAGACAGGTAGGAACGAGGGGCTTGCGTCTCTGGAGAGGATGCGAGGTGCAGGGAAGAGATGCAACAGGCAGCCAGCGCGTCGGTGACAAACAGGTGGCATCGGTTACTAACCCGCCGAAAGACTTTCGGGTCGCGGGATCTCCGTTTGCATCGCTGCATGAAGCGCTCAGAAAATGTATGGAGTGCCAGTCCTGACCAGTCAGCTGTAATACTGCACATCCGGGGCCGACCGCCTAGACCAATGAGTAAGGCTCTTAGGGTCGTGGTGGCGGCCTGCAATGCTTCTGGATCCCGGAAGAGTCGAGGTTGCAGCTGTCGGCACGGAAAGGCACCCGACGGAAGGGCAACAAGCTTTCACTTCAGCGGACGACGCAGACAGTTAGTATGGTGGTATCTCCTCTGATCTAGGTTCTGGTCATGGTGTAGTAAAGTACACCGCCTCCCCAGATTTGGGCGTCTCTCAAGCACGGGGCAGAGACGGCGATGTCACGATATTGTGGTGGCTATTTGGTCCTTGCCGGGTTTCCGCCGGAGTCGCCCACATTGGCCCACAATCTTACCCACCGGCGGCCTTTTTCATTGTCTGTTGATATCAGACACGAGGTGGATCTCACACTTTCCGCCTGATAGCAGCTGCTCTACTCTACTGAGAGGACACGTCGTCAAGAGGACATCCACCGCGATCTCTTCGCGAATGAAGCAAGTACCCTGGGTTCGACAACTCCCGACCTATCGGTGCGGTATCACCACAAAGCACTCAACGATCGAAAGGTGCCGATCATGTAGAATAAAATACATAGACCGCGAACGTTGACGAAAGACCGACGTGCTAAAGTGACCCCCAACACAGCATTCCCAAACTGTATCTTCAGATCACCTTTTAGCAACGCCGCTTGTCTTGGAAATAAAAATGGCTGTTTATCGTAAAGGAACGTCCACGTTACTAGTATTACATGGAAGCATGCAGACGGATCTCTCGTTGCTCCTCGAAGCAGATATCAGGGCCTAACGACGAGCCATGTCTATGGTCCGAAGTGTTCTGACCCCTCGGCGTCGAACAAGAGCTACTGAGCGACTGTTCTTCATAGCTGTTACCAGATGGATCAGTGAAGGACCAGATATGTACTCCACCGAGAATGCTTCATGGGCTTACACTCGGCATCTGCTCTCGGGCAAAGAACGACGTCGTTGCATTGGGTGCAGCAGCTGTCACGTCTCCTCAAGGCCAACCGTCATCAAACAACTCGGCGCCTATTACAATAACGAAATGAGTAGCTTCGGATGCTCAATCCAATCATACCAGTTACTGCATTACTGCATAGCAATATATCAGGCAATAAACATAACTTCTCGTTTGGATAGACGTCATATCCCCGTGACTCTAGTCCAGCCTAGTGTCAGATCTCGGTCTGCCGAGCGGCGTCTTTTGGTTCCTGCATCCATCAGCTCAGTTTGATTCGAGATACGGACACGTTCATGTCGTGGTGGCCATAGTCTCCTCCTCATTTCGCCCACTTGATTCTCAAGCGCCTAGGCGGCCGAAATCTTCTTCTTTGTTTAGAAACAACGTGAGCGCTCTCGACGTCGTCTAGCGCCCGCCCACATTATCGTACGGGCACTCGAACGTTATGCAATACCATTGGTCGTAGATGGATGCTTCCATGCCGAATCCCGGCAGAGTTTGCTGGAGATGGATCTCTCTGAAAGATATTTAAGGAGGCCGTACAGAGTCTCATCTCGTCTCTCCATCCATCCAAAGCAAACCAATTCCCAACTTGACTTTGCAGCTCTACGAACCACACCAACACCAACACCAACACCAACACCAACACCCAACTAACAATGTTCACCAAGGTCCTCTTCGCTCTCGCTGCCTCTGTTGCTGCTTCTGCTACTGCTATCAAGCGCGACGAGTCTCACTCTGTCAAAGTGAGCTCTTCTCCTCTCCCGTCTATCCTTGGCTGGATCACGACTGACTCTCCTCCTCTACAAGCTCGTCAACAACTGTGGCTCTGGTAAGGATCTCTCTGCCACCTTCACGATGCATCATAAGCTGATACCTTGGCAGGTAACGCCGTCTTCCTCTACGAGAACACCGGCCAGCAGGGCTCTACCACCGTCTCCGGTCCCCTTAAGGGCGGTGTTGCCTGGGTCGACGGCTTCTCCGGTGCCAACTGCCAGAGCTCCGGTGTCAACTGTGGTATCGTCGAGTTCACTTTGATCGACAGCAGCCACAAGGACGAGAACGGCAACTCGTACCAAAATTCTGCCGACTACTCTCTTCTCAAGGGCTCTAACGGCAACCACCAGTTGTGAGTATCCCATCATTGCTACCGTAAGGATTAGTGACTGATCATGAGGTGTAGCACCTACAATATGGACTTTGCGCTTAGCTGCGACAACGGCAGCCCCGGTAAATGTACCGGTGACTCTGCTGACGCTTGCCCTGGCGCCTACTTGGGCGAGGCTACTACTGGTGGCGCTCCCACTCAATGTGTCGCCGACAGCACCGGCGTGAGTACTATCTCCTTCGCCTTGCCTTTGGTCACTGACGCCAGATCTCCCAGATCACCATCACTTTCTGCTAAGCGCCATCAACGAGTCTTGGACGGCCTACTTTCTTCTAGTATAGTCTCATTGGCTCCATAAGTGGTTCAGCGGTAGGAAAGAGAGTTATCTAGTGTGCAAGAGAAGATGATTTGAAAGATCAGAAGTGAGAATGACTGACAGTTGGAAAGTGAAGCTGAAATGAATGCGTGCACGGTTATAATACTTCAAATATCTTTTCATTGGCAAATGACAGGCGATCCGAAAGACTCACAGCTATTGATCGGCCAGCCGAACAAACCTACAAGCTTGAAACCAAACAATCCGTTCAATGCGCGCCAACTACGGCCATCGCCGCTGTGTTGCGGAGCCCGCCCCGAGCTGTCCCTGCCGAGCTCGTTCAAAGCTCGTTCCCATGTGCTCTCCCGCTCTATCCTGTCTTAATCCTGTCAGCTTCCGCCTCGCGATCTCTCTTTGTCACACAAGCTCCCATGTCTCGCCCCCAAACGCTCTTCGCTGCTGCCCAACACTCCCGGTCGTCTTCTGCACAACTACTCGGACAAAGCAGCCTGCCATCTCTCCCACCCGAACTGTACGAAATCATCCTCGATCACCTGGTGCTGCTCTCCCAAACCGACAAATCCCTTGCTCTTCGGCTGATACGCACGTGCAAGCACTTTGCCAACCGCTTCTCCCCAGCTCTCTACCGACACGCGTGTCTCAACGCGAAGAACGCCTCCGGCTTCTTTCGCGGATTGGATGGCCAAATAAAGAGTGGCGAGGAGGGAACTTGGCGAAACGGTGGACTGGAGGGGAAGATCATGGTGGCGAGAAGGCTTATGTGGCTGTCGATGGTCAGGAGGTTGGAAATCCAAGATCCTATCGCGCTGAAGATGTGCCAGAGGACTTCGGATGCTGTCTCTCAGCGGGACTTTGGGTCGGGCGAAGACAATGTCAGAACTCAGAAGCAGACCTTCCTCTTCTTTGACAGTCCCCATCCTTCTTGCCAAGACGAAGAAGCCGTCTTACTCTTACGCAAGGGCACGTTCAACCAGCATAACGGTCCCCATCTCTCATCATTCCTTCGAAGGGGATTGTTATCCCATCTTGCTCAACGACACAGTCTCCACCTCGAACTTCCTCCCAACCAATACAACGCTATGACTACTGGTCTCTTCTGTGTCTTTACCCAGTTGAGCAGGGAGCATCGGAGCTCTGTCGTCCTTTACGGCTGCCTATGACGGCATCGTTGAGAGGTTACTGTGCGACTTTACGGCCAACCCGCTTGAGTCTATCACGTTAGTGTTGGACACCAACAGGAAGACATCAGGTGCAAACAACTGGCACCGGAAAGCCGTACGACGCATTGCGCGGTGAGCTTTCCTTATGATCTTGACTTTCCTCTCTCTATTTATATGTCGCCACAGCTCTGCTGCGGCCGCCATTCGACGCATTCGACGAGTACATGGCAAGCGCGCCGTTGTCGTTGCCAGCTATGACTTTGAGGACGGCGAGACTGCAGCAGAGATTGAGGGGGCTATGTGGCAGTGCTATAATCTCGCAGTGGCAGGTAGAGGTGCCGAAGGAAACTCAGAGGTCACCTTCACTGTGACATAGTGCATGAGGTACGTCCACAGAGTGCAGCGTTGGAAACTTTGTATAGGCCAAAAAGGTATCAGAGGCGGGCGAAACTTGTAGAAGAAGAACCACCGATGAATCAATATTATCGTCTCTTGAAATCAAATAGCTTAGCCGTCCGATATTGACTTGCGGGCTTATATAGAGGTAAAGGTGATTAACAGCCAAGTCAATATCGGACGGCTAAGCTAAATCTTACCTCGGCACCCATAAAGAGTAGCTTTATCGTCGGTCGGCATAGCCCCTTAACACACGGTCAGACACCGACACCGCCGCCCGCTTTTATGTGGCGGCATTTATAATTGACCGACCTTCCGCATGTCCCAAATAAATCCCATCCCGCACTTTGACTTTGCGACATATTCCCCTAGTCTCAACATCGAAGCATCCCATGCCTCTGCCACGAACGCGCGCCATTACCCGAGAGTCGCATGGGCTTCTCGCCGGCTTGCCATCTCTCCCTGCCGAACTCATCCAGATGATATTCGACTACGTCCTTCTATTCTCCCAGACCGACAAGTCTCTGGCCTTTCGGCTCATGTGCACCAGTAAATATTTGGCCAACACTATCTCCCCAGCTCTCTATCGACACGTTTCTCTGAACGCAAAGAATGCTTCCAAGTTCTTCTACGGCTTGGATGGCCCATTGAAGAGGGGCGAGAATAGGAGATGGTGGAGTGGGAACTTGGAGGGGAAAAGCTCGGCGGTAAGAAGAGCTATGTGGCTGTCAATGGTCAGGAGAGTGGAGATTCAAGATCTTCGCGCGGTGAAGGCGTGCGTCGATGCCTCCGCCATCATTTGCAAGCATAACAGAGAATCCCGGAGAAAAGCACTCCAATCTCATCGGGAGGGCTATCTCTTTTTTGGAGATTGCCACCCTGCCAACGAAGACGAGGAAGCAGTACTGCTCCTGGGATCGAGTTTGTGCAAACGATTGGGATCTCTAAGTCTGACTCATATCGAGCAGCTGGCACTCACTGGATTCGTGCACGAGCATACTCTCTGCATCAACCTCCCACCCAATTACAAGTACAGTCCTGAATATTTTCGTCATCTCCTTCGACCAGTGGACCGTTTTCGCAAGTCTTTTGTGCTGCTCAATTATACTGGCCCTGAGGGAGCCTGTACTCTCGATCCCCTTATCGAGGGGATGCTAGAGCGAGTAAACGGTACCGCGGCCTGTTATATCAGATCTTTCAAGCTGGTCTTGCGCAGACTGCAGCAAGATCCAGAAGGCATTGCGTTGGGTGTTGCATAGTGAGTGACCACTCTTTCCTCCACAGTCCTTCCTCGCTAATTGTATCGTTCAAGTAGTCTTGCCAAATGTCGCATTCTTCGCAGATTTGCTGTCTTGATCGAGAATTACACTTTCAAGGAGGGCGAGACTAGTAGTAGTATTGAAGAGCGCATGATGACGCACTTTGATAATCCGTGGGGCACGAAGGGGGTGGCTAGGGATCTGGGTACCACGTTCAAGGTCAGCTAGGGTCTGAAGCTTGGTCAGCCTTAGACACCTGCCAGCACACTGTCAACATCCATTATGATGAAACGAACGTTCTCTCTTTGTTAGGGGACAAGGCATAGTGTATACGCAACAAAAGGAATGCATGTCCGTGACACGGCAATGCAAGTATGAGAAAGAACTCCAAAGGAGACGATTTGTCCAGTGGACCTTTCGGGATTATGACACTAGCATTGTACTACATACTCAAGAGTCGAGAGCGAGAGAGACGGGGCCGGAACCAAATGAGCGGTCGAGTGTCGCCCATCAGCAGATTCCGACGCCCCGACCAGTTTGTTCTCAGTCGCATCTTGGACACTTTCCATCTCATCGCGATTCACAGCCCACCATGCCCCATAAGAACCGATAGCAACGGCGTCAGAAAGTTCGACATGACGTGCAAAGTTGAGTAGTGATCGAGGTACGTCGCTGACCTTTGTGTGCGTTGCCCGTCCTAACATTTGCCCTTATCAGACTGTCTGCTTGCCGGCCCCAGTAAGCCCGTTGAGGTATACCAATGTATATGTGCATGCCAAAACAAATGCAGATCCGTGACGCGATACAAATATGAGAAAGAAACCCAGTCTACACAACCCCTTCGTCCAAGATCCCCTCTCAGACGACCCCCTAGACACGGCACACGACACACATATCTAAATCCTTCTGACGATCTTCTAGTCTTCTTCGCGATAGTTGACTTTTTTAGATGAGGTTCTGGCCTTCGAGGAGCATGATGATGGCTGGAAAAAGTCAGTTTGGGTAAGAGCCGGAATGGGTAAGGGTATACTCACAGTGGACGATCTCGGGGACAGTGTCGTTCCTCAAGTCGCAGACCAAGTCGGCGTTCTCGGGGTCCTCATACACATCATCAACACCAGTCAAATTCTTAATCTCTCCCGCCCTAGCCCTCTTGTACAATCCCCTCCTGTCCACCTTCTCACACCACTCCAAAGGCGTAGCAACGTGCACCAAGAAGAAGTTGCCGCCGCCAGAGCCGACGACAGCCTTCTGGATGGCCTGTCGAGACTTTTCGTAAGGGGCGACAGGGGCGGCGATGACGGCGGCGCCGGCCTTGGAGAGCTCGGACGCGACGAAACCGATACGCTGGAGGTTGATGTGCTTCTGCTCGGGGGTGACGGCGCGGGAGATGTGGGGGTCGAGGTCGGATCGGAGCTCTTCGCCCAAGAGCAAAGAAACGGATCGAGAACCTTGTTGTTGCAAGGTCACCTGGAGCGCACGGGCGATGGTGTCTTTGCCAGAGTTGTGCAAGCCCGAGATGAGGATGGTGAAACCCTGCTTGGGTCGGGGAGGGTAAGAGTCGCGGAGGACCTTGACGACGCCGTTGTAGGAGAACCAGTCGGGGATGGAGGCGCCGGTACGGAGACGCTTTCGGAGCTCGGTACCAGAGATGTCGGCGGTGGGGGTACCCTTGGGGACCTCGTCGACGGGCTGGTACTCGTCGGAACCGGGGAGGTAGGTCATAGCCTGGAAAGGAACCATCTCGATGGAAAGCTCGTCCTTGAACTGCGTGACGAGCTCCTGGGCATCGTAGGGACCGTAAAAGTCTTGGCCCTGAGAGTTCTTACCGGGACCGGCGTGGTCACGGCCGACAATGAAGTGGGTGGCACCAAAGTTCTTTCGGATGATGGCGTGCCAGACAGCCTCTCGGGGACCGGCCATTCGCATAGCGAGGGGCAAGAGCGCGAGGTGGGCCATACCCTCGGGGTAAGAAGGCATAAGGGCCTGGTAAGCCCTGACTCGGGTGTAGTGGTCGACATCTCCGGGCTTGGTCAAGCCAACAACGGGGTGGATGAGGACGTTGGCACGGCGTTGACGGGCAGCTCGGACGGTGAGCTCTCGGTGGGCGCGGTGCATAGGGTTTCGGGTCTGGAACGCGACGACCTTGCGCCAGGCGAGCTTGTGGAAGTGCGCGCGGAGCTCGGTGGGGGTGTATCGGAGGGGAACGTAGTCGTAGTGGGTAGGGGCCTTGATAGCCTGGACGGCACCGCCGACGTAGAACTCCTTGACGGTGTTTCGGAGGTAGGCAACGGCGGGGTGGGCAATGTCGTCAGCACCGCAGACCTTTTCGGCCTCGAGAGCCTTGTTGGGCTTGTAGATGTCGGAGACTGTTCAAGGTCAGATAGTGCGTCTCTGGATGAGAAGACAGACTTGCCAGTGAGGATAGCAAGAGCAGAGTCGTCTCGGGGGTCACGGAGAGCAACTCGGGCACCAGGCTGAAGGGAAAGTCGGTTAATGTCCTCCTGGGAGACGTCGAGGGTGATGGGCATGGAGAAAAGGTGGCCCTGTCGCTGGCCGGCGACCTTGGCAAGTCGAAGCGTGTCACGGACGCTGTAGATTGTCAGCAAAGGCGTGCGGTGAGATCTGGGCTGGGCAAGACTTACGAGGTGTAGTCGGCCTCGTTCATGAAGCCCTCGAGGGGAGAGAAACCACCGTTCATGATGAGCTCGAGGTCACACAATTGACGCTCTGTAAGGAAGATGTCGTTGAGGGATCGGGACTCCTCTGTGAGCTGTGACTGGAGGGGAGCATCTCTGACAAGAAGGTCCTTGAGGACACCACCGTGGGGAGCGTTGGCCATTTTTGTGAGTTGGTATGGGAAGATGGAGATGTGATTGGGCGATTAGTTGTATTTTTCATCCATCATCACCGTGGCCCAGAAATCTGGAAGAGCGTAAACAGCACACCCAGCAACGAGCACGCAATCGATCCGCCATCTCGCTTGTCGCAAATTCCAACTTTTTCACGAATGCGGCGATCCCCGCCCACGATTACCGTGCGTGCCTGATGACACATGCCGATGCCGCTTGTGCCGATCTCAAAAGCCGAGCCGAGAAGCTTGTCCCTGGATCTCCCGGGAGAAGCATCACGGGCGATGTTGAATGCATGATGATCAGGAAGCTACATGTACTTGTACAAGCACCACTGCATACTATCCAAGTCTACATCCCCTCAGCCCTGAAGGCCTCATCGATCCCATCTTCCAGCTCCCCAGGGTGCTCAGCCCCGGCCCCTCCATCACTTTCCAGCTCATCCACCTGATCCCCCATGGGCAAGAACTCGTCCATAACACCCATATCCTGCTCCGACCCTTCCTCGGCCCCATAGCTGATCGCCGGCTCGTCCAACCTCTCCTCTTGTACCCCCACCTCCATTTCTGATCCCATATCTCTGAGGCCGGACTCATGAACGTTTCCTTCTTCCGTATCAAGCGCATCGTGTTCGTGAGGGCCGTCTTGCCTTTTGGCTCTCTTTCTGCTGTGATCCTCCCCTTCGGCGCGTACTGTGGTTCGACGTTTTTTGAGTGATTTGCCATCGCCCCAAAGCTCCGGTGGACGGATGACGCCAAACTTGGAGTGATACAATCCGCATGCTACATTCTTGTCAGTACCGAGCCCCTCTAGGATTGTGATGAAACGTACCATTGCAGACCTTGTAGTCCACTCCACCCAACGTCAACTTTCTCCAAACAGTCGTCTCTGTCCTCGTACAGATATCACAGCTTCCCGGCGGGCCCTGCCTCAGACGAGACAGAACTGACGGCGCGAGTGGAGATGCAGATGCTTGGAGAGAAGCATGTCGTGCCATGGGCGTAGACATGGGAGGCGGGTAGACATTGTCGGTATTTCCCTCAGAGCTGGATGCCGGTTCATCCTGCGGAGGAAGAAAGTCTACGAAAGACTCTGATTCTAGGCGCATATCCTCACCCTCCCTGTGTTCGGGATGCTCATGAGAGTGTGGAGGGAGCTGGGAATCAAGCTGGGAGAGGATGTATGCTTCGGCACGGTTGACGGCTTCGGCTGTGGTTTCCTCCTGCGCCTTGTCGCTTTGCTCCGCCGCGTCCAATGTCCTCGGCTCTTCGTTGCTCCCTTCAAAGTGCTGGGAAGACCTTTCGGTATTCGTGATGGTCTGCGAGAGGTAACTCGATTTTCGGAGTCCGCGGAGAAGGCGCGCTTTGCCTCTTTCATCCAGACCGGACGAGGAGGGAGGAGGGATGAGGAATGATTGGTAGAATGTGCGCGAGATATCCGACTTGGGCGGGCGGCCTCGTCGGCGGCGAGCAAGGGCGGGGGAGTAGGTTGTTTGCTGTTGATTCTCCTAGGCCAATGTCAGTTTGATCCGGGACGGGCTGAAAATGTGCTCACCTGCTCATCAAGGATATTGACGACGTATCCACCAATCGACCGCAGCGCCACATCCACCTTTGCCTTCTCCTCCGCATTCGCTGTCCCCAGATTCTTAATCTCCTGCACCAGCTCTGCAATCTTCCTCTCTTCGCCAGCCTTTTCTTCTCTCGCCTTGATAAAGTCGTCTCTGACCCCTGGCAGCGCTGCTTCGAGATCTGCAATAGCATGCACAAGATTGTCGTTTGTCTGCTCCATCAACCCCGCGTCGTCCGCGTAGAGAGCATCAGGTAAGAGATCGCCGACGATCTCCCGGGCGTTATCCGCATGCCTCAGGCCATGATTGCCGCCGGCGAGAGAGGAAATCTGATGTTCTATCTTGACGATAGCCGCTTTGGTGAATGCCAGATCTTCCATGACAAGACGCTCGATCTCGGTGTTGAGCGCCGCCGCGAGGATGATGGCTGGGTTCGGCGCGACTTGCCCAGGGAGGGGATATGAGACCCCCGTTTTTTCGTTGACCAGATGCGTCTCATTGTCCTCGCCCCCCGTGGCTACCGCCGCCAGCTCGCCCAGTCTGCCCGACTCGGTTGAATCTTTCAGAAAACTCTCCATGCCCTGCATCCAGTTGGCCTCGTTGCCTTCTGAAAAGTCGACGCCCGTGATGTCGGTGAGGGCTGCCAGGATGGTATGCGAATGCGCCTCTTGGTCGTCTTGAGCTTCATCGTCGTGGTGCGATATTTCGGCTGTTCTCGATGGCCCAGCGACGGGTTCTGGATCGTGTTCGACATGCGAGTACTCTTCCGACGCAGCGACAGCCCCGGCACTCTCGAGAGCCTGGATCTGTTCCTTCAGTCTGTTATTCTCTTCCTGCAGTACTCTTGCTGCATTATCAAGGGCGCTGTGTTTCTCTGCTTGTCGGCTTCGAGAACGGTCTGCTGCCAGGCGGTTGGCTTCCCGGCGTCGAAAGTCGGCTGCTGAGCCTGGTACGGTGCCGCGAGCTCTGGACGGCCGGCCTGACTTGGTCCTGCGGGGAGCATCCTGTGATTCTAGAGAGCGTCAGAGGATAATTCGCCCAGCCGAGATTGACCCACCGAGGGATGGATCGATGGCGAGGTCCATGACGGGCGGTGAAAGTGGAGGATGGAAATGAAACAAACAATGAGCTGGCAATTTCTTGCAGCAGGGATGACTTATCGCCGCGCGCCTTCTGCCGCCATCAGGAATCTTGCAAGGCGCGCGAGGGCCGACCACTTCCGAGATCGTAAATGTTGAATTTGGTTCGCATTCGCAAGTTTCTATCCCGTACACAGCAGATCAAGGCAGCAAGATGAGACCACCAACGACCGCCTGCCTCAAGAACCTCAGGACACCGGTGGTGGGCCGCTCAGCTCTACCGGCTGCTTCTCGTCACCTCCACCTTGCTCGACCACCGCGATTGACTTTTCGGGTTGGCGCGCAACCAGCGTTCCGGGTGGAACGAAGGAACCACGGACACAAGGCGCAGGAAGTGCAAGGGCCCATACCTGAAATATCCAAGGAAAACACATATGACATTGTCATTATTGGAGGCGCCAATGCTGGTCTTGCCTTGGCTTGTGCACTGCGTTCGTTTGCTCGGCATATATTGCTGTTCTCTGCTGACTAGAGCTCTCAGTCTCACAACCCACATTGTCAACGACTACACGAGTATTGCTACTGGAAGGTGCATCACTGGACAAGACCCGCACCTGGCCTCAATCAGAAGAATGGGAGAACAGAGTCAGCAGTCTGACGCACGAAAGCGTGGAATGGCTTGAAAGTGCGTTCCTCTGCTATCGTCTGTCTGCTCAATGCTGATGATATACAGGCATTGGTGTGTGGAAGCACATTGTTGAGGAACGATCGCGCCCCGTGTACGAGATTGTCGTAAGTCTACAACGTCTTCCACAGATCTCCGTCTGACACCTTCTAGATCTGGTCAAATCCTTCTGCCGACTCCAATCCCACAATTCACTTCCCTCCCATAGGCCGCCCTCTCGCACGCATGACAGAGAACCTGAACCTCCAGCAAGCTTTGCTGAAACGGATCAACGAGATCGGAGAGGGCATCGTCGACATCCGAGAAAACTCTCGGGTCGGAGAAATGCGCCTCGGCGAAGGTGGCAGATGGGTCGGATTGAGGATTGGGGACGAATGGGTCAAGGGGTCTTTGGTAGTCGGCGCCGATGGGCCCAACTCGCCAGTGCGCCACTTCTCTGAAATCGACTCTTACGGGCACGCCTACAACACCCATGCTGTGGTAGCCACCATGCACCATACAGCCTCTTCCTTCTACCCCAACAATACTGGGTTCCAGCGTTTCCTCCCTACTGGGCCCATCGCTTTCCTCCCTCTTTCAGAAACGACTTCTACCTTGGTTTGGTCGACGAGACCGGAAAATGCTGCGGCTCTGAAGAAACTCTCGCCGGAAGGTTTGACGGCAATGATCAACGCTGCCTACACTCTTCCCGAAGAGACCCTCGACCTCCTCGTCGAAGAGATGCTGGCTGCGAACGAAGTCGGCATCCCTCTCACCACCGAGCGAATCTCCACACTGATAGCGACACTTCCCACACCACCTCTCTCTGCCGACCAGCCTCTCTTGCCGCCGACTATCACCCACCTCCACGCCCCGTCTATCGCTTCCTTCCCGCTCCGTCTTTCTCACGCTACGTCATACCTCGGTGCTCGCACTGCTCTGGTAGGCGATGCGGCGCATACTATTCATCCCCTCGCCGGACAGGGTCTGAATATGGGCTTGGCCGACGTCCGCTCGTTAGCCGAGACGCTCGAGGCAAGCAAGAAGGTCGGCGGCGACGTGGGTAGTCTCGAGGGCATGAAGGGATACCCCAAAGAGCGTTACCCCCTCAACCACCTCATGCTCAGTACCACTGACAAACTCCACTACATCTTCCGCGCCAGGAATCCCCTGATCAACTGGGCTCGAAGCACCGGGCTCGACGTGATCAACGAGATCGGTCCCCTCAAGCGACTGCTCATGGGTGGTGCTGGATCTGGTGTGGGGCCGTTCTCTACGGGGGGCAGGTCGGAGAAGGAGCGGGAGTTTGGAAGGAGCGAGGCTGGGGAGAGTATGAAGAGTGCTGGAGGGTGGCAGCATGGGCTTGCGAGTGCTGTTGAGGGAGCGTTTGTGTTGAAGGGTGTGGCGGGTATGGTCGGTGGGGTCGTTGGGGAGCTGGCGAGGAATGGGTTGAGGAAGGCAGCGGACGCGGTACAGAAGAAGTAAGATACAACAGGACAACATGCATGACCATCAACGCATATAAGGCCACGTCGAAAAAGCAATTCATGCCGACAAAGCATCGTAAATCCAAAATCCGACCCCCTCGCCCCCTCCAGCCTCTCTGTACTTTCAACCCCTCTCCTCAGTCATATCAACACCTTTCTCCCTGGACTTTCCCGCGCCCATCCCAAAAGTCTCTAACGGCCGAAGTCCATCTCCAATTAGCCGTGCAGCCCAGGAGCACGTCCATGTCTTGTCGACCGATCAATAAGATCTTCACACCCTGGGCCTGCGCACTATCTCTCTGCGTCTCCAGGGTGCATTTCTCAGTGTCACGGTCCAGTTCGAGGGATGGCAATCGCGGTCCTGGGATATGTGAACGTGGTTGAGACGAGGCTGGTGGCGATTTTGGTGGAGAAAGGTGGCTGACTTATGGGGAGGCTATAGGACGTGTCTATCCAATGACCGTCGTCCAGTCCCCTAAACCTTCAATCACTCAAGTCACAACACTTTGAAAGCCACTCCCAGACTGACGATACAGCTCTCTTCCTCAGCCCTCTCATGAGCTTCCTCGACCGCTTGTTGTATCTGCATCTTCGTCTCTCCTGGTTGTAGCTGGTAGTTGTCGAAGGCGATGGTGACCTCGGGCAAAGCAGCGCTGGCAGCGAGCCTATGAGAACGGTAAGCAGGGCTTTTGCGATGGTAGTAAGAGCTCACCTTGCTATATGCAGCATCTCCTGCAGCTGCTCACTTCCTGGAGCTAGCACCAGACGCACTGTGGAAAGTCGTCCCCCGCTGAGGGATGAGTCGAAGAAGGAGAAGAAGCCGCTCGCGTAGATGGTCTTCGCTTCGAATGGCGTCGCCCGGTAGTTGTTGACCGTGACGCTCTTGACGCAGGGAGCGAGGCCCCGACACATGGCATGGAAAGCCGGTATCGAGCTTTCCATCATACGCTCGAGGTCATGTGGGAGGTCGATCACGAGCGAGCAAAATTGTGCGAGGGCGTAGAGTATGGGAAAGACGTAAGGGGCGTTGTTGGGATTTGCAGAGCCGAACGTCTCGCAGAGGTGAGAAGACAAGGTCAGGGTGGCTTCTTCGCCTTTGGCACGGCCCCAGAAGAAAAGGGTCCGGCCGTGGAAACGCCCTTGTCGTAGCTGAGGCTTAGGACCGACGATCGCTTTGACAGCCTTGTAGCACGCCTTCAGCGCCTCTGCGTCCTCTATTGCCACCTCCCTGACCAGCCCTATCCATATCAGCCTCCTCTCTGCCAGGCTCTTCCCCTCCAGCCCTGAACCATCTCGTCCAAAGCTTTCGTCAAAATGCCTCAGCTCTCCGGATTGGAGACCCTCCAGACCGTAGAAGAATTGAGCCGCATTCGACGCGCAGAGCGATAATCGGCGGTAGAGCTGGGGGGATATGAGGGATAGAAAGTGCTTGGATGTGCGTGAAAGACTCGAGGCGAGAGCCTTGGAGCTTTGAGAGAGAATGATGAGGTGGCCGAAGATGACTTGGATGATCTCTGGTGGAAGAGGGTCGAGTGTGGAGAGTGGTGACGCGAAAGGCTGGGACATGGCGATATTGAGAGTCTTGATGTCGGAGAACTGTGCTGAAAAGAGCAACGTTGAAGAGCTCCGTCTAAGTAAGCGATGACGTGGAATTGTTTGGTAGAACCAAACAATGCACAACCAAACAATGCACAACCAAACAATGCAGTGAGCGCCGTCATCGGATTTTTGTGTTTGTGTTGTGTTTTGGTGTTGTTTTCGAGAGAAAGGCTTGACAAAGGGAAAGGAGGGCGGTGGCTAGGTACCGGATACCGGAGGCGAAGGAGATGACATTGCCGCCAATCATCTAAAGTTCATCTTCTGCTGACGTTTATTAACGCAAAGCCCGCCACTCGCACTGCCACCATCCTATATCGAGAATCCTATCCTCCTTTCACATCCAGGAAGACCTGATGTCCACGTATATGAATACTAGCCTCTTGGCTTGCTTTTAAAACGTAACTCAAACCACTGATTGCATATCGCTCAACATACTCATTATTCAACCATGGCTCAACTATTCGTCGACGAGATTCCCTCTGCCGATCCTATCTACGTGTTCGCTCCAATTGGTGATACCAGAAATAGCTCATCCAACTCCGACCCTGGTTCCATCCACGATAATTTTCCCAGCCCGAGCCCATCTGCCAACGACGATGGCCTATACGAATCCTCAGTCCCAGCCTCGCGGACCGTCTTCTCCCCGAATCCATGGTATGACAGCTCCCCCTACACTCCAGATGATACTCCAAGGGATGTCGCGCAGTATACCCTCCGCCCCTCTCGCCACGACGGCGAAAGAGAAGGAAATGAAGGCGGCCAGCTGGTTGATATTCTCATTTCGTATCGTACTGAAACCTCTGATATAGAACGGAGTATCAGGATACAGGTCTCGGAGGGAAGGACGAGGCGGGAGGAGTATCTTCCTTGGATAGGGCATGTGTATGATTATGGGGCGGTGCAGGATAGCGCCGAAGGATCAGCGGATGGAGGAGGAGCAGCAGAAGGCGGAGGAGAGGCAGGGGTTGGGGTGGTGGTGCCGGCTGGTGGGTTGTATGATGTGGTAAGGACGGTGTATGAAGGGGCATCGGAGGATGAGCTGGAGGATGCAGAGGATAATGCGAGGGAGGTGCTTTGGGAGGTGTATTGTAAGTTACACGAGTGGTGAACTACGTACGAGTACACCTGTGAGCTTGTAGGTTTGTGCTGTGGGTGCTACTGCGGCTTTGGCGTCGCTCAAGGCGTTATCGAGCGTTTGAGGTCCAGACTGAAATCGGTTCACAGCAGGGCTAAATACTTAGTCCAAGAGCTCATGACGAGTCGCATTAGCGCCTAGTCAGTCTATGATGGTGGTTCGAGGAGCAACGTTATACCAAGACCCCGAATGGCGAACAACCAGAGAGGCTGCCAGCACCACTTGTCCTTTGTATGAAGGGAGTGTTCTGTAACGCTCCCAGCGGGTCATAAAGACCGCAGCTTTGTCTCGTAAGGAACAAAAGTTTACATATATAGAAAAAGTTGGAAGAAGAAGACCGAAACCTCGACGTAAATATATCAACAGGTGCGTTTGTCGGCACATGATCTTCTTCCTTCACTGAACATCGATCCATAACATGTGCGTTGAAACCTCTTTATACTGGAGCTGGGCGAGCTTTTCCTTGCCACATGACATCAATTGCTGTGTACTACATCGCGATGAGGCCACCAGCTCTGAACAATACGCACCTTGTGGCTGACTAGGCGCTGATATGAGCCCTTAAATTATGTGACTAGCCTTTAGCCCCGCTGTGGAGCTAATTCCAGTCTGGGCGTCGAATGCGACGACTCAATCCCATACTCTTTTATACTCTTTCATACTCTTTCAGCTGTAAAGCACAAAGCTACTACAAGTTCACATGTGTACATAGTTCACCCCACATATAACCTACTATACACGTTTCAAAGCACCTCTCTCGCATTATCCTCCGCATCCTCCAGCTCATCCTCCGACGCGCCTTCATACAGCGTCTCTAACATATCATACAACCTACCAGCCGGCACCACCACCCCAACCCCCGCCTCTCCTCCGCCTCCTCCATCCGCTGATCCTTCAGCGCCTCCCGTGCTGTTCTGCACCGCCCCATGTTCATGAACATACCCTAACCAAAATTGATACTCCTCCCACCTCGTCCTTTCCCTCGAAACCTGCATTCTGACACTCCGTTGTATGTCACAGGTCTGGGGCAGCACCAGTCTTTCTCCATCTGCAATGGAGCCCACGTCTGATTTTTCGCCTGTCAGCTATAGATTTTTCAATCATTTGTAATATGGAACATGCTTGCTGGCTCCATGAGACAGACGCCGTCACACGAAATCAAGCTTGCACATTGCTTGAAACTCAGCTGATAAGCTGATCATACCTTGCGATTTGCAGACTGACTTCAGAGTACGATACAATATAGCCGGCCGATATCGGCGCCACTGCAATAGCGAGAACCTTCAATGAATCAACGATGTCATAGGCAATTTGCGGTGCAAAGAAGATACTCCATATCACCCCTTGTAATGATATAGCAGGCCAAACGTAAAATTAACTCATACATAGCAAATCGAGGAAACAAAGTTGATTATACCGTTTATACGTCTATGCAGCATACTCTGGCTGCTACCTGGTCTTTTGTCGTATTCTTCCTCTTTGGGCAGTTATGCCGCCCCTCTCATTTCGGCAATGTCACTCGCCAGACCAACGCCTGATTGTCGAGCGTAGACCCATACCCATCCACATACGCCTCTCCCGCCTCAGACCCGTTTGTAGTGATAAAGTCGTTGTCGGAGAAGGAGAAGAGGAAATAGTCGTCGGGGTATGCAGGATCGTTGACCGAAGCGAGAGCCTATCGCGACTTGTCAGGAAAGGAGACCTGAGGGTAGAATGGAGACTCACGCTAGACTCCCACTTGCTGTTGATCAGACTGACGTCAAAGTCGCCATCGTTGTGCAGACCGAACCTCTCGAGCTGGTTATCGTCGATAATGTCGATGAACTCGGTAGGCTCGATGGACGTAATGTTGGAAACGAGCACACCCCCCGGCGCGATAGGCACAACCCCATCCGTATACTCCGTCCCAGCGATATCCGTAGCGCCATCGAGGTTGAACAACAAAAAGTCCTTATGCTTCGACTTGGCATCATCATCCCCATTTCCCTTCCCGTCCCGAGAAAGCAAGATGAAAGTACCATCCGCAATCCAGATAAAGTCGGACTGAGCAAGGGGCTTGCCCTTCCCGTTGGTCACGGGAAGCGTAAGGACATAGGCGTTGGTCAGGATAGGAGTGCCGGAGACGTCGTAGACGTAAAGACGGGTGTAACGACCATAGTCGTCGGCGTCAAGGTCTTGAACGGTACCAGTCTGCAAGAGCGCGTAGAGGGTCTTGCCATCGGAAGAGGCGGTGAGGCCCTCAAAGCCCTGGTTAGGCGATCGTCCGGTATCGGGGTTCTCTGTCTCGGCGGAGAAGAAGAGGGAACCGTTCTTGTAAGGCAAGACGGCCTTGGGGGGGATGATGGTGTCGAGAAGAATGCCGTTGGCAGAGTACTTCCAGATGTAGGGCCCGTACTCGTCGCTGACCCAGAACGAGCCGTCCGAGTTGAGCACAAGCCCCTCGGGGTCGGACGAGATGTGGTTGTATGTCGCATTGGCGATTGGCTCGGGGATGGAGCCGTTTCGGATACCAGTAGCGTCCAGCCCCGTCGTGGGCGTACCGTCCGACTCGAAATAACGCACAGTGCTGTTGTATTTAAGATCGAAGGTAGATTTGGCGCTCTGGTAGGAGAGCTGGGTGGAGTTGTAGTAGGGGTTGAGCGTGAAGGAGAGGTAGTGTCGACGACTGATGAAGTCGGTAGTGGTGTTGGTGTTGTGGCCCCTATCAGGCTGGACGATGATCACGCCAGTATACGCCCCGTCGTCACCCTTCTCAAAAGACTGCAGTGCAATGGCAGACCCGATCCCACCGATAGTCTCCCCAAATGAGTCGACAGCATCGCCAGCAAGAGCGCCAAAACCGACGAGGCCCTTGTTGACGTACGTCTTGCCAGCGAAGGTGACGTTGGTTTGGTATGCTGAGTCGCGCTTAGAGACGATCGTGGTGGGGTTGGTAGGCTTGCTAGAGGGGATAGGAGTGTTGGTAGTGATGGTGGAGTGGGAAAGGGTTGCTGAAGCATGTATTTTCCCCTTCGGATTGGTACTGGAGTGGAGCTATGTGCTATCAGTGGATGTCATCGTAGGAGGAAGAAGGACTCACATCGACGTGCTCGAAGCTGCCTCGTCCATCAAGCACCCGGTCATCAATGCCATGGCGGGCGTCGACACCCTGGGCAGGAAGTTGGATGGGGGAGGCGGCTGCCAGAAGAGGTAAAAGCAGCCCGAGCTTGCCTATGGAGAACGCAGACACCATGATCGACTTTTGAGAAAAAAGAGATTATGGAAGCCGAAGCAGAGAGATGAATGGTTTGTAGAAAGCCCAGGCAGCTTTATATACCGACTGCACGTTGGAGAGCAGAAAGTAGCTGGGATTGCGTCTTCAGGGAGCGAATTCCAGACCCTATGCTTCTTTTTTTCGGAAATGAAGCAAGATGCACTTCGGCAAAGACCCAACTGGGTAGGGTGGAGAGAAGTGGTGCGCGCGGTGCGCTGTGGCCGGTGGATGATACGCCTGCTTGTCGATAGCTTCCGGGGCCAAGGCCGACACTCGCCCTGAGAGGTGATTGGAGCATGATATCACTGGATCATGGTGAGTGTAAGAGTGAACGTTTGTCTGGGTTGTGTGCAATTGCTGGGCCGAGGAACGAACGTGCTTCACGTCTTGAGCGGTTGAGCTCTCGCCATCGACCTCTTTGACCCAGCATCTTCCATGGAGCCTGTATCCGTGATCTGTGCCACTGTCAGATACTGCACTGCGCACGCTTCTGATACTGACCTTGCGTACTTGCGCTTGATGAATGATGAAAGGAGCGAGCAGACTCATGACTTGGCGTTCGCGCAACGTTCGCGGCGGCGGCCGCGGCTTTGTGCTGCTGGAACCAGTTACGTGAAGCGGTATCTAAACGGACTTCCATCGTCGTCGTCGAATCTGACTTGCATCGTCCACCATTCAAGCTCACATTCACTTCTGCTCTTCCTGATCTCCCGACTCCCGCTTCTCTATCCACTCCACACTGTCTACGAAATCAGTTGGTTCTGCCATGTCCGGCTCACCCTCTCCCATCACCCTCACCTTCGACACCACGCACAACCTCCAGCTCGACGCCTACCTCCCCTTCCCCCAACCATCCTCCCAGACCAAGCTTCCTGTGGTAGTCCATTACCACCGAGGAGGCATGGTGATAGGCAGTAAGAGCGACGTGTACCCGCCCTTTCTTCCTGGTGAGTCTTGGCGATCATGCTTATCTCTATTCGGATGCCCGAGCTTATGGTCCCACAGGGTATTTGCAGAGCATGGGTGTGTTGCTCGTCTCTCCGAACTATCGACTACTCTTCCCCAGCTCTGCGGAAGATATCATTGCCGATGTACACTCACTGTTTGCCTATCTCGCTGCGCCGAATACCGAATTGGACGAGACGCTTCGCCAAAACGGGTTCGCTATCGACGTCTCTCGCATTGCCGTCATAGGCGTGTCGGGGGGTAATTACCCAGCTCGAGCAGCTGCTACACTCCCCGAGATCGTCCCCCGCCCTGTAGCATGGCTCGATCTGTTCGGTATGGGTGGGGATTGGCTCCTCGACTTTTGGCTCCAAGGCATCGACGTCGAAAAGACCATGCCGCTGGAAAATACCCTGCACGATATGGCTAAAGCTGAGGATCTGATACAGAATGGAGGCGGGGACGTGGCGAGCGAATCGGAAGGGACCTTGGTGGATGGGAAAGCGACGGACGTGATAGGGAGGTTCAACCTGTGGATACATTGGCAGAAGGAGGGGACGTTCTTGGACTATGTCTTGTCTTCCCCTGGTCTTTCATCTACTTTGAAGAGAATGCCATATGGAGAACGACTCGCTCTCATACCTCCCGACAAACGCCGCTTCCTCCTCCCCATCACCCCCCAAACACCTCCCACCTACGTCCTCCACGGCGATCAAGACCTCCTCGTACCCATCGAAGAAAGCTACGCCCTAGTCAACGATATGAAAACCTTGGGCTTGTCTGTCAAGGGGGTTTGGGTACCAGGGGCGGATCATGTACTTAGGGATCGGAAGAAGGGAGGGTGGGAGGGGATGGTAGATGGGTGGGAGGAGATTGCGAGGGAGGCTGTGAATTGGGTAGTTGCGGAAGTCCGGCGGGAGAGGCGATGAAGAGCGAGACACGAGGTGTGAGTGGATTCTCCCTTCTGTTGCTGTTGGGGCTTGGGGATGTAGCTCATTACTGGTCGGTACAGACCCTTCATGTTCGTCCTGGCTTGATTTTGGATCTTCTACGGCACCTTCAGACACGCTCCGTTTAGCATTCGATCGGCGTTCTTGGTATACTTGGCGTGGACGAACACTTCTACCTCATGGACAAGTCAGAAGGGTTCCATACAAAGAAAACATCTTTTGAGCTTCTTTTGCCGAGTCATGGGTCAAGTCCTACTACGCCCTGGCTGACAGCTCTGTGAAGCGATAGTGCCGCGCTTAAGATATGTAGCTGAGAAATATGCAGCGACGATGGAAGACGTCAATCATCAAGACCAGGATTGTTGCCTCGCCCTTTACTGCCACGGACCAATGATGATACGCAGATGATACGCGCAATCACGCGAGATAAGATAAGAAGCAACGAGGCCGGCATTCATCGGTCCTTACTCGCTTGTCCTTCTTCTTCTTGCGCCATTCCGCTTCTGTGGCCCGTCTCGATGCTTCCCCCGACCGACCACACCCCTGCACCCGCCCAGCGCACCCCCCGCCGCCATCCAGAGCGGTATTCATCGGCACAAGACCCAGAGCCAGCTGGCTTGCCTCCACCCTCGGAGGATCTCGGAATGCATCTCCAGACCCAATGACGGGCCGTCCTTTTCGAATGCGGCCCTGCCGCCAGATGTTTGCATCTAAATCCGATGCGCCGTCGATGATTTCGATGGATTTGGACGAAAGCCACTTTAAGCCGAAAGCGCCGACGAGGATTCGAAAAGTGGTGGGCAGTGCCGCACCAAAAGACGATCGGGAGGACCTCCACCCTGGACGGCCAGGCCGGCTGGGACCGGGAATTCGAAAAGTGCTTCATTTCGAGCGGCATCCTCTTCCGTCATTGCGAAGGGTCTCCCGTCTATATATAACAGCCAGTGCATTCCCAAGATGTATCCCCACCATCCTGCTTCATTCCTGCATCCCCTACAATTACTTTGTGAGTCTTTTCCCTTTGGGCGGTCAATGCCGCGGAGAATCTCACCGGGCCGACTCTTACCCGGCCTTCGCTGTGGCTGTTTATCACACGACCAAAACGCTGACCACGATCTTCAGAACTTACCAACTGCAACACTACCACAATGGCCCCCAAACACCACCACGACGAGTTTGAGAGCAACCAGTTCCTCGGTAAAGAGATTAAGTACTTTTCCCAGGCTGGTTTCGATCTGGATCGAATTCACATCAAGGTGCGTACTCTTATGTCATCTCTTACGTGCCACCTCCTGACCTTTGGACGTAGCGCAATGCCCCCGTGGCCGCTCTCTACGAAGATGCGATGATGAATGAAGGGGCCGTCATCTCTTCCAGCGGTGCTCTTATCAACTTTTCCGGCAAGAAAACCGGGCGTAGTCCCAAGGACAAGCGTATCGTGTACGAAGAAACGAGTAAAGATGACATTTGGTGGGGTCCCGTGAACATCAAGATGGAGTGGGTCCCCTATATTTCTTCTAGGTGCGCCTGCTGACTTTGCATAGCGAGCACACTTTCGAGATCAACCGAGAACGAGCCATCGACTACCTCAACACCAGAGATAACGTCTACGTCTTTGATGGCTTCGCCGGGTGGGATCCAAAGTACAGGATTAAGGTCCGAGTTATCGCTTCCCGGGCTTACCACGCCCTCTTCATGGTACGCCCCTTCCTTCCTCCGCCTCTTCACTGCTGATCTGTCTCTAGCACAACATGCTCATCCGCCCCACTCCCGAAGAACTCGAAAACTTTGGCGAGCCCGACTTTATCATCTACAACGCCGGCCAGTTCCCCGCGAACCGATTTACTACCGGCATGACCTCCACCACTTCCGTTGAAGTCAACTTCAAGCGTATGGAGATGGTCATCCTCGGTACCGAGTACGCCGGCGAGATGAAGAAGGGTATCTTCTCCGTCATGCACTACCTCCAGCCCGTCAAGTTTGGTCAGCTCTCCTTGCATTCGTCTGCCAACCAGGCTATCGGTGACAAGGGGGATGTGACGCTGTTCTTTGGCTTGAGTGGTACGGGAAAGACGACCTTGTCGGCCGATGCCAATAGGTTGTTGATTGGTGACGACGAGCATGTGTGGAGTGACACTGGTGTGTTCAACATTGAAGGTGGTTGTTACGCCAAGTGCATCAACCTCTCTGCTGAGAAGGTGAGCCCCTCCCTCTTCTTCTGTCTTCCCTCACTGACGCTCTGATAGGAACCCGAAATCTTCAACGCCATCAAGTTTGGCTCCATCCTCGAGAACGTCGTCTACAACCCCGCCGACCGTAAACCCGACTACGACGACGTGTCCATCACCGAAAACACCCGCTGCGCCTACCCCATCGAATACATCCCCAACGCCAAAATCCCCTGTATCGCCGACCAACAGCCGAGTAACATCATCATGCTCACTTGCGATGCTTTCGGTGTCTTGCCTCCTGTATCTCGCCTGACGGCCGAGCAGGCGCAGTACCACTTTGTCGCCGGGTACACGTCAAAGACACCGGGCACGGAAGACGGTATCGTCGAGCCTTCTCCCACCTTCTCCACATGTTACGGCCAGCCGTTCATCGTCCTCCACCCTGGTCGTTACGCCAAGATGCTCGCCGAGCGTATGGAGAAGAACAAGGTCAACTGCTGGTTGATCAACACTGGCTGGACTGGGGGCAAGTTCGGTACCGGCAAGCGATGTCCTCTCAAGTACACCAGAGCCATCGTGGATGCTATCCACAACGGCAAGCTCGCGCAGGCAGAGTACGAAAACTTCCCCATCTTCAACCTCGCCATCCCCAAGGCTGTTGAAGGTGTCCCCAGCGATATCCTTAACCCGGTGAAGGTCTGGCCGAGTAAGGAAGAGTTCAACTCGGAAGTGGAGAAGCTTGGAGGGATGTTCCAGAAAGCGTTCGCCAAGTACGAGTCGGATATCGAGGAGAAGGTCAAGCTTTCGGGTCCTGTCTTTGCTTAATTGAGTCCGGGGGTTTGGAAGATTAGAAGAATGGAAAGAAGTGGCCTGTACATATAGCGATGATCATTTTTGGACTTTTGTACTCTCATTTGATACATTATCATATACAGTTTGAAGCCTTTTCAGATGTATGCCTTGCATTGACAAAATTCTCGTTCGGTTCAGATGCAACAAAGGGTGCGATGACAACATGCTTTGCAAGATTGTAAGTGGAGTGGTATCCTTTGTGCGCCGACATGCATGAGAACGTCTCGCAGCATGCTGGTGGCCATTCTATATATAACATGAGTGTAATTGCAAGTGCTCATTTGAATGAAACGAGATTTCGACGACGCGGGTCGAGACATGCCGCTCGCCAACAACGAGTCATCTCAAGGTAAAGATAAGGCTCCCGCTACCGTCACAGATGGTCAAGGAGCATCTTCATCAAGAGGACGGACGCCAACGACAGCCCCCATAGACAGCCGTACAACCCATAACGCCGCACTTCAAACTACCAGCCATCGAAGGCATGGCGCCAGAAAAGCAAAAGAGACGATACAGATATCGCAGTCGGCCATCAATGCCCTGATGGATCTCAAGCAGAAAGAGGTGGCGAGGCGAAGCGCCGAGGAAGTGGGGAGAGGGAAGAATAACGTGATTAGGATGCAGGGGAGTATCCAGATTTCTATGGACGCTGTGATGTCACTCCGTCAGCGTTGACTGACCGTTGACGGACGTGCAGTGGTGGCGCAGCAGCGGATAGTCTTGACGCGCGCTCGCTTTATGAACTCTCTGTGAAAGGAAGTACTGTCAGTCATCACAGAGACTGCAATATGTTGTGTCGGCTGCGATTCCTCAGCAAATGTTGTCAAGTCCGCCGGGAGCGATTGCGCTGTTCTTTATACCAAAATAAAGGATCAGCTCACGACCGCATAGTTGCTATTGGGGTATATATCAGGGAGGAGATTGTAAATCCCCATCCAGTTGCAAAGAGGATAGGAAGAATGTCACCCAACAAAGACGAGTCTACTCAAGGAACAAAGATGACCTCAGTTTCCGGCGAAGGATCTTCCAGCCGAACCGCTTGGACGACCCCCGAAGACCACTATACTGCACATAGTGATGCGTCTCAACGTGCTGATGACTTGAAGCATAGTATCGAAAATGCAGAAGCGGCACAGATGTCGCGGGCGGCGATTGATGACTTTAAGGAGAGGCAGGAAGAGGAGAGGAGGCGGAAGGAGGAGCTGGAGGGAGAGATACCGTCTTTGAAAAGGAACTGAGGTACTTTACTTATGACATTCCATTGATCTTCTCGTGACAGAGCGCCCCCAGATCCCAAGACGGAATAGATGACCCGTAAGAATATAACTGCTTATGGCTCCTTTCTCTGACTTGTCTTTAAGTTTTCAGTCCCAGCTGTCGATATTAGAGCATGACAAGCACCCCAAAGCCCTAGAATAGCACTATGTTTCCAAAAAGGGACCGATGGTCGAGATCCTTGGTATCACGAGGGAAGCGGGAAGTGTTCATGAGGGCTGCGACCCCCTCTTCTCTTCTAGACACTCACCCCGATCTGAACGGCTGTGCCAGCATCGCCGATAACCCATCATGTCCTCCACCAGTGCTCCGCCCACCACTAGTACACCAACCATCAGCACCAGCCATACCTGGACACATCTCGTCATATTGCCAGTCCTCCTCGGCGGGAGTCTTCCTTCTCTGAAACAGACCACCGTCTCACGGCGCAATCATGGTGGTCAGACATCCCATGGTGAGACAACGTATGTAAGGACAGTAACGACCCCTCGTGTCGAGACACGCTTGTCTGCTCGCAGTTTTCATATTGACGGTGAAGGTCATGAGGAAGAAGTGGCAGTACCGCCCGAGACTTACGCAGCTATCGAGAGATACCTGCGCTCGGTTGAAGAAGTGTGGGAACCGACGCTCGATGTGCCTGCGTTGCCGCAATGGGGAGATCCATCAGCAGCCTTTGAGCAATGCACTACTCAATCTCAAATACGCCATTTGAGCCTACTCTCAGAGCACACCGGCCGTGTCTATACTAACGGAGACGAAGGTCGAGAATGGCCGTTCACTTATTGCCTTTACCCGAATGCCCAGCAGTATTTCAATAATGGCGGGGTGCTGCCTGGGCCAGATGACCAGCCGCTCAAGTGGGAGGACTACAAAGACAGGATGGAATGGGCGGTGGAGAGTGCAAAGAATTTGGATGAGCTGGATGCCGTCCCGGAAGGGACTGTCAAGCTTGCATTTACAACCGATATCGTCCAGCCTACAAGGCTGAAGAGAATCTCTCGTCCAGAGGGAGAGGATGATACGAACTCTCTGCAGTCCTGGAAGGTTTTGCATCCCGAAATAAGTGTCAAGAGTCGAGTCCAAGATGATTGCCCCGAATGGATCAGGAGGGATGAAAGCGCGCAAGCCTCGTATGACCGATCGATCTCTGCAGCGATAGCATCCTCATACCAGCCCTCAGCCACCGTTCACCTGACACCACAAACAAGCGTTCTAGAGTTTCTGGACGATACTAGTCAGAATGAGCATCTGTTGTTTGATTATGCAGCACACAATGTGGCGGAGGAGGTGTCTTTCGGGGTGGGAGGAAAGTATACAGATGAAGATGGGGAGGAGATCGTGGATGGGCTTTCGGTAAAAGCTGCTTGGATTGATCCTGATACATTTGAAGTACTTCGTGGAGAGCCACCCAGGAACTGGCAATCTCAAGATTCAAGGCGTTTCGAGTATGAGAAGGATATCGAGAGGGGCCTTGAGACGATGCGGAAAGAACTTGCAGAAGGGAGAAGCGCGGGGGAGAATAGTGCGCCTGAAGAGGGGTATGGGCACCTGGGAGTAGTGCAATTCATAGTAGTGCAATGCATTTGTAAGTATAACAATAAAGCACTGTCGTCCATACCATATGCAGCGTTGAGTGACACGGAACCAAAGGCACGTTGTGACGCAGGAGTCAGGACCAAACAGCAGGAATCTCGTGTTTCCTCCTCGACGCAGGGCCACGCTCATTTCATACAATCTATAATTTCATTAATCGCTTCATCTTCCACGACTCTACGACCCCACCCACTGTGTACCCCAGCAACAACCCCTACAGCACAATTCCCCGCGAAAAACTGCCATGAATGGGCATCATCATCTCCCTCTTCCGCCCTGCCCCACCCCCCGGACCGGTAGCCATCTCCCACCCTCACCCCCTATCAGCCCAGCCTCACCCTCCCCCTCGCTCGCCCGTTCCCCGAGTCACGAAGAATCTACCCCCAAACGGCGGAAAGGCATCCACCAAGCGCCACCCACGCCCCCTTTCGCCGGGCTTCAGCCCCCACTTGCGCCCATATACGCCTATAGCAGAAGTCGTCCAAGCCCCCGAACCTGCTTACCCTTACCAGTCCATTCGATCCCTCCACTCGCCTTCGAGGGGGACGACGCGGGCGAGGCTGTTACGTGCAGTGTCTTTCTCTGACGACGACGACACTGGAGGAGGCTCGAGAGCGAGTATGCAAGAAAGCCTAGGTTTGGCGGTGGACAGCGGCCAGAAGGGATCTAGAGGGAAGAAGGGGAGTTTGAGTTCTATGGGGATTGCTTTAGGGATGGGGCTTGGTATCGGTTTGGGGCAAGAAAAGTACCGTCCATGGGATCGGCTCGTGAACGATGAGATGTCAGACGATACTCTCTCCGCACCTTCGTCGCCTGTTTTTCATTCGCCTTCCCCATTCGACTCCCCGCCCTCCTTATCCATCCCCACCACCCAAAACTCGAGCAACTCGTCTACTCCGGTGGGGCATCGTGCCCCTCCGCCCTCGTCTTTCCCTGCTGCCTCGTTCCCACATTCCCGGCGGCAGCCTGAACCGTCTACGTCTACTGCAACCGACTCGATTGGTACAGCCAGTTCTCAGATGTCGTCTTCTGAAGGGGGGAGGAGCAAGCGGCGGTTGATCTTTCGTTCGCCGTCTCTGGGGAGCGGGAGTATCAAGAAGGGGTTGATGGGAAAGACGAAGCTGAGGAAAGTGAAGCGTGTAGAGGGAGGGTGGGATATGGTTAGAGAGGGAGATTGGGATACGGGATGATCCTACTCTGATGTCTGTGTGTAAGTCCTCTCCGTCTATGAAGCTCTGATGCGAGGCTGACCAAAAAGTCTTAGCTTCTATAACGACCTTTTTCACGACACGACAATTACGAACCATCTACGACTTCTACTAGACGACTTGTGTAACCTCGAATATCTTACGACCATTTCTCTGCATCTATCCTATCCATCAGAATCCCATCTTGTAACGTACGACAACCCAATGCATCTCCGGCATGACCGAGTAACGACTGTCGTGCCAAGCTCATCTCATAATGGAACGTATAAGACAAGTGCATGTTTGCAGATACATAGAGTATGCGAACTTTGCCCTGCCAGTTGTTTGAAGATATTTCAGTGATCGTATCGTATCTCGTGATAGTCGTAACATAGTAATATTCAATGGTACAACCCCTCTCTCACGCAATCTCAAACCTCCTCCCTCCCTGCCCATTCCCATGCCCATACCCAGCCTGCCCCTCCCCATCCTCCCTCAACCCCCCCTCCCCATCCCAACCCCCCTTCCCACTAGGCAAGCAGCTCAAAACACTAATCTTATTCCTCGGATTCTCATGAACCCCCCTCAAGCATTTCCCAAAGTTACTCATGCAGATGATGCCGTAGATGAATGTGACAAAGAGGATGAGGATGGCAAAGATGGAGAGGATGGCCATGGTGATGCGGGTGTTTATGTAGAGGGAGGAGGTGCGGGGGAGCCAGAGGGTTGATAGTTTGTAGCTGTCATTTCTGTTTAGGGAGTATGGTTGGGGCTCAGAGGAGAAAACTAACATGAAGTAGGCCATGCCTGCGACCATGAGCACCAGGATCGCTGACATTATACTTCATTCTTGTCAGCGTCGTCCTGGCAGTCTCGAGAGGACCCGACTCACAACTTGTTCTCTTCGCGCAGAGCCCAGCCACAAGCCAATACAAGGATGAACAGGGGAGGTAGGGCGATGACTGTCACAATACTACGAGGCTAATATCAGTCTTTGAGAAGTGAAGACGATGGGAGGTTGAGCGTACAACTCAGCTTTCTTGGAATCCCAAGCTGTTATGAGGATTAGGTACTGAGATCTGGTGAGCAGCAGGTTGGTATCGCAGGAGACTCGGCACTTACTGCGATGCAGAAAGCCGTGGCGAAGAACAGCATGAGCTTCAGCAACGAAACCAATGTCTGATACGCCCTCAGCATGTCTACGCGAGTGATCAGTTATGTTCATAGCTTTTCCTATTAATACTCACGCTTGATTTCGGTGGACGCTCCAGTATATCGATACACATCCCATCCAAACTCATCAGCCAATCGGCGGACCAACGTGCCAAAAGCGATGATGGCGAAAGTAAAGATGATGACGGGTATGATGAGTAAGGGGAGGACGACGTTCCAGAGGGAGTGTGGGCCGATGCAATTCTAGCATATGGAGTTGATGCTTCAATCAAGAAAGATAATGAGACTGAGCCTTACTTCGAAGTGCCCACATTCAGCGTTGTTTTCGTGCGCGTCTCTTAAGGCAATCCTGGTTTGTGGGATCTGCAGGATGGCGTATAGTAAGAGCATAAAGTTGAGACAGAGGTGGAGAATCAACTGTACTGTACAAGTCAGTACACCTTCATCGAAAAGTAGGAGCAAAGACGCGCTTGGACTACGTTACGAGCTCTCAGGGCGTCAAAGACGTAGAGAAGAGCGAACATTCTGCAGACAGAAGGTGAGCCAACTTTCGCGACGGCGAACGAGAAGACACACTGAGCGAGCAGGAATGTGGATAGGTATACTGGCAGGGTCCGCGTTCTGGTATCCGTATCTTCCACATTGACCTGTCACACAAACATTACGATCAGCTGAGCGTAGATTTTAGGCGCCAAGACAAACGACTCGCCTCTACGAGACCGAAGATGGTGGAAGACAGCGCAAAGATGATGACAGCTTCGGCAGTAGCTATCGAAGCCCGTCAGTCTGAATCATGATGTGAAAGAAGCCAAGTTAAAGCACTCACCTATAATCATGTACACCCACTGCCACTTGGTAAACAGCGGAGGGACACCCCCGTCCGGATTATTGTTGTTCATGATGATCTCACCCTTGGCCTCTTTATACAGAAAGAACGCGTCGTCTCTCTGATTCTCCTGGTATGGCGACTGCTGGTAATGCTGCTCACTCTGACTGTGATGGTGCTGGGAGTGGAGGGCAGAGGGCGGCGGGGGCGTGTAGGGGTCCTGTGTGACTGGGGCGTATGGCTGGATGAAGCCGTCTGGACGAGACATGGTGTACGCTTTTGCGTTTGCTGGTGATCTTGCAGAAAAGCAGCGTTGTATGATGTATGATATGCCTCGTGAAAGGCAATAAGCGGCGCTGAAAATGGCGGTGCGTTGTTGTGATCGCTGACACACACCGTTCCCTGGCCGGAACATCACCTCGTCGTTGTTTGGTCCCATCCCTGCATATATCTGATGGTGTGTATATGTCAATGCTCTATTCATTATTGTTATCCCAGATTATACTAGGACCATACATTTCAAGCCCACCCACCACCTAGACATCCACCGCCCAAGACTTGCCCCACGGCTTGCTCGCACTCTCCCTCGTACTCTCGATACTCTGCTCAAACTTTGCCTTCGCATCCACATGCTGCAACTTCTCCACCCTCTCCTCTGTCACGATGAAAGGCTCCGGCAGTTTGGGGAAGATATCGGCGACGGGTGGTTGGGTAAACGGGATTTTGAGGGAAGAGAGAAGGATGGGGACGAGGTGCGCGATGGAGCCGAGAATACGAGGCATACCGTGCCCTGCGAAACCGGCGGCGACGAACTGTCCGGGCTTGTTGGGGACGGGTCCGATGAAGGGGAAAGAGTCTATGCTCGATGTTTCGACTGTGATTTTATCAGCTTTATCGTCTTGCAATTACTTGAAGAACGTACCACCAGTCCATACGCCTCCTTCGTTCACGGCCCTCTCAAACTCTGCCGGACCTTCGCCCTCCCACCCCACGACACTTTTGGTAGGCCATATCGCATAGTATTCAGGTACACCCTCAAGCTGTTTGTCCTCCTCATCACTAAGGATGTACCGTTCAGGATGCGCGACGAGGGCAGATTTGGCACCGCCGACGATGATGGTGTTGTAAGGCGGAGGAATTTGGAGGTGGTAGTTCTGCACATGGGTAAGTCAGAGGTCAGATGGAGGAGGGGAGAGACGTACGTTGACGATGCTATCCCAGTGTTGGGCACCGGTGTGCTTGATGAGTCCCGCAGGAGCTTTGATAGCGCAGACGGTACAACGTTCCGGGAAGATGAGGTTGGTAAACTCCGGTAAGAGATGGGATGCCCATCGATTCTGACTCTTGTCAGCCTTCTCCTGAAACACGATATAGAGGCAGGCTTACGGTGGCGTGGACGACAGCCTTGGCTTTGACATCTCCCCGATCGGTACTGACGGTGATAAGGCCGTCCGACCCTCGGTCAGAGACTTTTTGTACGGGCGTGTGGGATTGGAGGTTGACCTCGCCGTTGGACATGATGATTCGCAGTATAGCATGGACAAACTTATACGGCCACCTATGCACACCATCAGCTACCATCCTCCTACCCGCAAAGACAAGATTGTAAACTCACACTTGACCAGTAGGATGTACCACCGCCCCGATACACCCCTTCATCTGCGTAAAAGCCTCCGCCTCCTTCGCATCCTCAATCAATCTACAACTCTTGAAACAGTCATCCTCCGGGAAATCCTTTCCAAATGCCTCATAAGCCCCTTTCAGACGAACCCAGGCTTCATCAGACATGGCAGCATCAAACGTCTCGCCAAGCTTGAAACACACTTCCTCAGCGATACCCTCCTCTTCAAAGAGCGCGTCGAAAGCGGCCAAGTGGGAGGCTTCGTGTCTGATAAGTGCAAGAGCGCCTTCGGGGCCGAAGCGGGAGGACCAGGTGGGATAGCGGGAATAAATATGCGGTCTGAGCTGACCACCTACATACAAAATGAGTTATCACAAAAAAGAATTGAGGTGAGGGGCATACCGTTACGCCCGGTGGCTCCTCCACAAACATCACGGGCCTCCAAAATCGCTATACTCGGTACTTGCCCCTTCTCTGCAAACTACTCCAAAGTCAGCTTTACCCCATACCACATTCATAAGGAGGGAAAATATACCTTTTGGATCCAGTAAGCCGTGGAGGTGCCAGCATATCCACTACCGATAATGACGATATCGGCCTTCTCCGGGAGATCGGGGGTGGAACGGTGGTTTCGGAAGGCAGAGTCGGTGCCTTCGATCCAGAATGATTTGGTGGGGTTGGTAATGGGGAGGACCATATTGACTCTATTGTCGGAGGTAAAGAGGGAAGAGAGGGTTATATATAAGGATGAGTCGGGAGAATGCGAAACTGACTCGAGCTCGGCCTGCAGTGAGACGGACTATCGGGGCTGTTGACAGGTACGCGACGCGAAGCCCGGATCGGTAATTTCGGTTCCTTCGGTGAACACCGAGAGGGCTTATCTGATAGGCAGCGGCAGAGCTCCCAGAGCTCCCAGCGGGTGCAGCGGGATGCATTGGTGGATTTGTCGTCGCCAAAAGTCAGATAATGTTCGAGCGCTGACACGGGGCGCGGGGTCTGGACTTCCAATCAGATGCGAGAGCCGATTTCGCGGACACCAGATCATGTCGTGGATGCCAGTTGTTGGATGGAACACTCACGGCACTATGACAATCCTTGAACGTGCACGATTGTCTCGTCGTCGCATACGCTTGTGTACTGCAAATGGTTTCATGCTAAGTGAAAGGAGCGGAGAGCAGGTCAAAGCAGCATTTCGGATAGCAACAACAGTCCTTTGTCGGGATGATTGCCTTCCAATTGTTACATCTACTGGTCCCTGACCCAGTTCCTAGAATACATACCCAGCATATACAACCAAAGCCCGTCATCTAAATTTTCACCGCACAAGGCGTGCTCGCACTTTCCCTTGCCCTCTCAAAATCCTCCGTAAACTGTGCGCGCCTTCGGGACCGAATGAGAAGACCAGGCAGGGTAGGAGGTGTAGATGCGCGGTCGTAGGTGGCCGCCTTGATGAGATGTAAGCTGGTGGGTACTGCCAGATGATATACTTGCCGTTGCGGCCGGTGGCTTCTCCACAGACGTCGCGCGCTTGGAGGATGGCAATACTGGGGACATGACCCGGCTTGGCAAACTACAGGATATCAGCTCACTCTCACAGAGTCGCATTCTGAGCATACCTTGTGGATCCAACACGCTGAAGAAGTACCCGAATACCCGCTGGCGATGATCACGATATCGGCCTTTTTGGGCGGCTTTGGGGTTGAACGGTGTGTTCGCAAGGCCGAGTCGGTACCTTCAACCCAGAATGACCTGGTGGGGTTTGTGACTGGCAGAACCACGTTGGGGTCATTGTGAGAAAGAGGTAAAGCCGGCTAGCTGGTTCTTTATGTGCATGCAATGTTGTGACCCGGGCGCTGAGGTCAGCACATTGGTGATCGGAGGCAAGCGCCTTAGGCGTCTAAGTGGGTGCGCACAAAAGAAAAAAAGCGTTACGTAACGGCTCCTATTGTCTCTTTCGCTCATCATCACTAATTACTTTATGTCTTTTGTTCTGCGTTATTCATTTCCATTCCAGTGTTTCTGTCTCTCTATACCCATCCCTCCCTTCTACGGCGCCATAGAGCTGCTGGACACGACAAAAATACCTCAACATGGACGGCCGCTCGTCTCAGCACGGAAAGAGATCGGAGCGACTCAATAGGACGCCTTATGCTCGACCTACCCCTACCAAGCCAAAGACAACGCCTGGCGGTGGTGTAAGTCTATCATACAGCAGACTGAAACTCTTCACTGACAATGGTGATAGACCCTCGGCGCGATCAAATCAGTCTTCAGCAACTTAATCTCGTCTCCTTTCGGTCGCGGTTCACCCTCACTTCCAACCAACCAATATCAACGCTCAGAGTCGGGGTCGGAAGACAACTGGGAAGGTGACGAGCCTGTCCAAATGAAGGGGCAGGATGTGTTTTCTCTGGCGGCGGCTGCAGGGAGAGGAGGAGAAGGATTTGAGGCGAGGCAGGTGGAATGGAGGACGAAAGGCGAGGTCGCGGGTGGGCGACGGGAAGCTGCGCGCAGAGATCTTAAGGTAAACCATACTAGCTATAGAAGAGAGTCGTGCTAAGGAGGTATAGGTCGGATCATCGGTCGGCCCCATGTTGGCGTACCAAAACGGCCAAATCATCACCCCCACAACCCCCGTCTTTCCTGGTCATTTTGTCAAAGACGCCGCTCCTCCTTCCCTCCCCCCTTCTCTGGCAACTGTGAGCGAGAAGGCCACGGGTCAATTGAACGGCCATGCTACGCCAAATGCCATCGCTGGCCCTAGTACTTTTACGCCCCAAGCCACCTCTGTCAAGACCCCATCGACTCTACCTGCTCGCTTGCCTCTCCCCACATCATTCACCACGCCCTCGCATCCATCTGTCAACGGCGAGTCCAGCTCTCAATACTCCAACGCCCTCGCGACGTTCCTGCAAGAACGTCAAGGGCAAGAGTTTACAGCGCAAGACAAGACTATCATTGCGATGCTCACTGAGCGGATCACTGGCGCTGGTGCTGCCTCCCCGGCAGGTAGTGAGAGAAGGAGGGGATGGTTGCCGAACTCGAGCTCTGGGGACGTGGCGTACAGGGGTTTGAACCAGTCGACGTCGTCGGGATTGGGAGGTACGCCGTATAAGCAAAAGTATCTTGGTCCGGGCATGTCGCCTCGAAAGACGCAGAGTGAGTGATCTCTTATTCGAACCGCATTATGCTAATCCTGTATGAAGCTTCATCTCCCGCTTCCAGTCGTATTCTGTCCAAGAGCATCTCGCCAGCTCCTGCCCCCGCACTCGAACCTGCCAGCCTCCCACCTTCCTTCCCCAACCGCCACCTCATCAACACCGCCCTCCGCTACTCTGCCACCTCCTCCCCTCTCCGTCATCCCCACAAAGCCTCCTCCACCCCCGCCCAGTCTTACCCCGCCAACACACTCTCTCCCGCCTCTGGCACCAAACGCAAGCCCGAAAGCCCCGCCGACAAAGCTTCCGCCAAAAGACGCGAAGTCGAAGAGACTGGCAGGCAGAATGCAGCTGCCATCATGCTCTCGCTGATCGAGCAGACGGAAAAGGAAGCGCCGCAGAGCCATATCGAGCCGGTCAGGTGGAACTCGTATGACCGAGGCGCGCTCAACAAGTCAACGTCGACAACGCCAGGGACGCCTGGGTCGACATCGGTGTTGGCAAAGTCTACGGGCCCGCCTGCTGTGCCTAATAGTGTGCCTAGTACGGCGCATGCGGGGTCGACACCGAGGAAGAAGACGCCGCTGAGGGGTGCGGCGGCGAAGATGGAGGCGTATAGGGAGGGGATGGTGGGGAACAAGGGGTTGACTACGATTGAGAGAATTAAGGGTGTCAAGCCTGTGAGTGAATTTTATACCGCTGATTGAGATGGATGCTAATAGGACCGTAGTGGGAAGCCAAGGGTCTACAGAAGCCACAAGAACCTAGCAAGCAGACAAAGCCAGTCGAGGAGGCTATTGAAATCTCGAGCGATGAAGATGACGATATCGAGATTGTCGATGAAGCTGCCTCCAAAAAGCAGATTTCTAAGCCTACTGCAGTCGCCGCTCCCGAGGCTCCCAAAAACATGTTTGAATCTGCCCCCTTCACCTTCTCCAGCCCTGCCCTTTCTCTCCCCACTTTCCCATCTACGGCTGCCCCTGCTCCTGCGCCAAAGAAGGCTGCTGAGGTGTATGATTCGCCGCTCAGGAAAAGTATAATCGAAGCGCCAAAGAAGGACGCAGAGCAGGCCAAGGCATTCTCCTTCTCCACCCCCGCCTCTTTCAACGCCGGCAAACCTGCGCAGGAAGAGGAACCTGCATTCAAACCCATCCACAGGTCGGCTTCGCTCAAGAAGACTTCTACCGAGCAACCATCGCTCACCCCGAAGGAGACGGCGCTCAAGATGGATAAGGCGGCGTTGCCGTTCTTTACTTTTGTGCCGCCAAGTGTTGGGGGGAGTGGGGAGGTGCCGAAGAATACGACGGAGGAGAAATGGGAGAAGGCGAAAAGCGAGGCGAAGGGGAAGGATGTTCAGGTGTTTACTTTTACACTAGACGTTTCGGCTCCTTCTGTTTCCGCCGCTGCTGCTGCTAAACCCAGCTTTGGCGGATTCACGGGCTTTGGACAGGTCTCTGGCCAGAAGAAGGACGAATCCAAGACCACTTCCGCTGCGCCTACTGCGCCAAGCTTTGGTGGCTTCACCGGCTTTGGACAGGTCTCTGGCGCCAAGAAGGATGAGCCCAAGAATACGGGCGGACGACCGTGGAAGTGCTCGATGTGCATGTTGGAGAACCCCGACAGTGCGAAGGAAAAGTGCACGATTTGCGAGGAACCTAGGCCGAAAGCTGCCGCCCCTGCTCCCGCTGTCCCTGCTAAACCAAGCTTTGGTGGCTTTACCGGCTTTGGACAGGTTTCTGGTACCAAGAAGGATGAGCCCACGAGCACCGGCGGAGGGCCGTGGAAGTGTTCCATGTGCATGCTGGACAACCCCGACAGTGCCAAAGAGAAGTGTACCATTTGCGAAGAACCCAGACCCAAAGCAGCGGCCGCCCCGGCGCCGACTTCGGCTTCGACAGGGTTTGGAGGGTTTGGAGGGTTTGGGAGTAAGCCTGCGGGGCCTGCGGCGGCTGGAGGGAGCTGGACGTGTGGGACGTGTATGCTTCAAAACCCGGATAGTGCGACTGAAAAGTGCACCATCTGCGAGGAACCCCGACCAAAATCGACATCTACACCTGCTCCTGGTCCTATTTCCGCGCCAACCACAGTTGCGGCGACGCCTTTCACCGGCTGGGGAGCTGGGACGGGGGCAAAGAAGAGCGAGGGAGGGGAGGGAAAGTGGACGTGTAGCACTTGTATGTTGGAGAATCCGGGGAGTGCGACGGAAAAGTGTACGATTTGTGAGACGCCAAAGTAGTAGACGTTAGAGGGTTGATGAGATATGGTGATCATAGTCATGTACTTTCATGTTTGAAGACAATGGATACATTTGGCAAAGCTCATTCTGCACCTCTAACGACTGTCTATCGGTCAAATCACTGTACAACCCTCTACAGACTATGAACACCGCAGAAAAAAGGGAAACCGCTCAAGCACCAAGAACGAAGACTGGACTTTATCTACCTCGCCTGCTCGGCCATGACCTCGGCATCAAGCGCACTATCCCGGCTCACCGACCCATCCGTCTCATCATCCACCACATCATCCTTCTCCGCCGGCCTCTCCGGTATCAAACTAATCAGCCCCACCATACACGGTACCGCCAGCACCCAAAGCACGCCCAAAACATACAACGGTATACGCTTATCCCCCGTATTCGAGTTGATAGCGTACGACACGGCTTGACCTGCAGTTTCGAATGCACGGAAAAGACCGCCGGTGCGGGACGAGGCTTTGACGTCGGTGGTGAATGTGCCGAGGATCCAGTAGAGGGAGAGCTGGGTCCAGTAGCCGGTGGTGAAGATGATAAAGTAGGGGAGGTAGGCTTCGGCCCAGCGGCGGCCGTTGCTGGTAGACTCTTGTCAGTGCTGGGAGGGTGAAAGGGTCGGGGAAGGGGGCTTACGTGGCGTAGTCCAAAGCAAGCTCTTGGCCGCCGAATTTACCGTATTCGATACCGGTCCAGATGATACAGGCCATCTGTGGAATAGCCCACATGAGGAAAGCGATCCATCCTCGGCGGCATTGGGACCAGCGTTTGTTGTCGAGGAGGACTTTGCCGTAGGTGGTGACCATCAGGATAGTGGCGGAAGCTTTGATGTTCGTTAGCTGAGTACCGCTTAGACGGAAGAAGGGGATGCTTACGAGTGATCAAACTTGACAAAGCTCGAGCTCGGACAGAAAAATGCAGGGACAAGTACGTCCCATACACGCCTCCATAAAAGAAGCTATAGAACGCAGGGATAAACACAAGCCAAGTCTACCCAAGAGTCATCAACACGTTGTCTCCATCATCGGCCGAAGAAGTGGCACATACCCTTTTGTTCAAGACGTGTTTGTACAAGGCCTTGAATTCGCTTTTCCAAGTCATGTCCAGGGAGTAAGGGACGCGTGTGGCATCGCTACGCCGGACCTTTTTGGTAGCAGACAATAAGAGGGCCCAGATGACACCCGTGCACTCTGATCGGCATCTCGTAAGCGAAAGTGGACATTTGAAGGTAGACCGGATCACCGCCAAGGTACTCACCAAAGCCAATGAAGATAAGGTATGTGGACCAAGCGATGCCGCCTGCGGCATCAGAGGAGTAGTTGGTAGCAAAGTTGATGGCGCCGCCTATGACACTGCCCGAGTTACGCATAGCGGACCAGATTCCTGAGAGCCTATGAGCATGCTGCGATTTGGCGGATGGAGACTGCGTACCTAGGTAGAGACCCCTTTCGTAGACGTGGGGGTAGGAAAGCATGGCGGTGGTCTCGGCGACGTATAGGAAGCCGGAAGTGAAACCTCCTAGGATCTGCTCGGTGGTCAGCTAGTACATGGTGCTGTCATGAGAGCGGGCTTTCTTTGGCAAAGAGAAGATACCAGTCTTTACCAGCGTACTTGGCACTGACATAGTAGCTGGAGCCGTCCAGAGGAAAGATAATCGCAGCAATCAAACAAGACCACTTGATTCCGATTTTGTTGATCAAAGGGCCGCCTACCAGAGTGATAACACAGGAAGCAGCATAGTTGACAGAGTTGGCGAGGTTTGACAGGTATGGCTTGGAGAGACCACCTCCACCGAGATTTGATATGGCGTCCGACATTGCTGGACCCACGAAGGAAATGCTATGTGGTGATTCAGAGCTGCGTATGAACCTAAGAATCCTTCTGGTGAAACTCACGCTCCAAAGAGAAACATCTGAAAGAGGGTGCCTCTGTAGAACTTTGCAGACTTGCTGGCGTTGAGGTAGGCATGATCGACCATTCCGTCTTCGAGTTCTCCGTCATCTGTAGCAGGGAGTGCTTCAACCGTGACTTTGTGAATGTCGACGTCCTTCTTTTCGTCGACATCGCTTCCTGCAGTCGCATCGGGTTGGTTCATGATGGGCGAGGTACGGGTGTGGGGGAAAAAGGGCCAGAAAGTGGAGTCGTGTGATGGTACTTATACATCCCTGCCTCGAGGCTGTTACGGCAAGAAAGAAGCTGATAAGGAATCAGATGTCAGCTGAGACACTAGAAGACCGGGTAGACAAGCGTCGGTTGTTGTATAGTTACGTAGCAGATAATGGAGACACGGCTATTGGCTCTTGGAATGAGTGATAACGAGCAACATAGATGCCGATAAGGACTTTGAGTGGTACCAATTTGGAATTTGGAATTGACCGATATGTGGTAAGAGGAGCTTCGGGTAGCCTCTGCCGACGGCACGGGAGCATAATTGGCGGTTGGTTGACAGAGGCCGAACAAACAAGTGTCGGAGATGTCCGAGGAGATTAGCGCCGGCAGATAACGAGTCACGTCAATTGCGGTCATCAAATCGCTCTATCACGCCCACGATGCATCTCCTTCTCTTTCTTTTATATCCCACAAGTCATAATGCCATCCATCGACCAGCAGCCCATCGCTATCGACTACACCAAGTACTTCAGCCATGAGTCTCAGAACAGGCAGAGGTCCCAGCTCAAGGAGCTCAAGCCGTACACTGACATACCTGGCATGATTAGCGTTAGTACCGCCGCTGTCGGAGGAAATGAGAATGCTGATCGGTAAACCAGTTTGGTGGGGGTACTCCTAACCCTTCTACGTGGCCTGTCAACGGCATGACCCTCTCGGTGCCGTTCGCCAACAAGTCCGTCTTTGTCCCAGGTTACAACAGTGCGTGAATTGACTCGATGTCATTTCACAGATTCTGATTAGAAATAGATCGCTCTCCTGAAGGAATGCTCCCCGTTGCTCCCTACACCGAGCCTCTCAAAACAGAGCCTCTCCGCCCCGACCTTGTCGGAGAGCTGCAATACGGCTCTACATATGGCCCTAAGCACTTGCTCGAATGGATCAAGGGACATATCGAGAGAATCCACGAGCCTCCTTACGCTGATTGGGGCAATCTGGTGACCGCGGGGAACACAGATGGAGTGGATGCTGTTATGAGGTCAATCTTCAACAAGGGTGATTATGTGCTGGTTGAGGAGTTTGGTCAGTCGGCATATGATGAGGATCATGAACCTATTACTTACGGCGATAATAGCTTACCCGGGTCTTCTGAGCCCTGCTGCTACTATCGGCCTCAAGACTCTTGGTGTTCCTTTGGACAGGGAAGGCATCAATGCCACTGCTCTTGACGAGATGTTGTCGACTTGGGACGAAAGCAAAGGTCCGAGGCCCAAGATGCTCATCCTTGTACCGTACGTCCTGTCGGCCTTTACACTCTCGAAGGGCTAGCGCTAACTCCAATGTGTAGGACTTGCTCCAACCCTTCTGGAAGTACCATTCCTGTACACCGCAAGCGCGAGATCTACGCCGTGTGTCGAAAGTGGGACTTGCTCATCTGCGAAGATGATCCTTGTAAGCTTCCCTATCCTATCTGTGCTTGTCGTTTGTTTGCTGATAAGATCCACAGACTGCTATCTTCAAATCCGACCGAACGGCGCCGACAGCCCCATTGTCCCCAGTTTCCTCTCTCTCGACACTGACGGCCGAGTCATCCGTGTCGATAGTTTCTCAAAGATTGTCGCGCCGGGCAGTAGGCTAGGATTTGTCACCGCCCACAAGGTGCTGTTGGAGAAGATCATGAATTCCCGTGAAAGCGCTACTGTAAGTCATGCTGACTTTGATGGGACATAACAGAGCTGATTGGATCTGGTAGCAATGTCCATCGGGATTTTCTGTTGCTGCTATATCGGCTATCTTGAGGGCTTGGGGCGGACATGAAGGGTTTGAGCAAGAGTATCTGCCTCACATTTCGCGTAAGTCGCCCGTACTCTCTTCCTGAATGTCCTATCTGATAACAAGAAGAAATCTACTCCAAACGATGCCTCACCCTCCTCGCCCTCCTTGAAAAGTATGCTCCAGATGGAACGGTCGAGCTCCCTGCCCCTTCTGGCGGTATGTTCCTTTGGGTCCGCCTCAAGATCGAGAGCCACCCCGCATTCACATCCTCTTCCTCCCTCGCCCCAGAGGAGATCTCAAAGCAGATCTTCCAGTCATTCATTTCTGAGAAAGTCTTGATCGCGCCGTCGCACTTTTTCAAGGCGCCGTCCGACAAGGTATGGACGAGGGAGGAAGAGGCGGAGAGGATCTTTGTGAGGTTGAGCTTCTCGTTTGCGGAAGCTGAACAGATGGAAGAGGGGGTGAAGAGGATCGCAAGGGCTTTAAAGAAGGAGTGGGGGCTCCGAGATGAGTAAGATGAGGGTCAAATCTCTCCTCCTCGGCCGACATGGACTTCATACTTATATTCTATTCCCGCCGTCATGTACATACCTCCGTAGCAGAAAAGTAGATTGTTACCAAGTCATGAGAAATTGATAGGGACAGGAGGAGGTCGTAGAGCGACCCGGACCGAGATACACCTGCCCGCTACATGAGACGATGCTTTGTGTATCGGCAAAAGACTTCCGGTAAAATAGGAGTGTCGGCTTTTGAGGTACTTCTTCGTGTTACATCCATCACTACTGCCTTTGTTTGATCTCTTCCGTCCTTCCAGTAGCTTCTGGCGCCAAAAGCTGTCGACATGAACGTGTGGACATAGATTGGCAGGCACGGTTCTCAAGTCATTAAGCCTTCCGAGTTCCGGAACATGGTATGCCGTGCGCATCGTGTGGTGCAAGAATCACTCCAAAGCGTTCCAGGAATAGTGTGGAAGAAGTCCCGGGAAAGTCGCCTCATCTCTTGCAGTAGATCGAAGAATGTGATCGGTGTTACTGTACCATTGAACAATGAACGGATCATAATGATCACATAGGTACACCATCAGGCAGCTGATATCAGCCGGCGGAGCATGTGTTTGTGCGGCGGCCACGCCTCACTGGTGACATGCTGACTGTGGTTGTCAATTGTTCTTCTCGACAATGTTGATCTGCAACAGCACGCCCGGCGCTTGCTTTCAAATGGAGTAGCGACGTGATTCTGCATACAGACTAGACTTTGCGCTTGTGAAGGTCCGACGACCGACGACGCAGTGTTGCTCATAGAGTCGGCATATTGATAGCATAGAGAACATGACTACGGACAATGTGGGATATGTATGGAAGGTGACGTTACGTAAGAGAGTAGTATCAATCAACCATTAAGTAGACTCCGACACTCCCCCTTGATCACTACTCTCTTCTTTAAGAAACGGAACAACGTTGAAAAGACAAGATAGAAAAGTCCGTTAAAAAAGAAAACAAGAAGAAGAGTCCTTGACAAAGAAGAAAAAAAGCCCTTGACAAAGTCGTGTTCCCCAGCAGCAATAAGTCGCCTCCGCTTACTCCCTCTCGACAGCTCCCCAGGCCCAGCTCCCCCAGAACCACAATCCGCCACAAACCAATCCGCCAGACAATTCCCCTCCCCCCACGCTCAGTAGGCAGACCCGTCAGAGTCCCCTTCTTCGTCGACAGTGGCCATGGCTGCCTCTGCAGGAACAGATGCATTTCGTCGAGGGCACTGCTGGGACCAATGGTCCGGCGCTTTGCAAAGCCGACAGGGGTTTTCGGCAGAGGGACGGAGCTTGACCCGGCTGGCAACTAAAGCAGACTCGTCGGGAGGGCCGAAGGAGCGGGAAGACTTCTGGTGGGCGGCGAGGCGGCGGATGGCAGTAGAAACATCGGTGGGGGTAGGTCGAGTGGGATTGGCGAGGACGTTGTAGACATAGTTTTGATACTCGCCGCTGGGCAAGCCATGTAGGAGCACGTTGACAACCGTGTCCTCAAGGGTCCACTTCAAACCCTTGAGCTCCTCATACCTCGCCATCACTTCATGAGTCCACTCAGCAACATCTCCTCCCTCCTGGCAAGTACTGCCCAACAATTCTCTTCCTTTGTCGAAGACAGATTGCGCATCTGCAGCGCCATAATTGAGGACAATGGTATCGTAGACCGTGGATGATAAGGAGGTCGAGGAGGTTTCTTCGAGGAGATGGAAGAGGGATTGCTGAATTGGAGAAGAGGTGGTGAGGAGGATGCTATACGCGATTTGCTCGTCGCGAGCACGCCACGTTGCGTCGTCCATTTGAGACTTGTCATTCTGAATGAAGACACGCGCACCAAGGGAACCCAGGTAGAGAATGAGAGAGGTTTTCCACTTGGGGAAGTTTTCTTTCCCAGTGAGGACGGGGACTTTTGCCATGGCATTGTGGAAGCCTGACCCAGGGATAGAAGTAGTCGCCATGTGGGGAGGTGTGTCGTTGGGAAGCGATGGTGTTGACATGGTAGGGACAGTGGTGGAAAGGAGTGACGAAAGGAGGTGGGAAGGGATTTCGGTAAGGAAACGAGAGTGGGGAAATTCCGAGTGTGGCAATGCCAGCAAAGGAGGGTGGTGGAATAAAGGGGGTTGCTGTAACTCGAGCAACACGAGGATGCTACCGCCAAGTAGGCAGCAGAGCACTGTAGGGACAGGATGGTGACCAGAGGTATACGCACTCATCAATCACCCAGACCATGACTCCAGCGAAAAATTCCTTCCACATACATCCAGCAAGTTCACCAGTTCGACAACTTGCGTCTGGGCAACGCATGTCAATCCAGCAGCTCCAAGTCCCAGTCCTATCCTAGGAGCATGGCGAGTCTGAAAAGCTCTGACTGAGATCGGGCCTGCATGTCAAGCCAGCAGCTCCAACTCCCAGTCCTATCCTAGGACATGGCGAATCTGAAAAGCTCTGACGGAGATCAGGCCACAAAGACCAAGGGTCGCAAGTGGGAAGTTCAGGGGTAGTGAAGGGGAAGACGATGTTGGCGTATTCGCTGGGTAGTGATAAGTCGAACCGCAAGGCCGAGGCTCATAACCTGTGAAGGTCCGACGACCGACGACGCAGTGTTGCTCATAGAGTCGGCATATTGATAGCATAGAGAACATGACTACGGACAATGTGGGATATGTATGGAAGGTGACGTTACGTAAGAGAGTAGTATCAATCAACCATTAAGTAGACTCCGACAGCGCTTACCCGTACATGATGAGTCACTCGAAGACACAGAAGGGATCATGGAACAAACAACGGACAGACTTGCACTGAGCGCAGCTATCATACGGCAAAAAAAAGGTGCTCAACAGGTCGTCTTCATGATCGGTCGGCACTGGGACACAAGTCGCTGCTGCTTTGAGGTATATAAGCGAAGAAGAATACTGCTACATCGGTCTTGACTCATACCTCCATAGCACTCGCACTTACGGTACCCCCTTTCATCGACACGCAAAGCTCTCCTCGCTGGATCATCATCAAACAAAGCTATGGTGAGCACTTTCACATCATCCCACCGACCCATTCCAAAGCCCCAAACCCAACACGTCTTCTCTCACAGCCCTACTACCAGTCCGGTATTGAAATCAAAGAACGTGCTGATCTATTCGTCACCAGTCAGATTCACCTACCATGCCAAGCAATGGGGAAAGCAACCTCGACTCTGTCCGCGCTAGAGTCAACGATATCCCGTTTGAGGGGTCTGGGAAGCTCAAGGGAAAGGTTGGGGCAATTCACGGGTGTTGGTTCTGACATTGGGATGGGTGTGAGTATAACATGTTTCGCTGATTTAACTTTGGGCGAATACTGATGCAATGTAGGCCGCTGCTGCCAAACTCTTCGCCCGCGAAGGTGAGTTGGAGGCGTCGATGTCGATATAAAGTGACAACGACTGACGCAAAACATAGGAGCTGCCCATATCTATCTCGTGGACTACAGCGACAAAGAGATCAACCCCCTTCTCGACCATCTCAAGCGCACCTACCCTTCCACTAAAGTCAGCTTCTTCAAAGCCGACGCTGCCGACCCCCAAGCCGTTTCTTCCATCATTGACTCTGCTTTGGAGGCAGAAGGTCGCTTCGACTTTTTCTTCGCGAATGCAGGCATTCTCCAGACTGTTGATCCCACGAAGGTTGTCCAGAATGGAAATGGTGCTTCTACGACAGCCACGTATTTGCCAGGGGAGGACGAGTTTATGGAAGTCGTGAGGGTCAACTCTCTTGGGTAAGGAGGCTATGTCGGATCAGACGACGGTGGTGCTGATGGTGCCACAGACCTTACATCGCTATCAGATATGCATCTGCCGCCATGGGCAAGGTTTGCCCCGAGAAAGGCAAATATACCCCTGGCGGTTCGATTGTTATCACCTCCTCTGGTAAGTCTTCGGCTCCTATATAGATCGTCGTTGACATTCGTGACAGTGGCTGGTCTCAAGAATAGCGCTGGGCCGATTCCATACTCCGCCTCCAAAGCCGCCGTAATCTCTATGGCACAGACATCCGCGTGGGCTTTTGCGGGAAAAAACATCCGCGTGAATGCTGTTTGTCCCGGCGTCATCGAGGTCTGTCACTTCCGATCCGGCCATTGAGTTGGAAAAGACAATTGACCATGTATGTGTAGACGAACATGCTATTGAATGCTGCCAAGGCAGATCACAAAGGCTACGGCGGTCAGGAAAAGCTGAACCCCCTTCAACGACAGGGGTTCGCCTTTGAGATTGCTCACATGACGCTGTTCTTAGTCTCTGGTGAGCCATTCGCGTCCAGAGTCTGGGATGATCACCTTCTAATCATACATTGACACACAGAGGATGCATCATATGTGAACGGGCAGGCAATTCCCGTTGACGGCGGATATAGTGCCAGTCTCCCCTTTCCGCATCACTCCACGGCGTAGATTCTAAAGGCTTTGGCTTCTGTCGCTGGTTAAGCTGTAGTTGGCTTGGCTTATTATGTTCTCTTTGGCTTATTATGTTTGTTGGTCGTGTCGTGTTGCACATAATCAAGCATGTTCAAGCGTGTTATCGTCTCTATTGCGGCGGACTTGAGCGCCTTCCTCCGATCTGCCACTGGAACAAAGCGCGATTTTGATAATCATTACATTTCCGAACTCCCACCCCAGCATGTGCCCCTTCTCACCCTTCCGTCACCATCGCTGACTGGAGAGCCTTCGACGATCTCGTATTCGTTGCCGAGACCGAGGACACGCAGACACCTACGCAGCACACTGAGATGTGAACAGTTCAGAGTACTCTGCATAGCATTAGTTCGTGGGATCGAATGTCGCATTTCATGCTCTGAAAGATATGGTACATGGAAGCAAGATATGGTGCTACCAAAAGTCGTCCGCCTCCGCCTTGCCGCCCTTTTTCCCTCCCCCGGCCGTCACCTGCCGCTGATAGAACTCGCCAACCTGCTCCGCCGAAGTGGCCTCGTCCGCAGACTTGTCGTCCCGAATCTTGAGGAATCGTGGGAATCGAAGCGAGATACCTCGAGAGTCCACCTTCGAGCCTGTCAGCTTGGCTCTGCGTGTAGAGGCCGAGCAATACTCACAAGACCATGCGCCGCAGTGTAAACAGGACTCAGACTCAGATCCGCCGTCAACACCTCCCAAACCACCTTGGGCTCAAACCACACATCCGGCTTTGCCCCGCCAACCTCTATGTCCCCTCTCACCACACCCAGCTCAAGCGGTTTGAGGATCTCGTAGAACTCTGTGAGGATCTCTTCGGAGAAACCGGTGCCGATCTTGCAAATGGTTTGGTAGTGCTCCGAGTCGGGATCGTAGCATGCGAGAAGGAAGGCGCCGTAGACGGCTGTTCGTTTGCCTTTCCCGTGGTACGCGCCGACTACGACGAGGTCGAGAGAATCACCGACACCGGCGAGGTAATCTTTCTTCAACTGTAGCAAAAAGTCAGCTTTGCCTCCACCACACCTGACAAACTCACCTTCAGCCAGTTCATACTCCTCCGACTCGGCTCATAAGTCGCTACATCCCCTTCCAACATCTTCACCATCAAACCTTCACATCCATCCTTCACACTCAACTCCAAGAACGTCTGAATTTCCTCAGAGGTATGCCCGTCGGATGATGTAGCAAATGCGAATTCAGATTCGACGGGTTGGAAGTGTTCGTACATGAGGGCTCGGCGCTCCTTGAGGGTTCGGGTGATAAGACTCTGCGGGATGAAACATCAGCATGGGCTCCGGTGAAGGTCAAGTCTCTTACTTCGCCATTGAGGTACAACAAGTCGAAAGCAAAGAGATGCACTCGGACAGTGATGTCCTCAGCCTTGACATCCTTCCTCTTCCGGCGACTCAGGTCCTGGAAAGGCAAGATCTTTCTTGTCTCAAGGTCGAACGCCACAGCCTCAGCGTCGATCACAAACGATTTCACCGTCGGTTTGATTGCCTGGCCACAGTCATCAGCTCTGTCAGAAGTATAGGAGACGATTCTCACCCTCGGCACCTGCTCCACCAAATCCGGGTATTTCGCACTCATATTCTCACTATTCCTACTAAACACCGCCACCGTACCATCCTCCATCAAATGCACCTGCGCCCTCTCCCCATCATACTTGTATTCACAAGTAAACTCTTTCCCTTCAAACCTGTCCAGCACTTCTCCAATGGCTTTGGTCGGCTTGGCGAGCATGGGCTTGAGAGGAACGCCGGGGGTGAGTTTGCAAGATTCGCGCAGGCCGGAGATGCCGCTTTGGAGGAGGGCGGGGATGATGAGGTCGTAGGATGGGAGTTCGCTGTATACTGCTTTGACGATGGAGGCGCCTTCTTCGAGTTTGGCAGCGAGCTGGTCGGGAGGAGGCTTCTTGTCACCTGTGTTTACGTCAGCATTGTGGGTCAAGACATCTGTATGAATACTGACCCATACTTCTCAGAACGATAGCATGTGCCAACGCAACCACAAGCGTCTTGTCCGCCAGCCCTATTCTCAGCTTGCCTTCCAACGAACGGACGATGAATTTCGGCTCCGACCCCTGACAAGCAGCGAGAAGCTTCTTGATGATGCCGACCTTCTTCGTCTGAGAGGCGTTACCGGAGGCTTTGGCGATGTCGGTGAGACATTGGAAGACGTAGGGCACGGTGAGGGGTTTGGGTTTGAACATTGTCGTTTGTGTGTTTTTCGAGTTCTGCAGATGGATGAGCAACGTAGAATGAGGCAGAGTGTGTGAACGTACCATGGCGACCTTTCCCAAGTCTCCTTCATGTTTCAGATCCGCCTTGATCTTGGCCATAGCTCGGCCCGTACTCTCCGCGATAGCCTTCACCAACAAGGACTCTCCGATACCAAGCTCGATTCCCACGTAATCAGGGCACAGCTACAATGCCGTCAGCCTCATTCACCCAGCAGAAGCATCTGACTCACTCGATTGATACACAGATAGAGAACTTTGAGAAGCATCGAGTCCTTCGCCTCGGTCGCCGTGTCGCGCTTGGCAACGACAAGCAAGAATTGGGTGAGGATCTCGAGAATCTCGAGACGTTTCGTGGTCGCTTCAATCTTTTCAAAGGTCTCCACCAGCGCAATGTAGGGCACAGCTTCGCCTTCCTTCCATCCCTTGTCCGATACGGGGACAGACTTGTTCTTGGTGAAGATCGACGCCCTGCGCGCGTAAGCCACATGCATCTCGAGAGAGATATGACTCACAGTTTGACAGCAGCTTCTCCTTCTTGCTTGTCTTCAGCCTCATCATCCAGTTCTTCCTCGCCTTCCTCATAGTCATCATCGCCCTCCTTGCCCTTGCTCCTCATCTCCTCCGACTCAGCTTCCTTCTTCGCTTTGGGAGCGGGCTTGCTGAAGATCGAGGCTAAGGGTTTGGCATCCTTGCCTTTCGGCTTGACATCGGACTTCTTCTTGGGCTCCTCCTTCTTCTCTTTGGAGGCGGGCTTCGAAGCGGGTTTCTTTTCCTGGGAAGCAGGTTTCGTAATCGTTTTCTCCACCGGCGAAGTTTTGGCGACCTTCTTCGGCGGCTCCACATCTACACCTGAAATCAACACGCGTCCGCATCATACTTTAAGCTATCTCACCTTTTCCCTCATCCTCAGCCTTGACGGATCTTTTGGGAGAGACAGAAGGACCTGGCGCGTCGTCTTCGTCGTCAGACAGGACCACAGGGCGCTTCCGCCTGATGGTGTTGACTTTGACGGGGGAGTTGTCGTCTGACAGGGTGTGAGCTTGGTCCTATACACGGCCTTCGGGCTCACCACTCATGGCTGGTAATGAAAACGCGTTGTGGTGGAAGAAGATGGGAACATTAAGACGGATGATGGGATCGATTTACGCGTCGGGGAGCGCGTATGATTTCAGCGGAGGTGTCCGCCTCCTCCATTATCCTCTGAAATGACCATGATGAGCAAGTGGTCGCTTCGTTTCAGCATCGGATTATGGCTGCATGAGCCATATTCAGAAGCGGCGATTCCATTGGTGGTCATGCAACACCTTCATTTCGTGACCACTTGGTTTCATGGCGAGTAGTCATACATTACAATTCATACGTATTTCTTTCAGCTTTTTGATCACTATCTTGTTATGATTTACAACTACTATGGCGCAAGATCAAGCATTCTTGGCCCAAGCCTTCGCTACATCTTCAAACTTCTCCTCCTTCCACCCCTCAACTTCAGTCTTGGGAAGATCTCCCCAATCATCCTCACCCCACTTCCTAAAGATCGCTGCAGTAATCGCCCCAGGCAAAGCCTTCAACCTCTCCTCGTACTCTTCCTCCTTGAGCTCATACTTCTGCGGGGCAGATCCGTTGATCTTCTCAAAGGCAGAGGCGATCTCGTTACCAGTTGGGGTGAGGTCGTAGAGGTGGGGTTGGGTGTTGCCGAGCTCCGAGAGGGAAGAGGGGGTGGTGATGAGTTGGGTGACGGCGTGGCCGAGGTACGCGAGGGAACTGGGCATCAAAGTCAGCACCGGGATTGCCGGTAGGGTGGGGAAAGGGGACGTACGTAATGTGGATCTTGTTGTCGAGCGACTTTCGGAAGTATTGGACCTTGTTTGACTTGACGTCGCTGCCCAATGCCCTGAGTCTCATCAGCTGCTGCTTCCACTACGAGCTCGCGTTAGAGACTCACTTGTATGCAAAGAAGAACTTGTCAAAGAGCCCAACCTTGACCTCAGTCACAGGTACCTTGAGCTCCTTAGCCTTCGCGACAACTTCCTCCTTGATGCCAAAGACAGAAAGAGCTGGAACGGCGCGCTCTTTCTCATTCCAGACTGCTCCAAAGTCGGAGGGGAAGAAGGTCTTGAGGGAGGACGAGCCCGCAAGAGCTTGTACGAGGTAAATCTGAGACTTGAGGCCTGCAGAACCGACGGCAGAGCTGGTTTCATCAGTACATATCCACAGTGCAGCGGGAAAGAGCTTACATGACGACTTCGAAGTCCTTTGTGGCATCCTTGATGGCGTCCACCTTGCTCTCCTCAAGGTCGACGACACGCTTGTCAACGTCAGAGGGAAGCTTGGAGGTGTCGCTGCCAGAGCGGTGGAGGACCACGAGCTTGACGTCGCCCTTCTTGTGGGCTTCGTAGAGAGACTTGAAGAGGGCACCGCCGACAGTACCGGTGGGGCCGAGGAGACCGACTGTGACTGGGGACATTGTAGGTAGTGATGGGGATGGGGATGGTGGTGATGATGGGAAGAGGGGCAGTATATATATGTGGGGGATGGTCTAATAGCACCTCATCGCCACCGACCGAGGCGGATGGCCGCCCTGGGAAAGCCCCGGCCGCCGATGATGAGTAAGCATGAGTAAGATGATAATTTACGTAACACCACATGGAGGCTGCTGCCTGCTGCCAGCAACAACAGAGAACAACAAGCGTGCTCGGGCATCCGGCCGCCTCGCGATGATCGAAATGGTTGACAAAGCAGCACTTGATTCTCTGCATCCCGTCGTCTTCCGCCTCGGGGCGGGTATTGCTTCTGAATGTTGTGTCATGTGTAGATAGACGGACGTCGCGACGTATAACACCACGTGGAAGCTGCCTGCCTGTGTTTGGTCCTGGTTTGGTCATCGCTTCGTCCAAGGGCCATCATGTTACCACTGCGTGGAGCTCGACCTGCCCAGTCTGAAGCTGGGGTATCTACTGCGACATGGTGCAGGTTTTGGCTTCCGAGGAGGTGAAACGTCTTATCGCAATCAAGTTCCGAAAAGTGCCATGAGCGATAATAGAAGCTAAGCCTAAGAAAGTTGCATAATGGGAAGCGCAATCACATCGGGTCCGATATCCGCCGGTCAATAAGGGAGAGACGCTGTAACAGCCTCGTTGAACACAGGAATATTATTATTATTCGCCCTCCGCAGCTTTTCTCACCCGCCACGGATCCGCTCCTCAACGGACCTTTGTTCGGGGACAGCGGTCTACGTCGTAATGTGATTTTCTCATCTAAGAACTCTCAAGGGAGTCTTCTGACTGGTATAGGCTCAGCCCGGGAATGCAGTACATAACATGACCACGATTCACCCTTACCGGACTCTTAACCTTCACTTACCGCCACGAGCAGCAAACTCGTACCTTCATTGTACGCCAACATGACTGATCCAAGCGATAGCAATAATCCGTCCGAAATGCCAGAAGGTGTCCAGTTGGATCTGGATCGGGGGGACGGCATTCCTAGAACCTTCAAATGGACTAAGGAGAACTACCCCGCATTCGCCCTCCCCGAAACCCGAAATGGAGGCGCATTACCTGCACCTAGCAAATCTTGATTATCTCAAGAAGGAGCTGGACCACACAGTAGCGACGCTGGACAGACTGTCCCGAAAGGGCCTTTTGGATCCTACCAGAGATTACAGAACTCTCACCAACCGTGCCGCAAAGTCGCTCACAAACGCCGCCGGACGCTTGGTTTCCAAAGATCCAGACGCAGTGCTACACAATGGTCATCGGGAATGGAATGCGGCGGACGCCAGTCGATGGGCGAATCACGTTCACCTGGAAGCCGATGAACTTGAGACACGTGGCCAGATGTACTATGGCAAGAGACCACAAGATGACGAGGACGCGAATGAGGAGGTGATCGCACACATGAACGGAACGATCCAGAAATTGAAAGATCGTCCTACACCACCAGGTACAGATGTATTGCAAGAATTTCTTCAATTGAGGCATGTTTCCGATGGGCTACGAAGCCAGATCATATCCGAGCAGACTTTACCTGTTCTAGTGAACAGGATATACGATGATCTTGCCGTTGCACACCCTCCTAGGGTGAGCGCTGCACCATCCACAAGAAAGAATAAGAATACCATCAAATGGGATCATTCATTCTCAGATATCGAAGGTGCAAGAGCACGACTCAGTGCCTCCAAAAGGTGGCCCGGGGATGTGAGGTCATTCCATAGACTTGAGGCGTCCGTGGACGAATTACATACGGTTCTCTCGGAAGAGCACGAAAAGATGTTCCAACGTCGGCATTATCAGCATCTCTTCAACCACCCTGACGGTGCCAATGTGGAGATGTATAACTCCTCGCGAATCGGGGATCTGGGGGAGCTATTGACAAACAGGATAAAGCACCTTCACGGATCGCTGAATAACTTGAAGGATGGATGGACTCAGGTGACTGGTCATCCCGGAGATTTCTCCGTAGAACTGGGAGACCCGCATGATACTATGGAAGACTCGGGTGAGCATCTCAGCCATCTTTTATTCCATACAGTATTACATGCTGACTGGCAGCATAATCAGGCATTGCCAACTTTGGGATCCCGGGCTATATGATTCTTCATTCCAACGGCTTCGACCGTGTATCACAAAAACTCGACACCCTTGTGGAAGGTTTCAAGTACGAACCGGAGACGACTGTGTTTCGCCCCTCCATCGCCCAATCATACTTGCGTAGTCTGGTTGGCTTGCGAGATCAGGTACATGCTCGTTATGACGACTTCTTGAGGAATTATTCTCGTGGTGGCGATGTACTTGAAGAAGGCGCCGAACGAACAAAGCTGCTCGACAACTTCAATCGCACAACTCGCCAATTGATGGCCTCCAATCGAGATGCCGCTAGAAGCTTGGTCATGAAGAACGACCAAACAAGCAGGATTGAAACCAAATATGATGAGAAGATCGAGAGCTTGGTCCGCAGCCTACATAACAAAGTCAAAGAGGGCCGTGATGAGTATGAAAGGATCCACGACGAGGAAGGTACCAGTCAAAGTCGTGTCGACTCGTATCGAGCCAGCGCAGATTTCTGTGCAGCTGAAGGCTTTCTGAAAGAGCATTACCCCACCGGTAATGATAATAGTAACGCGAAAAGCCAGCAGCAACAGAGACAGCTCGACGTTATCGCCGCCAAGCAATTCCTCGATATGGCTTGGGAAGCCTCAAGAAACACAGAGGAGGAACCGGTCGAAGAGCTTCTTGACGAGATGTCACTTGCGCCCCCCGAACAGGATCGCCCGACGGCGCAGCTAAGTCTTGAGACTGGTCACACCGCAACCTCCGAGCCTTGGAAGTCAGGTAAGAGGCGTTCTCCAACACTTGTGGTAGACATAGATTTCACTAACCTCTTGACAGCGTTCAACTGGGCTGACGATGAGGACGACGAGGAATGGTGGAAAGAGGAGATGAGCAAACTCTCCAAACCCAAGACTGGCCAGTCCAACGAGGATGAGACCCTAGGCGCTCCCTCGACTAGCGGCGAAAGATCAGACGTGTCGGTGCCAGCGACCGAAAGGGCGAATGCGTGGCTTGGTTCTGGTCAGTGGTCAGCCTCCTTCCACAGGAATTCGTGCTGACACCTTACAACAGTTCCGGCTTCCAGGCGTCTCTTTGGTTGATGACGATGAACTCTCATTCATTGCGGGTGGTGTAGCGTGTATGCATAAGTGGTGGACAAGGTTGGCATAGAATGACAAGGTTATAAGAAGAATGCGTGAAAGAGGCGAGCGATAGGTTGACTTTTTTCTACGCTCTATATTTCATATGCGCAACACTTCATCTTGTTTTGGGGCACTGCCATGGCGTGTCAAGTTGAGCCTTCTCCGGCCAAGCCCTGGCCACATCATCTATATTCTCCTACCTTCCATCCTTCGCCTCAGTCCTACCAGGATAACCACCTCTAGATCTCCCTGACTCAACTTCCTTAGAACCACTATTGCAATCGCTGCCGGCAAATTGGCCGAAAGTTCATCATGGACCTCCTCTCTCAATGCAACCTCTAGGGTTGCACCGGCGACCTTTAAAAATACCAAAGTCGAGACATGGGAAACGCAGTCACATATCCAGTTCATTGTCCGCCGGTTGGTGGGAGCGAGATACTGTAGCAGCCGTGCTGGACTTCAGAAGATGATCACCCTTCATGCTCCCCAGCGTTTCCCGCCCTCCAAATATTACCTCCGCATCGACCTTTACTCTGCGTCTGAGACCTAGTACGTGTGAATGTGATTTTCTCATTTGGGAAATCCCAACGTGGAACTCGACCTGCACAATCTGAAGCTGTAGTATCTACTGCGACATGGTGCAGGTTTTGGCTTCCGAGAAGGTTAACCGTCTTATAGCATTCAAGTTCCGAAAAGTGCCATGAGCGATATAGGTAAGTTGATCATGGGAAGCGCAATCACATCGAGTTTGATATCCGCCGGTCAGTGAGAAAGAGACGCTGTAGCAGCCTCGTGGGTGCATGTTGGCTGAGTCTGCTTTCGCTCCGAGATATGTTGATCGGTAAGCATCGAGCACGCTTGTTGGGATCGGGCATCCGGGGTTGAACTGAAAAGTGACTCGCGAGGCGGGAAGCGCCTCGTGATGATCCAGAAGGCAACACCCGTCGTCTTCGGCCTCGGGGCGGGTATCGCTCCTGAATGTTGGCAATTGTACTCTACCGTGTCATGTGAGCCGAAGCCCCTCATTGTGTAGATAGACGGACGTCGCGATCTCGCTGTCATGTTACTCTTCGATTCATATCGTCTTCCATGTCGTATGCGCAAATCGTTTGTAAATGATATATTATAACTTGTTGAATGAATAGCTCGAACCATGCTGATGACCTACGAAATCTGGATAATGATACAACACTCCTACACCCTTTCCGCCCCTCTCGGCGAATTCTCCACATCCCCCGGCCTGCCCGACTCATACTCCCTTTGTTCCGCATGCCCCCTCGCACCGACATCCAACGCGTCCGGTCCCCTCCCCTCCCTATCTCCCCTGATTCCCCGCCGTATGCGGTCCAAATTGACATGGACGACCCCGCCGACGCGCGATTTGGTGCGTTCAAGTTTGGGCGAGTCAGAATCGTCTTCGTCAGAGTCGGCTTGAATTCGGCGGTAGGGGAGGGGAATTTCGCGGGTGACGCGGTAGGCATCAGCGTTACCGAGGTGTTCAGTCTCCACTCGGACTACAGCACCCATCAGTATTTGGCTTTTCATGTTATGAGAGCGACGTACAGAAATTCCACTGCCATCGCCTCACCACTTCTGCCGCAGCAAACACAAAACTCCTCGTCCGTACGTGCCGAGTAGACGCAGGGATGTACCAGATGAAGATGAATCGAAGCAGGACGTTGATAACCATAGCGAGATAGTAGACCTATTCGAATCGTCAGACGAGATTATCAAAGCTGTGGAAATGCACTCACGAAACGTCGACTGTAACCCAGGTCTTTTCGTAAAAACCCTGCTTTCGGTCGCAAGACGCTCCAATCAACGATAAAGTCCTAGAGCAAGTCAGTATGAATCACCCCATAAAGACTTGAGGACGACTCACCCAGCTGCAAGCATAGGTAGCGCTAAAGAACGCAAAGATCACCCAAACAATGAACGACGCATCATTGTTCCGGCTCCCTTGATTCCTCCACCAGACAAAGAGACAGAGCTGCGTCATGACACTAGCATACTTGCCCGCCTACACCTTCACGTCAGTGGCTGTCGCACGATACGATGAAGGGAACGTACGTTGATGAGATGAATGTAGAGTTTCGAGTCGTTATAACGTTTCAAACACTGTATCAGACGAGAAAGCGCAGGTAGGCAGACCATGATGGCGTATGGCCATGATCGGCCCGAGGGACAGACGTTGACGACATCGTCCGGCCAGTGGTTGGCATCTACAGCCTGTCGTCAGTAAATTTGGAGATGATAAGAAGGGTAAAAGGACGTACAGGCACAAGAGAGAAAGTATACGTTTTGGAACGAGTATGTCAGACTGTTGAGCTCATCTGCGAGGAAGAAAGCAATAAACTGGGCGATGTCAGCATTGAGCAGGGGCAGGTACAAAAGGCGAGTTACCTCTACACGGCTGTACCCGGGAGTGATCACTCGGAACAGCACCTGCAGTAACCAGTACCTTGTTTGGCGACGGAAAACGGGCAAGGGGTTAATCCAGAATACCACGAAAAAGATGAGCCACGCTGCCGGCCAAGTCGTTGAAGCGACATTGGAGCTGCCGATACGCGCAAAAGAAAAGTAGAAGCAGTAGCTGAGAGTCAGGAAGAGGAATGAGGGGAGCTGGAAGGTGATTAGAGTATTATCGTGATGGGTGTGACAGACTACGCACCTCAATATATGACCGGTAGTCGATTGTAGGTCTTGTCAGTTCCATGACAAACTACCATACCTGTGAGCTCGCTTCTCGCGCGTTAGGCCATGTACGCCTACCTCGTAATTGATCCTCGCATTCACGTAAGCGAGCAAGTTGACTTCAAAAAGCAGAGCAAAGACCACCGGTAGGTAGAGACCGCCATAGCACACGAGAAGACCTTCCCAGGCGGGAATCGCATCCCGTGTCTCTTGTCGACTGGCTACATGCATGTTAGACCTCGTCACACGAGGGGCGGACGACTCACATTCTACAAGAGCTGCCACAAAGGCAGGCAGTGCTATGCCCATCATGATACCAGATCGGAAAACGCTTTGGTAGTGGGTCTTTTCTCTCTGCTGTCGTCGAAGTTTTTCTCGCGCCTTCTTCGAGTCACCATGCTCTGCCATGTGGTCAGCGATGGGGCATATATGGAGGGGGATAGCGTACCAAAGTGGATTGTGTAGAGCTCCTCAACTTGCTTGAGAATATCGTCTATAGCTTCGCTCTTGGAGAATGTACACCTGGAGATGTGCTCGTCCGTGTAAAGCTCGAGAGACTCGATCTAGACGGCGGTTAGCAAAAGCACTGGTTTATCATACCGTTATTCACTTTGGTGGTCTTTTCAAATTTCTTGAGGGCTTTACGGAACCCAGTAAGATTCAAAATCTGAAGAACATCAGCTGAATCCGACACATCAACCCATCAACTCACCCGGTAGTTTTTGATCAGCTCCAACTGTCGATAAAACTCCATCACGGCATTCCTTAAATCTTTCTTATACTTCTGATATCTCTCCGGACTATACGTATTATGGTCCTTGTCCGCCTCCATCGCTTCTCTCAAACTCTGCCTCTCATGCTCGCTCATGATCGGGCTACCTGATCTCGAGATCGCAGGCGTCTTGGCACCGTTTGTCTTGCTATCGGGCACCGCAAGGGACTCGCGATCCTCAAAAGCATACTTGATGCGATTACGGATCTTGCTAAGCGCTGGAGCCCTGCGTTGCGCACCAGTAGGGAGTATGCGCCCAACGCGCGCTTCCCACTCCGGCATGCCTTCGGGGTAGAGCTCGTGATACAGCTTCCGATGCTCTGCCAGCTCTCGCAATTGTATCCTTAGATCATGAGCGCGCTTGATGGCTTCTGATTCTCTCGCGACGTAAAACTTTTCTACCTTGTCGAGCTCGCGATGGAGAAGGTCGAAGAATGCTTTTTCGTCTTCTTCACATCGGTCGTAGAGGTCTTCGAAAGTGTCAATTGGCTTGACGGGGGTTGTGGCTCCAGGAGGACGCATCTGGCTGAGGGCAGGGGAGGGGAGGGTCATGGAGCCTGTCTTGCGTCAGAGTGGCACTCCTTTCTTGCGAGGACTTACGAAGACTTCTCGGCTGACTCCCAGGGCTCTTCCCTCGTGCACTCTCCGCCCTAATACTGGACAACCTCGGCGTGAACAGCGCCTTGGGACTCTTCCCAATCATCCTGGGACTAGGAGCAGACTTGTCACTCTTCAATATCAGATCCGCCGGCCGTCTCGTCAACGGTTCGGCCGCATCACTCTTTCTCGCGCTCTCGTTGCTTGCCGGGGAAGTTTCAGACGCCTCGGCGACCTCATCTATCCGTTGTTCAACGATCTCCTCTTGTGTGGGACTGAAGGCTACGCCTTTTCGATGAGCATGATCGTGTTCTTTTTGGTCGGTGGTGACTGTAAGACGTGGAGGGACGCCAGGGGAAGCGGGAACATCGTCGTCTTCGACGCCCGGCGCGCCTAGATCAAGCGGGGGAGGGATGTTTGATAGTGATTGGGGAGGGTAGGGAGACTGGGGATGATGCGAGTCGTCGGTTGAGCCATAATGCGGTGATCGACCGAGCGATGGGGACGGACGGGACTGTAAATTGATCAGCCGACAATCACAAATTCCAAATGTATTTCTGGACCCACTGTATTTCTGCCCAACCGAGGAGTACTCGTAGTATTCATTCTACTTCTGAGAGATCCTGATCCTCCGTGCGGCCCATTGATAATCTCTGGCGTCTTTTTGGGAGGCGCGGACGGGCCATAATCGTCATCTGGCCCCGAGCTGTCGCCTTGATCGCCTTCGCCCTCCTCTTTGATATGGCCCATACGGGCGGCAACAACCTTGATGGATTTCTTGCATGCTCGATAGTCGATATATGCTCGCTTCCACTCGGGAGTGAGGTTCTCTTGGAGATACCTGGAGAAAGTCTCATGAGCCATTCTGTGACTGTTTTGTGTGTTTACCGACTTACCTGCCGAATTTCATGATTATTATAAGCAGGCGTGTGCTCGCATGCCTGACTTTTAGAACGTTCTGCGGGAAGTGGATATGGACGTCGGGTGCTCTGTGGTGAAAAGAAAAGAGAAATGCAAAGACAAAGGACGATAAGAAACGTTCGCGATGGCTTCTACGAAAACAAACCCCGATGACGCGGCGGAGACCGCCGCAGGCACACGACCCGTGGTGGCCCGCTTTTTCGATCCGCGTCGGCGAGTCCGAGATAAAAACCGTCAAAAGATCTCGCGAAGGCATCTCGAAAGGTGAAAAGAACACTCACGAATCCCGCGACTGCGAATATATCCGCGAGATGTCGCTGAAGCAACCCGCCCACGTGCTGGAAGGCTCGTACGAACTCAAAGATCGCTCGAAGGCGCCACTCGATACGCTCGACTATAGTCCTCCAAGGTACGATGAGGAATCGGGGACACGAAGGCGGCGACCAGAGCAAGGAGGCGTTGTGGGAATGGCCAAGAGGACAATGGATATCTTGGTGGAGCATGGTGTGGAAGAGCGAGGCATTGAGCCAAGGCCTGAACATGTGAGTGGATACGGTCGATGAGAGGATCTTGCTGACACCAAGCCAGGATCGAGACGAGCTCAACATCTGGTCGTATCTCCCCCAAAGCACGCTCTGGGCTGCATGGAATACCAACATTCTATCCTTCTCGGAAGGTGTGATCGGGCCTTCTCTGTTCGGCCTCGATTGGAAGACATGTGTCCTCTGCATCGTGTTCTTTACGGCTGGATCGGCGCTGTCGGTGGCGTATTGCGGCACCAATGGTCCCAAGACGGGTATGAGGCAGATGGTTCAGGCGAGATACGGCTTGGGGTGAGTGAATTCGCGATTAGATAAGCTTTGCTGACCGTGAATAGCTATGGCCTAGCGCTGGTCTTTGGCTTGCTAAACTGCGCGACCATGATCGGGTTCATGGCTCTGACTGCTATCCTCGCCGGACAGTGCTTATCTCTCGCATCAAGCTCCAACATGAGCGTCGATGTAGGAATCGTCATTGCCGCTTTGATTGCGCTTATCGTAAGTAATATTCTTCCATGCATGACTCGACTAACTCTCGCAGCTCTCATTTGTGGGGCTGAAGGCGCTGCACATTGTCTCTCTCACCTCATTCCCCATCATGATCATCGTCTTTATCGCCCTCGCCGGCGTCGTCGGTGACAAGTTTCACTATGTCACTGCCGAAGCTGCCAAGGCTGCGACTGGCGTGAGCACTAGCGGGGTTCTAGGGTACGCAGCGAGTCAAATCGGTTTCACCATCAGTTACACCTCTCTCGCCAGTGACTTTGTAAGCCAACTTCTCCTTTATCTCTCCATCACTAACACGATACAGACCACCAACCTCCCCGCCCACACTCCCCGCTGGAAACTCTTCCTCTTCCTCTACATCGGCCTCTTCACCCCCATGGTCCTCGTCCAGCTCCTCGGCGCCGCCTGCCAGCTCGCAGCATACTCCATCCCCGACTGGTCCTCCGCCTCCTCCCTCGGCGTGCCCAACCTCATCTTCGCCATCATGGGCAACGGCAACGCCGCCTCGCGCTTCGTCATGATCCTCTTCTGCCTCAGCGTCGTCGCCAACACGGCGCCCACAATCTACAGCGCGGGGCTGAGCGGCCAAGTCGCCATCCCCTGGCTGTTCCGCGTCCCGCGCTACTTTCTCGCATTGGTCGTCTCGGCGATATACCTCCCGATCGCCATCGTCGGCGCCTCCAAATTCTACACCGCGCTCGAAAACTTTACCTCCGTCCTCTCGTACTGGACGGCGCTCTACGTGCCGCCCACCCTGCTCGAACCGCTCCTGTTCAGGACGCCAGTGAGCAGGGTGACGTATCCGGTGGAGATTTGGGATAAAGTGGGGAGGCTGCCGATTGGGATAGCGGCGTTTGTGGCGGCGGCTTGTGGGATTCCGTTGGTAGCTGCTGGGATGGCACAGACGTGGTGGACTGGGTGGCTTGCCAGGAAGATTGAGGGGACGTGAGTCATTCATTTGGTTCAACTTGTTTTACGCTGATTTGGCTGTGTAGCGGTGATATCGCGTTCGAGATCGGTTTCGTCGTGGTCGGGCTCATATACATCCCTGCTCGTTACCTCGAAAAGAAGTATACCGGCAGATAAGTAGATTGTAAAGAACAGTAGATATCAGAAAAGGTGTTTAGGTCTATGAGGGTGCTACAATAGAATCTCGCGTTGTACTTCAACTGTCTGCAATGCATTGCTTATCAAATGACCGCCGGTCTCACTGTACACATATCCATATGAGTTCAGGTATACGATACAGTGTACTCAATATAATATCTATGCTACACTCTCAGCACCATCCGGCACTTCCTCACGCTCACCCTCCTTCTTCTGCTCTGGTACACCCTCCTTCACCCTAACAAGTCCATTCTTCTTCAAATATTCTCTATACACTTTCATAGCCCCCGGCATATCCTTCTCCAACGCCTATTCCATCCATCCATCAGCCCATACCCTATCCCCACCCTCCCCGCTGAAAACAAAAAGAAGAGAAGGAGACGTACCTCATGCCTAACATCACTAGTCGGATGCGTCCTCAACATCGAAAACCGATTCTCCATACTCCCCATCTGTCCACTCGCGGCGGCATCTTCCTCGACGCAGCGCATGAGTTGCCAGAGATCTTGGGCTGCGCGGGGGTTGTAGCCTGCTGAGGCCATTATCTGTGTTTCTGTTGTTAGTGCTGGACATTACAGATGGTAGGGTGGTAGGATGGGGAGGAGGTAAGGGAAGGGAGGAGGAAGGGGGAAAGAAGGAGGAGGAGGAGGGAAGGGAAAGGGGAAAGAAGGGAGAAGCGAGAAGGACGTACTTGAAGACCAACAGCATCGGCTTCCATCTCCAATTTCCTCGAATAAGCGCGTTCCGTCAACACGGTATTGATATAGTTGATAAACATCCCGGCTGAATCTGTTATACTACCCCATAAACCATCAGCTCCATTCCCATTCCACACGCTTCAGATGAATAGAGGATGATGGAAGACTTACAAAGGAAACGAAATAGTAAAAGCAAACGTAAACCCCCTCACCACATCAAACAAGACCGTAGCGATATTCATGAACCCGAGATTTTCGACGCTGTGCCGTTGGATGACGTGCGCGAGTTCGTGTGCGATGCTGGCGGCGAGGATGGTGTCGTCGTCGGGGGGGAGGGTGTGGAGGAGGCCGGTGTAGATGAATATGTCTTTGCTGGGGAGGGCGAAGGCGTTTATGTCTGGCTATTTTCCCCCCGTTTTTTGTTAGTCCACCTCCGAATCTCATCCACATGAAGAAGAAAGGATGTAGCTCACAGAGTCGATGACATACAACCTCCAATCCCCACTCTCCACCTTCTTCAACGGATTCCTGCTCTCCGGCCTATACGGCAAATACCCACTCCTCGCCGTCCCGCTCGGCTCATACCACCGATCCCCCCCTCCTCCTTCTGCCCCCCCAGAAAGCATGGCTTCCCTCTGCGACATGACCCTCGACAACTCCTGCGACGCCGGCGGCCAGTTCGCGCCGCACACTATATGCCGGTCCTGTTCTTCTAGGGCGGTGATGAGCCGCGCGGTTATGCGGGATACTTTTTGGGAGCGGGGGTCGGAGGGGGGGAGGAGGTTGGGGCCGTCTTGTTTTAGGATGTCTTTTTGCCTGCGTGCGCTCTGTATCAGCTTGGCGCGAGAAGGGGAGGAGATGGAAGGTGGGGAGAGGGGAGAGGGAAGGGGAAGGGAGCGTACTTGCGTCGAGACCACGCCATCTCCTCGTGCTCTCCCATCAACAGCAGCCTCCATCGCCCAGTCCTTGGACTTTGGTCCAGCCCTATAGCTAGGATCACGCACAATGCGAATATCTACAACACCCATCAGCTTCCCCCTTCTTCCTGGTGCATGAACAAGACATACGGGTATTTGGAGAAACAAGATGGACAGTCTTTTGTATTTCCTCCATATCCTATTCAGATCCATCAGCAGATGATGAGGCAGGTATGAAAAGGACTCACTTGTATCGGATGATGAAAGGAAAGAACAACAAGCTGAACCGCGTGATATTCAGCAAAGCACCTTTGAGAGCCGGGAGAGAGACGAAGAGGATATCATCTCTTCTTGGAGAGGGATGGAATTGTCTAGTTTGGGGAATAAGAGGTGGTTTGGGTAGCGTTCTGGCTCTGAGGGTAGGTCGGAGTGGTGAAGGAAAGGAGCGTAGATTGGAGGGGGCAGGCCGGACGACGGGGTGGAGGGCTTGGCGAGGGGGGAGCGTCCGGCGGGCCATGGAGCGTAGCATGGTCCTTATCTCTCTGGATGAGACCCCTGGATGAGAGAGGCAGTTTGTAAAGACAAGTCAAAAGACAGTCAGACAGATTCTTCAGAAAACGTGGACAGGTCAGTGATGTCATCGGATCTGTGCTTCGTCTTGTTTGGTTCGTCTATACGTGCTACGTGCTCTTTGAGCTCTCGTCTTGCGTGCACAAGGCATGACTCGACGTATCGTCCCCTTTATCTAGAAGCGTGTCAATCGCAAAGCATTGCATATGAGCTCGTTCCATCGAGTCTTGCAGAGCGTATCCGAACGACCATCGCGTAAGAGTGTGATGACGGTCTGTGAACATGGCCACCCCCCTTGACAGCTCTCACCCCCTGTCAGCCTTGCTATATACCCCTGGATCCCGTCCATGAACACCCTCTTGTTCAGTGGGACTGGGATGGAAGACCGTCGGGCGTACGTAATCACTCGCCGGCTATCCGCTCGATCCGAGGATTCAGGATTGTGGACCTCTGGCAGACACAAGGCAGACAGTGTGGGTGTGTCCATCATCCCCCCTCTGCTATTTCTATCCCATCTCTCATCCACATCTCATCCTCTTTTCATCCACATCTCCTTCCATCCAAACCATGTCAGACAGAGCAGCAGTACGTCCCAAGCCATCCACCATGCCATCCACCCGCCCCATACAGTATCTCCTCGCACAGAGTACTGACCAAGACGCATTCACCCCCCTGCAGAAAAAAGCCGCCCTCGCAGCCCAATCCGCCGAATCTATCCACCTCCGTGCCCAAGTCCTCGACTCTGTCCGTTCCAGGGCCGACCATATCCCTGAGGGCGGCTCGGGGAAATTGGAGGGGAAAGTGGGGGCTATTACGGGTGTTGGGCCTGAGAGTGGTATTGGCGTGAGTACTACATCTTGGAAGGGGAAGGGCAGCTGATGGTGGGGTGTAGACGGCTGCTGCAAAGCTCTTTGCCCGTGAAGGTGAGTCCACATTGTATAGGGTGTGTACCAAACACTGAATGGATTTGACCAGGCGCCGCACACATCTACCTAATCGACTACACCTCCACCCCCCTCCCCTCCCTCCTCTCGTCCCTGACCACCACCTACCCCCTTACCAAATTCACATTCCTCCAAGCCGACGCCGCCGACCCCACCGCCATCTCCTCCCTCATCAACCAAGCTCTCTCCGAGGAAGGCCGGTTCGACTTTTTCTTTGCGAATGCTGGCGTGTCGCAGATTGCCAAATTCGAGGAGGGGAAGAATGGGAGTTTGATGAGTTTTATTAGGCCGGTGGAAGCTGTGGAGGAGGCAGAGTTTGACGAGGTTATGCGGATTAATGCGCTGGGGTGAGTTCTTTTTCACGCGGTCGCGTTGTGCGGTGCTGATGGTGGGATGGGAAGAGCGTTTGTAGCGATCAAGTATGCTGCGGGCGCCATGTCCAAGCTCTGTCCTGAAAAAGGCAAGACCATCCCTGGCGGGTCTATCGTCCTCACCGCTTCCGGTACGCCCCCCCCCCCCCCTCCCCAAGACCCAACTGACAGTTTTGGTGAAACAGTGGCAGGCCTCAAAGCCAACGCAGGCCCTATCCCATACTCTGCCGCCAAAGCCGCCGTCATCTCCATGGCCCAGACCTCTGCTTTCGCTTTTACGGGCTTGAATATACGCGTGAATGCGGTTTGTCCTGGGTTAATTGAGGTGCGTCACTCTTCTTCTTCCCTCCCTCCTCCCTCCTCCCTCTTGTCTCCTTGTCTTCTTGTCTTCGGGCTATTTGCTTTCGGCATGGTGTTAGAAAAAGGCTGACAACCGTGGGGGGTAATAACAGACAAACATGACCAAGAGCCTATTCGAGCTCGCCAAAGCCAACCAGACCACCAACAGGATCGGCGTGCTCAACCCCACCTTGCGCCAGGGGCTTGGGTTTGAAGTGGCGCAAACGGCATTGTTTCTCGTTTCTGGTGAGCCCCCCTTTCTCTCTCCCCTTTCTCTCTCCCCTTTCTCTCTCCCCTTTCTCTCTCCCCTTTCTCTCTCCCCTTTCTCTCTCCCCTTTCTCTCTCCCCTTTCTCTCTCTCCCTTCCTCCTCCCTTCTGTTCTGCTTCGAATCCTCGTGTCGCTCAAGCCTTGTTTAATACAAGGCCAAGGGGCAAGGGGCAAAAAGACAAAGAAGCTGATATACTCAAAACAGACGACTCGTCGTACGTGAACGGCCAAGCCATCCCCGTCGACGGCGGGCTCAGCGCCGGTGTGCCGTATGTCCGGAACAAAATCTAGTCTTCTAGTCTTCAAAAGTCCATCCATCTTCATTGCCCCCCGTCCCCGCCGTCTTCGGATTGTGCTTGAGTAACAAGTGTCTCAAAATCGTGGTCTTGTCTTGTCTTGCATGGGTGCAACTTTCACCCACCATTGTCTTTTTTTCTTGTATACCCAGATACCCATATGCCGTACAATTCGCCTGTTTGACCCCTGTGATAAACGTACAAAGTTTCTCTCCTCCTGTGATACATATGGGCGTGTGGTCGATAAAACCTGCTGTCTGTGGAAATGTATTACTCCAACTCTCACTCTACTCTTGCCCACTACTATCCTCTACTCTATTCTCCTCTTACCACCTGCTATCCGGTGGCTTCGTTGCCTATCAAAAAGCTGAAGCACCAAGTAGATGCTAAGAAGTAGTGTTGCCATCGGTGTTGGAGTTGGAGTTCAGTAGCCTTTTCGTACGCTTCGCCGGTCGACCCGTATCCTTATACGCTTCGTGACGTAGTCGTAACACATAGTCGTTCCGTCTATCATCTCGTCACTTGATTCATGTATATAAGAAAGGCTGGGTGTGGGGACAGAGACCTCAACAACTCTTTGACTCTCTTCTCTCCCCTCCTCTTCTTCCCTTAACCTCTACTCCTCTTCCAAGACCACATCCAAGCACACCTGTGCCTTCCTCTTCACGTACTTGGACTAAACCTTTGATTTCACGTGGTGATGGTTTCAGCTGTCACCCCCAGAGCAGGCCTGGTCACTGTTGTCATCCAACTTGTTCTTTCCGCCCAAAGATCTGCCCTTAACCCGGCAGCCGTTCAGAGTGTTTCTTCCCCCACCCCGTCACCATGACACCACTCTGTTCGGTCACCCACGATCTTGGTTAGACGACTTGAACCTCCATCGCTTTTGCTGCTTTCGCAATTGCAACCCAACCTACCTGAGTCACATCTTAGCGTGGACGCTCAGTTTAGACCAGGAGTAGTGTAAGGTCAGTAGGAGATGTAGTGACATGGACATTGTAGAGCAGAGTCTGGTATCAGGGTTGCCACTAGCTATGTTCTCAGGGACGAGTTAGGCGCGGAGGCGAAGAGGAGGCTCCCAGTACATACTTGTAAATCGTGCCGCGTCTTTGTATCCATTTTCCTTACCGCTGTATTCTCGTATTAACCTCATCACCTATATACATCTTTCACCTATCCAGGCTATCCCAAATCGACATCTGGCACCCGTTTACGCCTCGCCTATCCGACCCTTTACACGTCAGTCTCGTGATAGGTCAACTTTAGCCTTACACCCACCCAAGCCTTTTATCAAAAACGTGGCGGCCCACAGGATGTTGAAGATCGACCAGCACAAGGACCACCGTTGCACCCAGAAAAACGGAAGCGGGTGAGCCCCTATGGCCCAATTGGTGAACAACCATTTGATGTTAACTGATGGGAGCACGCTGACCACCACGCCGGTGACGGTTCACCCCAGCGTCTTCCCGTGTGGCCAGCCTCTTTTCAGAAACGCGCGCCATCAGCCTTATCGTGGGAAAGGGGGGGAAGGTGTTACCCGACAAGATAGACTACCACTGATAGGATGAAGACGAATATGGGAATGATGACTAATGTTTGTGTCAGGTCTCGCAAATGGTGAAGAATGTACACCCAGAGAACGTACCCGTGGGGCAAGCATGAGGAAGCGCGAGAGAGTGGCGGGGGGGATGACATCGTCAAGGGTTATGTATTGTGATGGGTGTGTGAGAAAAGATGGGAAGAGAGAAACACGTTGGAGCGTTGTTTGGGGCGGTCTGTGCAGATCATCATCGGCACACTCCGCTTTACCTCCATCAACCATATCATTACCTCCTTACCCGTCGCTGCTGCCTGTTGGGGTTCTCGAATGCATGGTCATGGGATATATACCATTGAACGCTCTATAGCGGGATGCTCTATAGCGGGTGCCACAGTGACAGTGCGCCGTCTTGACACTGACGCGCGCTCATCATTCAACATGGCGCTTACGGAAATGTCACTGGCATCGTTCCGCCGCCACGCGTACTCCAGCCTGAAGTTTGCATGCGTATGATGATACATATATATCCATAAACCAAGTGTAAAAATCGTACCCACACACGTCCCTAATATGCCGGATATCCACTTCCTTTGCCCCTCTCCATGCCCCATGCCCCATGCCCCATACGAGTCCAAAAACAGAAAGGCCATTCGGTGAGAAAAAGGTCTGGTCTGAAAGGAAACCATGAAATTGAATGCCTTACGATTGTACGATTTCATAAGAAACAAACACACACACACAAATATATTAGAATTGTAAAGAATGAGAAAAGGGCATAAAGAGAAGAGAAGGAGAACAGGGGGTATATATATATCAAAATGCTAAAACTGCTTTTTTTGGAGCAAGTCGTCAAGTCCGAGAGATACGACCCAAAACATGTCATTGAACTTTTTGAGGGAGATGACTGGTGGAGAACAAAAAAGGGGGAGAATCGTATGCAGGAATATGAATTACTATGCTACCGCTGTCAGAGAACGGAGGAGGAGGGGCAAGTCTGTACACTTTTTCTTGGCCGCTGGGTGTGGGAAGATGTTGAGGGCGGGGGTATGTTCGCGCAAACCTGAGGTATATTCTCTCTACTCTTCTATACACCCCTTACACTCACACCCTCCCATCCAGCACCCCCCTAACATCCTCCACCCCCGACAAATCCGCCAAAAACGGCACCAAATCCGTCAGCTCACTATCATGCGGATCGCTAAACCACGTCGACACCGGCACCGCATTGTTCGGGTGGAAAATGTAGGACGCGGGCGAGTTGTCGATGATGATGGAGGTGTGGATGTCGCGCCCGAGCTGGGAGAGGTCTTTGACGTAGTTGCCTTTGTGGTTGTAGCAGGATTCGCGGAAGAGGCGGTGGGAGACGACGCCGTGGGGGTCGAGCATGTCGAGGACTGGGTCGGCGTACTAGAGTCAAGTCAGCGTGGGGCCTCCTCGTCAACGGGTGGTGGAAATGGGGGACGCACTTTGGAGAGACTGGCGGTAAAGACCACAATCTCATAATACCTTGCCATCTCTGTCAAAAACCGGTCCACGCCCGGCCGCTTGATGACATAGACATTATGCACCTGGCTCTCAATCTCGACAGGGACGATATAGTCTGCCGCGGGAAGTTGCTGGTTTTCGCCCTTCAGCACGAGTAATCAACATGCCATAATGCACATGGAAGGGGAATTGAGGGGACATACCTTGAAGCTGGAGTGGAGGAGGGTTTCGTCCAGGTCGAGGACGAGACATTTCCGGCCGCGGTGTTTGGCTGCGAGGGGAGGTAATAAGGGGCAAGGTGTGCCGTTCTATGAAACCAATCAGCCCAAGTGCTCGAGCCCATGAGGTGTTAACGCACCTCATCAGTAGGGATCCCCATTCCACCCTGTTCAATCAACCGATCCTCCTCATCATCATAATCCAAATACTCCTCCCCGCCCACATCATCCTCCCTCTCCCCCGTGCCTGTGGTATCATCGACAACATCCGTATTGCTGATATCCGAGTATCCCCCGCTGGTCGTCGTTTGCTCGGCAGTGTTGGTGGCGAGGTCGGGGTTGGATTCGCGGTGGGATACTTGGCGGGAGGGGGTACCGAGGAGGAGGGAGGAGCCGCTGCCGGGGGGTTGGACGGCGGAACTTGTCAGTCCGGCGGTCTGTGGTCGTCAGCGTTACTTGTTTTTTTTTTTGGATGGATGTTTAGGCGACTGACCTCGTCTTCTGGGAGAGTATGCGGTTCGGTAGGGGGCACGATCACTTGTTTATCCTTCCCATCCCCTGCCAACGTCGCACCCGTCTCCCCCTTACCCGGGGTAGGGGCTACATCCTTCTTGTTGACATCCGGCGCGCCGTTGGCGACCGGCTTGGACCCTCCGCTCGTCGCATCCGCCTTGGCCTTCTGCCCCGCAGCTTCAGCGGCTGCCGTCTTCTTCGGCCCACCACCAGCCGCAGCAGCAACAGAGGAAGAAGAAGCAGCAGGCGCCTTGGACGGCTCATCTTCAAAGTCTTCTGCCGACAAACATCCAAAGGAAAGTAGGAGGCCCGCGATACCCTTCCGCTTGCGTTTCTTCTTCTGGCCTGCGGTGGTTGGGGGTTGCTTGGATGCGGGTGGGGCGGGCTTGGTGGATGAGGAGGGGGTGGCAGTGGAAGTGGTGGCAGGGGCAGGGGCGGAGGGGGACGGTTTGGATGATGAAGCTGAAGCTTCAGCTGCAGGCGCGGGGGTTGTTTGGGCAGCGGTTTTAGGGGCAGGGCCCTTGCTCTCGCTCTCTGGCATACCGGCGCTCTTGTCTGCGGCCGTAGCGGTCGTCGGGGATGTTTCTTGGGGAGGTTGTGGAGAGGCAGATGCAGGAGAAGATGTGGAATCGAACGGGGACTTGGGACTGTCACTCTGTGTGTCTGCCCCGTTGGATGATGGAAGGACCGTGCGCTCGTCGGTAACCGCGGGCTGGGTGGGTATGGGCGGGGCGAGGGATGCCATGGATGCCACGTGGGGGGGATGAGAAGAAGGAGAGGGAGGATGGAAGGGAGATGGAAGAAGGGAGGATGCTTTGTGGCCTCGCATCTCAGGGAACGCGAATTGCCGCAACGGGTAATTTTGCGAGTGTAAACAATCCTCGGCTGTTAGGGCCCTAGGGGGGCTATAGACACTTAGAGGCGCCGGCTTCTGCAGGGGGTGCATCTGGACATGCATAGGGCACTTGCCAACAGCATGGCCAGCCTGTAAGAGTCCAGTACATGAATGCATGCAGGTACAGATCGCATCTCATGTTTGTACTCGCTTCAAGATAGATGTCATGTTGCAGATCAAAGTGGTACACAAACGTATGCATGATGGAGAGATATGTAAAGGGACAGGAGATGGATATGGAAACTGAGAACGAGCCCGAAAACACCTAATGGAACTGCTTCTTGCGCTTGTCGATAGCCGCACGAAGCCTGATCTGCTTGTCCCGCAAAGACGCCTTCTTCTTCTGCATGACCTTGTCGGAGCTACAATCCCCGTCAGCCTCTCATCACCCAAAGACAAAGAAACAGAACCCACTGGATAGCCATCATCAACGGCTTATTCTTCGCCTTCTCCTTATTCGTCGAACTGCTCGGCGCATCCTTTTTCTTCTTCCCCTTCATACTCCCATACTTTTCTCTCCCCTCCCGTCCCTTCTGGATACTCTCCATCCTCTCCTCCCACGTCGCCTTCGCCTTCTTCCTCGGGCCGAGAATGTCCGCGTCCGTGAGGAAGCGGTCCGACTCGTCGTTGTCAACGTGGCGCTTGGAGGCTTCGAGCGCCGCGAGCTTGCGCTTGGCGGCGGAGCCGCCCCCGGAGGCGGCGAGGTCTTTGGCGGCTTTGAGGCGGAGTTCGTTGAGAAGCGCAAAGTCGGCGGGGGTGAGGATCTTTTGTTGCGCCAAGAGCGACAGTTTCTTGGTCCCTTGCGAGACCTCTGTCGGCGCCACCGACGCCCCATCATCCATCTCTTCATCCTCTCCCTCTCCCTCTCCCTCTACCTCTCCCTCATCCCCACTCTCCCTCTCCTCCTTCTTCAGCCCCTTGCGCTGCAACCGCTTCTTCTCCCTCTTCTCCCTCTTGTCCCTCTTCCGATCCGTCTCATCCTCCGAATCACTGATATCCAAATCCTCATCCCCACTACTCACGCTCTGCCACCCAGACGAATCGGAATCGGAATCGCTCTCGGCTTCCCACTTGTCCCACCCTGCTTCGTCGGCTTCGTCCACCACATCCTGCATGTCAACGTCAGAGCCTGCGAGGGAATCTTCGTCGTCGGAGCCGGCAGCGGCTTTGCGTTGTTGGCGGAGGTGGGCTTCGAGCAGCTCGATACCTTCGATACCGGAGGGTGTTTCGGCGGTGTGGCCGTAGGCGAGGACTTGGTTCCCGATAAGACCCATGGCCGCTGCTTTTCCCTATCCCCTCGTCAGCTTCAGCCCAATCAAACGGAAAAGTAGACTTACGCGTTCACGCCTCTTGAGCATGCCCGGGTTGACTTCTCTGAACAACTGCAAAAGACCTCTCGAGGCGGTGACCACGCCCTTATCCTTACTCTTCCTATACTCAATCAGATCCCCAAGCAAATCCTCTTCCATCCCCCAAGGCTGCCTCCTACAAACCTCCCTGATCGCATTCAACCCCGCCGCAATCACCTCCGCCCCGACACCCGGGTGCACAAACTCGCCCGCAATCTTTTTGATCGCCGGCGTGAGGACGTCGGGCGGGGTGAGGTCGTGTACGGACTGGGCGAGGGAGACGAGGATGAGCGTGACTTGGAGTTGGTGGTAGGTGAGGTATTTGATGATGTAGGAGTAGAAGCCGAGGATGCAGAGTTTGTGGGAGCCCATGACGCGGGAGAGGAGCTGCATGATGAGGATTTTGTGGTCGAGAGAGTAGATCTTGTCTGTCGAAAACGAGTCAGCGTGGGCTCACGAGAGAGTGCAAGGACGAACCGTGTTTGTGGAGATTGTCGTACAGTTTCTCGCCGAATGTCTGAGGGTCGTGCAAGAGCTCCAAAGCGGGAAAGTTGGGCGTAACACCAGCCATGTCGACCTTCTTCTTCCTGATCCTGTTCTCCTCCTTCTTCAACCCCTCCAACTGCGTCACCTTCTTCCTATTCTTATGCCCCACCTGCGCCCTGTGCTCCATCTTTCTCACATCCCGCCTGGCATCCGCCACGTCCGGCTCGTCGTCCGAGTCGTCTTCATCCTCATTCTCCGACCCGAGGAAAAAGTGCATCGCCGCGGACTGCACCTTGGTATTCGGATGGAACGTCGCAAGCGCCACAATCGACACCGTCTTTGCGTCTTTCCAAATCCCCTTCCTCCAAAGCTCCTTCACCATCATCACAGCCCACATCGCCTCCCCGCCCTTCTCCCGCCCCTTCCCCTTGGCGCTGTGCCGCCCCTTGTCACCGACGACCTCGGCGCCCATGCCCGACTCGATCATGCCAAAGAGGAGGGACTGGACGACGCGGTTCAGGCGGTGATTTTTGGTTTTGAGGTTGGAGGTTTTGATGTCGGTGAGGATGGTGTGGCGGATCATGCCGCGGAGGTTTGAGGGGACTGTGGGGAGCAGGGGGAGGAGCGTTTGGAGCAGCCTTCGAGAGTCAGCTGTGGACTTGAAGGATAAGGGGGGGAGAAGAAGCGTACTGGATGGAATCGATAATCTCCTTATTCCTCATCATGACCAAATTCTTCACCGCCGTCCTTCTCAGATCCCCGCCCACCGCCGCACTCCCGCTCTCCCCGCCCAACAACAGCCCACTCAGCTGTGCCGGCAGATCCTTCGTATCCTCGGGATAACACTGCGACACCTGGCAACAAAAGGTAATGAGGTCGGCAAAGAGGTCGTTGGACTTGTCGTTGGCAGACGATGAGGAGGCGGAGGGGGCGGAGGAGGAGGAGAGGGTGTGGAGGCGGAGGAGGGAGAGGTAGTGGTTGTGCTGGGTGAGGAATTCTTCGCGGTAGCCTTCGGGGTCGCGCTTGATGAGGTTCTGGAGCTGGGGGAGGTTGGAGGTGAGGAGGATTCCCCTCGAGGCACGGGACTTGGGCATGCTGAGGGCAAGCTGGAGAGAGTGAGTGAACGGGGGACATCTTTCAAAATTTCAGAAATGTAAATACTGCAGACAGGGGGTTACGTAACACCAAATCAATGTTGTACACCTCGAAACAGGCACGTATTCTTGCCATAGGAGTTTACATTCTTTCATCCAACTAACCAAAGCCATCGTACAGTTACTAATTCCACCGACTCTGGAAATACAACTAGTATGGGGGGGAAAAAGGGCAACCCAGCAGAGAGAACACCGTCGACGGGGATTAGCCTGCCCGTTGATGTGAATGAAGTGTCGTCTGGTCCACCCCGTGCGGTCAGTCGTAATACAATCGCATGCACGTGGCGAGATACTTGCCAGAGACGAGGAAGAGCGATGCATGACCAGCTTCCATGGCGCAACCACTAACGGAGAGAGTGGGGTTTAGGATCGGCTGTCGTCAGCCTTGTTATGGTGGGGAGCGGTCCCCGCCTTGTCCTCGGCCCACGTTTGTCTTACTGCCAAAAAGTCATATTTTCTCTATGTGCTTACTCTTCAAGGACAGTCGGTTCAAAGGAAAAAGGGATATACTCACTTCGATCAAGCCAGGGCGAATGGCATTTCACGCGAATATCTTAGCCCGGTCAAAACCAATGCCGAAGGTTTGTGCCTTCAAGATCACAGAGGCTGTGGCGGCAGAGTTGGCCATGGTGCTGCCATTGCGTTAAGGGCCCGCAACAATTAAAATCACGAATATCAGCCACAATTGCCCTCCACGGCAACAAGGTTGAGGGGTACCAGAGGTGGCGGTGAGGACGCTCGAACCCTCCGCGGACGGTCTTGCCTTTCACCGGGCAGGCAGAGCTGGTTCATCGCTGCAGAGGCGTATTTGATGACAATATAAGGCCTGCCCCCTTATCCATCAGCTACCATCCTGCTTCCCTTATATAGCTGCCAAAGACGCACGCCAGAGCAATGATCCTGAAAATCTCACAAACTTCATCCTCCCCAATCTCCCCCAACGCCGGCCCTCCCAAACTCCTCGCGCTCCCCATCTTTATCGTTGCCCAACTTCGGATCAACAACCTGCAACGTGCCAGCATTTGCAAAGCAAAAAGTCCAGCCTCCCTTCTTCCTCCAGTACTGCGTTGATGATGGACCAGATGGCGAGAGGGCTGGCAGCGTCCCCTTCCATTGCAAACCTCAATGCCACCTTTCTGATAACATGCAAAAACATCTTTCCATCATGTGTATAGTCTGTAATCTACAAATTCCACGCCAAATAAAAGACCACAAATCCTTCATCCCTCCATTCCTCCATCCCTCCATCTCTCCACCCTTCACCCTCCACGCCACAACTCTCCCATCCCATCTAAAGCATCTCATACCTCCTAAACGTATACCCCAAAAACGCCAAATCCTTCTTCGCATCCCCCCCTTCCCCTCCTGCCGCAGCAGCAGCCTCCGGCACCTGGTCCAGCTCGTCCGTCGGGAAATAGGACGTATCCGTGATCGACCTGAGGTGGGGCACAAAGGGCGCGTCGATATCCCTGATACTCGCCCAGTCGACGCCGTAGAAGAAGGGGTGGGCTTTGAGCTGGTCGACCGTGTAGCGGCGGTCGGATTCGCAGAGCATGCTGAGTTCATGGTTAGTGGGGGGCCGGGAGAAGCAGGGGAGGGGAGAGGAGGGGCCTCACCGTCGAATGAGGTCTTCAGCTTCGCGCGAGAGATGGACGTCGTCGGGGAAATAGAGATAATTCTTCCAGTCGATAATCTTCTTGTACACATCGTGCGCGTTTTCGGAACAGAATGGAGGATAACCTTTTGTCCCCATCGATCAGCTCCCCGGGCCAAGGAATCTGGAGACAGACAAAAAGACAAACGGACTTACCGACAAGACACTCAAACATGATGGCACCCAAAGACCACCAATCGCATTCCTTTCCATAACCCTGCTGCAAAAAGATCTCTGGCGAGATCTACTCAGTCCCCCATCCCATCAGCCTCATTCCCTTCCACTTTTTTGGACAAATGAGAAAACTTACATAGTCTGGCGTGCCCACAGTCGAATACGCCAATTTCCTCCTATTCGCCTTCCAAGTAGCGATATCCTGCTTACTCGTCATGGTCAAATTAATAGCATTCACCATCACACTATTCCTCGCGCCCGCCCCCGTTGGCACCTGGCTCTGCCTGTTGCCCCCGTTCGCGGAAGCGCCAGAAACATCAGCGCCCCCGAGGAGGCGCTGGTAGTAGGCGGAATCGTGTTGTTTGTGGAATCCGGTGGAGAGACCAAAGTCGGATAGTTTGATGTGGCCGAGAGAGTCGATGAGGATGTTGTCGGGTTTGATGTCGCTGTGCTTTATATCAGCGAGAGAGGGGGAGGGAAGGAGGGAAGGAGGGGAGAGGGGACGTACCGGTGGATGAAGCCGAGGTTATGAACAGCCTCAATAGCCAAAATACACTCGGCCATATAAAACTTGGTCACATCTTCCGAGAACGTATCATACTTGATCAACCTATCCACTTTATCAGCACCAGCACCTAAACGTGTCAGAGGGTAAAGAGAGAGAGGACGCACATGGTCATGAGATCACCACCAGGGAGGAATTCCATGACGAGGTAGAGGAACTGGGTGTCTTGGAAGGAGTAGTAGAGCTGCACGACCCAGGGCGAGTTGCTCTCTGCCAACACATCTCTTTCGGCTCTCACATGCGCAAGCTATCCCCCCGTCAGCTTTCTGCCCTTCACACCAGAGTCAAGAGGAGGAGGAGAAAGCGCACCTGGTCCTTTTTAAACATTTCATTCTTCTTCAAAGTCTTCATAGCATAGATACGCCCGGTGTCGGCCTTTTGCACGAGCCGGACTTCACCGAAAGCGCCCTTGCCGATGACTTTGACTGTGCGGAAATCGTCCAGGCCGATACGAGTACGGCGGAGGCGGAGGAAGCTGCACACCGTCCCCCATCAGCCTTCGCGTCCGGACCACAACCTGAAACAAAAAGCTGAAGGAGAGACTCACTTGCTCTCCCGTCGACCCAGGTTGATAAGCTGCCTAGCCTTGAGCGAATCCGGCGTCAACGCATCACTCGCCAACTGTTTCTCCAACACCGTCCTCCTCTCCTTCCTCCCCACCACACCCTCCACCGCTTCCTTGTAAAACAGCTCCAATTTCATCTTGGCGCCCATCGCTTTGCCTTGCACAGACTCGCTGAACTGGGTGGGCTTGCGTTCGAAATAGACATAGTCGGGGCCCTTGTCGGACGACTGGGATTGGGATTGGGAAGAGAGAGCGGGGGAAGGGTCGGAGGAGGATGGGGTGGGGCGGACGGAGCCGGGCTGGCCGATGTTGGGCTGTGCGACTTGGGGGACGGGGGGCATGGGGGAAGTGCGGCCTGGGCCTTGTTGTCCGTTCTGGGCGTTGAGCATGGTGGTGTGCTTTCACCGGGAGGCAGGGGGGTGAGGTATGAGGAGGGGGTGACGGGGTGTAGCGGCGCGTCGTTGCGTGGCTGTGCTGAGTGTGCGAATGGGGGTGGGGGGAAGGGGAGGGGCGTCGATACCAGCCGACGAGAAAGAAAAGGGAGATGAGAGGAGGATGGAAAAAGAGATGAGAGAACGGCAACGCTCACCACAGATCTAGGCTCAGCACAGACGCTGCTTCAGATCATTACACTTGGGTTTCTAATCCTCGCGTGGGGCGATTAGGAATTGGGGACGCGTTTTGTAATCGTTTCCCTGACGCGCGTCGACAACCGGCAACGGCAGTGCGTCCTGGGCTGGTCCTGGGCGTTGGTATGTTGCAACGCAGTATATAAGGGCGAGCTGGCTTCTGCTGCAGAGGGGGGCGATCGAGGATATTGTAACCATAAACTAGACTGGCAAGGACATGGTCGAGCTGGCCGATGTCTGTCAAGCCGTTGATCGAGACCCATGGATGAACCCATGGTATGTCGATTTCGCCTTCCTAGTCCATCCAGCCTGCTCGTCTGACAGCACACGAGCACAATAGTATCCCTAATATGTCACTAATGCCATAGACCGGTATGAAAGCAGCTCCACCAGGTCTCACACAAACTCATCTCTGTCACGGATCCCAGATGATTGGATTATTGCGATACATGAATGCTAGCTCTTTGGCTCAACTAAACTTCTGATTCTTGCTTTACTTGTACAATTGCTATCGACTCAATGCTGACCGGACAAACTATATCACCAGACCTCGCTGCAAGACTTCCAGGCAGACTTAGGCAGTACGGTACTTGTGCGCATTGTGCTCCTTCAACTATACCTTCCCATCAGCCTGTTCCTCAACTCGGAAGAGGAGGGACTTACCTGCTCGACAGTCTGGTTCAAAGTAGGATGCGCATCCTCATAGTGCCCATCCCTAGTCTTGTATCGGTACTTGAACTGCGCCACCGAAGAAGGATGGGTCTCGTGCTGACTCGCGCTGTCCCAGGGCTGCACCATCCCGCTGGCCATCAACTTTCTCTGCGGCTCGGGCTCTGTTGACTTTGTAAAGCTAACCCCCCCGGTCAGCTTCACCCTGATCAAGGGGGAGGGGGAACGTACAAGAAATACCCAGCAACGCCCAAAACACCAGTCACGATGATACTCAAAGGGTACAAGGCGGGGTCGCGTTTGGCGAACCGGTTGACTTTGCGGGTGGCTTGCTCCAGGTTGGCGCCGTGGGAGAGCTGGCTCTGGGGCTTCTCGAGCTGTTTCCAAGTTGGTCAGCAGGTTACCTGGAAGTGGGCGACGGGAGGGTGGTGGGGACGTACAGCGGGGTCGCGGGGAGGGAGGGAAGAGGACATCTTTGCTTGTTCTTGTTCTTGTTCTTGTTGGTGTGTGTAGTTGATGGGAAAAGGATAGATAATCTAGTGGGCTGGTATATATACTCTCCCCGGGGAGTGACGTATCAGCGCCCACCCATTTCGGCGCACATCATTCGATCAGCTGCCTCCGTTGGAGCAACATAGGAAGGGAGGTATGATGTCATCCCGCTGCCTCCACCGCGCGCGCGGCCCTCTTCATGGCCGCAATTGCCCGCATACAAAGGGATGCATAGTGTACGAGTACAGTCAGTAGTAGCTAGTAGGTGCTAGACAAGTCACAGGCATATGCATGGAGTGGGTGCTACTTTGCGTGGTGATGAGAAGCGTGTAGGCAGAGCCGGTTATTCGACTATCCCAGTTCCCACCCCTCTTGCCCTGCTTGTTGGCTTGTTGGGAGATGGAAGACTGTATATCATTCCACGATCTCTGCCTTGCCTTCATGCACATACATACCGTTCAAATTACCCGGTTTATGGATACATGACAGAGCTTCCGACGATTGATTCACAGCGGTTCGATCCTTTCGCAAGATCGGGCACGCGTAACGAGAAGATCGCAACCCGATAATACATCGAGAATTGCGATGCTTTTTGGTGACTACCTCCGAGATCAGATGCTTATACTCACTGTATCAATGACATGTTGAGCTTGGTGAGCTTGGTGAGGAGACCCCGGAGTGTGACCCAACTGGACACGCGCGCACGATCCCACCACAAGAAAAGTAGATGTATCTGCATGTTTTATACTTGACTTCTCACCATTATATATATGCCACACGATTTCTTTAAGCTACAAGATGCTTTCTCACTGATAACACACAAACAAACGAATCAACAAACCATCATATGTACAGCTTTACAGCTCTTGGCGTATCTACAAATACGATACAGCCCATCGCTCAGCCTGTAGTCAAGGCTCAACCCTTGTCCCATCACTACTCTGATCATCCCCTCCCCCTCCCCCTCCCCCAACCCTAGCCCCGAGCTGTGGCTGCTGTATCTGCCCGTGGGGTTGGGCGGTCCCCTGGGTCCGGTGCTGAGGCTCAGGCTGGACCTGCCTACCGTCCGGCTGCACTTCTTCCCTCCCCTTATCATGCACTTGCGCAGCTTCGTGCCCTTTACCGGCCTTGTCGCTCATACCCTTGTCGCCACCGAGGGCGCCTTTGTCGGTCGAGCCGGCGTCGGGCCCGGATTTCTCGCCTTCTTCTTTGAAGCTCACTTCTTTCTCTTTCGGTTGCTCCTTCTTGTCCCCATTTCCATTCCCATTCCCATTCTCCTTCTTCTCCCCACTCCCATCCCCATTCCCACCCTTCTTCTTATCCTTCTCCTTATCTTTATCCTTCGAACCCCCATCCTCATCATCCTTCTTCTCCTTGGAAGCAAAGCGGTAGTATGACCCGCCCGTGTTGTCGGATTCGTGCACGATGGTAAGCCGTTGGAGGTCGGTCAAAAAGTTCTCGAGTTTCTCATTCTTCTTGGACCGTGTGGCGCGGCCAATGTTGTCGAGCCATCGGAATGAATTCAGAATGAGATCTACAAACCTCCATCAGCCCCGGGCTTGACGAAATGGGTTTCAGTCGGGGGCAGGAGGGCAAGACTCACAGACGAGGAGGACAATAATAACAACACCGAATGAGTAACACCAGATCTTGACCACCGTCACGATATCGATCCATCCACTGTGCTCATCCCCATCGCCCGACACCCAGCCAAAGAGGGCAAACATGGTGGCGAGGATGTCGACGCCGATGACGGCGACGATGAGTTGGAAGGAGGGGAATACGTTGGGGGTACCGGGTTCTTGGGCTAGTCGGGTAATGACTATGACGAGTGGTTAGTGGAAAAGGAGAGAGGGGAAGGAAAAAGGGGAGGCATACAAATGACCCAACTCTCCGTCAAAGCAACCTCCAAAAAGATAATCTCCTGCACCGACCCGAAATTCTGGATGATCCCTCCATTCTCCAAGTACAACGTCCCCCTTATAATCCACGTCCCCGCCGCCAACAGCAAGCCCATGACGGTGGAGATGATCCATACTTTCGGGAGCTGCCATTCGACGGGCTGGTGTGCGTAAGGGGCGCGGTCGTAGGCGATGGCGATGGTGGCTACGTCGGCAAAGATGGCGAGGAAGACGACGAGGTCGACGCGGATGGTTTCGTTCTTGATAAGGATCGTGAGCAGGAGGTAGACTTCGAGGTGGACACAGAGGGCGATACTGTGCCGAGTGTTAGTGGTGCGCACGCATAAGCTGGTGGGAAGGAGCGTACCGGTAGATGATGTATGCTTTCATACGGTGAAAGATTTGACGAGCGACTTTGATGGCGGTGATGATGGTAGACAGACCTTCGTCGAGAAAGACGACGTCGGCAGCTGTACGTGCAGCATCACTTGCACCCTCCACAGCAATCCCACAATCTCTACTTCCCATCAGCTCCAACCCCCACAGAAGTGTGACGACTTACGCCTTTTTCAAACTCGGGGCATCATTGACACCATCACCCGTCATAGCCGTCAAATGCCCCCTTTCTTGCAAGAGCTGCACGACCTGGTATTTGTGCTCGGGAAAGACTTCAGCAAAACCATCGGCGGCTTCAACAAAGTCGCGAATGTCGGACCCGGTCATACCACCGCCGATGAGCTTTTCAGAGTCGTACACGTTGGTCTTGAGGCCGAGCTGTTTGCATGTTTCTTTGGCGATCGCGACGGCGTCGCCCGTGAGCATCTTGACGGATATACCGAGGTCATGCCTATCTCCCTGTTAGCTCGGGCCACTATAGAGTTGAAAATGAACTCACGCTTCACCGATAGTCTTAGCGGTATCGCTCCTCGGCGGGTCAAACATACACAACATCCCCAGCAACTCCCACTCCTTGCCCTCCTCCTTGACCGCCACCCCCAAACTCCTAAACCCTCGCGTCGCAAACGCCTGCGCCTGTGCCCTATACTCTCCCACCGTCCTGGGATCAAATTTCTGCAATTTGAGAATAGCGTTGGGGGCACCTTTGGCACAGGTGAAGCGTTTGCCGTCTTTCTCGACTTCGGCGGTGATCCGCTTGGAGACGGGGTCGAAGGGGGTGAACTTGTGGGTTTTCCAGCCGCCCTTGAGCATCTCTTGGGCTTTGGGAAAGTCTTTCAAGCCGATGACGGTGACTTTGTCGATAGGGTCCAGGCCGAGGACGTTGTGCGACGACGCGAGGACGGCGACCGTCATGAACCAATTGGGATCCACATCCGGTGCGACATAGGGTTCGTTCAATGACAGCTTGTTGGCGGTCAGTGTACCCGTCTTGTCGGAACACAGAATGTCGACACCGGCGAGCGACTCGATGGCGGTCAGCTTTTGGACGATGGCTTTGCGTCGGGCGAGGTAGGCGGCACCGACGGCGAGGGTGGTGGTAGTCACGACGGGCAGACCGACGGGGACACCGATGATGAAGAAGACGAGGGCGTAGACGAGGAGGTTGTTGTCTTTTGGAGAGGCGATGCTGGTACCGCGGAAGAAGCCACCGATCCAGACGGCAAAGATGAATGCAATCACCATCACCAGTAGACTATTCCTCATCAGCTTAAACTTTAAAAGAGAGCGGAGGGCTTACGTAGTACCGATGCCACCGAGCACGATCTGGAAATGCCCCTTCTCATTTGACCCACTGACCAGCGCTGCCGTTCGACCTACGAAACTGCCCTTTGCGCTCACAGTCACCACACCATAGGCTTTACCCCGCTTAACACCACAAGTATAGTTGGCGACGTCGCCAATGTACTTGTCGACCGCGAGGGATTCGCCGGTGATGGCAGACTGGTCCACAGAGATGAGGGAAGGGCCCTTGTCGGGCCCGTCGTCGTCGTCGGATTCGTCGTCGTCTTTGTGGCCTTGCTTAGACTTTTCCAGGCGATCGAGTACTTGCTTGGACTGTGAATACATTAGCGGGTGGTCTGAAGAAGAGGTAGGGACGTACCTTGGACCCATCCTTATCTTCATAATCGCCTATAATCTGAACCAAACAATCAGCCTCTCTTCCCCTGTCACCAAGACCTCACTCACCTTGGCATCAGCAGCGATAGTCTGTCCTTCCTCCAACACCAACACATCGCCCGGCACGAGCTCCCTAGCTTCGATTTCTTGTTCATTCCCATCCCGGATGACTGTGGCCTTCATGGCAATACCAGCTTTCAGCTGCGCGACGATATCGCCAGCTTGTCTAAGGTACGTGTTACGTCAGCTTTTGTTTACGAAATTAGAAGCTGGGGTTGTCACCCGCGGGCGGGGAGAGGGAAAGTTGGATGGAGCGAGGTATCAAGATCGCCCCCTTGAGCATGCTTTTGGGCGACCGGAAGCAGGAAGGAGAATGAGGGGTAGACTCACTTTTCTTGATACCATCCGACAGCAGCGTTGAGAAAGAGGATACCGATAATGACACCGAAATCAATCCAATCTCGAAGACCGGCGGCGAGGATGACGGCGAGTTCCATGACATAGAGGATAGGACCGCGAAAGTAGGAGACGAATTTGATAAACTGGTTCTCGCTCGGGCTGTCTTTTTCATTAGCAACGTGTGCAAGAGAAGAAGAGGGGGCGTACGATTCGAGCTCGTTGTATCCAGAATGCTTTCGGCGCTCTTCAATCTCGTTGGCAGAGAGACCTTTCTGCCTGTCGGTGTCGAGCCACTCGGAAGGCACCTGGTCCTCGGTCAGTGACGTTCGCTGGAAGAAGCAGACGCACCTTTTTGCCCTGGGTCTCCACCTTGGTCTTTTTCCAAGGGGTATACCACTTGCGCACATACTGTGCATCTTCCTCATCTTCACCCTCATCATCCCCCTTGTGCTTGAGCCTGTCGGCTTGGTCGGAGACGTATTTCAAGAGTACATCGTATTCCTCCCCTTGATACTCTGCCAGCCGAGGTTAGTATACAGGTAAGGGTGGGATGGTGGGCGTACTCTTCTTGGTGTCTTCCTCTTGTTTCTTGGCTTCAGCGTCGGGATCCCCAGCTTCGGGGTCCTTCTTCTTGTTCTTGCGATTAGTCAGACCCATGACTGCGGACGACTATCGGCGGTCCGTCAACGGGTGTATATCTGTGTATGTCTAGGCTACGCTCAGCAGGCTCGACCCTCTGAACTGTATATGTCAAACGTATGGTACTGTATAGAGGAGGGGGCAAGGCAAAGAGGTAAGGATGTTGACGGTCAAGAGGAGGATTATTTATGGGTAGGTTAGGATGGTGGCATGATCTACTGATGTCATTTTGTGGATCGGTGGACTCGGATGAAACTATAAGCAGACTCGCTCGCCACATCAAGCCAGCGTCGCAGCGTCCGGCCTCTTCTGGGAATCCGCTTTGCCGGCATCTCGCCCAAAGAGGAGAAATGGCGGGGATCTCCGGCCCTCCGAGGGGAAGAAGTGGTTGTGCTTCTTTCCTCTTCTGGTAAAGCTGACGTCTGGAGTTCTGGATGAAGTCTGGACAGCGACCCGGTCCGGAAGATCGTCCCTCCCCGCTCATATCGCTATTTTGGGCAGTTCGTCCAGAGCCGCTTGCAACGGCGACACCCACCAACCCACTCAAGCGCGCGCACGCATCATGATGTCACTCCTCATTGCGTTCTCAGGAAAAACGTCCGAAAGCGGGGAGCCCCGTGGGTGCGGTCATGTGCTACGACGCGCTGACCGCGAAATCCATGCGGGCATCTATATTCGATCGTGTCTTGTTGGGTGGGATACCAGTCAATATCATGGAGGAATATGGGATGACCGTTGATCGCCAAGATATGGCCCCCAATGATGTCGAGTTTGAGACATAATGTGGCATCCGTCTTGTATTTGACGTCGGTACCATACAGACATGATGTTTGTAGTTTTTGATTACTCCAAGTAAATGGCGGGAACCCAACCACCAAAAGCAGCAACAGGAACGTTGTACATTCTTCTTGTGTTAGTCAAAAGAGCTTCCAAAAATTGGAAAAATGTTTAGCTTGACCAAGAAAGAAACTGGGAAGCGTAGAAAGAAGGAAAAGATGATACTGTACGATACTTTGTGAGGCAAACAGATCCCCATACTAGTGGGCTAATGAAATCACTAGAACAATGGAACGAAAAGATGACTAAAAGTTCAGGTGGAATAACAGAAAGAGATTTGTTTACTTTTTGCGAAAGAAGAAAAGGAACAAGTTACACCAAGACCTCGCGCCTCTTCAACGTTTCTACGCCTTCCTCATTATACTTGCCCCCTCACACCACAACAACAGATGAAGACACTTAAGCGTCCACCTGCATAGGCTCCTCAGCGGGCACATCCTCCCCATTAGGCTTGGCCTCCTCGGTGGTGGTGGTAGTCTCCACAGCAGGCTCGGCGACGGGCTCGGAGGTGGCGGGCTTGGTGGGTTCGGCTGCAGCCTCAGTTACAGACTCGGAAGCGGGCTCGGCGGCGGGAGCGGGAGCGGGGGCGGAGTCTTCTGTCGAGGGAGCTGCGGGTGCGGGTGCGGGGGATGCTGGCGCAGGTTCGGAGGCAGAAGTCGGCTCAGCAGCGGGTGCAGGAGTGGCCTCCGTCGTCTCAACAGCCTCCTTCGTCTCCTCTTCCTTCTTCTCCCCATTCACATCTTCCTTCTTCTCCTCCTCAGCCTTCTTTGAAACAGGCTTATCCTCCTTCCCAGCCTTCTTAGATACCGGCGACTGGGAAGCAGCACCAGAAGCGGGGGGGTTGGATATGTTGATGTATGACTGCCACTTGTTCATCAGAGCGCCGGCGCGGTCGGTGAATTTGTACTTGTCGTTCTCGGGAATATTTTTCAGAGATACCATCTTGCGCATGACTGTATTTTGCTGGTCAGCTTTGTCAAGATTCACAAATTTGGGGGTGGTGGATGGGACGCACCTTTGCCGATCTTGGAAAACTGGAGGGCCTCGATTGTCATTTCCTCGTAGTTTTCAATCTCCCGGAACGTCTCATCAAACGAGTGGATCGACTTATCCGTCATCAGCTTTCTCATGTAGGCTCAACCCAAAAGACGCACCTCGGCACTCGGCATACTGTTTCCCAAGAACGCCTTTTGCAACACATGTCTCCAACCCTTCACCTTTAGACTAACTGGATCATCCTCCCCTTCCTTCTTCTTCTCCGCCTCTTCCTTCTGCTCCGCCTTCCCCTTCGTCGGTGCCGCCTTCGCCTTCTTGCTCTTCGGCTCCTCCTCCTTCTTCCCCTTCTTCCCCACCGCCTTCTTCCCACCCACAACCTCCTTCTCCTCCTTCCTCTTCCTCTTTCCCCCCTTCACCTTCTCCTCCTCTTCATCTTCCAGCTCATCCACTTCCTCCTCCTCCGCCTCTTCCTGGCGGCGCGCGGCTTCTTGCTGTTCATCCCATTCGGAAGGATCTTGCGCTGTAGAGTAGGCTACGCGGAGGGCGCCGGCGGATTTGCGGTGGGATTGGGAGAGGAAGGATGTTATGTCGGAGGAGGGGAGGGGTTTGATGTCTTTGCTTGCGAGCCAGGCGCTTTGACACACCCGTTAGCCTGGAGCGTTGTAGGAGGGGAGGACGTACAAGTCACCGGCGGGGAAGAATTGGGTGCAGAAGATGGCGGGGCTCTTGCCTGGTCTCTGCTTCAGTACGTTGCGGGGCAGAGTTTCGGGGTCGGCGATCTGTTGGAGGCGTTAGCGTCCAGTCGGGGCTTACGAGCTCATCTTCGAAGGCGTAGGGAGGAGGTTCGAGTCACGCGCGGCTGGTGGGATGAAGCGTTCTTCCTCCAACAGCACAGCGATGGACAGCTTGACAGTCTCCACATTGGATTTCCCCCGTGCAGTTGATTACACCTTCAAGAACCCAAGACCGAGATGACCAGATGCTCTCAAAAGACCAGATGTAGAGATGCACGCGCCGGCGCGACGCGTTCAGACCAAATACTCACTCTAGCAGCTACCCAAACGCGTCAGCTCTCATTCCCATCACACCCTTTCCTCTCAACCACCACCCCAAAACTCAAATGACTTACGCCAAGGCGGGTACCCCCTCAAACGGGCAAGTACGATATCCCCAATCTTAAACTTGTGCACCTCAACCCCCTGGGCGGCCTTCTTGCCCTTGGGGCCTCCCTTGCTGCCCTTGGAGGCGGGTGCGTTATCCGAGGATGGGACGGGGGTGGACTCTGGGGACATGGCTGGGTGTTGGAATGGTAGGGGAGAGTGGAAGCGGGAGTGAGACAAATAGAGAGAGCGTCGCCGCATGCGGTATTACCATCGGCGTTATTTTGCTTCCGCTGTCCGCCCACCGTCTGCGTCCGGACAGGGAGCATCATCGCTATCATCGCTGGCAGTTTACCGTTTCGCCATAAGACCATATCAAGATGCGTTCAGTCCTGGCTCTGGCTATGCTTGCCCTCCCGGCGTGGGGGATGAGGGATACAGCCCCGTTCCTGGTGTGGAATGATAACGAGTGAGTCGTGTCTGAGCTTGGGGGGACGAGCTGACGAGTTGTAGGGATTCGGCATGGCAGCAGGCGCTCGCAGGTGGCAAAGCGTTGGTAGATGGCGAAGCTGTATATAAGGGCTTGAAATCCCTCGGGTGCGCATGGGACAATGCTGTAGTCGTACACGTTGACAAGGTGCGCAACTTTCCTTTGTCTCCCTCCATTCCTCGCTCGCTCGCTGACCTCGTGTCGAAAGCTGCATCACTCCAAGCTCGACGCCTACAACACCCCCTCCGACGCGCACCTGCACATCCCGTACGTGAAGGGGCCTTCCCGCCGGGGATTGTCGGGTGGGCTGGAAGATTGGGCGAGCGCGTGTGAGGCGGAGGTGGTTGGTTCGCTTGAAGAGATGGATGGGGGCAGGCAGGTGGTTGATCTTTGGATCAAGGAGGGAGAAGGTGAGTTCATCAAGCACCCATAGGGTTTTAGAAACTGATGAAGGTAGTTGTGCCATGGACCGAAATCCCGAGCTCAGCGCTCATCGTTCTAACCGGCTCCCCTCCCACCCACACCAAACGCCAAGAATACCCCTTCCCCTCCAACCCCTCCTCCTCCTCCCCCTACACCTACTCTGAATCTCAAACCGCCCCCTCCATCCCCACCTCAACCTCCCGCCACAGCACCATCCCTCCCAAGACCGCGCCCTTACTCGACAGGGTACAGATCCTGACCACGCCCATTATCACGGCGCTGCTGATTACGTTTGGGATCTTTATCCCGCTTTTGGCGTTTGCGATTACGCAGTTGGTGGGGATCCAGGTGCCGCCTATGATGCTCAACATCATTCCGCGCGAAAAGATGGGCAAGGAGAGAAAGGATCAGTAGACGCTTTTCTATCTCTTTTGCGGTATGGAAAGGGCCGTTGGAAGATTATGCAGATATATGTTGTCTAGTGATTTTACATGTCAAGGTCAAGAAACGGAGCAGACTACTTTCGGAGAAGCAGGTATACGTTCTCTCCTACAACGACGCTTGCGAGATGGCGGTAAGAACCCCGCAGAGCCATCAACAGACCACCAAAGGAAAAGTACGCCGTACTGCTTTTCAGTCAGCTCTCCCCTTTTCATATAGACAGTTGACCCACGTTTGAGCATCGCCTTGAGCTGAATCGTCAAACTTGTAGATCTACCTTGCCGTCAGCCAAACCCATCACTCTGCATGAAGATCGGAACGCACCTTGCCATACATGACATAGTCATAATCATCCCCCAACCCCTGACTCTCCCTCCTCCACAGCTCTCTCTTGATCTTCTTCACCTCCCCCCCTTCTTCTCCTCCCTCAGCTTCCTCATCTTCTTCCGGTTCCAAGCTCCTAGCAAGGGAGAGCGTAAAAGTCTCGCCAGCGAGCAAGGGGTAGAGCTCGACAGCGAGGTCGAGGGTGAGCGCCATGGAGTGGTTGTGGGAGGTGGCGGTTATACGGGAGACGCGGTCGAATTTCTTGCCGTCTTTGTCTACCGTCTAATGGTCTTGCGTCAGTTATGTTGCAGGTGTAAGGGGGTGAAGAAGGGGGAGGAGACGGACGTCTACGGTGAACCTGTCGTCAAAGATGATATTCGTCGATTCCGCCATTATGTCTGTAGTGTTATTCTTCCGGTCTTGATATGCCTGAGGGTTGGGGTTGGCCTGAGAGGGGGCGAGATGGATGCAGCCGTGATAGAGATTTGTTGTTGCAAGAGCTCATAGGGAAAAAATAACTAAGCGTTAAGAAACGGAGCGGGATCTAATTTCCTCAACTGTACAAGCTTCGGCCATTTTCTCTTTCGCCTCCAGTTTGCTCGACTCTTTGCCCTACACCCCTTCTTGGACCCGACTGTCCTCAATTCATCGGAACATCACCGAGCTTGAAGAGGATATTGACCTGCCCAGTAGCGCCATCGAAAGAGATACAAGAACCCCGACTCGTCAACTTTTTTTAATTCTGAAAACCGATTCGTCATGTCCACTGCAGACCACGGCCGAGACCCCTGGTACGCTTCCTTCTTCCACCCCTCACCCCCATCACCACCCTCTCAATATGCTGAGGATACAAAGACCGTGGAATGATGGACAAAGCTGACGGAAGATGATAGCCCCTATGTCATCTTGAACGATTTCGGAGGAGCGTTCGCGATGGGTGCTATTGGTGGTGGTATTTGGCACGGTATTAAGGGTGCTAGAAACTCCCCTCGAGTGCGTCACTTCCAACCTTCTTCTATCTCTCACTAACTTTTTCTCTCCCCTTTCCCTTTCCTTTCCTCCACCGCCCATCCCCACCTCTCTCCCACTCCGAATCAATGACGGACATCTCGAAATAAACAGGGCGAACGTCTCCCCGGCTCTCTCTCCGCCATCAAAGCCCGTGCCCCCGTGCTCGGTGGAAACTTTGGTGTCTGGGGTGGTCTCTTTTCGACATTCGACTGTGCGGTGAAGGGGTATAGGCAGAAGGAGGATCCGTGGAATGCTATCATGGCGGGGTTCTTGACGGGTGGCAGTTTGGCTATTCGATGTGAGTGTGCTTCTGCTCGGCTTGTGTATGAGGGAAGAACGAAAGAAAGGGAGAGGGAGAGAGAGCATGAAGGTATGGAGCTGACAGACGATTTCTAGCTGGACCGAAAGCCGCGTTGGGAGGTGCTGTCGGATGTGGTATCCTGCTCGGTGTCTTTGAAGGTACGTCCCCCATCATCCTTCCCTTCTTTCAAAGACAGCGCTGACATGTGTTGTAGGTGTCGGTGTTTTGATGAACAGGATGTTTGCGCAGCCTATTCCTCAGATGCAATGTACGTTTTCCCTTCTCCCATCTGCCATCTACCATCCTCTGTCCTCGACTCCCCTGAGGGTAGTCTTGGGCGGAAGACGGAATGGTTAGATAGTAAGGCTTCTGTGATATGTGCTGATGGTGGTCTATGAACAGTACCCGAACAAGCTCCCCCACCCACCCCTGCCGTCGCCTAATTCAATCTCCCACTCCTCTCCCCTCTCCCCCTTCCTCCTTTCCCTTGCCCAATGACCTTCAAATTCCCTATCCCTATCCCCCAGCTCCCTCCGACCATCCTTCTTAATACTATCAGCATAATCCGCCATTCCCCCTGGGGATTGGCTTATCTTTTCTTTGTAGCGTTTTGGCGAATTTTCGCCGGGGGGGGGGGGCGGCTGAGGAGGGTTGGTGAGAAGCGAGAGGTGCGAAGTGATAACGGAGACGAGGATGAAGAGAGAAGGAGAGGGAAGATAAGATAGTCGCGGATAAGACTTAAGATCCAAAAATCTCCATTCATGCATATTGACGTATAGACCCACCTCTTCTCGGTGCCCCCTCCCGCTTTCCTCCTCTACTGTAGCTTTTGTCTTCCTGTGATCGCGCGAGCCTTTATGGGAAGGGGCAGGTGGCGGGGGCAAACGAAAGGGAACGTATAGAAGCCGAGTGGAGAAACAGTTTCCTGGTTCAATATGTCTGTATCTCGCAGGAGGAAGCCTGGAGAAGGATAGCTCTTATATGTGCAGATTAGTGGTGATATACGAGAAGAGCTCTGCAAATGATAGGAAACACCGATAGGAAAGCAGTTTTGGCGGGGACGGAAATTGTTGTCAAGAGTAATGCCATGAAATCCACGGTTATGTTGCAAGTCTGGCCATGGACTACGACAGAGGGTCATATTGATTCCGCCTGGAGAAAAACAGAATTGAAGTGAAAGAGTACGCAAGTCGGATGTCATGAACACCGTTCGTCAGTAGTAGTTGCTATCGATCTGTTCTTCTTCGTCGTCGTACTCTTGTAGTATATACACGCATCCTCATCGATCACAATGCACCGACATTGTGGGAGCCCAATATGTTCTCATGCAAGAGCGCTTCGGCCTTGTGCATGGTCTTGAAAAAAACGCGAAAGAAAAGAGAAAAGTAGTTGACGGGAAGGCTTGAGAGACAAGGAAGTGCCTGTCGATCAACTCTAATTAACCCTCCGCCTCCTTGCCATTTCAATCTTTCATGCTTCTCTTGAGAGTATTTGTTGGAAGTGCGACGACATGTGAATGCTCTCCAGCCAATGCACACTGCCAGATGATGGATCTCCAAGATGGAAAGATGAAGCAGGCAGCAGCGATGAGGAGGGGCGCTTGGTCACTGGAGGAACGGCTTTAGCGTGGAGGTAGGCTGCGAACGGAGCAGACATGCTGTGATATCGCGCTATATATGGCTGCCGTTGTACCGCTGCACTCTCAGTAGCGAGCAGTCGGATAGACCCTCGATGCACCACTCCATGCTTCTTGGACATGTTGAGTGAGGTGATGCATGGAGTGTATGAACAGACACCTCGGCCAGAAGTGGCTGGCCTGGGCTTGTACGGCGTCTGCTGTGACGTAAAAATGGCATGATGCTGAGGCAGCTTTTGCGGCGCATGGGTGGAGCGGTATGATCGATGCTATCATACTCACTGCACGAGTGAGATCCCAAGAGTGATGATGCATGGGCGCATCTCCAAGGCTCGTTTGGTAGATGGAGGAAAAGGTGACTCCACCAAGAGCTAGAGGAGAGACAGTCCAAGAGATCCCTGAAAACCTTAGTGCCGTATCGTTCCCAAGATTCAAATCATCCTCTTTCGTATCTTTCTCTCTTTTCTCCTTCATCTTTCATTCTCTCACGACCAAGGCAGCGTCCTTGACCCAGCGGTGACTCCGACAGAAGGCCTTCGGCGAGAAAAGGAACGAAAGCAGCCCCCCACCGACCTCGCAGCAGCGTCGCTAGAGCAGCATCTTTCGCCGAGCCTGAGCCGTTCGGCCGGAAGATCGACGACGTCTTCTTTCTCTTCTGCATCTCTTCCTGCCTCGCCACCCAGTGCTTAGCCAGTGCATAGACGACGGAGAACGTTGATCGTACCCTCCCATCAAACGTGTACTGTGCGCGCGTTTTCTATTGTGCGTGAAACACATCCAGCCTAGTGCGTCGACATTGTCCGAGTCGTCTATAAGGGGGCCAAGCTCACCTGTGCTCTCAGTATCATCCATCATGCGTATATCATCCATCGTCCCCTTCATCGCTGCCCTCCTCACCTTCGCCCCCCTCCGAGCCCTCGCGGCCGACACCCTCTACACCGACGCGGTCACATATTGCGCCGAGGCCAAGGCCGTCATCGTCGACGAGTTTGGAATCACCTACCACCGCAGTAACGAATCTGTCACCTTCAGCTTTTCCCTCGCATCGGTAGAGTCGAACCTGAATGTGTCGGCGAATTTGTATGTGAATGCGTTTGGGATCGAGGTGGTAAACCAGACGCTGGAGATCTGTGATTTGTTATCGGGTGTCGCTTGTCCTCTGCCCCAGGTCAATTTCTCTGGTAGGTCTTTCTCCTTCTTGGGACCTCTGCACTGCTCTGGGTGTATTCCTCGATCCTTCCTTCTCCTTGTCGCTCTGGCCAGTGATGGAATATAGCGACCCACCGGGTCCGATATTGACCCGGCTCAGAGTCCAATGGGAGTCAGAGCTGACCGTCCCGTAGGTTACGGCACATACCCTATCCCATCCAAGTACACCAAGGACATCCCCTCCATCGGTTTCTCCGTCCCCAATCTCGAAGCCTATGCCCGCGTCGAGCTTCTCCGAGTTGAAGATGGTGAAGTCGCCGCTTGCCTCCAGGCTACCCTCGCCAACGGCAAGACTACCAAACAGCGCGCTGTCGTGTGGGCCACCGCCATCTTCACCCTCGTTGCCTTCCTCGTGGCAATAGCGCATACCGCTTCTGCAACCAGCCCGTCACCGATACAGTACCGCTGGTTCGACATTCTATTCATATTCCAAACCGCCGCTGCGACAGGTCTGCTACACCTGAATTACTCGCTATCCTACTCGGCGTTTGTGCAAAACTTTTCCTGGGCGCTGGGGCTGTTCTACTCGAGCAATATGCAGAGCAGCATCAACAAGATGCGCGCCAAGACGGGTGGTACGATGGACTCGGAAGCGTACTCGGACGTGCAGTATATCAACCGCAAGTTTTCGCCATACAATGTGTATGCCAGCGTCAACGACATTGGGTCGTCGACTGAGTCTTTCAACGCTTTTGTGGCTGCCAACTCAATCTCGAAACGGGATTTGGAGGCGCACCACTTGTCAAAGCGTGTCCAGATCGCTTCGGCCCTTGCGCAGAATGCCACTACAGACCTCAACACTGGTCTTCCCGTCTACACCAACACTATCAACATTCCCGAAGCCAACGCCTACAGCACGGTATGGTTTGCCTTTTTGGCGTTGATTGCTATTTTCATCGCGTTCCATGCGGTCCTCTTTGGCTTTGTGATACTGTTTGAAAAGATGGGCCATGGGCGAAAGGGCATGTACTGGGCGCCGAGGCTGAGAAAGATGTGGTGGCCATTCTGTATCGGAAACGCTCTCCGACTCGTACGTCCCCTCCCATCCGTAGGGATCGCCCGCTAACCCCACCTCAGTGCATGATCGCCTTCTTCCCCATCTTCATCTTTGCTTTCTGGCAATTCCACATCGGCGACTCTGGTCTCGCCATCTTCTTTGCCGTATTCGGCATCCTCCTCTGCTTCCTCCCCCTCCTCGCCGCCTTCCTCCTCACCCTCCGCCGATCTCGCACCACCTCCCAGCTCAACCCCCAAGTCAACCCGATATACGTCTCGTACCGATACTTCCACTCTTTGGGCGTGCTTTACAGGCAGTACAGGGCCAAGTATAATTGGTTCTGGTTTGCGCCGTTCGTGCTTGCCATGATTGCCCGAGCGGGGTTCATCTCTTTTGGGCCCGTGAACGCTTGGGCGCAGGTCATTGGCAATATCGTGGTGGAGGCTATCGTCTTTGTGGCCATGATGATTACGCGACCGCACAAGGACAAGAAGGGCGATTGGCTCGGCGGTTTCTTGAGTATCTGTAGGATGATCTCCTTTGGGCTGTTGGTGGCCTTCATCCCGAGTGTGGGGGTGAAGCCGATCCCGAGGGCGGTCATTGGGTTTGTGATCATCGTGTTTACTGGTATCCCCGTCGTCATCCTCTTCTGTGGGTTCCTCTGGAACATCGGTGAGTCTTCTACCTTTCTCTTGTCGCTCGAAGCTGATGGGACGATAGGCTACGGGTACCTCTGGCGCAAGCACACTACCCGGATCGAAGACGGCCTCGAAGTCGAGCGCTTCTCCCCCACCTCCTCAAACTCGTCCGTCCCGGCTCCCATCATGAAAGAGATGGACGCCCATGACTTTGTGTCGTCCGATGCGGCCGCGAGGAGTCGAGCGTCTCTGAATGGTTATGGCGCTGGGGCTGGAGCTGGGGCTGGGTTGGCAGGTGCAGGCCGACGGGCGACGGACCATTCTGGTAGCGGCTCGGGAAGCTCTGGCAGCGAGCTCCACACACCCATCGACCCGTCTTACCCTGGTAACAACTACCGCCCATCCTCCTACCCTTCCAAAAACCAATACACCTCCGACCCGTACTCCCCCACATCGCCGGTGTCGCAATACCACTCCCCCACATCCCCCACTTCCGCCTCAGCAGCAGACGCTTACGCTCAAGCTGCGAATGGTGGTCATCCGAGATCATCGGGCGGGTATGGGCAGGTGGATACGGAGAGTCCTTCGTATAGGTACTCGAGGGATGCGGAGGGGTATGATGATGAGGAGAGGGCGTGGGCAGAGGCGAGACGGTATCAGTAAAGAGCTGGGCTCTGGGTGTGGTAGTCTTCTTTTGGGATTCTTTCTGTAGCCGGTGCTTTGCTTGCCCTTGATTTGATTTGACATAGACATAACATAGACTCTCTCTTTTTCTCTCTTTTCTCACCAGAGTACATTCATTTGACGGCGTCAAATCCGTCATCCAACAAATCGTATATACACGGAAATATCTTTCCATTCCATCATCTTTGCCACACCTCCGTTGTATATAGATATTACCCAACGTTTCCCATTTCTTTTCCTCTATATCCTTTGACATGTGCTAGTGTAACGAATATTATATTGAAATTTGATACCACGAAATGAAAGAAGCCAGTATCTTATGACGACCTTCTTGGTAAAAGTATATATAGATGGTGTGCTATGATATGAATGATGTATTGTCTTTCCCATATAGCTGCAATGCACGGAGACCGCACAGATACCAACAAATGCATACAAGAAGACAAGAAGACATCAGCGATCCAAAGATGCTACCCCATACAAAATCTCATGATCACCCCTCCTACACAACGTACACCTGAAAGTCCAGCCCGGCTTCACCATCTAAGTATACCAACAGAAAGTCGGTCTCTAAGAATTCTAAATCATCTCAAAAGCCTTGGGTGGGGCACTAGGAGGCGCATCGCTCGGCGAGACCGTCATCGGCGGTACCTCCGCATCCCCTCCAATCCCCAACCCTACCCTACCCTGTCCTCCCGCCGTCCCATCAGCATGCTTAGAGGGATCGTGGTGGTCTTTGACGTCCAGGGCAGCAAGCTTGTCGAGCACCAACGATCCCCCGACCTGACTCGCCGCCCTCGACCGGCTCCTCCAATGCCCCGACGGCCTCCGATCCCGGCTCTCCAAACTCGTGTCTCGCGCCGTCTCTGGTTCTTGGTTTTGGTTAAACGCCGTGGCGGTGGCGGTGGAAGGTGTAGAAGGGTGGGAGGGGACGATAGATGACATGGGTGTCATGCCGCTTCCGAAAGGATGGAAGAAGAGGCTTCCGGGGCGTCTACCACCGCCCAAAGAATGGGTAGACGACCGCCTAGACATCCTGCCGTATGGCGCGCCAAAGCTTTCTTCTGATAGGGCGGTATGCGGCGTAGAGGGCGAGTGTTCTCTTGTTCGGGGGGCGGAGGAAGCACGGGAGGAAGATACAGAGTGGCTTGATGAACGAGGATGTACGGGGAAGGGGATTGATTTGGGGGATTGAGGAGGCGGGGCGGTGGCGGTGGGAGGGGTGGAAGGTGTGATGATGTTTGTCGACGATGTTACAGGGTCTGAGGGATCAGACGATTCGAGCGTTGGTGCAGCCAACATATCAGGCGTCTCAAAGAACACCTTCCCATCATCATACTCCACCATCTCCTCCTCCCCATCTTCCTCCTCTTCCACAATCTCTCTAACTTCCTCTCGGATCTCCCTGATCTCCCGACTGATAGCTTCCCTGAGCTCTTCGATCGTCTTCAGCCCCTCCACTTGTTCCCATTTTGTGAATATCTCGCAAGGAGGTTCGTCCGAGGGATCGTGGTACTTGGCGACGTAGGGGTGTTTGAGGGCGTCGGCAACGGTGGGACGGAGGTGATGGTCGAACTGGAGCAGTTTCTTCGTCAAGTCGATAGCTAGCCACGAGTCAGCTTCGCAACCACGAATTTATTTGTAGGGAGTGACGTACCATCATCCTCGGCATCGGGGTATCGCTCCCTCAAATCCTTGGGCTCGTAATGAGGCAGAGATCTCACGAACGCGCATGCCTTTTCGCCAGCGAGCTTTTCTAGCGTTTCGTCGTCGGGGGTACCGAGGGTTTGGAAGATGAGTGTGAGCTGTTCGACATAGCTATCATTACCCTCGCGTTAGCTGGATTCGTAAAGGGATAAAGATGACTGACTTGTCGCCTCGGAAGATTGGTTGCCTGCCGAGGAGTTCGGCGATGATACAGCCTATCGACCAGACGTCGACTGTTCTCGTCAATAACGATTTCGGCATAGGATGGGGAGATGACGTACTGGCTGTGGTATATCTCTTGTTGGAGAGCATGATCTCAGGCGCTCTATACCATCTCGTAGCCACATCTAAATCCATCAGCTTTCCCCCTCCCACTTCCCAAAACGCGTACTCACACTCAGTCATCTTCCCATCCTCCTGCCCTTCCTCCCCATCAACAGCCCTAAAACCCCTCGCCAGCCCAAAATCACAGATCTTCAATTCACAATCCCCATTCACCAGCAGATTCCCCGGTTTGAGGTCGCGGTGTATGACGTTGGCGGAATGGATGTAGGCCATGCCGCGGAGGAGCTGGTAGGTGAAGTATTGGCAGTGGGCGGGGGTGAGGGTTTGGTCGGAGCGGATGATTTGGTGGAGGTCTGCTTCCATCGGCTGACTTGCAATCAGTTTTGGTCAAGTGCGCAAGAAGGGTGGACGTACCTCCATGTAGAGATAAATCTCATTATACCCATCCCACACATGATCCAAATCCACAAGCCCCGTCAAGTTCTCATGCCCCCAGAAATGCCGCAACAGCGTGATCTCTCTCAAAGCCCTCTTTGCTAGTATGACCTTGTCAAAGACGCGGGTGATGCATTTGACGGCGAGAGTGGTGTCGGTGTAGGTGTCTTGGACGTTGATGACGAGGCCGTAGGCGCCTTTACCGAGGGAGCGGAGGAGGTTGAAGCGGTTTGGGATGTGGAAGGGATGGTCGAATACTGTTAGGGATTTATAATCTCTGCGACATCGTCAGCGACCTCTCTTGTAGGTTTAGTAGGACCAACCTTTCACGCAAGCACTTTTCGCTCAAGGGATGCCCTTCTTCATAAAGATCAACCACCTCTTCCCCTCCAACTTCCCCGTCCAAACCACGCTTCGCAGCAGCCGCCATCCTACTTGCGCCCGTCTGCGGTGTCGGCTTTCCATCGGCCGTATCTGTCTCTCCGCCGTTATGTATAGCAGGCGTATGCGAACGCGATGGTAGACGCGACGCGGCGTGAGAGGAAGAAGTGCTGGGACGGCGTTTGGGGAGACCCGTTATGGGTTGTGGGATCGGAGCGGGAGGTAGGAGGGGCTGGTCGAATGCTGCCAGCGGGGAGGTGGACGATGGTTTCTCGGTCGCCTCTTCAACGCTGCCTGATCCAGAGCTTGTTGCTAGTGATACGAGCTTTTCCGAAACCCCCGTCACCCTGTCGCCCACAGCTGCGGCAGGCGCACTGGGAGCACGCCTGACGGTTGCGCCGCCCGCAGGCCCGGCGGGAGAAGATCTGTTGCTGATGATATTCAGCGCAGGGGACGAGTGGGTATGTGTTGGCCGGGGAGCTTGTGAACGGGGAAACATGGGTTGGGGGGCAGCATTGGAGGGGGAGAGAGAGATCGATGGAGACATTTGGAGATGGGTCGTCGAGCGTCGCGGGTGGGTATGAGTTCGAAAGCGGTTCGAAGGGTTTTGAGGGATGCGCCTATACACGCGGTCAACGCGGTGGGCGGCTGTTGGGGGAGCTGGATATGACGCTTCAAGACACCAGGCAGGCAGTGAACAGCAAGGAAAAAAGATGAGAAATTGGGAGATCCGCGATTTGCTGGCACGCGGTGAGTCACCTCGGAGGCGCGTTGGAGCGAGCTGGGTGTGTTGTGGGGCGTGTTGTGGTGGCCTGGACTCGCTGCGTGGTGGGTTGGGACGGGATGGGGAGGCTGGGCGTGGTGTGGGAAAGTCTGTGCTGGGTCGTTCAATGCAAGTGGAGAACCGCATCGACAAGTCTGGAGCCCAATTTTATTCACCGTCCAAGGCACCGCCAACGTTATCCCCGCTTATGCGAGATGTTGAGGCATCTCGCCGTCTGGGGCTCGTCCGGGGCAACTCATAGCTGGGCAGGATATTTCTCGGGCAGGGGACAGGAAGCTGGTCAGCTGTAGTAAGGTATGAGTGCGAATATATGACTTCTCCAGTCGCTGGTATAGACGCTGGCCTGATTTGCAACACAGGAAACCTCTCCTTCTTGCTCGATCGTCTCCATGACTTGACCAAACTCAGGACATCTACATCCTGTATATACCAAGGAAGAAGCGCTGATACATAGAAGAGAGTGCCAGCAAGACGGGGTGCTCAACGTCTTATTCTGTGAGGTAAACATACTATTTTGCCACAACACAAGTACGTAAGCAAAGTGGGAGTAGCTCAGTGGTAGAGTAGTAGATTGCAATTGTCTAATCGCAAATATCTATTGGTCCTGGGATCAACCCCCAGTTCCCACTTTCTTTTTGCTTGCTTCTCTGTCCGAGTTCTCTGTCCGAGTAACACTTCATCTCATCCTCGTGGTATATTCTTACTTTTGCGCAATGCATAGTTACCAGCAATAAAGCGGCATGGACAGTATGCCCCTAAGAGCCCGTTGATTGAAAGTTGAAAGCTCTGCTCAAGCGCTCGCGCTCGGGGTATACATGAAATCTTCAATATCCTAGAATCCTAAACTAGCCAAAACCGTCGAAACGTTACTCGCAGAATCACGCGAACAAAAAACAACAACCATACTGGACGCGCTCGCCCTTTAACTCCATCCTTCTCCTTTTCCTTCTCCTTACCAGACTCAGAATTGGTGATCCCAATTAGGATCCCCATTCCCACTCGGGGCAGCAGCCGCACTCCCATTCGACCTCCCTGCACTCGCACCACTATCCCCCCTCCTCCTTCCTCCCCCACCCCCACCCCCAGCCCCAACCCCAGCCCCATTGCTATACCCAACCCCGGCCCTTTCATTCGAATAATTAAACTCGGGGTTCCTCGCCCACTCATTCTCACCGCCATTCTTCTTCGCCGCTGCTTTTTGCTGCTTCTTGCCAGATTTACGGCCTTTGGACCCATAGTCGCGGCCCCATTCGGGGATGTCGTCTTCGGTGGCGGCGGAAGGGGGGTAGGTGTTGGTAGAGCTTGAGACGGAGGAACGGCGGGCGGCGCGCTGGAAGGTCATTGTCAGATGGGTGATAGGGACGAGCTGGGTAAGAAGAAGGGGAGGGGAGGGGAGGGGAGGGGAGGGGAGATGGGGACTTACTTGCCATCGGTCGCCACCGGAAGAGCCGGCGGACTTTCCTTTACGTTTATACGACCTGCCATCGCCGACGGTACCTTCAAAGTTGGCGGGGTAGTGCCACGACTTTTGGTTCGGCGCTCGATCTGTCACATGCCTTGTCAGCCCTCTCCCCTTCCCTCTTTTCTCTCCTCTTTCACTCCCCCTTCCCTTCCCTGCTTGACAACTCACCAGCATTATAATACTCCTCATCCTCAGCACTCCAAAGCCCCTCATTCCTCCTCCTCTCAACCTCCGCAGGACTCTCCGTATACGGATCATAGTTTGGCCCTTCTTCGCCGGCTTCGAGCTCTTGGTCGGCGAGGGTGGAGTGGTTGTTGCGTTCTTCGAAGCGTTTGGCCCAGAGGTTCTTTTGGGCGCGGCGTTCATTGTTGGAGTTGTCTACGAGGCCGTACTGGGGTGGGGTGTTAGATGGCTTTTGGGGAAGGGAAGGGGAAGGTAGGGGGCGTACTTTGATAGCCCATTTGGGGGTTCGGGCGCGGTTCTGGTTGTTTCGGATGTTTTGGATGTAGAAGCTACAACATCATCAGCCTCCAATCTTCCGTCTTCATGACCATTCTTCGTTTCAAGCTGATCCATTGGTTAAGGAGAGACGAAGCTTACTTGTGAAAGTGACAAGGGATATCTGTATCGCCGTCAGATCTACTTCATACTCAAGGCGATAGAGAGCGAGAACTTACAGCCACAGATACACAAGAAGACATTGATGAAGAAGTCGACTCCTATACCGAATCGCACAGCCACAGCTGAAAGCCCCATCCATCAGCTCCTTGATCCATAGGCCACTTCGCAGGCTTCCCCGAGTCCCCGTTTTTCTCCGTCCGCCATCGTCCCTCACGCGCCTCGGATCATTGAAAGAAGGGATAAGAGGGATGAAGAGACATACCAAGAGGGGGCAACAACAGACCCAAAAGCCAGAGCACCAACTGGAAACCATGATGCGCCTTTGGTTTTAGGGAGATCTTTTTAGGGATATGGTGGTTTAACGACATGTCGGCTTGTTTTCTGCTTCGTTCTTACTGCTTCGCGTTGGAGGCCAGAGGCGAGTAGGTGGAGAGGGCAGACGGATGGGCCGAAGTCTGGGGGAGAGAGGCGGAGAGGCGGATAGGCGACGCGTCCGGGTGGGAAAGGGTCGATTACGCGCCCGGCCGGGTGGGAGACGCAGTACGAGTACTCTAATGATCCGGGTGACAAAGGAATTCGGATCGTCCTGGGCCTTTGTCTCAGATTCTCTGAGGCCGTTCCGGGGGGATATGCTGTTGATACAGCGAGAAGAAGACGGAGATGGAAAGATGAAGGAGGGATAAGGGATAAAGACGTCTGGGTATGTATCCGTAGCTGACGGAGAGGGACGAGCGGCGGAAGCAAATCGCGGGCCGGCGCCTGTTTACGTACTCGATAAGCTCAATCAACTAACGTCGTGCAGTGGTGGCCAGAACGTGGCTCGACTTTCACATTTCAAGTTCATGTACTGCTGCTACTACAAAATCATTACCCCCACGGTACCAGTAGATGTAACAGACTCTTCAGGCTAACAATAATCACCCAAGATGGAGCACGCTTGAATGTGACCGCCCACTACAACCGCTCGGCGGCCGCGGTGGCAGTGCAGGCGCTGTGACTCAACTTCTTGGCAGCGATGCGACTTGAGCCCTTTCTTCAGAAGTACATACGTTGTTGAGCGAGCCGAGACATGACAGAAGCATGAATGCCAAATCAACATTCTACGATACTGGCGATACTAGTCTGTAGTACTTGTGCTCTCTCTTCAATCATTGCGCCAGCTGCCCTCGCGTTTCTGAAGGTGGCGTGGTCTCACGGACACAATTGGCCGGGCGTCTCACAAAGGAATTAGCTCATCACGCTGATGGACCGCAGCTGATATCACGGATTTGCATGCGAATGAGTATGGGAATGACACACGTTCTCCGTATGAAAGTGATTGTCAAATTCTCACGTCAGCGGAGTCTGCGATGGGACTCCGGCCGCCTCCTCCTTCCTGCAACAGTCGATGGCTTCACACCGGCTATATAACATCCAATGCACATTACCGCACTATACGAGTTTTGATTCGTATTCCAGCTAGATGCCCAACAAATCGACATTCGATACCATGTCCTTCAACCCTTACACCGCAAGCGACCAAAACAGCTATTACAGCGGCCACTTTCCCACCAACACGATGCCGGTTGGTTCAGCATGGAATGAGAGTGCCACCTCGGGATATGTTGATGGGGTCAGTGAGCTACATGTATCCCGGAACGACGTCACTTGAGCTGATGACTGATTGATTCCAACCAAAATCCGATTGTCTGCATGCCAACACTACTCACCTCGCATAACGATGAAGGGGGTAAGCAATCAAGCTTGGTACAGTCAGAACCAGCAGCCATTATTTGCATCGTTCAGCGCTGCCGGCAGTCTTGTTCCGGTGAGCTACATTGCGTCCATATTACCTCCACTTCCAAAAGAACATTCAGGGAGTAGAGCCCGACATTGTGTGAGGGTGATTGCTGAGCTGACATGACGCGCCCTGGTGATTTCAGTCCATTGACCCCACGGCCGCTCAAGGAAGCAGCAGCACTACTACTACTACAACCACTAACAGGAGAATACGACAGCGTATGTTGTCGCCCCGTCTTTACTGCAGTTTGTGTATGAAAACGTGCTGATTGGGGAGAATCAACAATCGTACTTGCAGCATATCACTTTACAGGCAGAAATCAAGGAAATACAAAGTCAGATGTTGGACTCACTGATGTTCAAAAGAGGAAACGCGCCGGTGGTAAGTACCATTCCATCGCACGCCTGGTATAACTCGACACCACACTTGCGGCATGCTCTTTACTCGGTTTACTCGAGGTATACTGACAATGGGCGTCACATACAGATCGCGCACTTAGCGCCAAGCCAAAAGCAGGGAAAGACAACATAATAGCCAACCTTGAATCTCAAATCCGTGAAGCTCAGACGTCTCTAGACGCCACGGAAGCAGAACAGCAAGAGTTGATTACTGCGTTGTCAATTGCGCAGGCTGAGAATATGATGCTGACAGGGGCGTCATTTGCTGAATATGGGGACCCACTCTGAGACTTTGACGAGTCGTGGCCGGAGGAGCAACATGATGGCCAGTTTCCTCATTGAATAAAAATGGCTTAGCACCAAACACTGGCAAGGGGAAGAAATCTGAGCGTGGCTCTTCATCGTTCCTCTTTCACAGTGCAGACTGCTACATATTTGTAGAGAGTGAATGATTATGTTATGAGGCTTTATTGAGGACAAGTTCGTAGCTGGCTGTATTAGAGTACAGTACGAGTGGTATATCATAATCTAGCAACAATAACGAATACACGTATCTCGTACATGTTATCGAATAATATCGCTGTAGATCGTGTTTGTACATACGACCATAAGACCATATATATAAGAGCTGCAGATCCTGGCCCACCCAGTAAGCCAACCTCCTCGACGATAATATCCGTGATAATCATCCTCGCACTCTACCTTTGCTGTGAAAACGATCCTCAGTCTAGACAGACAGCAATTAGTAATCATACCAATACAGCATCTACCGCAATATACTAGTACGGTAATGATCTCACCTTCTCATCAACCAAGATACATGTGAGAATGTGTCATGGTTAAAGGAGTCATCTGTGTAATTAGTTCATTCAATAGATTAGTTGTGTGTTTGTGGACCGTGCTCTCCGTTGTTACACGTATCAGAGTCTTTTTCATAGTTTCTTCTTCTTCATATGCGACAATAACGAAAAGGTTTTCGCCCCTTACTACAAAAACTCTCTTCAGCACGTCAAGGGCACTCCCCAGGCGTGACAGAATGTGGACGGAGACATCAGAAAGGAGTGCTGAGCCACAGCCTCGAGAACGCGCTTCAAGATACAACGTTCAAATGTCTAGATGTGATGATGGTGGGAACATCACGAAATTCACAGCAATTTACAAGTAAAATTGCTTCAGACTCTCATCGGAGTATGAGGACGTTTCAATATCGATACTACGTCGGGCTATGGGCTACCATGGCAATTATCATAGAAAAGATGTATGAATCTTTCGAGATTGACTCATGAGTTCAAACTTGACAAGCATGTCCTTCAACGATCTTACCAATGAATACGGGTTCTACGACGAAAGCAGCATGACTTCCGGTCTTGTTGACGGCGTTGACACCTCGCTCTATGCTGCGGTTAGTGAATTTCGCACATACCGAAATATCTGTTGTCCTTCAATAACGACTATCATCACAGGAGTCAACAAACAATCAAAGCTTTTATGGTCAGCAACAATCTGCCGCGTCGTTTGAGGTTGCTGGTAGCTCTGCTCCAGTATGTCTTGACCTATCTTTTCTCTCATTCCAGGGGACTCGTCTGTCGAGAAGATTGTCACGCCTTTGGTGAATGGAAACGCTGACACTACTTGTCCTGCTTACAGTCAGCTGGGCCCTCACAGCAAACAACAAGCACTTCTTCCAAGAAGAGATGTACGTTTTCTCTCGTCAATCTCGCAACGATTGATCAAGAAAGACTCTGTTGACTCTCTGATCATAATGTAGTACCTTATAATTATAGCAAGAAAAACAAAGGAAACACAAATTCAGAATCTGGGCTTACAGAGGCGGAAAAGAGGACTCGGGCCAATATTGCGTATCTACATGATGGGCAAGCGGGCACTGCATTGTATAATCTTGGGTGTTGATGGGTATACAGATAGAAGAGCCCAAGCATCCTTGATGAGGCGAAAAAATGACAAGGTGGCCACCCTTGAAAATCAGATACGTGACGCTGAAACATCGCTAAGCCAAACGGAATCGGAACAGCGAGATCTGCGTGATGCGTTGTTGCTAGCTGAAACCGAAAACCTGATGCTGAGGATGTATGAAGGCGATGGGAAGTCCTTCTTGGACACGGATAACAGCTAGATGACCGACAGCGACTTTGTCCGTAGCACTCATGAATGACGAAACCTTGATCATTGCCGATTAGAACAAAAATGCTGATAATGATGTTGGCTGATAAGAACTGGTCCATGGACATACATCACCAAGCCGTATTATACACAAAGGGGCACCAAACATCAATGAGAAGTTGCTGAACTCCGGTAACCTCCTCGTCTGTATTTCCGAGAGACTCATCAAGAACCTCTGCTCATGCACACCCAACACATCGTCAAGCCTCTCGTGCAGCACAATCATCTCTCGTGAAGGGTCGCAAGACACATCCTTATTGAATACTGTTGTAAAGTCTTCAGCTCCTAACACCTGGTGACTTACATACCTGCTGTAAAGTCTATTGAATACTGTTGTACAGTCTTCAGCACCTATCACCTGGTAAGATCTATGCATTACATACCTGTTGTACAGTCTTCAGCACCTATCACCTGGTAAGATGAAAGAGCATGAGAAAGCACAACAGGCTCCACAATACACCACGCTGCAGTCCCTGAACCTCGTGCCGCCACATTGGGCATCTGGTCCCGCTACGTTACGTAACTACTTGTCTACCGTATACGTCTACTATCTACAGCGTCCAGCGTACTGAACTCAAGAATCCAACAAAGTCTTCAGCTCCTATCACCTGGTAAGATGAAGAAGCATGAGAAAGCACAACAGGCTCCACAATATACCCCGCTGCTAGTCCCTGAACCTTCCCGTGCCACGTTGGGCATTTGGTTACGCTACGTTATGTAGCTACTTGACTACTCGTATACGTCTATACTCGCAGCGTCCTGCGTAACGAACTCCAGAATCGAATAGAGACCACCGTGCTTACCGTCATACATAGTTATCCTGCCATACCTCCAGGACAGATAAGGCGCCCCTTCATGGTCCATCGCACCTCGGAAAGGAAATGCTATAAGATGATGCATTGTATAGGGTCTCGTGCCATACCTTCAGCGTGTATGCCAGTGCATCGTAGTAGCATCATCCACCAACAACAACAACTGGGAAACAAAACGGAAAGAATTACGTACTCATACTTGACGGAAGCAAATGTTACTGTCACGTCACCACTTTTTTGTCTACACGATACAAGCTTGATACAAGCTGGAAACAACTTTCACTCCTTCCAAACTCCTTCCCCGTCGCCAGCATCTACACATGGCAGTACGGAGAAATCAGCGTAAGGATGCCACTTATCATCATGATTGCTACTGATCACCACTTTCAGCTCGGCAGCAGGCAGCCCAAAACTCTCAGACAGCACCCTCGGCATACCGCCAAACGGATGCTCTCACAGAATTCCAAACAAGAAGACTGAACAAAAGGCTTGAAGAATTAGAGGTATATGCCTACTGAAAGCGCTGAATGGGATACCATGCTGACACTCTGCGCAAGAGGACGAATCCGACCGATATTCCTGCATCCTCTTTCGTCCCCGGCAATGTGCAAGCTGCTGGACTTGCGCAAGTGAACCAACCGCCCAAGAAGAAACAGACAGCCAATGTCAGAAGGATCTTGTACAACAAGAAATCGCTGAATGACTGGCTGGATGAGCTGGTACGCATGTCTGGTGTCGTCAATATCGCGTCTGACTTTGCGTAACATAGCCAGCCGAACCGATCCCACCCTACATCTCAGCTGTAGCTCCCCCACCAAACACTCCACCCCGACGGATATGTTCTTCTTGCGGCTATGTGGGGGCGTACAAGTGCCCGAGATGCTTGGAATGGAGCTGTGATATGGCATGTATGGCCGTGCATGAGAGGGATGGTGGATGTGGGATTGGCAGATGAGTGGAGATAGGCGACATGGCTGTCCGGGACGACGAGCAGTTGTACATCAAGGGAATAGCAGTATGTTGTAACATTTACTCATGAGATGACATAGGATCTACGGATTCGCCTCAGAAAACCCCTTGCGACGCCCGCTGGCTCGGAAGGGCTTCATGTCCATACAGTCGGTCACTAAGAACCGCTTACTCGGAGCTTGCAGACTTCACAGTCATTAGCTTATACCCCACTGGGGATCTTGCGGGCCCGAAACTCACAGAGTCAAAGGAAGGATCGTAGCTGTCATCAGCGCAGCCACCATCTTTCACGCACTGCACATCAGAGCATACAAAGCGGACTTCCTTCTCCGAGTCGCCCGACAGATAGGGAGCATCAGCACTGAGGGAAAAGACGAATGTGGCATCCGATTTGAGAGTATCATTGAGAGTAAGGTTGCACTAACCAGAATCAGCTCAACGCTCAACTACCGACAGCAGCTTTGTACTGACCTGTAGACTCCAAGCATCTACAGCCTCCCCATCATCCTCCACCGCCTTCTCCTGTATCTTCCACTCATACTCTACCACATCGCCCTCCCATACCTGGATCCCGATAGTCCCGGGACCGGCTAAAGCAGCATCGTCAGCAGAAGCGTTGGAAGGATCGGGGAGCATGGAAGTGTAGGCGGGGACATTGATTTGAATGATGGCGGACGTGGCGTCAGTATCGTCGGAGGATCTAGAGCGGAGACGGGGAGGGGCGGTGGTGGAGTTTCCGGGGACGTTGTTGCGCGCGCGAGGAGGGGCGACGGTGGAATTCCCGGGGACGTTGTTGCGAGCAAAGCGGGGTGGCGCGACGGTGGAGTTTCCGGGGACATTGTTACGAGCAAGGCGGGGGGGAGCGATGGTGGAGTTGCCGGGGACGTTGTTGGGAGTGGGGAGGGCGAGAGCTGGGAGGAGGAGGGCGAAAAAGGGGAGAATGGCGAGCATTGTGATGAAGATTTGAATGTGTGGTGGAAGGTTGTGAAGGGGAAAGGAGGGAGGGGGGTTGGGAAGACGGGTCGTTGTGGTTGACGATACTTATAAGCTTACTGGTAATGCCCAGTCGAGATCGGGCATTATCCTGACTCCAAGCCAAGGTCAAGACAGAAAGGACAGTCGGCAAGTCTCCTTTCAGAGTTCACGCTCATACGCGTTCCAGCCGCTTCGCCTTCCACTCACCCCCTTGATGACGTTCTGATATGTCATAGAGCCAAAATCAGCCAATGCATTATATGCCTGAAGCCCAAACATAACAAAACAACAACACCAGTCGCTCCCACCCTTTTACATGATAGAACATCTTGTGTCTAAACCCGTCTCTAGTGCGCGCTCGTTGACGACTTCTGCGTCATTCTCTTTCTGTTTCTCTTTGACCTCCTTGGGGAACCATTGTTTCATGAAGCTAGGTTGATGTCAGCGTGGGTATGCACAGATCATAGGCTTGACATACTGCATGATTGTGAGATCCAAGCTCGCTAGAAGGCATGTCAGTCGTTGACCTCAAGCGGAACGAAAGACTCACACTTATCAGCCAGCAGCACCACATCCTTCCTACAAAGCGGACACTCCCCCTTCCCAGCCTTCTGCATCTTCACCAAACACCTCACACAAAACAAATGCCCACATTCCAGCCTAATGGGCTTGAACGCAATAGAAGTACAGATCAAGCACGCATAATCGTCCAAGCTGGGGAGGATGGGCAGGAGGGTGGAGGTGAGGCTGGAGAGGAGGACGTGGGGGAGGGAGGTGTTGTAGAATGTCCAGGTGGAGATGTGGCCGTCTTTGTCGATTTGGGAGTGGGCGGTGAGGGTGGAACGGACGAAGGACTGGAAGCCGGTTGAGGCCGTTAGGGCTGTGCGTTTGTCGTGCTTTTTCAAGATCCTACGACCGAGTCAGTACGGTCCCCTTTAGAGAGGAAGATGGGAAGTACTTTTGAGCTGCTTTGATATTCGCAGTCTGGAACCTCTTGAGGTCCAGCAACAACATGTTCAACCTCAAAAACTCTTCCCAAGCTTCCCTTACTTTCTTCCCCTTCATCGTCCGTCGGTCTCCCAGCCCACGTTTGACAACCTCCGCAGCAAACTTCTGGAGCCTGCTCTCTGCTTGCTCGATGGTACGTTCCCCGCGATCACGTTCGGCGGTAGATTCGAATATCTGCGATTCGATCCATAGAGAGAATATCTCTCTCCACGCATAGAGATCTTTCTTTGATGCTTTTGCTGATGTCGAAGCGTGCAGGCGGGGCACGGTGTCGCTCATGTCACTCCCGCTTGGCGTCAAAGGCGTCGGTAGTACTTCAAGACTACTCCCCTGCGGCGAGATAGACTTTGATATCATAGCGCATAAGCGCTCGACGGATTGTTGGAAGAGCGTCTGTTGTCTGGCGGTGAACAATGAGAGGGAAGTGAGGGCGGTGGTGAGGAGGGAGAAGAAGGCGAGGTCCGAGGCGAGGGGAATTATGAATTCGCGTTCTGTCGTTAATGCCGAGGCAGGCTCGAACATTGCCGAAAGGTCTGGGGATGGAGGATCGGGAAGAGGGCTGGGAATCTCTGCTACGGCGGCTTCGCCGATAGAAAAGTCGCTCATCCCCTCACTCACTCCGGTGCTCGCAATAGCCCAAATGGGTGATTGGGCGCCTTTGATACGGCTCAGGTGCGGGCTCGACGGTAAAGATGGGTTTCTGACTTTGTTGAAAGCCCGAGGAGTCTTCATGGCGAGGTCGAAGGCTTCTTCCCCACCATTCTCATCTTCTGTCTCTGTCCCTGTCTCAGTTTCAGGTTCAGTCTCTGATTCGAAAGAAGATGGCGCGGGTGAAGGAGAGTGAGAGTGGGAGCGTGATGGGGAGATGGATGTGTCGAGATGGAGTCGGAGTTGGGGGATGGGATGTTGGGGATCACCTGCCGATTCATCAGCTCCACTCCCACTCTCAAATCACACAAGACAAAGCTCACCTATAAGGACATACTCCGCCTTGACACCCCCATGTCCATCACTAACAGCCTTTTTCACGACTTTTCTCTTCCCATGTACTCTCGCTGAGAGCTCGGACCCTCGGCCCCTATGATGCACATCCTCCAACGAGAGATTTGAGGTATGCTCTTGGGCCGAGATGATATCCGTTACGCTCAGAGGTCTGACTGAGGTGCCATCCTCCTTCGGTGTTTGGGATGTTTCTGATAAGAGACGCAGTCGGAATCTGCGGTGATGGTGGGGATGAAGAGATTCGACAGACTGTTCGTCGTCATCTAGATTTTGTTGTTCTGTGATGGGATGGACAATGACTTCGACCGGATGGTGATGCGGGGGAGGAGGAAGGTCGACAGAACCAGAACGCAGCACTACCGGGCTCCCTTCCTCACTCTCAAACTCAAACTCTATCACATCCTCCTCTCCTGCTCTCCCTTCTTCCCCCGTCAACCCCCCATCACCACCACCGTCCGACACCACGGGGGTATGCGAGGCGAGAAGAGACTTGCCATCCGTATCTTCAGTAATAAGCAGTTTGTGCAGGACGTCAGGCGAGAGACCCATAGAAGTGAGCTCGGCTACTACGTCTTTGATAACCTTCTTCAACTGCCTTTCATGTCAGCTCCTGAAACACTACATGAGTGATTGGGGAGTGGGGAGATGGAGAGACGTACTTGGCGATATTCGATAGCGGAGGATTTCCATTCTTCTGGAAAGTCGGACTCGTTCAGGAGCTGTTGGAACTCTTTGCCGTACTTCATGATGACCAGGACGCGGTTTTGGAGGGGAGGTGTGGGTGGGGCCTCAAGGGGTTGGTGAATGGATTGGAGCTAAGGAAGCTAGGAACTAGGGTAATATTCGGTGACTGCCCATGCCCACACGACTTTCTGGAGAGTGATTGTTGCCTGTTGGGAATGATGGAAGGAGATTCTTGACGGTGGTGATGATGTCGGTCAGTCTGATGGTGCGGCCTTATGGGCAGGATGCAGTTGGGTAGGGTATAGTGTCGCCAGTGTATTATGTAAAGAGGAATGAGGAAGTACCATTCCCCAACTTTTTTCCTGTTTAAAACGACGTGAATTCTCGAAAACAGAAAGAACCACTGGAAGGCTGAGGATCACGCACGTTTCTTAGCGCGGGGATGAGGCACAAGGCACGAGATAACTCAATTGGCCGTGGGCTTATCTTCATGGCAGATTCCATAACGCACGGTATTGTTTGGAGATGGGCAGGGGAGGAAGAGAACAAATGAGTGAAAGTAAGAAGAACTACGTGTGGATCTGTGACAAGGCCGTGGAGGAGCGGCGAGTTCGTCAATCGCAAGACGCCACTTGTGGCACTTTGCTTTGACGGAGACGAGTTTGCTATAAATCAAAGCAAGTATATCTCTCTGAAATATAGAAGGCTAGGATCAAGACACACCCAATGCCACTAATGATTTCGGAGATTGTTTGAGGACCCGACACAGGATCCAGATCCATCCCACATTGTCGTTCAACGGGTCGCGCAACAACACGATCTGTTGGTCGAGTCTGTATATCTTTATACGTTCCCGAGTGTAAGCAGATTTACTAGCCGTACCACACTTCGAGCACCGTGTGATTACCAATCTGTAGACTGAACCATCGCAAGAGAGACAACGCCTGTCGTTCAAGCAAGTCACAAGCCGCCCAGTCCACCAGCTTGACCAAGGGCGTGGACCTGATAACCGATTCACTGATAGAGGCAACAGCGTATACACGTTATTACTTCGCGATCAAGAGAACAAAATCACATGTCAGGGAAGGCTGCTGCTGACTTGTTGGAACCAAATTCCACGCTGTCAACCCGCCACTTTGTGTCGCGCCCCCCCATTTTAGCTATGACGCATGGGCCATGGAGCATCATCTTCTCTTTCATTCTCATCTTTCCATCTCTTCCATCCCATTGCAGTGCCAACAGGGTAGCGATGTCCAAGCCCAAGTCAAAATCCTCGGCACCGCCTCCACTGGGCGGCCAGGTCCCCTCGCCCTTCAGAACATCAAGCCAGCAGAATGTTAACGCGCAGTCTAGCCCAAAGTTTTATGTACGTCGTCCGCTTAGAGCTGGGACTATGACTGACAGGCGTTTCAGAATGGCCCCACGGTAGCCTCCAAGCCCCCCACCGCCAAGGACAAGGCCGTCGTCGCTGGCACCAAGGCTACCGCCGTCGCAAAGACATTACAGACCAGGACTGTCGCCAAGGTCAGGCGTCATCCCTGGGGCTTTGTCTCCCTCCTCAGCACCATCCCCTTCCTCATCATCATCTCCCTCGCTTCTACCGTCCTCTGTCCTCCTCCGGGGACTTCGGCAGTGAACAAGTACCTGCTTTCCCCGCTTGGTTACCCCGAACACCAATCGCACCCCATCCTCTGTTATCCCGCCAACGTCTACAACGCCAAAGTCCTCCAGCCTTACGTCTACCCGGTGCTGGACGACCTGCAAGCAAAGGTCATCACCTCCTCCCCTTATGTCAACTATGTAGAACCCGCCTCCGTCCAGGCGCAGCGCGTTGGTGTCAAACTCTGGAACGGTCCCGTCAAGCCCGTCGTCACCCGGATCCAGCGCGGTATCCGACGCTTCTACCTCACATTCGTCGAGCCTCACATCCCATACTTGAACGCACGATACCACACTTTCGTCGACCCTTATACTACCCGCATTTCGGCGCTCACTGCGCCCCATCTGGCCTCTGCTCGGGCTTACGCCGCGCAGGCGGGAGCCAACGCGTACGGTACGTACCAGTACGCTGCTAGCCACCCTTACACCGGGCATGCTAGTAGGTACGCTCAACAGGGGTACAAGGTGGGGTCACAGAAGGGATTCGAGGCGTACAAGTGGAGTCGGCCGCATGCTATCCGAGCTGGGGAGGAGGTTAGGAGGATTGCGACGCAGGTACTGGGACCGAGGGCTGTCAAGGCGGCGGAGGTTGCTTTTGCGCAGATTGATGCAGCTTGGAAGATCGTCAAGGCGTGAGTCTTTCATCTTGATTGTTGACTGAAGCTGATGATGAGTTAGTCAAGCTTGCGCCCAATACCGTAGCCACCTCGAACCCCACGTCGCCCCGCATCTCAAGACTGCCGCCACCGTCGCTGCTCCCTACTACGCCCTCTACAACAAACACATCCACACCCCCTACGTCCAGCCCGCTTATCAATCCGTCTTTCCCCCGACGAAAGAGCCCAAGACGTTTTTGAAGATGCTTGCGGACTGGCTCCCTACCAGCGGCTTGACGGCGGCTGAAACGAGGGGTGGGCTGGATGATTATTTTGCGGATGTGCAAAAGGCCAAGAAGGGTAGTACGGGGGATTTGATGTTGGGTGAGATTAAGCCGAAGAAGGGGGAGAAGATTGTGAAGGCTGAGGCGAAGAAGCCCAAGGTTGAGGAGAAGCCCAAGAAGGTGGAAGTACCCGAGGCCAAGGTTGTCGCAGAGGACAACAAGCGCTGGGACCGGGCGACTATGAACGACGCTATCAAGACTTTCCGCGCCAAGGTCGACGAGCAGGGCAAGACGAGCGAAAAGCAAGTCAAGAAGGAGGTAAATTGAAGCGGCTCGCTTTTATAAGACACGTTGTATGCTCATGTATTGTACAGCTCAGAGAACACAATGAAGGCGTGGTCCAACACACCCTCCCCGAATTCGCGACAAACATGCGTTCCGAGGTCGACAAGGAAATCGAATACGTCCTCAAGGGTCTTGACCGACTATACACCCAATCGCCTACTCTTACGCGGGACCAAGTGAAGGACTCGAGCGATAAGGCGGATGAAAGGGTCGGCAAGAGTTTGGACAAGATCAAGGCTAGGTTGGATCTGGTGAAGAACAGGGTGCATGGGGAGGCAAAGCCGATTGTGAAGGGGCAGTTTGATGTGCTCGATACGCTTTTGGGAGCAGAGTATGTCAAGCTTGCTGAGCATGTGAGTCTTCTTCTGTTGTTTGAGGGGAGGTATAGCTGACTTGGGGGTAGATGTCTTGGGTCGACGACATTACTGTCAAGGACTGGGACAAGTACCACGAGATCCGCAAACTCGCTTCCGCCTGGAAAGACAAGTACATTGCCCTCCACGAAGAACCCACCACTTTCAAACCTTTCGCCGAGCTGCGTACTGAACTCAGCGACATCCACGAGGGTTTCAGGACCAGGCTTGGGATCTTGAAGAGAACCGCGGTGGACAGGATCGAAGCTAGGGAAGAGGTTGAGGCTGCCAAGAAGGAAAACGCCAAGAAGATCAAGGAGAAGAAGCCTGAACCTGGAAAGGTTAGCATCTTACCGGTTGTTGAGGGTGCTGGAGCTGCTGCTGCCGGGATCGCTGGTGCCGGCGGGGTCATTGGCAAGGGTAAAGAACAAGTCCTCTCTGCTCTCTCTGCTGCCTCCCCTACGCCTACCGCCGGCTACGCCGCCCAAGCCCAGTCCAGCGCCGAGTCAATCCTTTCCGCCGCTAGCCAGAGCGTACACGAAGCGACAAGATCAGCGTACAAGGCTGTTGGTGGTACACCTTCCCCCGAGTCGCCTAGGGAGTATGCCGAGAGCGCGTATGGCGCTGCGAGCCTTGCTGCGGCGGATGTTTTGGCGCAGGCGAGTAAGAGCTTGGATGCTGCTACCAAGAGCGCTATCCGTGCTGCTGGCGGTACTGCTTCGCCAGAATCTCCCAAGGAACATCTTGAGAGCGTTTACAAGGCCGCTAGCGAGGGTCTTGAGGCGCTTGCTGTCGGGGCTGCTGGTGCTGCCCACGAGGCGACAAGATCAGCTTCCAGGGCTGTTGGCGCTACGCCCACTCCGGAATCTATTGGGGAGAGCTATGAGTCGGTCGTTGCTGCTGCTAGCTCTGCGTCGCAGGAGGTTGTTGGTGCCGCTGGCAAGCAAGCTCGGGACGCGTCTAAAGCTGCTGTGAAGGCTGTTGGAGGTACGCCTTCGCCCGAGTCGCCTGCGGAGCACGTCGAGTCTGCTTATCACGCCGCGACCGACCAGGCGGCGTCTATCGCTTCAGACTATGCATCTTCCGCGTCAGTCCTCGCCAGCGAGGCGAGCGCGTCAGTGCATTCTGCTACCCGATCGGCTTTGAGCGCTGCGGGTGCCCAGCCGACTCCCGAATCTGCTGAAGAGTATCTCGAGTCTATTGCGGGTGTTGTTCAGCAGGGCGCTGCGTCGGTGTACTCTGTGGCGGGCGAGAATGTGCATGATGCTACCAGGAGCGTTGTGAGGGCTGCTGGCGGTACGCCTACACCCGAGACTCCTGGAGAGCACGCCGAGTCGCTCTACAATGCTGCTAGTGAAGGCGTTGTTGATGCTGCGGATGCTGTGACGGAGCAGGCTGCTAGGATCTACACCGGTATCCAAGAGGCGTTGGGTGTGGTTTCTACGCCTACGCCGCTGGCTTCTTCTGCTTCCAGCTATCTCGCGTCGGTGGCTTCTGAAGGATCATCGACTGCTGCCGAAGCGCTCGCCACCGGTTCGTCCATCCTCTCTTCGCTCCAGAGCGAAGCCTCCGTTTCTCTTCACTCTGCCACCCGATCAGCATCTTCCGCCCTCGGCGCTACGCCCTCCCCTGAATCACCTGGAGAATACAAGGATGCGGCTGTCGAGCAGGCGTTGAGTGCGAGGAGGGCGGCGGAGAGTTTGGTGAGAAAGCATGCGGGGCAGATCAAGAAGGATTTGGAGGCGGAGGGAAAGACGTTTGAGGACTATAGGCATGATCATGCGGCGGGTGGAGTTGGGCATAACCATGGGCATGGTCATGAAGGGCATGGTCATGCGCATGATGAGCTGTAGGATGGGGAAGGGGAGATCAGAAAGGAACAAGTAGATATACATGCAGATAATGAAGCTCTGGCTACGGCTGCATCTCAAATACCCAGTACATACATCGTGAATACATCGCATCGTATCGCGGCGCTAGATGAAGATGAGCTCGCTGCTCTGCATGAATCGTAGATGACTCACATCATGGATCTCTGATCAAACTTCCAGTCGTCTCAAAGTACTCCGCATCACCCAACAGCTCCCTCAGCCCTCTTGTAGAAAAGTCGCTCCCTAGAGAATTACACGCCCTCGCACAAACAATTTTGTCCCCCACGTCCGACACATAAGTGTAAAACATCAACAGCCGGTGCATCCTGTCGCCCCAGGGGGGCTTCTGGTGCGGCCCTGGGCTTTTCGATATTTGGACGAGGGCTTGGTAGTACCATTCGGCATCGTTCCGTATTTGGAGCGTTGTAGGGGATGAGGGGGGTTGATTTTGTAAGACTTGAGCCATCACTGCCCAGGAATCTGGGTAGTCCGGGTCAGTCCGAGACTATTAGGAAGATAGGGCTTGGACGCACCTTGGGCAAGCCTCTGCCCTCTTGGAACACCATTCACCATAATCTCCAGATCCCCGTCAAACCCACACCCATCAGAGTCTTCTCCGTCACTCCATTCCCCGTCCTCTGCTTGTTTCTGCTTTGCTACTTGATAAGCAGACAGTCCGTTTGTCCGAAATCCAGATGCGATGCTGCTACCGCTTCTTTCGGCTTGCTGCCCCGCCGAGGGATAGTAGTCGCCATTGAGGTTACCGATAATAGTATGTCTTGGGGGAGCTCGTGGGGGCGGCATAGATTTCGATGGTAGAATGGTTTTGGACGAGGAAGCTTTGGAGGCGGATGCTTTTCTCTTGAGGGAGGGTTTGACACTGGGGATGGCAGGGGGAGCTGTCTGTGGGGGGTTGAGAAGATTCGAATCTGTGGGCGTCCAATCGCCCATCGTCATGTCGTTGTGATATGGGAAATGAAAGAGGAAGAGGATCAGTCGCGTGGATTTCATGAGAGTCGTGCCTGGGCGACGCGTCGAATATCCAGCGAGCGAGTTCTGCAGATTCCCAAATCTCTCCAAAGAATGTCAATTCTGACTCCGGCCTGTATTTTTACGGTGACTGACTGATAGGTACGCATGTCCAGCCGCCTTCTCGGAATTCACTTTGCCAGGAGGGAACGTGAGTACAAGTCCAACAAGCTGGAGGAAGGGTCATTCGGAAACTTCAGTCACATTCGGCGTTCACCACCCTGTATGTACTTATACTAGAACCTGCTGCTACCAAAGAGGCCTACTATAGCTCAGTCCAAGTGTCCCATACTGACTTTCCAGACTAAGCCGTATCACTCGCTCCAGTCCCTTCGACTTCCCTTCGCATAACATCCAGACCCTCCTCTATGGATTTCTTATACTCCGAGCGATTTCTAGAATACCATTGTCGATCTCTTAGTGGACGTCCAGATAAAACATCGAACATGGAAGCATCAACCCATGCAGCCTTTACCAGATGTCCATCCATGATTTCACTGTCCTCTTCTGAATTCCCCCCGTCATTCAAAAAAGACACTTCGTCCACAGTCTTGTACGCTGCCTGTTTGAACAGACCGTGCTCGTAGAGATCGGTGTCTACCATGAAGTCTTCTGCTGTTGTCATTCTCCCAAGCCGGAAAGTTTGCTCATGGGGGACCGCAGCATCGAGGGCCGAAAAGAACGCTCTGTTGTACGATATTTGTGCGCTCTTGTTCTTGTGAATCCATTCGGGACAATCGTCCATGACACGGCACGAGACTTTGGCTTGGGGAATGGAGACATTCCATCCATTCACCCCTCCGCCATGCCTGCCTGCAGAAGAAGGAGGGGATCGCGCTAGCCTCGTGGGTTGATTGATACCGGTGGTGAAAGCTAGCTTGATGGTGTCTGCTGATTCAGAGCACAACTCGTCTACACCCTTCGCACTCGCTACTGCACGCTCCAGCTTATCCTCGTATTCCATTTGATCCATCGGTCGATCGTCAGGACCATTCAGATTACCCCCATCATCCAAGAAGCTGTTCACAGTAGAGTGAACGCGATAAGCAAAAGGCCTGACGCTCTCCGTATACACGCCGTGCATGACGTTAGAAAGAAGGGTTTGCTGGTTGATATGAGCTTGTCGGTTATACTCTTGGTACGTTTCAGCTGTATCGCCCCATCGTAACATCGAGGCGTCGATGATTGTAGACTGCAAGTGCTCAATGCTAGCCTCAACCGAGCTCACATACTCGCCCGCGGCTCTTTCAACTTCGACCGGTACGGGCACAGCAGTCTCACCTCCGCCTATCCCCTCATCTCGAAAGCTACGGAGAGTGAAGCGTGACTCAATGACGGGCTGATCGACCCGTCTTTGCAGAAAGGGTCCGTAGTTTTCACCACGATCGTTGGCGCCTGTGGAGCTTAGAGCGGGGAGAGAACCCTCGAGCAAGATTTTTGTGGCGATGAGCTCTGATCTGATGCCATGCTCTTGAGGGCCGGACATCATGAGTTGGATTTTCAGTTGGTTCTATGACCGGGGACAGGGGTCGAGTAGTAATCTTTGGGAAGGACGAGGAAGTATTCGAGAAGCACTTTTTGGTCGCGTAGAGCAATATCATCATGACGACGAGAGGACACTGGAAGCCATAGTCGAACACCGCTTTCGAGTGGCGATACGCCTCGATTGTTTGGCACTGTGTTCTATTTTTCTTTCCTTTGTGCAACTGATGTGAGAACGTAAAGGGCTGTTCTTTCGTACTATACCACCGATGAACCTTTGAAGCCGGCCATGAGATTGTGAACGTTATACAACAGGCTCTGGTTCCGAAGACAACTCAGGCTTTATACACGATGGATCAATCAATCCATTCATGTATAACGCATGGCGATGATCGTTCACAGGAGATTCCTAAAGCCTGAGCCAATATATAGTAATTCCTGACGGCCTCGCCTTGAAAAGGACCGCCTCAGGCTGACGTACTGGTTAGGTTGTTGAATTGCCATCGTCGGGAATAAGAGATCCACCAACGAATGTTATTCTTTCTCGCTCTGTACCTGCTCAGTAGGTCCAACTGCTGGGTACTCAAACCCCATATACATAAATCAGAATCCTATTCTGATGAAAGGATGAAAGGCCATACATTCACGAGTCCCAGGTGCCCCATATTGACTTTTCCGAACGAGCAGTACCTCCTGCCCCGTCACTTTCAAGCCCTTCGCATCGTCTCAAGACCCTCCTCAATGGAATCCTGATACGTCAAGGATCTTTGAGAATGGTATCGACGATCTCTGGTCGGCCGTCCAGACAGAACCCTAAACATGGGATCGTCGACCCACGCAGCCTTGACCGAGTGTCCATCCAGAGCCTGCCCATCCTCTCTCTCCACCCCGTCTCCTTGCAAGGAGGATATCTCACGAGTGGTTTGGTATGCTGCTTGATTGAACATACCTTGTTCATAGCACTTCGTGTCAACCATGAAATCCTCCGCGGATGTCCTCGGCCCAAGTTCGATTGTCACATCTGTGGATGCTGCATTGTAAAGAGCTTTGAAGAACGATTGGCTGTACGATACTTGCGCCGCCTTATTTCTGTGGACCCATTCAGGACAGTCATCCATGACTCGACTCGACACACTGATCTCTGGATCCAAGACTTTCGGCCCCATTACCTCTCCATCCTGCCCGTCCCCAGAGAAGGCCGCCGATCTCTCCAGTCTCGTGGGTTGGCCGACGTTGGTGGTGAAAGCCAGCTTGATAGTGCCAGGTAATTCGGCACATAACCCGTCTACACCCTTCGCACTCGCTATCGCGCGCTTCAGCTTGTCTTCGTACTCCATCTGATCCATCGGTCGATCATGAGGACCAAGTAGAGTGCCCCCGTCATCCAAAAAGTCTTTCACCGTCGAATGGACTCGATAAGTGATTGGCCGCGGTTCTTGCACTGTATACGCGCACTCTATGACGTCGGAGAGTAGGTCAAGTTCGCTGATATGAACTTGTTGAGTATGTTCTCGGTACTTCTCCACCGGATCTCCCCACTGCGCCACCGAAGACTCGGGATCTGGGGTCGTAAGTGCTGAGAGATACGATCTGCCGAGCTCAGAAACTCGTTCACCACTGCTTCAACCTCAGGTGGCACGGGTACCTTCTCTCCACGTTCACCTTTCTCCTCGCCTCGAAAGCTGCGGAGAGAGTATCGAGTCTCGATTATGGGAAGATCTACTCGCCTTTCCAAAAACGACCAATACGGTTCACCAGCATTTCTGGAGCCGCCACAGCTTAGAGCAGGCAAAGACCCCTCGAGCAAGATCTTTGTGATGATAAGCTCTGATGTGATCTCATTCTGTCGAGAGTTGGGCATTGTGCGTTGTTGGTACTGTGGAAGAACAGAGTATATTGGAGGATGAGAAACAATATAATGCAGCCACTGCGATACCACTTTGAATGATGTTCTAAGAGGATGGGTGACATACGAGACTAAAGTGAATAATTGATCACCGCTTTCGAGAGGCGATACGTCCAAATTGTCCTGCACTTGATCCTTTCTCATGTTTTCAACTGAGTGAGAATGTAAAGTGCTGTAACTGCCGCGGCATATTGGCACTCCCTTGACGCACAGCAAAGTGATCCTCACACAAGCCGTGACATGATTTTGTCCGAGCACATCTCACGTTCGATAATTTCGATGAGTCAACTGGGAACCTGATAGCCTGCCAATGCCCGCTCTTTCGATCCATGTAGACCCTCGTAGTCCTGCCTCGCGCTCTCATGACCAGGTGTGGTCAGCCAGCCCACCAAGGCCCCGGGCTGTATGTCGCTACCCCACATCCCTGGCCTCTAGACCACTGCGACGACTTTGATTCTTCGTGGTCTCCGTATCTGATGCTACTACTCTAATCGGCCGATTTATGGTATATGCATGCCCGTACTGTATCGCAGCCGAAAAGAACGGAAGAGGTATAGAACGATATCCGAAGAGATGCGAGCCCGAATTGCCGACAAGAGACGAGATCTGAGGAAATGAGGATGGTTATCGGAGGCCAGAGTTGACCATATCCAGCTTGTACACAATGTGACTCCGAGATACACTGCTGGGGACTCGCAAAGCAAGTGTGAAGATCGAGATGCCAAGAGAATACTAGGCTCGTTTGTGCATGGTGATTGGTGAAAGAGGACAGCATCAGCGATGGTAGACAGATCTCTGTGAGCGAAGCTGAAAAGCGCCGCGGATAACCGTCGATATCCATCTTTTGCGCTGTTCCTGTAGCTGCCACCTATAGCCAAGCGAGGGTTGTCTGACATGCCTATGCAAGCCCCGCGCCCCAGCGCGCACGTCCTATCGGATAGCGCACTGATACGCTCCAGGGACCACCAGCAACTCCCGAGCAGGCCCCCGCCTTGCATACCCTGTCCGAAAAAGTCACATCCGCCGCCGCCGATGTCCTTGCTCTTTGGCCGCTTGGCGGGCTTACCGCTCTTCTCTTTCCCAATGCACACTGCATGAATCCCCTTCCTCTTTTCAATGAACAAATCATGGCTCACTTCAAGGCTTTCAATGGTCCACCCCCCTTACATAGCAAAAGGTTCAACTTGTCACTCTTTTACTCCTTGCGACGACCCGGCGCTTTTCTAAACACCAGAGTAGTCACTGGTATGGCCCAGGGAGCTCCACTTCCCGGGGTACGTGGCCGGCCATCAGGTACCTGTCACGCCTGGGGAATGCCCTTGGCGTGCTGAAGAGAGTTTTGTTATAAGGGGCAAAAACCTTTTCGTTATTGTCGCATACGAAGAACTATGAAAGAAGACTTTGATCTATATATACGGAAAGCACGGTCCACTAAACACACAACTAAACTATTTGAATGAACAAACTACACAGATGACCCTATAACCATGACACAGCCAGGCTGCCCTTGTTCATGCAGCGGTATGACGATGTGTCGGCGCGCGAAGTGATGAAGCACGCCTCGAAGGCTAGATTCTGAGCAGCCGATGTGTTGACATCGAACGCCGGCATGCCTTCGACGTGGGTACTGCGCCCTTCAGACTCGCATCATCGCCTATCGCCAGTCACAAAAAGGATCCTACGTGTGTATGAAGCAGCGATGTTGTCAAAGGGCAAAAGGCGTCGAGGATCCTTTGAGCGGGACGAGGCCAAAGGTTTGCGCCTGCTCTTTGGTCTTCCAGTCCATGATAGCCGGAGCCATGTCATCAATCTACCAGCTTGGGGGAAGACAACGAGAATGCTACATGTAAAGGTATAAGAGACCAACGTCTTGTCCGGCGACCTCACCCAAGGAAGCGCACCGCCTGATCCATCAACACAACGCCGAAAAAACACTCTCTGCTGCCATGTCATCAACCACCTCTGATGCTTCGCCCTCTCTCTTCTCTAGACGAAGACTGCCAGCGTTCCCTCGCCGTCTGTCCATCCGCCGTTCAAGCAGATCTATCAATGCCGACGACGTCAGCTCCCCCACCACTCCTTCGCTACTATCACCCCGTTCACCCTTGTCTTTCTCAAGATCACCCACCGTAGGCTATGCGTACGAGAGCATGCCGGCTTGCACGAGTCCCCCAATTACTCAGCGGGGTATGGACTCTACCCGAGCCACCGAGCTCTCTCGAGCTACACCGACTAGGACTCGATCTGGCAGTATGAGCCTCGAGATGGAGGAAGGGGCCGAAGGGGACGCAGCCTCTACTAGTCCGGAGGAAGAGTCGTGCAATCCATCATCGGAAGAGACTGAACGAGAGGCGAAGCGTAAGGCGTTCTTGAGAAAACAGGTAGAAGAGGCGTTATCCAAAGTTGATAAGAATCAGTATCTCGGAATCCATCCTTCTGAGCGGGGTATACCAGAAGCAGACAAAGAGTGTTGATAGATACCTTACTCATATGACAGCATTATACTTTGCAAAACAATCATGCATACGTATCCTCTCCTTAAACAACACCACCACCCTTTCTTCTCGGCGTCCCAGAGCTATACTTGTTCCTCTCCGTCGCCTCATGATTCCCCGCAGCTGCACTCGCCCTAGTGACCCTCCTCGGCGTAGCCGCCTGGGGAGCCACCTTGGGCTGCGACTGTACACCGCCAGATCGCAAGATGGGAGGGGGTGGTGGGGGAGGCAGGAACTCGGCGGATTCCCAGTTACTGGACGAAGGGTGGGCGAGGAATGTGTGGGGTGGGGTTGGAAGGCGCGGGGCGGGGGCAGGGGCAGGGGCAGGAGGGGAAGGGGATTGGTAGTGCGCTGGGGAAGGTGAGGCGGAGGGGTGGACTTGGGCGGCAGGAGGGGCGATGTAGGCTGGTTCAGGAGAGGGCTGGTATTGGGGTTCAGACTGGGTAACGTGGATATTCTGCAGCTGGGCAGTGATTTGGCTGTAGCATGTCAGCGTAGCTCAGCCATGTAAGAGATACTTACTTGATGTCTTGCCTTCTCGAATTCAAGAACTGCGTGCAAGTAGCCTTGAACTGACCCAACATCTCGGCAAAACTATTGTAAAACTTGATGCCCTCTTCAGCGTTGTCCACAATCTCTCGCCACTTCCAGTACGCCAGATCCATATCCTGCAACCGCCGCTCGCGTTCCTTGACGATGGGGTCATCCTTGCGTTGAGAGAGGAACTCTTCGTTTTGAGTCTACACCCGGTCAGCAATGGCTCTCCAGAGAGTAGAGGTACGCACCCTGATTCGATTCAAGAGCTCGTCCTGCTTTTCAGCCTCCTCATCTATCTCCCTCCTCAGCCCCTCATACTTGTCCAGCGCCTTATGGAAGATATCCTCAAACCACTCCGTCTTGACATCACCCGTACCTCCATGTGCCAGCCTCGTAGCTTCTTGCAACACCTGTGGCCGGATGTCGTCGGCGGCAGAGATGTGTTTGGCTTCGTTGATAATACGCGCTCGGTGGGCTATCTGGTCGTCGAGTTGCTCAAGGGATGCTCGGAGGGGGCGGACGGAAGGTGGAAGAGAGCCGGAGGCGGCGCCAGTGGACGGGACATAGTCGTTTATCGTATCCTACACCCATCAGCTTACATCCTCACCTAACGACAAGAAAAAAGACTCACTTCACCACCAGCAAGCAGCCCAATAAGCCTCGCCCACTCTTCCCACTTTGTCCTCACAGTCGCATCGCTCCCCGCCGCCTGCTTGATCGTCGCCTCATACTGCGCCGCCATCCCAATTAACTGCTGATTCGCCACATGCGACGGCATCCTCGTCCCCTTCATCTCCGGCTGTCTCTCCAACACCGTCTCTTCCTCCGTCGCCTCCTGGTCCAGAATATCCATCGCATCATTCAGCGCCTGCGTATTGGACCGGGCGATGCGCTGCACTTGATCGAGCAAGCCGCGGATACGGTCGGTGCCGCCGGAGGATTCGACTTCTTCGGCTTTTTTGAGGAGGGAGGGGGGCAGGCCGACGGGGCGTTCGAGAGCTTGGATGGAGCCGGGGAGATTGAGGGATTGGAGGGTGCTGGCTGCGAGACCGTCGAGTTCTTCGCGTTTGCCGTCGAGCGAGCGGACGAGTGTATCTTTGCGGTCGTCATAGATACCTAAGCTGCATCAGGAACATCCCCTAAAGTGAGAGGCGAGAGGTGAGATGTAGACTTACTGAGAGCAAGGTGCACGCCATAAGGCACCAAAGCGCTGAAAAGCGGCTCCATACCAGCTTGACCACCCATCAACCACGCTACAGGCTCGGCAACCTCTGTGGGGATGTTGACCTTGACCATGCCGACGCCGTTGACGGGGGCCAGTTGGTTGGCGGGAGGGATGGGGGAGACGTAGACGAGGTCGTTGTCGCGTACAGCTCGTTCGAGGGAGGATTTGACGGTAGCTTGGAGTTGCTGAGAAGCGTCAATGGAGATATTGATTGGATGGGTGGTTGGTAACGTACTTTCAGGTCTGTTGTGACTGATTCAGTCACACCTCTCTTAGTAGCGTCAAGCCCCTTCTTCGCCAGACTCTCCGCCACTCTCAGCCGAGCAATCTCCTCTCCATACCGGCTCTTCTCTAGATCATCTTGACTCAGTCGAAATTGGGCTGCAGCTTCGAAGTGCATCTGTTTCGTGGTGATGTGCGCTACCCAAGTCTTATGAATGTCAGTGAGAGAGCAATATCCTACTGTGGGGTGGACGTACGGCGGGGAAGAAGGCGGCAGAAGGGTACTCGGCAGCGTTCATAGAGCTTAGAGCGGCTTTGTAGTATTCTGATACCTTCATGGATAGCTTGGCTATCAGGCCGTTCTTGTAGCTTCCGGCTGCGCCATGTCAGCATCACCCTGCGATCAGGCGAAGCGACCTACCCAAGACAGCTTGTTGCCAATAACACTCTTGCGCCTCCGCCAGAACAAATTCCTTCACAGCGCCAAGGAACGACTCTGTCATGTCGTATCCCGCTGCTTGGGGAGACGACACCTCAGACTTGAGAGTTGGCAAGACATTCTTGATCAGATACTCGAGCACACCTGCAGCGGACGTCAAATATCCGATCGCCCTCTTGATACTCTCTGCCTCGGCTCGTCGTTCCGAAGCGGCCATAGAGGCGTACAAGGCGGCGGTATTGAAGAGGACCGATGCGCGCTCATATGTGAGGGATGATAGCGATATGGGAGAGTCGGGGCTGAGGGAGAAGGTTGGAGGAAAGGGCAAAAAGTAGGCGAATTGAAGACCAATGTCGGAGGGAAATTTGGTGGCAAGGAATGCTAATTGGGCGTGATACCGCATGTACGCCTTCACCACCTCGGGGTGGGCCTCTGACTTGGCCTCCACCCAGTCTCGCCTCATGGATACGAGAATGTCGACATCTTGTTTGAAGGCTTCGGGATGGGCGTCTCGGAAGTGGGTGGAGATGTAGTCTAGGAGGTGTTTGGCGAACGTGGGTTGGGGGGTGGCGGTCTTGGTGGGGAGGTCTAGGAAGTTGGACTGTATGCTGTTAGCGAGAGTTGACATCCTGGATTGACTCACCATTCCGGGCTGTGGTGAGAAGAAACTGGAAAGAGAAAGGAAATGCACTCATCGTCGACCAAGATGACGCGCCTCCACACTGCGTGTTGTGATTTTTACCTTGAGACTTGGTACGGCCGTACCCGTAGAAAATCGGTCTCTGTTCCAATTCTTCAGCTTGAGAAGTGCTAGATCTGGTGTAACCCATGATGCATACTAAGTATCATACCTAGAAAAAAGATGAAGCAGGAGCAAAAAGATGAGGTCCTACTGGGGATCGAACCCAGATTACAAGAATTGTGATATCCGAAGATTTGAATCAGAATCTTGTGTACTAACCATTATACGATAGAACCTTTGATGTTTGGCAGCCAAACAAATTAGTTCCAGTCCGTAAAGTATGGGTACCAACAGCATGTTTTTGATTTTGATTTCTGCCTGTCCTACTCCTACCACTGCATTGTCACCAATCGGCCAGCATGTCGCAGTCTCCCCTCGCTCGCTCTACCAGAAAGAGCCTTCCCGCCTTCGCCCACGCCCCATCCAAGCTGGGCAAATCGAGCATCAAAGCAGAAGACCCACCCTCTCCAGCCTCTCCCCGCCCATGGTCCGACCGCGACTCCACCCCATCAAAGGGCACGCCCTCCAAATCATCCCAGTCCACACCCCGCTATCGCAATGCCGGCTCCTCCACCAGCTCTCCACATACACCAAAGATCCATTACTCGCCCCACGCGCTCGCGACGCCACCGCAGAGTATGAGTAAGAGTGCGAGTATACCGTTTGACATGGCTGCTAGTGCGAAAGCGGCGAGGAGGGCGGAGGAAGAGATGAGGAGGACACCGATGGAGCAGAGTGGGAAGAAGAAACGGTTTGTGAGACGGAAGCCGTTGCATGAGAGGTATGTTTCCCACTTGGAATGGACGGCCAGGGCTGATGTGCTGTAGGATTATCGGGTTTCCTCAGAAGGTCGTCGACACGTTTTTGTTCCACACCCCTGCCTCTGTGCTAGATGTCCTCCCCGAGCCTCACCTCGCAAACCCCATTGCCCTCGGCGTCCACGTTCTGCACTGCCTTCTGGTAGCGCCTCTCTTTACGGCCAAAGACGACTATGGCAGTGTGCTGCAATCAGGAAGGAGTCAGAGCGCAGTATCGAGTCGGTGGGATCATGTGGAGAATGCAGGAAAGACGGGATTATTGGGCGTCTCAACTGTGAGTGGTAGCTGAGCCTGCGACGGTTCGCTAATCAGTGAGCAGAGGTTCTTCCTTGTTGCCCTGTTGATGGCACTTGCTCTTGGGAATGCCGTGTATCTCTTCACTCGTTTCCGTACCTACGACATGCTGCTTCGTGATGTGAGTGTATCCACCTTGTATTGCGCAGATCTGACGCTATGTAGCCTGCTGAAGCACCCGTCCACTCGCCGCACGCCTCCCCTGTACTCGCTCCCAAAGCCAAGCCCCAGGCGGACGACGAGGAAGACAACGTATTCAAAGCCGAACACAAAGAGCCCTGGTTCCCCAAACTTCTCAGACTCACTGGCAGAGCCCTGCTATACCTTGTCAAGTTTACCTTGTAAGCCACATCTCCAAACTATCGCACTCGCTAAACATTTCCCCAGCCACGCAATCCTATCTGCTTTCGGCAAACCCACCACCGGCCCCTCCCTAAAAGACATTGGCGCCTCCGGCCAAACCGTCCAATCCCTCCGCGTCTGGGACCCTCCCCCCTTCTGCCTCGCCTTCTTCTCCGCCTACCCCCCCACAGCACCTATCCTCACCCACCTGCTCACGCCCATCAACCCCCTCCTCACGCCTGTCTTGCACCTCTCCACGACTTTTCTCTTGGCGCATCTGGAACAGGCGTTTTCGCAGTTGGTGAAAGATAGGATGATTTTGTCGGCGGAGGTGATGAGAGAGTATGATCAGAGGTTTGTTTATAAGAAGATTTTCTCGAATAAGGTGGATAGGGGGGTTAGTACGCATGAGTGTGAGTTGTTTCTTGATTGATTTGGCTTAGCTGACGAGTTGTAGCGGAGCATGTCTTTTACTAGCAATATGATGCATTGTATCACGAGTCGCATACGCCAAGCATGTCAGATTCATGGTAATAAAACAGGTCTCTGACTTTATCCATCGGACCAGCGACATTTCATTCTATATTCAACCCTCCAACCGGCAGAAATCCTGTGCACCTCCTGCATCTCCCCAAAGTCATACTCGTCGGCGTTCAGCCATTGTGAATGAGATGAGTCGTTTCGCTCTCAGAAAGGGGTTCTGCGTCAATCACGCTCGCGTTCTAGCCGCTATCAATATCCTCAAAGTCACCCACGAGTCATACAGACATGTCCTCATCAACCAGCAGGCACTGGATGCTTTACCGGACACACACAACCTCTGTTGAACGAAGGTGATCAAAGACAGAGCCATCTTCCGGTAAAGTATCCAGTGCCTACTGGTCGATGTGGACATGTCTGTATGACTCGTGGGTGACTTTGAGGATATTAATAGCGGCTAGAACGCGAGCGTGAGTGACGCAGAACCCCTTTCTGAAAGCGAAACGACTCATCTCATTCACAGAGGAGTTCTTGTCTCGGGCAATGACGATGTTGAGATTTTCCACCAGAGCAGGTACAGCCTTAAGAAAAAAAAATTACGATGGAAGCAAATGGTGTGCTTGCCGTATATGGTCTGATGACCAGAGACTTTCCAAGCCTGAAGCTGAATGTGAATGTGAACTTTGGATATCAACATGACTTCGATCTGAGTCAAGTTCCAGGTTCAGGCAGACCATGCCGTCTGGCGAGCTCATTTATACAGGGTCCTGGTAGATTGTCAGCCAAAATTTCATGCATGACAGGAATCGTTTCCAATCAAGGTAAAGCCGAAGGGAACAAAAGTAGGCAAATGCTATGTAGAGGTTCACTGTTCACCTTTTTCAGCTTTAGCAGTCGTTGTACACATGTTGCTGAGATTAGCGCCCGGAAGTAGCAAGGCCTAACATATCGTACATGATACAACCATAATCGACTACAGGACTATCATACATCACTGACCATTGACCTGAACGTCCGTGGGCGTAGCACTCGAGAGCACGATACTAGGTGTCGTCGGCATCGGACCGTCTCCGTCAACGTCGAGCGTGGACCCGTCGATGATGCCTACGCGCCCGACGGCAGTACGGAGGGCGGTACCAGATTCGTCGATAGAATGGAGGAATCGAAGGAGTTCTTTGCAAAGCTAATAATGTATAGGTGAGCTGTGAACGGGTGGTGTACCATGAGAGGGACTTACATGGAATTCCTTGGCCTCTATGGCTTGCTTCAATAATCGGATCGTGTCCTATTAACATCAGCCAATTGATCAAAGCAATGAGATGGAACGCACGTCGACATCATCGAGCTCTTCCAGGTTATGCAAGACCAGCAGATAACTCGCCGCCGTCCTCACCTTCCCCTCAGTCAAGCACAGCTCAAACAGATCCCTCGGCTTTCCGACAAGCTCAAAAAGCCCCGGCCATCTCTCAATCTCCGTCTTTCTCGCGCATCTTACAATCACATCCAGCGCCGAAGGAAAGTAGTCCAGGAAAGTGACGACAGTCGGCAGGATTTCATGGTCTTTTGGGTGTTCGTCCTCGAGGACAGAGTGGAGTAAGACTTCGAGGGAATGGGCAAAGTAGACGAGGTGTTGGTAGTGCTGGGCGAGGGTGAGGGCTTGGCTGAGGGAGGGTGGGGAGGAGGAGAGGTGGTAGCGGAGGAATTTGGGGAGGAAGAGGTGTGTGCCGGTGGAGATTTTGTAGATCGGGAAGGGCAACGTACGGGTGGACGTTTCATAGTCGACCCCGATGATGATACCTTTGTCCATCAAGATCGCTAATCCCATCAGCCGAACCCCCGTTTGACAAGAAAGAAGGGATACTTACAAAGCGGATAAAAGTCCAACCTCACTTTCACACTCTCTTCCACACTCTCATAAGCGTCCGAAACATCATTCACCGTAGTCGCTTCTATCGTCAACGCGTCCAGCCAGACCCGCATGTTGAGGCCGTCGTACCCCCAGAGCGAGTTTTCGAGCGTGCCCACGCCGTGGAGGTGGGTCCAGTAGGCTTCGATACGGTCGGCGAGGATTTGGAGGTCATATCGGACTTCGTCGGTGCGCGCCTGTATACCGTATCAGCTTGAGAGGTTTGGGGAGGGGAAGAGGGGTGGAGGCATACGCGGCGGGGACGGAGAAGGACGAGCTTGCCGTCGACTAGGAAGATGATTGTAGCTACGATGAGATCATCTGCAGGGTCGCCCAACGCTATGACCAGTATTAGCTACAACAACTCCAGGTCAACATCGAGAAAGCTCACTTTTCTGCGCTTCCGGGATCAACCATGATAACGCCCTCACTCGGCTAGGCACTTGTACGATACCCCTGAAACTGATACTCCCGCACAAATGCAGCTTGATACTAGAGTTGGTCGGCAGTATCAAGAAATGGAACAACATATTATCCGCCGTATACACCAACAACGAATTATCCAGCAGGGTCATGACCAGTATTGGGGCGAGAAGGGTCTGCGAATGCAAAACCTCATTCAGCCCCAAGTCTCTCGAATAAAGCCGGATTTGGTGGGTCTTGTCGGCATCGATGGCTGCGATGAGGACGTGGTGAAACCAGAGAAGCCCACCGCGGACCGTAAACTGCTGTTCCTCGCGTTCATTTTGAAAGAGCTTCCAGCGGCCGGAAGTGGCAGAGTAGTGGGTGAGCCCGCGGCGGCCGGCTACGGCGATGAGCTTGCCGTCTGATGATATGGAGGCGTAGCGGATGGGCCAGTTGGTGGAAATGTATGCTGCTGGGATCTGGATCTGGGTCAGCTAGTCCGATGATAGATTACAGCGACTCACTTTAATGCTTTGCCAGACATCTGATTCGGGGTTGATGACGCTCATGTCAGGCTGGTCCGCTCCCCGGTAGACCATCACGCTGTCATCCATTTGCAGAAACGCATAGCGAGTATTGTCCGGCGAAGGCTGGTTGGTCGTAGCGCTCTTGGCGAATGGCATGATTTCGAGCTGTAGTGAGGATTCATGTGGGCGGAGTACGAAGAGCTCAAGGTTTCCGGGTATCCAGAACTACAGGGGGTTAGCACCAGGAAGGATAAGGTTTAGGGACGTACCAAGCTGAGAACACCCGGATCTTGAGATTGAGAAGCTTCCTCGTCACGATGTCCCCAGCCCCCCAACCTCCCACCCATACTCCAAGCTGCCCATCCGTGTTCATAACCAACAGCCAAACAGTACCCGTCTCCCGTCCACGCCAAGCTTGTGACTTGTCCAGGAGATGACTCTGCGAAGGATCAGCCCAGTCATCCTGAATGTCGCAACTTACTTAGATTGGCAGATTGCCGAAAGTCGAGAGTGTGTGATAGCCTAGGAGGGTTCGGCCACGATGGAATTGAGACGAGATTGACCTTGCCGCTCTCCAAGCCGATAGCAACCAAGCCGAACCGTGAATTCAGGGCAATCTCCATAGCCTTGTCCATATCTCCCTCGAGCGGCTCGATCTTCTGCGGTACTGGGTGTATCAGACTTCCGACATATTTCGGCCCTGCCGAGAGCTGAGTCCGCTGAGCCTCGCTCGTACACGCCTGCAGCAAATGGCTCGCCAGGTACACCACATATCCCCGTCCATCCGCTGACAGCATTGTATGCACCATGGGCAGGCCATGCGTCTTCATCGACGTCATCTTGGTCGGTACCGCAGGTCTTTCCCCTACTAGCCACTCCTTCCCAGCCGACAGGTCCCAAACATCGCACTCAATCTGCGCTTCGGTAGCGGCGTCCAGAGGCGGCGGAGGAAAGTGGGAGTTTGGCGGTGTGAGGAGCTGACTTGGGACTGGCCAGGGAACAGAGAGGATGGAGGGAGGGTGGCGCATGGTGATGAGGAGGTTGTGGGATTGGCATAGGATGGACTGACAGCCGCCCATGACAAAGGCGGTACCGAGGTAGGTCAGTTGCCAGCCCATGACGACGTCTCCTTCGCCTGGGCCGGGCGTGGAAGGCCCAGCAAAGTCATACGAGGGGCGAGAGGAAGGGACGAGATGGTAGAAGAGCAGGTGATGGCTGTCTGTCTGTGTATATGATCAATAATACTCGAAACTGCATGATGCACTTGCCGTTATGATCAGACCTCGTCCATCATGTGTCCAGAAAACATCGCTGTTGCTGCCGAATCGATTGATACTGGACTTTGATCTCACCACCGCTGCCTGCATGACTGTGGGCTGCGAATCGTCAATAGAGTGCCCCGTATGCTGTCAAAGTACGCACCCTGACATCCCAGACCGCGAGAGAGTCGCAAGTGAGCGCGGCGAAGAAGTTGCCCTTGCGATTGGGTTTTGCGTGGGCGAGGGGGGCGTGGAGGGGGCTGGGGGTGGAAACGAGGCGGGTGGTGGCGGTGGGCCAGTACATGGCGTTCGATTGCTTTTTGGCGAGTATCTCTGGTTCAAAATGGCCAAAACAGTCACTCAAAACCAACTCAAAACACGCGACGTCCTCTCGGCTCGGGGCCCGGCGCCCTATGGCGGCCTTCTCCGCGCGCTCTCGCTCAGCCTTCAAGTCGAAATCTTACCCACTTCTCTTCGCTCAATCAGCGTCCTATTGACAGTTTCGATGCTGTGCAAGTTTACCGGATCTATCCCAGCTCTACATTGAAGTGAAGTGTACATGAAACTGGACGGTAATGGAGGCAGGGAAGCAGCTGTCTGTGCAAATTTGATGCGATAATATAGTTCAATCGAGAGAGGAGTATATAAACGAGCTCGGTCTCGAAACCCCCATAGAGCCTCACGAAGTAGAATTATGTCAAAGGTTAGGCTTCTCCTCCGGTCAACTTTGATAATTTGATGCCGTTTATCAAGAGGGTATGAGACAACAATGATGCTGCGTATCATCAGCAACAACGGTGCTGACCAAGGAGGGCGATCATAGTTTCGACTTTCGCTGTCCTGTTCCGTAGTGTATGGACTGTTTAAGAGGGCGGTCATTTCGCTGCGCTGGGCGAACCGGAGGCGCTTTGGAGCGACGTTGAGGGAATTATCAAGGAGAACTGGAAGTAAAGGGGGGCTTCTTCACATGTCCGACCCCCAGGTCTCCATGGCTTATCTCTACTTCTAAGCCCGTACATTGAACGAAATATGTAATCTGGTCTCAGGTGTACTCGTCTCATATCCGACCAGAGCATCAATGATATTAACAATCCAGGCTGGGAATGGACCACGGATGCCCACTAGCGCGTACTTGGATGTTTGACCAAGATCTGTCCTTCATTGCCATGAAGTGACGCCTTCCTTTTGGTCTAGTGGTGGACGATACGGTATTCATGGGCTAAAAAGTATTTTTAACATCAAAGGTTCTATCGTATAATGGTTAGTACACAAGATTCTGATACAAATCCTCGGATATCACAATTCTTGTAATCTGGGTTCGATCCCCAGTAGGACCTCATCTTTTTGCTCGTGCTTCATCCCTCTTTATCTTTGGGGTGATCGCAGTTACGTATCTGTTTTGCATAGCCAAAGTTTATCCAATACGAAAGCATTGAATGTATCGTGCTACATGCCTATACGTATCGCCATTGAATTCTAGCCGGCTTGGGCTAATCTGGAACAATCAGATACCACCTCTTCTTCACTATACCATCGCCCTCCTGTGGAAGCCACCATCTCATCAATGCAGCCACGTGCCCCATGTATCCTCTTTGGATTGAGCCTCCTCGTTATCGTTATTTGGTGCCCTCCTGCTGACAACCGTCCCCCGCATCTTGGCAAGACCTTCCGCAATGGAACTCTCGTACTCTGATATCTTTTTCGAATACGACAGTCTGTCTTCGGACGGAAAAGAGCACACATGGTAGGGCTAACCCACGCAGCCTTCACAAGATGTCCATCTACAACCTTTCGTGTAGCTTCTGACACCTCGTCTTCGGCCGGCATCGCATCTCCCGATGCTGCGTCCGTAGTGTCGACCTGTTCAGAAGCCGAAAAAAGAGACGTTGCGTTAGACGCTACATCTGCTCCACAGAGGCACAGGTCTTGTTCGTATTTTCTGGTATCCTCGTAAAAATCTTTTGCCGTTGTATCGTCACCTACCTCGATGTTGCTTCCAATCTTTCTGCTGTGGACCAAAGATTCGATCTGTCTGTAGATTGATCGCTTGTACACTGCTAGCGCCTCTTTATCTTCCCGGATTGCTTCAGGACAGTCATCCATAACTTTGCACGAGACACTAAATTCGGGATCTAGCACCTTCCAGTTCGACGTCCCTGGGTGATCCCCACCAGAAGAGGAAGAAGGGAAGGTTTCCATCAGCCTGGTGGGTTGCTCGATGTTGGTGGTGAAGACGATCTTGACCGTACCCGGCGATTCCTCGCACAGTTTGCCCAGGTATTTCGAACTATCAAACTCCATCTCCAGCCTGTCATGATAGTGATTCCAGAGACTCGGTCGATCTTGCCGACCACGCATTTTACCCCCATCTTTCAGATAGTCTTCCACAGATGAGTGGACACGATAAGTGAATGGAGGTTTGTCTTCCTCGCACACGCCCTGCATGATGTAGGAAAGCTGGCCAAGCTGCTTTTGTTGGCTTTCAGAAGTGCAGAGTGCGAAACTGCTATATGGATCCCCCCATTCTGGCTGCTTGTTCAGAGAAGACTGCTGACCTGGCATGTACCGAATCGACCTTTCAGCCCAGCGCACAAACTCATCCATCGCTGCTTTCGCTTCGGGCGGCACCGACTCCAACTTGTTTCCTTCATTATCAAAGCTTCGGCATGTATAGCGCTTTTCAATGAATGGGGAGCTTGCCCCTCTTCCCAAGGATGGTCCACCACCTTCGCTTGCGCCCGTAGAGCTTAGAACGGGAAATGAGCCCTGGAGCAAGGCTTTTGTGACGATGAGCTCTGATCTAATACCATTTTAGGTCTCGTTGGACATTGTGCGTGGTCGGTGTGGGCTTGATGCTGTTTGGGACGGGGAAGTGGCGTATTTGTTTGGTACAGAAGTAAGAGAGCGAATTGGAGTTGTGGTGCTGTGGTGCTATATATGTATACCGTTCTTCTCGCTCCTCATTTCCATAAACGTGTTCGCCTTCTTTATGGCATCAGGGACGTAAGGAGCACATCCTTTAGAGATATCCCCGATCATAGTAGAATTATGGTGAATCAGATATTGTTCTTCGAGCAGCTGCCATGATGATACAAAATAGCCGCTAGTGTCCGGAAATGTCATCCCTGTACTTCTTTAGATCGACTTACTTTCAACAGCAATTTGGCTGGACGTAAGGAGCACATACTCTAGAGATATCCCCGATCCTTAGTAGAATATTGGTGAGTTAGCTATGGTTCTCAATCTTTTGTTGTCGTTGCGCAGCTGCCATGATGATACAAAATGTCCGCTAGTGTCCGGAAATGTCATCCCTGTACTTCTCTGTACTTCTTCGGACCGACTTCCTTTCAACAGCAGTTTGGCTAGCCAGTGTAGCTTCCGATATACAATCCTCAGCCTTACACAGTCAAGCAAACACATGCTTCGTTGTAACAGTCCTTCGCCCGTGGCCCGTGAGTGTCGAGTGCGAGCCTTTTACATTCCGAGTCGATGTAACTGTATCGCTCCACTCTGCGGCCACCAGTGTTCTATTCTTTCCCTTCCAAACCTAGTCTTCACCATACACATGCATGAACCCTTCTGCCTGTACTTTTGATGTTAAGGTTGAAAGGTTGCGGTGAAAGAGAGATCTACAAAGATACAACCCTTCCTTCTATGAAAAGTCTTGAGCGTCGAGTTCACCGAGGAGCATGTTTGTGTCTTTTGATCCTGTTAGGATGATCGGTTCTCTGTTGGATTTGTCAGCAATCGATCTTACCAAACTGGTGAAGCAAAGAAAAAGCAAGACGCGAAACCGCGAAGAGGCGAAACACAACTCACTTTGGGTGGAAAGCCACGCCCGTCACCGTCCCCTTATGTCCCGGCAACTTGTAAACAATCTTTCCCGTCTCCACCTCCCACACCGTGACCGTCCTATCCCCTCCCCCCACCGCGATCCTCTGGCCCCCATCATGCCTCGTCCACGCCACCCTAATCAACGCCTGCTCAAAGCCCGCCGGCGCGCCCGAGAGGGTCCTGTAGACCCTGGTGGGGTCTTGGCAGAAGGGGCGGACGTCGTATATGATGAGCACAGAGTCGAGGGAATATGATGCGAGGTAGTGCCCGTTGGGCGAGAGGGAGAGGGAGGCGATAGTGTCGGTATGCCCGCGGAGGGTGAAGAGGATGGTGCAAGTGCGCAAGTCCCATACTTTGATCTCATTATCCACCCCGCCCACAAACGCCTGGTTCCCGTCCGAGCTCCATGCAACGGCAGTCACGGGGCAGTCGCGTCCGTCGTCGAATTCGGCGACGGGGTCTTTGGCGTCGAGGCTGAAATCCCAGACACGGGCCATACCGTCGTCTCCGCCGGAGAGGACGAGCTCGCGCCCGCCGGAGATGGTGACGGAGAGGGAGTTGAGGGGGCCGTAGTGGGCGGAGAGGCGAGAGAGGCGTTCGCCGGTGCGGAGGTCGGTCCATATGAGGGTACCGTCGGCGGCGCCCTAGTAACATTAGCTGAAATCTGCGAAAGAGGAAGCAGGACTCACGGAGTAGAGGGTTTCGGAGTCTAGAGAGTAGGCAATATCGAGGACGGGAGTTTTGTGGACGTTGGGGAGGATGCCGTAGTTTGTGTGTGGAGGATAGGTCTTCCAAAGCGCTGAACATGTCGATGTCAGCCTGGTCTTATCCTTGTCCTTGTTGATTGAGAGGACTTACAGATACTTCTGTCGACAGAGCAAGCTGCCAGAGTCTCTCCTGAAGGATCAAATACACAAGCCGTTAGCTCTCCCTGCGAGATTGTCAGCTGCCATTTCAGATTGCTGCATCTATCGCGAGCTATCCTCCTCGCCCTGCCGCTCTCTCATTCCAAATGATCCACTTACACCATGAGCCCCTGACAGAGACACGATAGGCGCCTCCAGCCCACTTGTTCTCTTGACACTCCTTATCAGGGCGTTTTTCCGCTGCCCTTCGCCTGAAGAAGCGACCGTCATAACCATGCTTCCCTCGTCCGCCTCGTCCTCTACCCTTGCGCGCTTCGAGAGGGCCATGCCGGGGCCCGATGGAGGTTCTTTTCGGACAGACATGGTGGATGGGGGTGAATCTTGATTTCGGGAAGTGATGTAGACAGAATCTGAAATTCGCGGTGATGAAAGAGGAGAGTGGTTGGCGCGCGAATTTGATTCCGTTCCAGCGTCAAGTGTAGGCAACCACCTCATGATACTGCTCATGCATATCTCTCCAACACCCCCACCACCGCCCAGCATGGCCTCGACATCGTTCAGAATCGTCCCCAGGGATCCCACCTGCTCTTTCTGCAACGGGACGGACGCCGTCAACCCCCAGGGCCGCCAGGAGCGCATGATCACCTGCTCCAGTTGCGGGCGGAGCGGGCATCCCAGCTGCCTCGGCATGGCGACCTCCACGCTGGTCAAGAAGGTCATGATGTATGACTGGCACTGTCAAGACTGCAAGACGTGCGAAGAGTGTCGTACTGAGGGCGATGTCGTGAGTGCCATACGCGACGGCCAGGATATGACTAATGAATGCAGGCACAGCTGTTATTCTGCGACTCCTGTGATCGTGGGTACCATGGATACTGTCTGAATCCGTGAGTGCTCTAGTATGCATGTGGACAGTACTGACGAAAGATTCAAGACCGCTGGCGCAACCTCCCAATGGTATGTTCTGTTGTTGACACAAACGCGTCGACGCGTATCGCTTATCACCTCTATCAGCTTTATGGCATTGCCCCAAATGCTCGTCTCCCCCCATCCCCACAGCCCCTCCCCGGTCCCACAAAAAGAAGATGCCGAACCCGTCCAAAGCTGGGGCAGGGCGGCCAACACCAATATCTACACCCTCCGCCCCACGTCCCAGGGGCCGGCCTCCGAAACAGAAGAAGCCCCTCACAGATGATCAGGCGGTGTTTGCAGATAGTCGGATCAAGGTCAAGATCCCGAACCCGAATCATCGAGCACCGACTGAAGACCGCGCGACACCCATGATCGTTCGCCTTCGAGTACCATCTGCCAAACGGCTGGTGGAGGAAGAGACGGAGGAAGAAAAGGTGCCTTATGGAGGGATTATCACGGGCGAGGACGCCGATACGTCGAGAACAAAGCCTCAGGCGGACGACAAAGAGAGATATGAGAAGGCGAGGAAGGAAGCCGAGTTCAAGATGGGCGGGCCAATGCCACAGCGGGGCAACTCTGTCGTTCCCGGGTCACCTATGGCAACGCCTCCTCCAGCCACGGGTGGCAAGTTCACCCCTGCCAAAGCTCCTCCCGCTCGTCCACTCCGCGACAGACTCCTCCAACAATCCCTCCCCGACGCTTTCCCCTTCCCCCCAACCCCAGGTCCTTCTACCCCGGGACCTCCGACAGCAAGTCCATGGACGGGGGGTACGAATCTGGACAAGATCAAGACAATCCGGTTCGGGACGTTTGACATTGATACTTGGTACTCGGCGCCGTATCCGGAAGAGTATGCGTATGTGCCGGATGGGAGGTTGTGGTTGTGCGAGTTTTGTTTAAAGTATATGAAAAGCGGGTTTGCGTCTACACGGCATCGGGTAAGTCACTTCCCATCATCGTGAAGAGGGGGCTGATATAGGCTAGCTCAAATGTAAAGCTCGACATCCCCCAGGCGACGAAATCTATCGATCCTCAAACATCTCCGTCTTCGAAGTCGACGGTCGCAAAAACAAGATATACTGCCAAAACCTCTGCCTCCTCGCCAAAATGTTTCTCGATCACAAAACCCTGTACTACGACGTTGAGCCTTTCCTCTTCTATGTGATGACAGAAGTGGATGAGCTGGGAGCGCGGTTTGTGGGGTATTTTTCAAAGGAGAAGAGGAGCAGGGATAATAATGTTAGTTGTATCATGACGTTGCCAGTGAGGCAAAGGAAGGGTTGGGGGCAGCTCTTGATTGATTTCAGTGAGTAGTGAGTCTCTGGCTTATGGCATCGCTGATCAGGTATAGGCTACTCGCTGTCAAAGAAGGAAGGACGCGTGGGCTCTCCAGAGAAACCTCTTTCAGGCCTTGGCGCCGTATCGTACAAGTCATACTGGCGCATATCCGTGTTCAAATACCTCGCTAAAACGTCTGATCCCGCCAAGCTGACTCTCAAAGGTCAGCCCTCCCTATTACGTAGCCCCGTAGCATGCTGACTTTTGCGGCAGAGATAAGCAAAGGCACGAGCATGACCATCGAGGACATTTACACCATCCTCCTCTCCGAGAACATGATCAACATCCTCGATTCTGCTCCTCTTCCCACGCCCCTCCTATCTTCCTCAGCTCGACGCGGCAGAGGAAGACCACCCGTACGGCGCAAGGGTGATCCCGCTGCTTCAGTCGAGCCCGAAGACGGTCACGGCCATACAGAAGAAATCGTCAAGATTCCGAAAAAGTACGAGATACTCGTGGACATGCCGTATATCCAGGAAGTACTGGAGAGGCAGGAGAAAAAGGGGCACTTGAAGCTGGAGCCGGAGAGGTTGAAGTACCATCCGTTTATTGTGGCGAGGCAGTCGGAGAAGGGGGATGATGGGGAGGGTGAGGATGAAGAAGAGGAGCAAGAGGGAGAGGAGATTGAAGATGCTATTGTACGGTTTGCTCCTCGGCTTGTGCCGCCCCCACCTGTCATCCGTGTCGCTCCTATGACTCCTCATCACCGGTCTCACGCTCGCCAAGCCTTCCCCGACACCCCTACCGTTCAAACTCTTTTGGTGGCCCCGCCGACAAGGTCATTGCGGAAAAGAAAGAGCGATGTGGCCGAGACGCCGCAGAGGGCTCTGAGGAGCCGGGATTCCAAGACATTGGTGGCGGAGATGCTTGGGGATCAGAGTGGGAAGGGTGTCGAGCGGATGGGTGTGCCGAATGGGATGGGGGCGGATGGGCAGGAGGCGATGGATGTGGACGAGTTGCCGTTGGCGGGTGGGAACGATATTCCCATCGACCCGGCTCTCCTCTTCGACGATGACACGCCCCAAGGCGCGCAGTTCTCGGCCCCCCACGACCCTTCGGCCCTCGCATTCCCTCAAGTCAATTATCCCACACACAACTCGGAGTTTGGAGCTGGCGCTGGTGGGATGTATCAGAGTGAGGTGTATGGGTATGATGAGGATGCGGAGGGGGAGGACGAGGATGCGGAGGGTGAAGAATGGGTGGGGGAGGATGAAGATGCGGAGGGAGAGGAGTGGGATGAGGATTATGAGGCGTAGTTTTTGGATGGGGTGAGATATGGGGAAAGGGCATGTCGTTGTATGCACTTGTACAAGTATGATACACTGCCATCATCTCGAAAAGGATGGGATTGGCCAGTCATGACTGGACCCATGGCTACTCGTTATCAATGTGCTGACTCAATTCTAGTGGATGGGTAAAGCTTGAAAATAGCACAGATACTGTCTCCAAGGGTCAGTTGATCTTCTTGGTGCGACGTGTCACCTCTGCAGCGGAAAGGTTTGACCTTCAATCGCGACACTTTATGTTCGCCGAGCCTGCCGCTGTTGCAAGCGCGCTGCACAGGACACTCTCTGTGCCGTACGACCACATCATGCCCCACCGAAAAATGTGCCGCTAGACACAGTTACAATGCTCGGGAGCTCTCTCTGCTACTTGGGCTCTGCCGGTCCTCCCGGTTCGAGCGCAGAGAATATTTTTCCAAGCTGATCATGATCATGCTGGGTTGAAGAAGCCTTCACATTGCATCTGTACACATCACTAGTATCCACACCTCGGAAAGGTTTCGTGATCGCTACGCCCAGTCGCCCCATTCCCTCGTTCCAGATTCGAATCCGTCGCCTCCCCCTTCGCCTTCGTCCCGCAGCTTCAAGAGACCGTCTTCAATAGAGTTCTCATACTTCGAAAGCCGTTGAGAGTAGAATAGTCTCTCTTTTGCGGGCTTTTCATTGACAACATCAAACATGGATTGTTCGAGCCAAGCAGCTTTCACCGGATGTCCTTCAGCCTCTTCGCTATCATCTGTTGCACGCCTCTCGCTGTGGGTCGAAGACACTTGATCGGCTGCAATGTACGCTGCCTGCTTGAAAAGGCGATGTTCGAGGCGCCCGGTTCTTGTGACAAACTCTCCCGAGGTCGTTTGCGGCCCCAGCTGGACGGTGCTCCCTGGGTCAAATGAATCTCCAATTGCCTCAATGATAGACTGGTTGAAGGACTCATGCGCGCTTTTACTCTTCTTGATCCAGTCAGGAGAATCTTCCGTGATCCGGCTTACGATTCCTACTTCGGGAAGCAACACCCTCCACGACTCTACCAGCTTCTCATTTCCAGATTCCTCGCTTGCTGCTATACGAAGACGATTTCTCTCCAACCTCGTGGGCTTACTGACGTCGGTAGTAAAGGTCAGCTTGATGGTGTCTGAAGACGCAGATTCTAGCTCATCCACACCCCTGGCACTCGTCACAGCACGCTCTAGTCTATCTGCATACTCAGAAGTATCCAAGGGCTGGTGATTCGGATGAAAGAGCTCACCCCCGGCATCCAAAAAGTCATTCACGCTAGAGTAAACGCGATAAGTGAATGGCCATTCGCCCCCTGCGGCATAGACGTCGCTCATGCACTCAGAGAGCTGGTCAGTCTTGTGTAGAAGAGCGAGTTGAGTGTATTCTTGAAACCTTGCCACTGGGTCTTCCCAATGTGGTACAGTGGATGGATCTGCGGACTCAGCTTGCCGCTGTGCCCACTCCCGGGAAACAGTATCCATATATGCAGCCATCATATCATCAATCTTTCTTCCTTCTTCTTCGTCGGGGCAAGAGATGCTGCTGAAGGCGCGGTATTGGATAAGAGGTGGGTCCACCCGTTTGCGCCAAGATAACCCATCCGTTCGTTTGCAATCGGCTGTGCCGATGGTGCTACTCATAGAGGGAAGACTGCCCTCGAGCAAGATTGTAGTGGCTAAAAGCACTGGCTTGGTATGGCCGTTTGGAGTGCTGGACATGATGATACGCTGTTGGCGATGTTGATGAGGATTTGAATGGAGGGAACGGGATATGTGTCTTACTAGCAAACTGCTGCACAAGTTATAAGCCTCACCGACGATTATCTAGAGAAGATTAGAAGCATCAGGGTGACAAAGGGGTTCTGCTCCTGATAGACGGTGCTATTTCAGCCCTTGCAATCGAAGCCGAGAGATTTAGTTGTAAGGTGCCAACAACCAAAACCACCCTTTTTGACTTGTATGGATGCTCTTCGAAGTTCTCAGTATGTCCACAATCCTTGCCGTTTTATCACCGATGGTATCTTGGGTCCAGATATCGTCGGATATAACCTCCTTTTACTCTCCTCCACGATATGTTCTATTCTAGACTCCCTGAAAGGAACGCAGTCGGCCGTAACATGATCAGGTTCAAGACAACAGCGGCTTCTCGCGAAGTTGCTGTAGGGGCACAACGGAGAAACTTACCAGTCTGTCCATTGTCCTATCCGTCTTCCTCGTCTTCGCTATCTACTGGAAGCTCCGATCCTGCCATCAATCCTGAGTGTATTTTCCATAAGAGACAGACGACGGCTGATACTCGGGGCGTAAGATAACTCACTTTCATGAATGTCGTCGTCATTCGTCGCCACGATCACAGCATGCATTTGATGAGTTTACCTTCAGCAATCTCGAATAACATATAGTAGCTCATATATGTAGCCCCTGCTGCTTGATACTACTGCATCACTCAGCCCAGGTACTCCATGCCGAGTTGTTAGAGGGAACACCACAGTTGGAATGCATGGTGATGAATGAATGGTTTTGAAGATCGATAGGCCATATGATCTTTGAGCCTGTACATTCCTTTCGACCCAGTCAGGATATTCATCCGTGATTCCACAAAGGACACTTGCTTTGGCATGCAAGCCCCCTCCCTCCATCGCTCCTGCTGCTGCATCTTCTCCTCCCACTGAACGTGACGCTCTTCTCATCAATAACTTTGTGGGCTCAACAACGTCGGTGTTGAAGACTGTCTAGATATTGTTTGTAAATGAAGCCATTATATCGTCAACAATCATAGTGCTCTCTAGCGCACTCTTTAAATTATCTCCGTATTCCTCTCGACTCAACGATCGCTCATCAGACTCGAGCAGTATGCCACCATCATCTTGAATGTTTTTGATACTGGAGTGTACGCGATAGGTAAATGACCATGGGCCCCCGGTGGTATGGACGCGGTGCATCATTGTCCAGATATTAGCACAAGGTACCATCATTTCCATATATCCCTTCATCGCTTCGTCCATCTTCTCTGTCACGGTCCACCAGCACTTTCTGGCCATCCGCGTCATCTTGAAGGCTTCTAAAAGTGAAGCGTGACACGAGATGCGGAGGATCTACCTCTTTTTGTAGCAAAATCGCCCTCAATGATTACTGGCATAATGATGAGCTCTGGATGTGACGTTGTTATCACTCTGTGGGCCGGACATGGTTTGTTATTGGCAATTTGGACTGATTGATTCGTGGGAGTGGGGCGGTAGGTGTTGTCTTGGGCGGGAAGAAGAGCAGGCCTTGTTCTGGTCAGCAATCCAATCAGGTTCTGTATATATACCAGCAGGCCATAAACCCCTCTTTGGTGGGCCGTCCCATTCAAGGTGCATCAGGTCCTCAGGGGATTCAAGAAAAGAAGAAGAGAGGGGCCACAATAATCTTCACTTATATAATGCTCTCCTCCCTTCCGGGTTCTGACAATGTGGTCAAAATGAATGGGTGGCATGAGATTCAGGTGTAAAATTATCGAGTATCTTCTCTTAAGACTACCATAGAGCATCCCCTTCTCATCATCAGAGGCACCACAGTATACTCTTGCAGGTGCTTGATCTATCCTGGCTCAAGCGGCACTGATACAGTATACGCGCATCTATCCTGCTGTGCTTCCAAGATGCGTTTGGACGCGATACAAGTGATTGAACATGACATCATCGGCATCGCTCGTTCAACTTCGATCGCCTTCCGTACGTAGTATCCACTGCTCACACTCACTCCACCCGTTTCACTTCTCTGGGTTGACTCAGACCTGCCGCCACTGTGTTTCGAACTCCATCTTGACTGTACCGCCTGTCGTATTTTGAGTACCAGTATGAGTACAATATGGAGAAATTGGTGTCATTATCGCTGCATACCACCCCTGTTTCTGGCCCCTGCTTCAGTCTTGTACGCTCTACCGAGACCCGAGGTTGTTCCTCCGAGCTTCTTTGCTTGGTCGTATGATGGCATGCGGAAAGCAAAGAAGAAGCGAAACCAGCCGCGCTTCAATCTGCCTGCCGCCTGATGGTCGGTATTCCCGTCTCTGCTTGACGTGTCGTTCCCAATCCTAACTACCTCGAGTGATAATTGAAGATTGCGCTTTTCCCTTTGTCTCTTCTTTCCGAATGACCATTACACGCCAACATCTAAAGTCCAAATTTTGGGCGCCTAGAACGGGATAAGGAGTGGAATTTCTTGAGAGATTAGAGACAGGCGAGAAAGCTGGATGCCATTTATCGGCATTTCAGGGCCGCGGACGTTGTGCCCGACGGTCTCAAACCATGGATGTTTCTCGATGCATCAGGTGAAGTGGAGTATCGCCGCTCTCCTTCTCCGTTAAGAGTCACCCGTTGGACTCGACGTCGGTGGTTGGTGGTCGGTGTTGGATGTTGGGCGCCAACTGTCAACTTATATGTACTCCATCTGGACGTGCAAGCGAATCACCATGTCCATAAATAGTCCTCTTCTTTCACCTTTGCCCTTCTTCTGACGGTTGGGCGCCTATTCTAACTGCTTTTTGTGCTCCCCCAAACCCGGCACAGTCAAGTTTCCGCTTCTCCGGATCTCTAATCGACACAGGCATCCAGACTTTCCCCACTTCGCAGGGCCCCCGCTGAGGAGGCTGACGTGGCCAGCCTCGCGAACTGGCAATTACCCATCTCTCAATAGGCTGCCCCACCAAAGCCATCAGTCCAACCAATCGACTGCGTCCGAAAAGAACAATTTTTCGAGAGAAAAGCATGATGGTGAGAGGGAGACGGACGTTTTCTCGGTGCCTGCTGCGACATCGGCCGATTTTAAACGTGATACATATTTTCACCACTGCATGTCGTTCTTGCATCCATCGGTGCCGAACAGAAAGTACAGAAATTAGCTCGACCGGAAAAAAAGGGAGAGAGGACGGGAGGTCAGAAAGGTTTTAGTGGCGGAGCCTAAAAGTGATAGTGAGAGAGACGAGATCTTTTCCAGCTGCACGGACTGGAGGGGGAGATCTGCCCATGGACGGGGAGAGCTATCTGATAAGTGCCTAGAGCCTGTACGGCAACACTTTCACACCCTTTTCTTCCTCGAACGTCAGTAGACTAGAGCGAGAGTGGAGATAGCAGGCGGGAGGGGATGACGAGAGGTTGGAGATGCATGTCAGTGTGTGAGGAGATGCCTTGGCGTGCTATTCCTGGCTATCTGATTGGCGGCAGAACGGCAGCGCCGTTAACCGGCTGCAACCAAGCGATGAATGGAATTGCGCACGGGCCTATTCGCGGACAAACATCCTATCAGATACGCGCGCAGGCACCAGCAGGAACGGTGCCTGGGCCCCTGGGGAAACTTTCGCCCATCCTCTCTTTCTCGACCATAAATCGCGCATCGTCGAGACCAACCACGGCCGAGCAAGGCCAGTATGGCAATCTGGGGCAGCATCACAGCCTGAAGAGCACACCAGCGCTGTACCTGTACCACTCTACTGCGCTGACTCTGGCTCCACTGTCTCCCCTCGATGCGATGTCAATGGTGACGCGATGAAACAACCATACTCGCCTACCCTCCGATACCCCGGAGCTCCACGATGAGTGTCTCACCCACCCATCAGGTACATGCTTCCCCTCCTATACTTTTTCTAATCGATCAACAGGGACAGCTCCCGTTCATGCTTAACACCACTCACATCTTTAATCATCCTTGCCGTCTCGTAAGCGATACTCGGCCGAGCACCCGCTCCAACAAATGATATCTCTCCAAAAACCACTCTTGCCCCTCTCCAAATCCCTCAGCCAGTGGCCCGCGATATATATCAAGGCCTGATCCACCGCCTGCTCCCCCTCACGCCTCCAAGCACCCCCTCTACTCTTCTCTTACCCGACAAAAGACAATCGTTTCGACGAGATGGTCGCCCTCACCGCCCTCCTTCCTATCCTCTCTCTCTGTGCACTGTCTGCCAGTGCCGTCAACCTTCAGATCAATGTCAAGCACCCCGCCTCCGACTGCGGTGCCGGCTGCAAAGACATCCTCACCTCCTTTTCTTTCGGCGACATGGACGCCACCTCCGTCTCCTACTACGGCAAGTACTGTTCCTCCGACCTCTGGCGACAATCTCTCGCCCTCTGTATGGAGACCTACTGTACTGGTGCCGAAGCCCGCGCGGGCTGGGCACAGATGGCGGGCTACTGTGTCACGTACGGTGACGGTAACGATTTCGGAGAGGAGCAAACATACTACAACGCCATCGCCGACAAATCTGCCGCCCCCACCGTCAACGGCCTCGACGCCGACGCTCTGCTGGTCACTTACAACGAGACTATCTTGCTCAGCGAAGGTGCTTGGCTCGCTGGTTACAAGACCGAGCTCGTCTGGGATATGACTTACATCTACGTACGTCGCTTTGTCTCTTCTCCTTCCTTTTCTTTGACGCTAACATGGCGCTAGCACAACGCTTTCGGATGGTCCATCTACATTCTCGTCGGCCTCGCCCTCGTCGCTGGTATTCTCCGCCGAGTCTCCGACGCCTACCGCACCCACCTCATCACCAAGACCGGCCGTGCTGTCGACCGCTCCGAAATGGCCCTCGCGCCCCAAGGCTTCTTTGGCAAGCTCGAGACACGATACGAGAAGTTTCTCGGTACGCCTGCGTTGATCGGCAAGAAGCACGTGCAATCATTTGCTTGGTTCTCTTTGCCTACTAGGTTGGAGGGTGCTTGTGTGGGTCTTTTTGTTCGTGA